ATTTTACCTAAGAATTCGTTGTTTAAACATGATTTCTTTTTCATGTAAAGCATCCTTTCGTTTTTGTAAATGTTCTGTACGTGTTTGAAATTCATTTCGAGAATTTACAAGTGTTTCATCAAGTGTTTGTACTTCGAAATATTTATTAAGTAATTGTAAATTTAATTTAACATCATTATCATTCGTATTATTCAAATTTCTAAAATTAATTAATTAATTAAATATTTGCAAAGGATTTAATCTCTACAAACTTTAATAATGGAAGTTTAATTGATTGTTCATAGTCTAGAAGATTAGGCGCTCTACAAGACATGTTAATATGAAAGAAAAATTAACAATTATTCTCTTAGAAACCTATTCAATCGAAAGAAAAAAATTTTTTTGTGTACGAATACATTTTTAACCATCACTGATGTCAGGCTAATTTTCGTATAAAGTGAGAAATTTCATTACACAACTATACTAGTATATATGTGTTTAGTTCAATAGTCATTCATTCTTTCGTTTTTAATTGTCACACATTAGTCATGAAATTGTTTTAGATGAAAATATGTGTAGACGAACAAATATCTAAACTATTAGAATTGCTCTGTAACATTCTTTTCGCGTGTCTACTGTCTTTTTCGCTTTCCTTCATTCACATTTTATTGTGAATAGAAACAATAATAATAACAACAAAAATAATAATGATGTTTTTTTATTGTAAAAGAAAAGCAATCTATGTGTGAAAGTAAATCGTTTTGACAAATTCTATTCGACGAACATCAATGAGCATTACTATTGATTAGAATTGCTTTTAATAATAATATAACTACATCAACAACTTGTCTTAATGATGATTGAAGAGATTTAATACTATATGAGACATGTACGATAATCTGATTGTGTTATCTTAACCTATTGGTTGAGCTCGTGTTAGAATTTGAATAGACTAACTTGTCATAGGTTGGTTCAAAAAAACGAAGTAAAATAGAATTGATGTGATCTATTACATTTTTATGTACCGCCAAATGAATGGTATGATTTCCGAAAGTCATTCTTCTTATTTTAATTTATTCATAATGAGAAACGGATGTCTATTGAAATCAATTGTCATCATATGAGAGAAAAACTATATGTGATTGTAAAAAATAACGTTTATTATTATACATGACAAATACATAAAGAAAGAAAGAAAAAGAAAAACGAAGACAAAAAAAAATGAGAGAGAAAAGTTTTAGTTAGATATTTTATTAAAAAAAATTCGTCGAAGATTGTCTGATGTTGTTTTTAAATGACATTGTGGACAACTATTTTTCTCATTTAAATATTTTAACCAACATTCTTCACAATTAATATGCCAACAAACAAGTGATACACATGGTTTTACACACGATTCCTACTAGATTACAAAGAAATTTATTCAAATAAAATAATTTTTTTGTATTTATTTGTCTCACCATACAAATGACACATTTCGGAGGATCAAGTTCTGCGACATTGTTTGGATATATTATATCACTTTTTTGTGTTGAAGGAGAAAATCTAAATAATGAAAAAATAAAATCTAATAAAAAATTTAGAAATTTATTTACCTTTGTTCACTGTTAAATGATTCTTGACATCGATCATCACTAAAATAAAAAGAATATTTTCAAATAATCGATTTATTTTATTTAACATACCTATGATCAGCTGTACTAGTTGTTTCATTTGTACTTTGTCGATTGCTATTATTGTCTTCTCGTTCAATTCCATCATCCATATCGACTACATTAACATCTGGATCATCTGTTTAAAGAAGAATATGTACAAGATATTTGTTTTTACTAATTTAATATCTACCTTGTACTGATTCGGTTGTTGATAATACCAATGGTGGTGGTGGTGGAGGTGGTAATCGTTGCTGATTGGCTATTGCAGCTAGAGCAGCATTAGCTGCTATTTGTTCTCTCTAAAAATAAATAAGAATAGAAAATCTATGAAACAAATCTTCGTCTCTTCAATACTTTTCGCGAACATTGTTGAACATGTGTAAAAAAATATTCTTCATCTGTATTTACTGGAATTATTTGATAACATATTGGACAATTACGTGTATCACTACGATTGATACGTCGATTATGTAATTGTAATTTAGCTGAAAAAAAGATTTTGTTTTCGATTATATATACATATATATATGTGTGTGTGTAATTAAAAAACTTACCATTTAAACGTTGTTGTCGACTTGTTCGTACTCGTATGTATGTCTAGAGAAAAAAAACTTATTAAAAACATATTTATTTTCTTATTTGTATATTTACTTCATAACGTGTCTTAAATGTTTGATCGATGTTATTAATTGTATTTTCTTGTAGAATCTAAAAAAAGAAGAAGTAATGATTATTGTCTGATAAACATAGTCAATTATGATTAATTTGTGTATGAACAACAGATGATAACTTACTTTACTTGTACTGTTTATTAAATGTGATGAACGTCGTGTTGAATATTTTGTTTGTTGTCTTGTACGTTCAATTGTATCAAGTTCTTGTTGAATATGTGTTATCATATCTTGTCCATTTAAAGATACTCGACAAATAGGACATTGTGGATTTTGTAAATCATATGCTGATGATCGACATCGACTCTCTAGAGAAAATAACAAAAAGGTGTTTCTATTGTTCAACAAACTATTCAACACATATTATTTTTGACAAAACAAAAAGAATAACAACATATATTGATCGAATAGTCTATCTCTCCTGTCTATTCCATCCGGTATTTTATTCCGTCTCATTAGTCTTCTCATAGTCAAGAGTTTGATTATTTTATGACTACTTTTTCACTTATGGATCACTATCATACCATATGTCTAAATAGCCTCATCGTACAAATTTGATTATACAGCTGAATATTTTCCTCGAAGTCAACCTGTCGAGATGTATAACAAATACATATTGTATCAACAAAACTGTAGTAGAAGAGAAATAAAAGTGAAGAGTCTTTTTTTTTATTCTGTGCCCTAAAGTGATTGATTAATACGCATAAGAACAAGAACACAAAAAAAAAGTGTTGCCTATTCATATTCTATTAAATATCGATCAATCAAATGAAATCTTGTTTGATCTTAAAACTAGTTATTCATGTAATAGCAAATTATTCTCACAGTTAGATTCAAAAATAAAGAAACATTTCTCAATGTGTATTTTTCACATGAAACTGTGATTGTTACAGGAAACAAGTATATGAGCATAGATAAACAATAAATGATAATTGATTTTTTTTCCTCCTCTATTCGTCTGTTAATTAATAAACCCCACCCAGTTCGTATGTGTGAAATTAACCGAACAAGTCATCTTTAGGGCAAAGAGAGAAGATCGTATAAAGTTTATATTATATATACCTGAATATTTACCAAAACTTTCATCACTACTTTTTTCTGATGGTGATATATCACAATGATTTTCATCATGATGATTTGTTTTAAATCTTTTTCCAGTTGGCATAAATGCTGATGATTCAGATGATGATGATGATGATGATAAAGATGAATTTGAATTAGTTGATGATGTTAATAAACCCGTTGTCGTACCATTTAATAAAGGACGAAATGCAGCTGCGTAAGGATAATGATGAAACAGACTTGAAAATAGATGATGTTGATGAACTGCAGCTGCGGCAGTTAAAGATGGATGAGTTGAAGGAAAACGTAAATGATCAGGTGAAGTTTGATTAAGTAGTGTATTTACTGAAAATGCACCATTAGCTGCATTGAAAGCAGCCATAGCAGCTGATAAAGAATTTTTATCTGGACTTGTTATTGTCGAATTTGGTGATGATGATGTTGTTTGTCGTATTGAACGAAATGCTGCAGCCATATCAAGTGGTTGAATAGGATGCCACATTGCTGGATGATACATTATTTATTATTTAGAAGATAATATAAAAATGATCAAATGATAATCTTTTCTTATTTTTTTTCCGTACTATGTTGTGTATGTGTGTGTGTGTATCAACTTATCTCTCTTGTCGAAGTTTATCTTTTCTCGTTGTCGTTACACAGAGTTGACTTCTCTCTTCTACTCTGATTGAGTTCTCTTCTTGTAGTTCACTGGATTTCTCTCTCGCGCGCGCTTTTTTTCTCTCTCGGTTGAAAAGAGAATTGGTTAAGAGCAAAAAAAAGAGAGTACTGTTTATTGATTGGTCGATAATGAAGGAGAAAAAAAAACCTACTTCTATATACATATATACATATTCATTCAAGCGAAGAAAGAGAGAAAGATACATATACACCGAAGGACATAACTCTTCTTCGCTTTAAGATAGATGATTGAGTTTTTCTTGCGCCAGTTGCGACTACCAACATTCTTTCTTTCTACCCTCTAGCAGCTCATTGTCGACACGTAACGAAGAAGAAACAAAAGAAAAAGAAAAATAAACCATTACTTATACAACCACCAATAGGAGAGTGTGTCTTCATCGTCTTTCTCTATAATAATTGGTTGTTCGAGCAATAAAAAAGAGAAAGAAAGCGAGATACAATATGTGAAAATAATCGAGCAACAACTTCTCAAACAAGCAAATGAGAGAGAATCTCATAATACAGTCAGATATATATATATATTGTCTGCCTACTGGCATATGTCAGAGAATAATGGTGATAATCATAACAAACTATGAAGATCTGTATATATCGATCAAGAAATGACACTAGCAAATGTTAAAATCATATAAGACATTGAATTATTTTAGTTGAATATTTATAAATCCGATAGTATTTTGCTTAATTTTATTGACATAGCAGATATTTATATTCTTATTTTATTTAACATCGATAAAGCACATATACGCAAAAAAAGGTGTTATTGCGATTTATAGAGGAGAAAAAAAGGCTTCTTCAAGTGTACGAACACATATTTGCATATCTAATGATTATAACAAGAGCTTGATCATGCATTTTTTTTTAATATTACGTTTGTCATCTATTCATTCATTCGCGTAATACAAACAGGATACACTTGCGCGAGCGCTCTCTTATTTAGCGAAAAGAAGAAAAGAAGAAGAAGAAGAAGAAGAGAACTATACTGACTGTTTGCTCTTACGTTCTACGTCATTGTCAAGCATGATCGATGAGTTTCTTTTGTATCCTATCCTATGATTTCTATTGCTCACTGATACATTAAAATTAGGTTCGAATGATGAGACATATGAAGGGAGGTACACACATTAGAAACGAATCTCAATTTGATGACCAGGTAATCAATAAGTATCATCAGTCGGAGAGAAAAGAAAATCACAGTGATGAAGATGGGCTCACGTCACTTATATTCGTTGATATTTCTTTCTCTTTGTCGCTTGAGGCAAATATCAGTGACAAACATTGAATACATGAGAAAACGAGTCATTGATAGTAGCTGTTGCTGTCTGTCTGTCATCTTGTGATACTTAGTGGCTCCAGATGGTTTGTATGAGTATGTGTCGTTTAAACAAGATGACTTTTCTTCTCGTCATTCAACATACTCAATTGAAGTTTATAGGCAAGACAAAAGCAAATGGGAACAAGCATATAAGACCAATTAACACTTTGAACAAATTATAAACACATTCCGTTGGATAGATGGATGTCGCGGTTTCTTCTTTTCTATTCTGTGTGCCTCATTGCAAATCGTTTCTATTTGATGTGATGCATCAAAATACAAAAGAATGACAACTCTTTTTCTTTACATCTATGCTTCCAAATCGACTGTTAATAAACGAGATCGATGAGTGTGTGCGTGAGAGCACATATGGAAGATGGCAGGTATATAATTGAAAAAAATGTAATCGATGCACGCGTGATCTTCTGTCAATGATAATTGATCGGTTATTGATGAGTTTAAACAATTTCTCGATTTTTGTTTTGTTCTCTGTTTGTCTTGCTAAGTTATGTGTCTGAAAAAAGATCAAACGTTTATAATAGGACTACTGCTGTTTTTGTATGTTTGCATTAATGTATCAACATTGGATTTCTTTTTTTTTTGTTTATACGATATTTATTTGTCATGAATTTACCAGTACACTAACAGAGATCAAAGATATCTTCAAAAAAAATTCGATCTTTTTAGTACGAATAAATGTAACTAATGATTCAGACATTGTTTACTTTTATATAAACTACGTATTTAATATAAATATATAAAGAAGAAATATGACTGATTGTATGAAAATAAATGTCGTTCTTTCTTATTCTTTTCTTCTTTTGTAGTTTTATTATTCAGTTTATCTCTCGAGACGATTAGACGAAATGCAAATGTATAAGTCATTGTTTAAGTGATGATGAATAATTGTTATCATTAAATGTTTTTACTCTAGGGACGCAAGATTTAATAGTGAATCCGAAGCGTATACACAATTTATACGAACTGGTTTTCCTCCTCCAAGTGATATTTCAATTGAAGGGATACGTCAAAGAGCAGAAAAATTACATGAAAAAATTAATGAAAAATTAATTGGAAAATTCAAAGGACAAGAAACAGAAAAGATAATTAAAATCAATGGAGATATTAGTAAATTTTGAATTTAAAATATTTGAAATTATATTCTGTAGTTTAGAAATACCAGTTACAATATATACACCAGTTAATGTTAATAAAGATAAAATGGTCGTGTTTTTTCATGGTGGAGGTAAAATTACAAGATTATTTTTATATGATAAATATTGAAAAATATAATTTAGGATGGACAGTTAATAGTCGAAAAACTCATCAGACAATTGTTAATATGCTTGCTGAGTATATATTTCCTCTATCTTAACAGCTATATATAATGTTGTTGTATTTTAGTGCTACAAAAAGTATTTGGATATCAGTCGAATATCGTCTTTCACCTGAAAATAAATTTCCTATTTGGCTCGATGATGGATGTGAAGTAACTCAACAGATTCTTGCAAATAAAACTAGCTATGGTATAAAAATTGTTCGTTTTTTTTTCTATAGTTATACATTGTTTATACTAGGTGGTGATGAAAATACGAAAGTTGGTGTTGCAGGCGATAGTGCTGGTGGATTAATTTCTGCAGCTATTTGTCAAACAATAAAAAATCTTGATTTTCAAGTAAAAACCTTTCTTCTTTATATGAATGTTTTAAATTTTTAATAAATAGATTCTTGTTTGTGGTCAATATGAGTTTTATCATGATGCACCATCACGTAAAGAATTTGATAAACCGATTTATGTTATAATAACTAGTATGCTTGACTGGTACAGTAATACAATAACTAATATTCTTATTATCTATATTACAATTTTTTTTTAGGTTTTCATCAAATGCTTTCAGTAATGAAAGTGATAAATTAAATCCAAGAGTTGCATTATTACGTAAGAATACAATCAATACAACCATTCCACCATGTTTATTCATTGTTCCTGAACTTGATCCATTACGTGACGATAGTTATAGTAAGGAAGAATAGATGAATAAGATAGAAAGAGAAAATAATTGTATTCCATTTAGAATATCAAGAGATACTTGAAAAAGCCGGAGTAAAAACCAGACTTGTCTTAATTAAAGGAGCTATTCATCCATTTTTTAGCATTCCGGGTAAGAGAAATCAAAATATAATTATATTCTCTATAACAATATATATATATATATTTAGGTATATTTGTCAAATCATGTCAAGAAGCAATCAATGCTGTTCAAGATTTTATGACAAATTTATAAAGAAATAACAGATTAAAAAATTTTAAAAATATTAAATCTTTTAATTACATCAATAAAAAATATAGTTCAATAGTTGATAATAGTTAGTTTCGTTGTTTGTATATAAGATCAGTTATGTGTGAATTTCTCTTCAATTCAGATATATTAAAATCTTCGTAAAATACACTTGTTTGAGGAACAATTTCAGCATGAAAACTAGATTCGTATCCAATGAATACTAACTGCTATGGTAATTATTTACGATCTCATGATGTTCTTCTTCTTTTGTTAATTTAAACGAATCAAATTTATAATATAAGCCTTGGCATGTCATTATACTTACAGATTTTATTAGTATGTCTAGAAAAAAACAATAGTTATATTATCGATTCGTATATATAATCTTCTGCACCTAGAATACACGTACTTTTACGTTGAATTAGTCATTCTTATTCGTTCTTCGTACAATGCAAATACAAAAAAAAACAATCGACCACACGATTCTATATAACAAGCTACACTTTGTCTCAAATATCACCATTTTTTTTGTATTTTAGTTGTTTTTATCTTCTTTCTCAAATATCATCTAACAAAAAGCTACCTTTTTACTTCAAATGTTAGTTTTTTTATAATCTATCGAACTATTTATTAATTAATATATATTTTGTTAGGGATCCAAGATTAGGTGATGAAGCACGTAATTATTCTTTGTTTATCTCACAAAATTTTCCAGTACCAAAACCATTCACGTTACAAGCAATGCGTGAACGAAGTGAAAATGTTAATAGAAAAGCTAATGAAAAATTAATCGGAACATTTAATGGTACTGAGGAAGAAAGACAAATAAAAATTGATGATAATACAGGTAATATTACATTTTTTAAATACTCATATAAACTTCGAAATATTTAGAAATACCAATTACAATTTATACACCAGCAAATGCTAATAAAGATAAAATGGTTGTATTTTTTCATGGTGGAGGTAAAATTACGAGATTATTTTTACATAAGAAATTAGAAAGAATATGGTTTAGGATGGACACAAGGTAGTCGAAAAACTCATCAAACAATTGTTAATATGCTTGCTGAGTATGTACTCCTTCTATGTCAATATCTATATGCAATATTGTTGTATTTTAGTGCTACGAAAAGTATCTGGATATCAGTTGAATATCGTCTTTCACCTGAAAATAAATTTCCTATTTGGCTCGATGATGGATGTGAAGTAACTCAACAGATTCTTGCAAATAAAACTAGTTATGGTATAAAAATTGTTCGTTTATTTTTGTCTAGTTATACATTGTTTATACTAGGTGGTGATGAAAATACGAAAGTTGGTGTAGCAGGTGATAGCGCTGGCGGATTAATTGCAGCATCCGTTTGTCATACAATAAAAAATCTAGCTTTTCAGGTAGAAATCTTCTTATTTATAAAAGACTTTCGTTTTTTTCTAATAAATAGATTCTTGTTTATGGTGCATTTGATTTTGCCTATGGAACAGAATCATGTAAAGAATTTACTAGTCCAGAACATATCTTAACACCTGCAATACTTGCTTGGTAATTCAATTTCATACCATATTCCAATGTACAATTTCTATTAATTAATTTAATATAGGTTTAGTTCAAATGCATTACGTAATGAAGAAGATAAGAAAAATCCTCGAGCATCTGTTTTATTACATGAATCATTTGAAGGATTACCACCTTGTTTATTTATTGTTGCTGAACTTGACCCATTACGAGATGATAGTTATGGTATAAATATAGAAGAAAAGAAAATAAAGATTCTACAGGACAAATTTTTTTTATTTATTTAGAATATCAAAAAAAATTAGAAAAAGCTGGAGTTAAAACAAAATTAGTATTAATTAAAGATGTAATTCATTCATACTTTAGTTTACCAGGTAAATTATTTTATAATTGAGAAAAATAAAATAATTTTTCTATATTTCTTTTAGGCATATACGAAAAAGCTTGTGGACAAACAATTGAAGCTGTAACCGAATTTATGAATTCATTGTAAGACGAACTTGTTTCGAAATAATATGATTTACTATTGCTGAAAATGTTTTTTGAACGAAAAGATTGATAAATAAATTAGAATTTTATAGTATAAAAAAACGATGATTTCCTTTAAAAGTCTTTATTTATATATACGTAATTATTATTTAGACCAAATACCAACGTGATAACCACAAAACTCAGCAAACTTTAATGTTCATGTGAAGATCGTTTTTTAAATAAAATATTTGAACCATAATTCTTACGATATCCAAAGAAGGAACACAGCTTTTGGATAAACTAGTATCAGTATATTATAGAGTCATACTTAAAAGATCACAAATTTGAATTTTAATACTATAATTTTTTCCTTTAAAAATAAAGATATAAATATTTTTCTTTTATTCTTCAATCGATCATGTTTGATATCTCTATATCCATCGCGGAAAATATCTGAATATGTACACACAATCATATTCAAAAAAACAAACATACAAGAAATTACATAAAGAAAGGATTAATGGTTTTTTTTGTTATTGTATTCAATACACACAAACATATATAGACGCTTTATGTTTTTTTTATGTTTCTCTCTTATTTTTTATCTTACTAATCTAAAGCTAAAAAACAATGGACAATGTATGTTTTATTTATAGAACAAAAATGGTCACAGGGTGAGAAAAGAAAGACAATAACAACAACTCGATGATATTCTAAAGACGAACAAAGAGGAGAAGAAGAACGAGAAGGCAAATCATCTTTTTAATAAACAAAGAGATTTTTATTTTTCGAGTAACAAAAGAAAAAGAAAAGAAAAATGTACAAAATAAACATATTAATTAAGTGAACCACGACATGTTGGTGTACCACATCGACATGGAATTTTTTGTTCTTCAAGTGGAAATTTATAATCATAGGTTATTTCTTCTCCAAGACGTATATCTCGTTTTGAATAGATAACAATTTTTTTTTGTGATTCAACAGGAATTATTTTTGCATAACAATTTGGCTAAAATTAAATAAAACAAAACAAAATAAAAACGATTTTTATTGATTCTATCTTCGTACATCACAACTATGATTAATAAATCTTGCAAGATTTCCACATTTAGTTGCATCAACAATCGTATCTGAATCAACACGAAACATATAATTAGAATTTATTCCTTCTAATTCATATTGTTTTTCACGTAAATCACCAACACTTTGTCGAATAGTTTCACCAACATATTCAATAACCATATCTTCCATTGCAATAGGTTCACAAGCAAATAAACCCCATGCATGAATACCTGATTTAGCATAACGAAGACGTTTTTTTCGTAACTAAAAATATTTGTAAATTTAGTCAAAAAACAATTATTTATAGAATTTCAATTACTTTAAGTTGACTAAATTTAAAATGATCAGCAAATTCAACATCGCCTAATGCTAATAAATTTCGTCGATGTTCACTACGAAGTTCACGTGACATTTGTGCACCTGTTGTACGATTTGTATCAAGTATTGCTTGTGGTAATAGAGATGTACTTTGAGAATCACCAGTAGTTTTTGTCACAATTATTTTTTCATCTTTAATAATTTTATAGTAACCTTCCGTTCTAGCACATCCTATTTAAAATGAAAAAAAAAAATAAAACTGTACAAAAAATGATCTATTAAAATTTATGAATTTTGTACCAGTTCGATGTTTTTGTGATGGTTGTTTAACAAATGGTGAATCTCGACTTGGTGGATGATCAACCCAAGAAGTTTTTTTTGTACATGAATGCCCTTCCGTACACAGTCTTAAATAGAAAATGACATGTATAAACGAACACGATAGAGTGAGAAATTCTAATCAACGAGATGACTTTCTTTTTTCTTTAAAATTTATATTCATAAATGGTTCTACTCGACTTTAACATCATTAATAGAGTATAAAATAGAATACCTTTGAAAACTTTGTTTAAGATATGACATATCTTCTTCATCTACTCCTTGATCAAGTTCATACATAATACGCATTTCAGCATCATGTTCACGTGGTAAAAATTTTAATGCTAGTGGAATGATCATTGGTGCTTGAACGCCCATATTATTTAAACCATCAACAGTTAATCGTTTAGCGACTGGTATAGGTTGTCTAGTCATAATAGCATAATCATGTTCATATTCAATATAAGCAAATGGATTATAAGAAGATTTTGTGGGTGATTCAATTTTTTCAGGAAGACTATCTAATAAATTAAATGTTTGAATTGGTTGTAGATCTAATTCATTGTCAGTGGTCACATGTCGATGAGTTGTTATACTGAATAAAGAAATAAAAAATACACAATATATATATATATATACGTGAGACGCAGACAATAATGAATCGTTATGTAATCATATGTCTATTATTTTTTTTATGTAATCTTACCTTTTCTTTCGTTTTGCTAATGTACTAGTGTCAATATCATCTTTTTCTTGTATGGGTTCACTTTTAATCTGTTCAATTTTACGTTTTTTTGGTGGACCAGGTTTTTTATTTTGTTTGACAATATTTTTATGGATATGTTTCTTTATCAATGGTGATAATTGTGATGGTGGTGGTGGAGGTGGTGGTAGTACTGGATTTGATTCAATATTAGCTTGATTTGAATGATTTTCTTCTTCAACTTCTTCATCGTCTTTAATTTCGCCTTCTTCTTCTTCAGGAGTTGGTTGATCAATAGAAGTTTTATTAATTGGTTTTGTTTCCATTGAAGAAGATATATCTTCGTGTGGTAATGAAATCGAATCTCGACTTTGACTATCCTCATTTTCAGGTGTTACACTCGATTCACTACTACTAGAACTTATACCTAAAAGATAAAAATATATGAATCAATATAAAGTATTGATTTTTCAATATACGTTTTCGAGATATTTTTCGTTGTTGTGGTTGTTGTTGAGGTTCTTTCTTTTCAATTGGTGTTACTGGTTTTTGTGGAATAATTGGTTTTTCATCCGGAATAGTTCGTTTCTAAAAAATGAAAAAATAGATATTGAAATTTTTTGCAAAATTTGACTTTTACTTTGAATGTCGGTATTTTTGGCATTTGTGTTCTTACAGATGTACCTATACTATCTTTCATATGTTCAAAGTATGTTGATGAAGTAGCTGATGTTGATAATGAACTAAATGGTGGTGCTGTCATAGGTGTTGTTACTGGACTAGGTGTTTCATCTGGAATTCTTTCAATGATTGGATTTGATATAGAATGATGTAATTGATTTGATGACTGTTCATGTGAAGTTATTTGTTCATTTGATGAATTTTCAGCTGATTTGATTTTTTTTATTTTATCTTTTCGTTCTTCATTATCATACCATGTTTCAATAGATTTATAAACTAATGTTTCAATAAGTTTCTTAGCTAAATCTTTCCGAAGAATTTCAACTAATTCTCCTGTAACAATATTTGTAACAGCTGTTGTTAAATCATTTGTTTTTCTTTCACGTTCATCTGTACCATCATTTGGATGTGGTTGAAGACCATTCGATGAATTATTTATAGTTGATGTCATATTTGTCGTTGTTGTTGTGGTTGTTGTCGATGATGAGGATGATGATGATGATGATGATGGTGGAGGTTGTTTAAACATATCTTGCCAATTTGTTCCACCAGTTGAATTTAAAAATGATGCTGGTGGAAATGAATTGCCAAAAAAATTAAAATTATTCACAACACCATACGATTGTTGATGATGATGATGACTACCAACAATATTAGTTAATGGCGGTGGCAATGGTGGTGGTGGATAAGAGAAAACTGTTGGTGGTGGAACATTTGGTAATGGTAATGGACGGTGATGAGTTTTAGTTGGTATAGATGAAGGCATCGTTGTTTGTTGTTGTTGTTGAAATAAAGCTGCTATACGTTCATCTAAACTTGGACGATGATCTTCATCATCAATTTGTTGTTTAGAATTTATTGCTCGAGAATTATGCGTTAGTTTTTGATTATGACTATTTGTCGATGAATAACTTGATTTTGATGATGAAGATGAAGACCTTGAATAAGATCTTGATGTTGAACTTGATCTTGATGTTGAAGATGAGGTTGATGATGAACGTGAAGTAGATGATGATGTTGCACTACTACTTGTTTTTCGTCGTCGTCGACGTTGTTGAGAATGTGGACGATGATGATGTGATCGACGAGATGATCGACGAGATGATGATGAAGATTTATAATTATTACTATTATTACCGAATGATCCATATGGATCAAAAGAAAATTGTTCGGTATTATCATTGACGGAATGATGACCACCTCGCGAATCATATCGAGATGATGATGATGATGTTGATTGAACTAAATATAAAAATATGAGAATATTATATTTAATTCTAGTTTAATAATTAAAGAGCGTAATATTTATATATAAAGTCGATGACAAAATATAAATTAGTTTAGATCAAAATTGAATTCTATGTGAATATGAGCAAAACTGATTATCGAGCATAATTTATCAACTAAAGTAGTAATAATACTTTTATACTGATAAGATTTAACATAATTTCGATGTTTTTGCTGAATATTTTGTTTAAATGAAGGCACTGAAAAATATATAGTTCAGGTTTTGTTTTTCGATTAAAATGAATTGATGAAAAGAAAAAATATTCTTTATTGTTTACTAACGTTTTGATGTTCGATGATGATCTCGCGATGAATGGGAATTTGATGGTTGAGAATAATTATTTGTTATTTTATGATTAATAGGTAATTGCATTGATATATGTGATCTTTCAGTTTGTTTATTAAGATTTAAATCCATGGAAGGTGGAGGAGATGCAGCAGCTGATGCAGCTAATGCTTTTTCTTGAGCAGCTTTTTCTTGTTCCTGTGCACGAATAATTGTCGCATATTGTTTTGTACGTTCTTGACCAAATGTTTCCAATGATACTGATATAATACTACCCATTTTACTTGTCATATTCAATGCATTTACACATTCTCGAGCAGCTTTTGTTGTTTTAAAAATTACCTTAAAAACATCGAAATCAATCAAACGAATAAATTTTTTATTGAGAAAAAAAACATACTGTTCCTAATCCAAGATGTTTTTTAGTTTGTCGATCATAATATATTTTACAATCTTCTATATCACCAAAACGTTTACATGTATCAGTTAAAAATGTTTTTGTTATATTATCATTTAAATTGCGAAATGTTACTTCTTTAGCTGGAATAGCACCAACCCAGCAACGATCAAGCTAAAGAAGAATTTATGATTTATATTATTCGAACATTTTTGTTATTACTTTAAATTTTGGTACAGGTAAATCCTGATAAGATCGATCCAATCGAGTTGGAATACGTGGATCAACACATCCGGAAACATGAAGTGGTGTCTAAATAAATCAAATGTTTATGTTTAAAATAATTCAGTTCCTTCTTACTCCTTCGACATCTCCATTAGCATACAATCGTTTGTCTCCTGGATGAATTGCACTAAATAATAAGAATAGATAGATTTTATTTTTAATTCATAAATTTTCTCCATACGGATCTCCTGCATAAAGTCGATAGTTTCGTCGTTTTTCATTGACAGGTATTTGGGACATTGAACACGTTGATGCTTCTATTGTTGATTTGTTTAAAGAAGTAACTAATAAAAATTTTCATATATTCATAGAATAAAAAAGTAAATAAATGAAAATTGTTCATACCATCGAACATATCGATTAAATGATAATTGTTTATTCTTCATTCATGAGAAAAAAAACAAAAAGGGAAAAGAAAAATAAAATTTTATTCACTCAATCTGTCACGAAGACGAACAAGCAAATATAAAGAGTGTAGATAGTTTAGATTTTTTTTTTCATCAACGCGACACAATCAGACAACTAAAAAAAAATTTCGATCTATTCATTGGTCTAGAATGAAATAACATATTTATGCAAATGATTCAACTGACATCTACAAATGATTTTGATGATTCATCAAATGTATAAATAATCGTAAACATGTCATTTGGATAGAAGAAAAAAACAAAAAGAAAACATTTCAAACAAAAGATAATTTTTCACGATGCTTGATTATGGAAGTGTCGTTTTAACATTAAGTAATGTTTTGTTACCATCAGAAAAACTTTATCCAAATCCAACACCTTCGATGATTGAAGGTTTACCATATGATATTGAATATGATTTAAGATTAATCGGATGTGAACTTATACAAACAGCATGTTTATTATTAAAATTACCACAGGTAGATTTTATTAGATAATTTTCAATGGAAAATATTTAAGTGTTTTTTTGTGTTTTTAAAGACAGCAGTAGCGACAGGTCAAGTATTATTTCATCGTTATTTTTATTCATCATCATTTGTTCGTCGTCAAATGGAAATTGTTGCAATGGCTTGTACAAATCTTGCAGCTAAAATCGAAGAAAATGCTCGACGAATTCGAGATGTTGTGAATGTATTTCATCATATTAAACAAGTTCGATCAGGAAAGTAAGTAGAAATATGAATAAGAATAATTCGTTTTAAATAAAAAAAATTTTTCTTAGAAATATTCGTCCATTGTTAATCGATCAAACCTATATTGATAGAAAAAATGAAGTTATTAAAGCTGAAAGACGTTTACTGAAAGAACTTGGATTTTGTGTTTATGTTAAACATCCACATAAAGTAAATTTGATTTTAAAAATAATTTTATTGTATTTTATTTACTTATAGATGATAACAATGTATTTAAAAGTATTGGAAAAAGAACGTGAAAGACATTTAGTACAATATGCTTGGTAGGTATCTATAGAATTCATTATGACTTTTATTTCAAAAACATATATCTTTTTTTCATGATCTAAGTAAAAAGATATGATCTATGAAACTGTTTTAGATGAATTAACTTCTAAGTAAAACTATTAAACTAGAGACACAAACACTGACTTAAGACTGATTTAGTAAGAGTAAGATCTAGAATTTACTTTAAATCAGAACAGGAGTAACACCGTCATTTATCAGATGATAGAAGAAGACTTCTTTAAAAAAAATATCCAATACATTTCTTTTGATACAGGACACTACGATGGATCGAAATTTATAAAAGTTGTAAAGTATGAATTTCCATTTAACATATTTCTTCGAAAGAAAAAAGATTCTAGCTAATAATAATTTAGTCTGCTAGTTAAACATTTCTCTTGATAAAATAATCTTGAATTCAGAGATGAAATCGGTGTGAACTTTTAATTCGAATGATATATCGATACTAGTCCAATATTTATCCTTGATTTCTTTACAGAATTTTTGTTGTCTTTATTTAAATATATTTTTCTCTCTTAGCAGTATATTCCATATATATATAATAAAGTATGAAGAAAATCTGTTTGATCGATTTTAATTTATTTCTACTTTCTCATTCTTAATTTATAAAATAAATCAATTTCTTGTCTTTCGTCCAGATATATGGAAAATTGACGCGTATATAACCGTTCATATGGTCGGAATATATGCATATTCAACGTCGGGTCGTTTCTTCAACACTCGACTTTAAAATCTCAAGTATCGGTCGGTAATGTTTTTATATTTTCTTATTCATTCATATCGGTGTATACATATATAAATATATCTATATACTCTCTACTTTTCTAGTTCAATCAATAAATGGTTTGTTTGTTATGTTTGATTTTTAGATTTTAGTATATTGAATAAAGCTATTAGAAAAAAAGGGAAATTTGCATATAATTTAATCCTTTTTATATATTTTTAGATTTTGCGGATATTATTATCATTTTCAAACATTAAAATTCAGATGTTTTTCTTGATACCTTCGTTTACTTTGACTTTCAAAAGCAAACATAACAAATAATCTATTTATTCAAAAAAAAATTTGAGAATATTTTTCATTACCGATATACCGATACTTGATTGAGTTCGTTTTCTTGAGAAGAATATAGAAAAACATTCCAGAATTCATAATTCTTTTAGAAATTTAATTAAATGTTGTTTTTTGCTTATATTTAGGAATTATATGAATGATAGTTTACGTACGGATATTTTTCTACGTTTTACTCCGGAAACAATTGCTTGTGCATGTATTGATTTAGCTGCACGTACTTTACAAGTAAATTGAAAAAATGATTTGATTTTATAATCTCCTTTCTCATTAGATTTCATTACCTAAAAGCCCTCCATGGTTTATTATATTCGGTGCAAGACAATCAGAAATTCATTTTATAATGATAGCTATTCTTCGTCTATATAAACATCGACCAGTAAGAAATGGTTAAGAATTTCTTTATATTAAAATTATTTTTCTTAATATTAGAAATCTCTTGATGAATTAGAAAAACTTGTGAATACTATTCGTGAAAAAAGAGATGATGATCGAAAAAAAATTCGATCGGATTTAATTCAATCAACAGAATTAGGTAATGATTCACCATCACAACAAATTGCTCAAAATTCTATATCATCAACCGTAATTAATACAACGACGACGACAACAACTTTTATAAAACAAGATGGTATGAAAATATTATTTTCATTAGTGAATTGAAATTCACGAATAGTTTTAGCTTCAACTGTGATTGCAACAACACAAGAAATAACAAATGTAACTACAACAACTACAAATGGAAAGATTATAAAAAAACGTGATAGAGGAAGTTCAAGAGAATCATCAACAGTGAATACACATCGACATCATCGATCGAGAAGAAAACGAAGTAGTACAAGAAGCCGGTAAATTACATGATATTTATAACAGATCTGAAATCGTGCTGTCCTGTTGTTTTACTAAGAATCAAAAAATTGAAATACGAATGTTTTTCTTTTTATTAGATCATCATCTCGATCAACATCTCGTTCGTCAGTTCATCGTTCACAAAAGAAAAAGAAAACTTCTCGGCGAAGTCGTTCACGATCTCGGTAATAATAATAGATATTAGAATTAATTCTTATTATTGTAAATATTTTCATTTAGTTCATCCACACCTAAAAGACGAAAACATCAAAAAGAGAAACGACATCGTAGTCGTTCGTCAAATCGTCGAAAGAAAGATAAAAAACGTCGATCACGTTCTTCTTCACCTGAAGAAAGGTAAATTTATCTTTCATCTTCAACTAAACCATATATTCTTTCTTCTTCTCTAGTCAATATTCTACTACTAACAAACATCCACTTTCAACGAAAGACACAAATAATAATCTTCATCAACGTTCACATCATCATCATCATTCATCCAAACATTCAAATGGTGTTTCTTCATCATCAAATAAAAAATTAAAAAACTAGTCATTTAAATATTAGAAGTTTATGTACAGATAGTTCAGCGTCTTTGTTATTTGTCATTTCACATTACATTTTGTTTCTCTTGCACAAAAAAAAGAAGAAAAAAAAAATAAAACTAAAAATAAGTTTATTAAAAAATCTTTTTTTACTTTATATAAAATTCGGCATTTTATCAAAAAGGCCTTGTAGATAGTTTTGTATTAATAGTTAAGACAAAAAAAAAGAACGATACTATTTTATGTCAAAATTAAACGATACAAAATTATATGAAGCAACGAAACGTTTGGAAAAGCGTTTAAAAGATCGTGAAGATGAATATGTCACTTATAAACAATTTCATATTCTTGTTGGAACATTTAATGTTAATAATCGACAGCCACCATCGGATACTTTACTTGAAGAATGGCTTTATCGTGTAACGAATAACGATGATCGTAAACAACAAACTCTGCCGGATATAATTGCTGTTGGTTTTCAAGAAATTGATACAAGTGGTGGTGCATATATCTATGATGATAGAAAACGAGAAGATGAATGGGAACGTATTGTACGAAAAACAATTAAAGCTTGTTATAAACCAAAAGATGACAGTCATAAATTTCAATTACTAAATCGTATTAGACTTATGGGTAAGTTGATTATGACATAGATATTAAAAAAAAAACTATGTAACGCTAAATTATTGAATATTTATAAACATTATATTTAGGTATTTTACTATTTGTATATGTACGTACTCCACATATGGCAAAATGTACATCAATTTCTCGTTCATCAGTTCCAACTGGTTTTATGGGTCTTGCTGGTAATAAAGGTGGTGTTGGTATTAGTTTTAATTTTTATCAAACACAAATTTGTTTTATTAATTGTCATTTTGCATCGGGTGATGGACAAACACAAAAACGTAATGAAGATTATCAGACAATAGAATCACGTATGACATTTACGGATGCACCTACATATTCGCTGAAAGATTATATTTGGTATACACCAACAACAGCTGGTAGTTCTGCTCCTAATCCTCAAACATCATCGGTTCCGACACGATAGTGAGTAAAAATTCATTTAAAAACTTGATTTTTATATCTAATTTCTTCTAGTTGGAAAATAAATGATCATGATATTACATTTTGGTTTGGTGATATGAATTATCGTATATCTCAACCAAATGAACAAGTTCGTAAAGCTATTAGTGAAGTATCAACTATTCCATTACATGAAAAAGATCAATTACGATGTGAAATGAAATTAAGTCGTGTATTTACAAATTATTTTGAACCACCTATTGATTTTATGCCAACCTATAAATTCGATACGAATACCGATCATTATGATACTAGTGAAAAAATGCGTACACCATCATGGACTGATCGTATATTATATCATGCAAAACGTTCAAAAATTCGTCAGAATAATGATAAAGAATTAGAATTAATTCAAACAATACATTATTCATGTGCTAAAACAATTAGATTTAGTGATCATCGTCCAGTTAGTGGTCTTTATCAAGTTGCTATTAAATCTGAATGTGATGAAAAACGTTTAAATCGTATACGTGAAGAATTAATACGTGAATTAGATCGTGAAGAAAATGATTCTATACCAACAATTGAAGTTCGTCCACGTCCACCAGCAATTGTATTTGATAATATACGTTATTTAGACAAAGTTACTTATTCATTATTAATAAAAAATATTGGTGAATGTCCATGTACATGTGGAATATATCCATCAGCAATGTTTGAACCAACACGTCCAATAAAATCAAAACGAATATTTGAAGATCCATTTTTTAATTGTTTAACATTTACACCTAATTCACCTTATACAATAGAGATAGGTAGACAACAGTCGATTGATATTAGTTTTCAAATGAAAAGTCAAAATTCATGGGTTTTGGGAAAGCAATTAAATGAAATTCTTATATTACATGTAGAAAATGGTGCTGATACATTTATAACAGCAGATATTACAGTTGATATGGGTCCATTTGGTTTATCATTTGAACAATTTCCTCCAACATTCTATGATAGTGAGAAAAAACAATATGTTTATGCAATAAATGATAAAACAACATCGGAACGTATATTTGAAATGAAAAACGATCCACCAGCACTTTATATATCATTAATTGATTGTTTAAAAGATCGTAATGATATCAATTTACTTAATATATTTAATACTGAAGTTCAAGATTCTATTGATTTAATTCCAATACGTAATCAAATCTATGAACATAATTATAATTTTCAAGATTGTCAAACTATTCCATTATTCATGATACTTTTACATTTATTGCAGTCATTACCTGAACCATTAATATCACGTGATATACAAGATAGAATATTATTAACAAATAATTCGTCAAATTTTCGTACATATTATTTACCAAGTGGTTCATCTATGCAATCTCATATACCGAATGAAACGAATTCTGTACAACAACATGACATGGCAAAAGCTGTTGGTGCAACAATTGAATTATTAAAACCAAAAGAAAGAAATTTATTTTTTCGTTTTCTCTTACTTTTACAAAAATGTTGGCCAACATCCGAGCAATTAAAAAGAAGTGAAAATTCTAAAAATATTTTAAATGTTTGTATTGATATATTGACTCTTTCAATTTTACATGAACATGCTGATCGAAATCAACGACATACATTTCTATTAGCTTGTCTCAATGAAGAAAAAAAGAAACACTCGAAATAAAATATATATATTTTTTCTTCTTACGTCAGTTTTATTGTCATTCCGAAAGTAATATTCCTTTTTTTTCATAAATTTATCAAGAGCAATATTTTATTTTCCTTCTTTATTTAACAAAAAATAGTTATCATGACAAAAAACAAATGTATTGATTTTTTCCGAGAATGAAATTTAAAGCAATATACATAACAATTTTTCAAATAAATAAATTGTATGTCTTTGTGGATTTATTTACCAATGTTCAATATTTTAGTTGAATAATGCTTTCAATGTAAATATGCTCTCATTATGTGAATAATTATTTTATGAGAACTAAATAATTTAAGATAGATGAATACAACAAGTAAATCGTGAAAAATCGGTTTTCGATGTTTTTTTTACCTTTGCCCCTCTTCACTCCGCCCCCTCCTCCCGTCATCATGGTCATTCAATAGACCTCAGAGTTGAAGTCCCCGCACTGAAAAGGTCTTTTTCGAAAAATCGGTTTTGAATGTTTTTTTGACCCTGCGGACACACAAGCAAGCAATCAGACAATTTATGTTTACTGAAATCTTCTCTACGAGAAAGAGAATTCTTTATTGTAGTCGTGTATTCCGTCTCTTAATGTTTATTCTCACCCTGTGGTTTTATTGTTTACATCATTTGAGTTTGTCTATACGAAGAAAACAATACATTTCATTTCTCCTTGGTTTATCCAACTAATTTAATTCTCAATCAAGAACAAAAAATCACTGTTAATAATAAAATTAAACAATCAATGTGATACTTGACAAATGAACAACACAGTTTATGAAGAACGACTTTTTCGTTTAATAGCTGTTCGATTCGATCTTTTTATTGGTATTGATATTATTTCTGATGTTTGAGACATTGTAAACCATGCATGTGAACTAACTTGTTGAATATTAGGACGTTTCTGCCAATCATATGTAAATATATGAAGAATAAGATTACGTGCAGATTGTTCACGTTCATTTTCATTTGGCCAATGTAATTGAAGTTTTTGATGCTAAATAAAAAAGAACAAAAGAAAAAACTTTAATACGAAAAACTTTTGAACAAACTTGTTTTAAAATTAATTGATTATTTTTATCTTCTTTAAATGGCATCTAATTGAAAATAAATTTCCCCAGATAAATATCTTATAAAATAATATGACTTACAACTCCAGTTACAAATATATATAAAATAACTCCAATAGCCCATACATCTGCTTTTTTTGCATCATATGGAAGTCCAAGTAATATCTCTGGTGATACATATGCACGTGAACCACAATATGTTTTACTTAGATATTCTTTACATTTAAGTACATCTTTTGAAAAACCAAAATCACATAATTTCATATTATCTAAATATCGAAAATATATTATCGAATCATCTTGTAATCTTCCTACCATTGATATCAAGTAAAAGATTTTCTAATTTTAAATCACGATGTACAACTTCAAGTTCATGAAGATATTTAACTGCATCACATAACTGAGCAGACCATAATATTCTTTTTTGTTCAGGTATAGCACCGACTCGTTGAACATACGTTAAAAGATCACCTTGTGAAGCAAATTCAAGTATCTAATGAACAACAAAAAACAGATGAAATGATCTAATATCTTTGAAATAAATTTACCATAAAAATTTTTCCACATTCAATAAAATGATCATACATTTTAATAATATTTACATGATTAACACGTGACCAAATATCTAATTCACGTGGTAAAAATTTTTCTTGAAAATCTTTCGAAGCTCGTTGTGTATCGATTACCTAGAAAATACCTGTTTTGTAGAAAAGAAAAGAAAAATAATTTTTCGATTTACTTTAATAGCAACTTGATGTTGATGACATATATCAAAACCTTCACGTACAGATGAAAATGAACCTTCACCTAATTTTTTTCGAAGAAAAATTTTTCTTTGAGCAAGTAATGCACGTTCAGTTGATTGTCGATATTGACGAATAATTCCACTTTGATCAATATATGATTTCATTTCTGTTTCTTGAGAATATTTATATAATTTTGTTAAATTATTATTTGTTATAGATGATGTTGAAATTGGATTCGAAGGAAGAACAGTTGAAGATTTTTCTTCAGTATTTATTGTTGGTAATGGAGTTGATAATCGCATAGAAGTAGCAAGTGCCATAGGATTAAAATTGATTTGTTTAATTGATGGAAGATATAGAAAACGACGAAACCACTTGATAAAACTAAATTGTTGTTGTTGTGAACATGAAGATAATGATGATGTATTTAGTTGATTGTATTCAAAAATATCTTCATGATAAAGTTTTATAATTGTACACGGTGTTAAAGTAATTACAGATGGTGAATTTTCTATTACCATAGACAATGTCGAAAATACGACATGATTGGTAAAATATATAAATTCGAATGAATGAATAAATAAAATAATCTTGTTGATTTGGAAACTTGAATTTTTTTTCGTTAGTCAAATTTTTGGCGCGTCATTTTCTTATATACATAAATATAAACTTATTGATTTAATATTGAAAACAATGTTATATATTCAATTGTTAAGCTAGTTTTTTATAACAATAGTCAGTATACGAAGAGAAACATAATGAATAGTTAATAAGCTAGTATCGTTGTAAATCAAACAGATGATTGATCATATGTTCGCGCACATAATACATATGTGATTAACAGATATCATTATCTATTATTAAAAGTTTGTTAACTTATACTTTTTATCACTATTTCGTATATATTCTAGTTAAAATGCACTTAATATATCTAACCAAGACTGTTTCAGCTGGAATAAATATATATCGACTACATTGTTACATTCATCATATTATTCTGATCAACACATATTTTGTTATACATAGTATTAAGAAATCATAACATGCGAGAATAATATTAGGCTGGCAACAAAGTTCTTGTGTTATTTTTTGAAAACTTTCTAAAACATTCGAGAAAGTTCTAGAAGTTTCCATATTAATGGTATGTAAAGGAAATATGAATATCTTTCGAATGATAATAAAGCTATCGAATATGAACGGTGATTATGTATTCATAAATTCCGTCTGAGTTACAAAGCAACGGAAGAAGACAAACATATATTCAGCACGATGGGCGGGGATATACTCTCTATCCGTACGGCACAACATTGGTTTAATAGCTTTAAGAAGGGTAACTTAGAACTCGGCGATTTACAGCGCTCCGAAAGGCCACTAGAAGAGGATCTTTTAAAGCAGCTTATTGAAGAAGATCCTCGGTTAACTTCACAATGTTTAGCAGAATAATTTGGATGCTCTGATAATGAAGTGGAAAAACATCTGAACGAATTAGGCAATACATGGAGATATGGGATTTGGATACCTCATAAATTATCATCACATCAGCTTCAGTAAATAATTGATGCTTGCATGAATCTAATAATATCTCACCGCAACTACCAATGGCTTCGCAATCTTATTACTGGCGATGAAAAGTAGGTGTTGTACACTAACTACACACACAGGCGAAGCAATGCCGAAGATTAATCCATATTCCAAGAAAGTGAGTGAGCGTTTGGTGTGAATCAATGAAATTATTTATTGAGAAAATCTTCCAAATGGTTACACCATCACCATCACCGCCTATCTCTACTGTCAGCAACTGGATCGGGTTGCCGAAAAACTGAAGGGAAAGCACAATTGAATTTACTATTTGCATGATAACGCGAGATCTCATGTTGTGAAATCGACGCGTGAAAAATTATTGAAGCTCGGATGGATTATCGTTACTCATCCACCTTATCCTCTAGACTTAGTTTCAACAGGCTACCATTTATTTCGTTCTCCTGCTAAATATCTACGTGAGAACAAGTTCGATGATGAGAACAACGTCAAAATGGAACTAATCAATTCCTTTGATCAAAAGTTTCAGGACTTCTACGAACGTGGGATCCGATCTCTGATAGAGCGTCGGCGACAAGCTATATATAGTAGTGATGCATATATAACTGAAAGCTAGTTGTACTTTTGAAGTTGAATGATAAAAATAAAAATTTTGAAAAAAAACTCAAAAACTTTGTTGACAACCTAATAGATTCTATGGGTAATATATATGTTATCGATGCACATAATCATCGTATACAACTTTCGTCGGCTGATCATTCAGTAGAAATAACAATTGTTAACATTTTTGGAGTATTTGGTGCAAATTCTGGCTTACTATAGAATCTACACTGAGTAATATTTGACAATCAATTTAATCTAATTGTTTCTTTCTAATTCTTTCCTTATGTACGATGAAATAAAAAGGTTCGGAAACAATCACACCGATGTTTATTATTATACAGTTTTTTCAGAGGAAGTAACAAAATTATAAGTCGAACACATTTTAGCTTATACGATTTCTTTCATTTTAAACTAAGCTTCTACTTATTCACTGTTCGTATCATTTGGCTGCAGTACTAATCATAAATTACAACATAGCACCAATTTGACTTACAAAAAACAAAACAAAACTGTACCGCATGACTATCAATAGAAAGAATTTCTATTTTTAATTCAGAGCGAATAATCAGTTCACAAGTACGATTACAGAGCTGAACGCAATAGAAGATCTGCTTATTGCAAAGACCATTTTAACTACAAGATCTATTTCACCACATAGTGCAAAATCCGTAGCATAAAACCCTCGTAACATTCGATTTTTTAGTCAACAAAATGAATTAAGAGTGGTTGGGTGTGAGTGTTGATGAATGATTAACATCATTCCACCATCATCTATAGTCTCACTGTCACTCTCATCCACACCTAAATATCTTCCACTCTGACACTTAAAAGAGTACACATCGATAGTAAGACACGCGTATTAACTATATATGTCCCTTACGGGTCTGTGACCAAATAACCCTCATCAACAATAGCACATGTCACTATGTTGTATGACCACCCAGTATTTTATTAGTTCATACAGTAAGTCGGCTATTAGTTCAGCAACTAACTTCAACGGTGCTCCCTCTTAAATACTTACATAATTTCTAATGAATATAATCTATTAAAGTCTACACACAATTCAATGCAATAAAGCTAGAAATCAGTCTTAATGTGTGGGACTTACGTCTTCCCCCATTTGGCCTGGATCTTCCCGATGTACCCCTTTCTTCCCAAAGGTCAGAAGGAAGCGCTAGATAGAAAGTTAAGAGTCGGAATCAGAATAGTCCATCGATGTCCCTACGTGGCCGCTACAGACCTGCATACGTTCACCAAGGAGGCTTCCTTGGAGTTCTATGCAAAAAAATATATTAAGAAGCAACTATTGAAGGTAAATAAATCAGACCTTGGTCAATCCCCCTTCTAGAGGATATCTTCCAATGGGAAGCTTGGAAGAAAAGGAAGAACGATGGGGTTGGACATTTCTTCAGGTTGAAAAGAGTTACGAAAATGATGCAAAGACACGAGTCCTTGCTGATTAGGTGGATTTCCTTTGCGACCCCATAAAAACACTACTCAAACTTAAACCATCTCCTCTAATATCGGGGAGCAATCATATGGAACGTGAGTAAGACAGACACCCCACGAAATGGCTGTTGGCACACGGATACCTCTCCACTTTTCATCTCCTTTTTCTTCTACTCTTTTTTCTATTATTCTCCCCTTTTTTTCCTGTATTCGTCATATTTTGTCCCATTTATCCGTCCTCTTAATGTAAGCACTCCAGAGTGTAACATAATAAACGCTAAAACAAAAAATCAATCTGAATGTTATCATCACATAAGCAGGTAACACCACCACGATAGCCAACACCATGAGCAACAGAATGATAACATGTTTTACCACTACGGCTCTTGAAATGTTCGTAAAATTTATTATGGCGATAATGCTGTCTCTGATCTTCATTCCAATTCTCGGAATCCTGGACCCACTTCCAGCTGTCCGGATCAGTATAGTACCAGTCACGGCATTCCCCACATCGGGCGCAAGGACGACCTTCACAACGAAGTTGCTTATTAGTGTCAGTCGTAGCAAATTCTTGTTGTTCTAAGTGAAAATGATTATAATATTCAAAATAATTTTAAAGTATGAGTAGAATAATAGTGAAGATCAAACTTCTTTTAAGCCGTACTAATCTATAGGCACTCATTCATCTCGAATATAATGAAGATACATATAAAATATCAAGATCCACTTCTTTCTTATCATACAAAAAATTTCTTAAAGAAGTAATTAACATTTTTTTGCTGTTATATAATTTTATAACTGATATATTTTTGTTAGATTGAGTTCTTGATACGACATAATAATTCGAAGAAGTTTTTCATACATACTTTTTTTCTTTGGTTTGTTGCTCGATAGTGACAGACTAAAAGCAAAAGAAAAAAATTAGTTATCTTATCAATAAATTCAGTAAAATCGTTTTATTAAAACCTATCCACTTAGGACATAGTAAAAATAGTAGTGAAAGTCTCTCATTTTTTGATAGAAAGCTTGAAGAACTTTTATTTCCCCAATGTGATAATAGAGTGCGCAATGTTATATCTACCAGTGGCATCTAATCAATCTTCAACTAGCATCATAGTAATAAAAATCGATAATAATGAAAGAGAACTACGGTTGTCACAATTATAATAGAAGATGAAGGCACATCAAACCATATATTACAACTTTCTAAAGCGAGAATTCTCTAGTCTGCTAATCGATTTTGTAACTACAAAAACATCCATTTTTACATAAGAAAAAATTGTTTCCACGGAAATTCACATACAATTTACTTAGTGTCAATTAGAACACAAATAACTGCTAAATGATTACATTTAAACTTCTACAGTATGTTTAATAGTAGATTGCTTCCAGAAAGATCGGCTAAAAATCTGTTTTAGGAGCTCTGTAATGCAGAACTTAATGTATTTTCACCCTTCTCATTTCAGCAGAAAAGATCGCAGTTATTTATCTTGTTCCTATCATAAGTTTTCTAAAAACAAGTATTCTCCTACGTTTCTTTTAGCTGAAATAAATATACATGCATTTGATACATTTCATAATAAATAGGTCTTTACGAAAATTTTATTTTTACAATGTCAGTTAAAGAGTGACTAAGTAGCACTAAAAATTCAGTTTTATTTGCTCTATTACTACATGAGAAAAAAGAAAAGTTCTTTAAGGTTCTTATAAGAAAGTAGAACACCTTCACCGCTACTTTTAGTACGTACTAAGTATATAATATTCCTTTGACAACGGAATATCATGTTTTGCATCTTTATACGATGGATGATTCTAACTTTCATAAGCATTATAACAATCGATATCGATATTATCATATTAATTACTTCATATTTTTTTCAAATTCATATATATTCCGTTGCATGTCTAAACTTTAGCTTACTATATAAAAAGAGAGAATATAGTGAAATACATTTCCTATATATATATTATATAGGAATTTACGTAAAAAGAAAAACTCATGAATCTTCTCCACCTATTTATACTTCTATTAATATTAAATTTTAAATATCATTTTTGAAGTAAAAAAATGTTGATTTTCTATAATAGTTCTTTCGTTTTCAATGATTTTTATATTTCAACGTGGTCGTAGCATTTAGGTAGACATTTTCAGCATTATTTGTTCTTATTTTATCTAAAGAAAAATAGCAAAATTCATCGGTTTTATTCGATAAAAATATTATTGCCCTCGTAAATGTTGAGGTTTGAACGAAAAACTCGCAGTATATGATTCTTGAAACGATATTAGAAACGCAGTAGTTTTAAGTACAATTGAATCTATATGAAATTATAGATGTTTTAATATGATTACAAAATGAAACTCTAGACTAAAGCTACTCGCAAAGTATATTTCTGTGATGGAATCAAAAGCAACTACTCTACCTGCCCATCGGTGCGATAATTGATGTGGAATTGGCTGTAGTAGTTGTCGATATTTTTTGGGTATCCTTAATAGACTAGAATTAGTGATTTAATTTCACAGTGAAATAAGAAGAATATACTCACTTTTGATACAGATTCAAGAAGAGGATATAGTGGTTCAATTTCTTTAAGATGTATCATGTAAAGACCACCTGATTGATTAAGACATGCAACTACTTTAAATTGCCGACCAGGTGGAAGAAGAATTTCATCTTCACTTTTATATTGTGAATGTTGTTGAATATCTTTACCATTAATGCATTCAATAGTAAAAAAAGTTCTTGTGCCTCTTGAACCCAAGAATAGATCATTTTCCAAAACATCCATAGTTGCTGTACAGGAACTGAATCCCCACCAAATAACTGTTTCTCCTTTTGTATAATATTTGCGCATATCAGATTTAATACCACGAAAAACAGTACGTTGTAATGATGGAAGATGTGATAAAGCCGTGAGAACCAGTTTCAAGTAAAGAAACCATGGAGCTAATTTTTTTCGATTTTCACTACGAAGAGTTGCGTTTAAGACATAGTAGAGGCACTCTTCCTGTGGCTCCCATTCCATTGAATAGAGTATGATTGAAGCTGATTCGTCTTTTGAAAGATAATCAGCAGGTGGATTGCCACATTTCATTTTAGCCACGTATGCCATTCGCTTCACATCGGGCACAAACTGAACTAATGGTTCGACTGCATCTTCGAGTGACACAAGAGGTTTTTTTTCATAACCTTGAATGGGTAATAACATTTGACAAGGTTCTCCAGCAATGTCAGAAAAACGTTGGTTATGCTGTAAATCAGCATTGGAGAATTTTTTAGCCATTTTCCAAATCGAAGCTAATATGAATTCTACAAGAAAAAAATAATGAATTGATGATTTTTTCCGAAAAATATAGTATCAACCATTACGTAGAAATGATATTTCAAATGTATAACTACATAGGTAAAAGCATCACTAAGATAATCAAAATACATCACTTGTTTATTATCTGGTTAACAAGGATTTCTTTTTTATAATATATGATTTGATTCTATAAAAAATTTCTATACTTTTTCAAACATTAAAAAAGTGTTTGCTCTTCGATTGATAGAAAATGTAACGCATGTGCAGTTCATTAAAAAGTATTTTGTACTTTCCCTTAGCGAGGCTTCCGCTTCATAAAATAATACTTATGTCTATAGGCTCGACGCCTAAGAGAGAAGGTCCCTAACTGATCTACATATTTTTCATTGAGAATTTGTCCGCTTGTAGGAATATTATTGTACGAAAAAGGTTAAGAGAATTTGTGATGATACGCTTTCTTTCAAAATCTATGAATTCTTTTTTATTACTTTATGGAAGCAGTGACCGTATCACTAAAATCTGTGAAACACAGTGATCAAAGGATTTCAACGAATCAATTTTTTTGTCATTACATCTCTAATTCTCCACTATTTTCAACCAAATCTGCGTGCTTTTACTTTATATAGAATGACTAATTGAATTTTTACTCTTTACCTTCAGTAAAAAAAGAATATTTTTAAGCAGAACTCTTTTTGTACGTCTTAAAGAGTACTCTACCTGATATACGCTGTTGATGTAAAGTCGAGTTTGTTGAAGTTATACGTCGATAATATTAGTTGTTTTTATTTATAGGTGAGTTTTGTTCTGTCATTTTTCCCAGCGAAGAAGTGTCATCGTTTGTTGATATCATTGTGGGAGTAGGTTTTGCGTGGCTTCTATTAACGTTGTTACGATAAGAAAAGATCGTGCAATAGTAAAGACTTGTTTGCTTACGCCGTAAAATGAATCCAAAAAAACACATTTACAGAGTGAGGGTTGCTTAGAGTGTGAGTGTAAACTTTAGATGATATTCACACTCTTAAGATGTATTGCTCAATTATACTCATGTTTCTTACTTGATCTGGATCTGATACGTAGAAGATATACGATCAAATATATATAAGTAACCATAAAATACTTGTATTTTAATAGAAAAATTACATATATATAAGCATTCGATTTGAAAATAGTTATTAAAATAATTTTTTTCTTTTCTTTTAATTTTACTTCGAGTCAGATTTAAACGAATTTGTATTATAAATAATCATTAAAAATATACTTATCTCTAAAAAGAACTAAACTCAAAGTTGGAATTAAACTTCGTAAGTTTAGCAAAAGCTTCATTTTCTAAGAACATCACATGCTTGAAACACTACCTATCAATTTGATAGATTTTCACTACTCTAATCACTCGTAAGGTATTACGATAAGGCATATAATAATTGTCATGCAATACAAATTATAATTTGTGATATTATTTTAATTTATTTTCAAAGATCAGGACCTTTATTTTTATGATTTTTATCATTAATATATAAAAGAGCAAAAATACAATTCAAACGCTACTAATTTATTTTGTACAAAAGCAAAGTGAATTCAGAGCGGGTAAATATATATGAGCAATTGTTTTGCGATCGGATTATTTTTAAGCAAAAAAAATAAGAAAGATAAGAAAAAATATAATTAATACTGCAAATACTTTAATAATAAGCCATCGACTAGATTTCATCGAATCATAATATCCACTTAATTCTCTATGTGCATCTTCCACACGGTTCGTAGCTTGGTTAACATTTATATCAATTCTAAATATATGCAAAAATTTGAAAAAAGTGAATATTATGTTAGAAATCAAAAACTTTAGTATATTTTACTTCTCAATCGACTCTTTCTGTTCTTGTATTATAGTAGCTAATTGAGTAAGACTATCGCCAACTTCAACGATTGTTTGCTCGATGCGTTGCATTGTTTGCAAACGATATTCCATATCCTATATTATTTAAAAGATGATTTTATAAACATTTTAAACAATCATACCGTTTCATCTATTTTTTGGAATTGTTGTTTCAATGGCGAATGAAACCTTTGTTCAGAACCCATACTAATAATAGTAGCATCTTCATGTGTAGCATGATTATCATCACGAAAAAGTATCGAGGATTGATCTAAGAAATTATAATTATAGAAAGAATTATTTTTATTTTTTAGGATTTTACTTGTTTTATTATTGGTAACTGATGAAGGGGCAGTCAATGATAATGCAACTGTACTTCGTGAAAAATTATCTCGACGTGTTTTTTGTTTTTTCATATTCTAAATCAATCAAAATATTATTTCTTTAATATGACTTGAAAATTACTTGAATTTGAGCATCACGAATTGCTTTAAAACCATTCGACATTGTCGTTATTTTCGACTAGAAAAATCGAGATATTCTCTACGTTCAAGAACAAAATAGATATTTATATACTCGTAAAGTAGAAACAACTAAAGTGTTATGTGTCTTTGAATCTTCTGATTTGAACTGAGCAGTATTTTCAATGTACTTTAAATAGATAATTATACAAAAAACACATAAATTATTAGGAATTAAAAATAAATACTTGTTGAAGCAGTCCAATATGTAGATTTGAATTAGTAATATCCTGGTTTATTGACTGTGTCAAGTCATCAATTTCCATTGTTTTATCATTGAATAATGACGATTGCTTTGTGACTAGAGATAAAATGATATGAAAACAATTGATCTTTTAGAAAATAGTAAACGAACTTATTGCTAATTGTTCTAATTTTAAAAGTATTTGTGAGAGATCTTCACCGACTTTCTTTACACTTTGCATGAAAACAACATGTTGCTTTATAACTGATTGAGGCTGTTGACGGCAATTGATCGAAGTATTAGGAGAACAATAAAAAGCATCCTAAAATTCGAAATGAATCAATCGTTTGATATGAAGAATTCTATTTTGCATCAATTCAATAAAATTGAGATTTTCTTTTAGGCCAGACTGTTGGCTTGTTTTCTGCCATTGATTCACATACGTATTTGTCTAATACATCAGTAAAAATACTCGATTGTTTTATCGTTACAATTCTCATTTTTATTATACTACGGATAGAGTTGCAATTTGATGTCAAACTCTGCACAAAACTTATATTCATTGTTTGACTATTTCGTCTATTCAACAATGAAAGGATAGAGATTTCAATGATATTTACTTACTCTTCTACTAATAATTTGTATCACAGTTTTTTCAAATTCATCCGTACGATCACGCGTGTTTAACATAATGTTCAATAGGAAAAACGATCACGACGATACTGGTAATGAATATTATTATTTAGAATTTATTCAGGAAGTGGATTACGAGTTATGATGATATATTTCTTATTGCATACAATCCAATAAATGTTACTAATCGATATAAGAAAAATACGAGAACTCATGATTTATAAACGTGAACTTCGACCACTTGACGACGTGTCATATTTCCGACATCAAATGACTCAGACTATTTCAAAATTTTCGTTATTTCACAACGATTTATTCATAAAAACAATCATCATAAAATTCATTTTCTTTTAAAAAACAATTTTTATCAACGTAACTATTAATAAACCATAGTCTACATTCTGATCAATAGATATTTAAAGTTTTAATCTTTTTTAATAATAATCCTATTATTCCATACATTTTTATGGTTATATTATATTTAATATAAAACTATTATTCATTAGAATAATTTTTCATAAATATCTTTCTGTAAAAAGCACAATTAAATTAAATTGATTTTATATATAAATATATAATTGGCTTGTAGAACTTCAAATGTTTTCTTTTATAGATGTCGTAAAAGAAAAGAATACGCAAAATTTCATTCGATAAAGATAAAGATATAGCAAACGTAGTAATAAAAAAACTCTTTTCATTTTCAGTTGCTAGGTTTCAATCATAATTTTTACATTGAAAAATGTCGCAGGATACAATTGTTTCATTTGATGAAAACATACTTCAATTACCTTCATGTTTAGCAATTCATACTCAACTTCGTCCCAGTTTAAATCGTTTCGAATTAAAAGATTATGTCGATCACATGCAAAAATTATGTCAAACAAATCAATCGCATATATGTGGAATTATAAGAAAAACTCAATCAGAAACAATTGTTTTAGCATTAGCATTTTATCGAATACATCCAACAACATATGATACAATACGTTTTGAAGTTCATGATTTAGTTGTTGATGAAAAAGAACGAAATCATGGTTTAGGTACACAACTTTTTCAATATTTAATTAAACAATCGAAAGAATGTGGAGCACCGTCATTAGTTTTACAATGTGATTTAACAAATACAAAAGCACATGGGTTCTTTTTTCGACATAATTTAGCAATAAGTTCATTTGGATTTGCTGTAAAAACGATGAATTTATTAGAAAATCCTAGTCATATAAAAGTTATGGATATAACAGATTCATCCGATAATAAACAATTATTAATTCAAGCTCAAGATGTTTTTCTACAACTTCGACCAAATTTATCTAGTGATCAAAATACATATATTGGTCAAATTCATCATATTTGTCAAACTGGTCCAGCTCGTATAATAGTTGCAATAAGTAATGATGAAAAAAAAGATATATTAGGTTTAGCTGTTTATCGTATATCAAATAATATCAAATATTCTAAACATATCTATTGTGATGATTTAATAACGGATGAAAATAAACGAAGTTTAGGTGTTGGCCAATCTCTTATTAATTTTATGAAAAATGAAGCAACAAAATTAGGATTAAGTCTTATAGCATTGGATAGTGGTTGTCAACGTGGACGAGCACATAAATTTTATCATCGTCAAGGCTTTCATATTGATCAATTTGAATTTACACTATTTTATTAAAAGCAATAAAACATAATTACCCAGATCTATTTTAGTTTACCCTTCTTTTTTAAAAAGAAATAAAATATGATTTTTGATTATTTTTCTTGTAGATGAAAACAGCACGAAGTCGTGATTCTACATCTCTTAATATCAGTATTGATGAACCAATATGTCCCGTATCATTTCGACCACATATAACTGAACGTTTAACTGGACTTGATCATCCGAAAACTTCACTCGATCATGAAATATTACATACACTCAGAGAATCATTTGATGATCGTTCAACACCAATAAGTGGACCAGTAAGTTCTTCTAGTCTTGATTATGCACTATGGTTAGAAGCTGGTAAACATTCACATAAATCAACATATGCTAAAAGTCTTGATGGTAAACCACCAATTAATTATAATATATGGAGAAATTATCATCATTATTATTCAAATGTTAAAAATAAAGTTTCACGTCGTTCAAGTGCTCAAACAAAATATAATGATCATGCAGCATATAAATATCCAATTTTAATTCCAGCACCATCACAACTTGGTGAAAATCATTTAAGAAAATATTTTGAAGCAAATAAAAGAGAACTTTTTCAAAATCAATCTCATTTTCGTATGGCACTTATTAAAGCAGATAATGATGAAAGATTATTACGATTGTTAAGTCTTAAAAGTCAGCAACGAAATCCACCTATGCCGTCAGGTAAATATTGTATTTTTTTATCTGAATAAAATCTATATATTGAATTTATCTTCATAGATATTGATGAACCTTCTCAATCTTCGGATATCTCACCTGTTCGTAAATCAACAGCAGTCTCAATTTCTCGTAATCGACAATCTTCAATACAAATTTCTCCACAACCAGTACCACGATATCAATATGATAGTCGAAAAAAATTGGTTCTAGCAGAAAATCATCCATTAATGGAAAAAGTAAAATTTGAACAAGAACTTAAAACAGCGATTAATTTTCATCGAGAACTTAAACGTACAAAAGAAGGCAGTGAAAAAAGTTTATATGCTGATCATCGACCGGTTTAATATAAACGATAAAAATGATAAACAATGGTTTTAATTTATTTTTGCATTTGTAGTTATCATGATTGTTTGATATTTTTTATATTTATATATTACAAAGACAATGAATCTTTATTTTTTCAGATTATCTAAAAAAATAATATATCGAAACAAATCTCATGACTACTGCAACACTTTCAAATAAATTAAATGAAACAACAGGTTATATAGTTCGACCAAATTTTGAAGAAAAATTTCGTTCAACAAAAGTACAAGAAATTATTTATTCGTGTATTAGTGATATTCTTGGTGATAAAAAATTTGAACAAGAATCATGTCCGGAATGGACAAAAACTAGTAAGTTTTACTTATGCAAAAATGTCTGCATAAATAATGAGATTTAAATATCAATTGAAGTATATACTTCGAAAGAAACGTTCTTTACTATTCATTGTCATTTTTAAATGAAGTTCAAGCAGTGACATAAGTATTCTTCTTCACAGAAAGTCATTATTTTGTTAGGATAATTAACGGTACTATTCAGATTAATTACAAGGATTTTTATAGTCAATCAAAATATATTTTAAGCCATTAAGATCAAATCATTACATCATCTAATAAATCACAAGAAGTTGTACATGCTTTCATAGTTCAATATTATTTGTTCGAATAAAATTCTCTCGAGAGGATTATATTGTATTCTTTAGAATCTTGATATGAAAAAAAAGGTAATTTTAATTGACACTTTCGTAGTGTCTACTTTATAGGCTAAGTAAAAATATACAAACGATAAAAATAGGCCTATTATAACGAAGCCATTCATCATACGAAAATACTCATAGGAAAAAAAAATGAAAAATGAGAATTAGCTTATCAAGGTGTTCCTTTCAAATAAAATCGATCAACATGATTAAATAAATTTTCACATTTCCAACAAATATGATTTTATAAATATAATCTTAAATTGAATACACACAAAAGCATATTTGTTATTCTCATTTTCTAGACTTGAGACTGAAATACATTCTAATTCATAGCATATACAATGAACTAGTAACTTTATATGAGAAATTGATCAATACTTGAGTTATTGTTCATTTTTAATATGAACTTTTGAGAATAATAATAATGTTTGTATTCATTCAACAATTATTCTTTATTTACAATAGTTACAATCGATATTCGTGATCGTCTTAAAGCAGCAAATATGAAACTTGATCGATACAAATTTATTGTTCAATGTATTATTGGAGAAAATAAAGGTCAAGGTGTTAGATATGGTTGTCGATGTTTATGGGATTCAGATACAGATGGAATGGCTGAATGTGTCTATTTAAATGAAACTATATTTTGTGCTGTAGCTGCATTTGGAATTTTTTATTATTAATCTTTATGATATATATATATATATATATGCGTATTCATTACTCCGTCCATATAATTGTTTGTTTGTTTTTTATTGAATAAAATAAATAATTACGTACATTGAAATCAAAAGTTATATGAATATATTTAATAGAATTAAACTTATTTATAAGATTTATCGATAAAGGTTAATCGTATAAAAATAGAGAAGAAAGAAAAGATCTACGTGCTCAATTTTATTAGAAGTAATTTTGTTTTGCAATCTCATACTAATAAAGTTTGAAAGAAATAGTGAGAAAGAGAGAATAGAGTAATCTGTCATGAATTTTATTTTTCTTCTTCTGTTCTGTCTCTTTCATTTGCACACATATAATGAAAAAGGATATCAATATCAAATAAAAACCGACAAAATTGGAAGAAACGAAAGAAAAAAAAGTCGATAGAGAGATTGTAATGCACATAAATAATGCCAATTTCTCTCTTTCTCTTGCATATTTATATAATCTGATAAGAACATAAGTGGTAGGTAAGAGGAGGTCTCGAGATTCGTATAAAGTAAAGTGGCGGATAGAAAAAGAGGAAATTCAATAGGTAGAAAAGAGAGAAAAAAAAATTGTTGATTGCAGCTGTTCGTCTTTTTCAAATTACTCTCTCTCTCCCTCTGTCGTTGATCATCTCTCGGTCGGATTACTTTTTCTGCTATTACTACTTGCACAATTTAAGCACGTAGGCAAGTGTGTACATCAAAGCAATGTGACTGGTAAAAAGGAAGAAATAAAACATTTAACTAGTATATATAACAAAAAAAAACCTAAGTTAATAGGCAGCATAAGTGAATGGTGTTCAAGTTGTGTAGTTAAATAATATTATAGACTCAGGTAAAAATATATTATATGGCATTTCTCTGCATCATAGGAAGAAGACACAGATGTCAACAAAAAAAATCAACTTTAATAAACCATGCAAATAGAAATTTATCGTGTACACACAGCTGACTTAATTTCGACTGAGTCAATCAAAATCACCCTATGGTGATGATAATAAAATTGCATATATATATACATACACTAAGCTCTCTCACAATGATAATAAAAATGGGGCGATGTAATGTTAGCGATATAACCCTCTTTGTTATGAGAAGTATAGGGCGGAGAGAGAGAGAGACAGAGAGAAAGAGATATTACGCGAATTGCCATAAAAAAGAATTGAAAGACTGCTTTAGTTTGCATAGTCTCCTTCTCTTGCTCTCTTTCTATTTCTCTCTTTTTCGTACCTCTATAATTTTCGTTCTACAGTTTGATGAAGAAGACGAACGCGAATAGAAGTCTGAATTTAATTGCATTTTTTTGTTATAGTATAAGTGACAAATTTTATTCAATACTATGTAAAGATATTTTGTTCATATCAATCTATCGACTAAACAGCAATTAATTCCATACTAACATAATCTAAAAATTGTAAGTTAAAATATGATAAAATAAAAGATAAAAACAAATCTTAACGTTCGATTGCTCGTGCCAGGCAGTGTTTTTGCACGTGACTAATAAAAAACTGTAAATGCATTGGTCTGGTACGAATTATCCAAACGATTTCATCATTATAATATATTCATTAAATATTTTTACTATTTTGTTTTGATAAATAACCAATATACAATTTTTTCCTTGCGTTTAGATCAGTTACGTTTATAAAATGATACAAATCATTCACATATTGTCTATTTATTGAAGAAATAAAGATGAAAAGAGAATTGGCGCTAGTTATAAATGGGTAGTGTCTGTATTCGTAAGACAAATGTTCTTCAAACTTCATTAAATAGTTACAAACAATCAGTTATTGATAATGAAATATATCAAAATTCAAATCTAATTCAATACGATGATATTTTTAATCAAAATAATTCAATAAATGTCAATGATCAACAACTATGGGCAGATACAAATAGTGAAGATAGAAAATGGCATGACGATTTAATCTATTCATAATAAAACTTTTGAAATAAAATTTACTTTTTGTCTCTTTTCATATCAAAATCAAATCAATAATTCTAGTAAAATATAATAAATATGTCGACAATTTTTATGAGGATATCAGACATGTCTTATTCCTCTTTTTCTTATCAAAAAATAAATACTGATAACATTCTATTACAAATCTATCAATATTCTTCATAGAAATAGATTGATATTTAAGCAATCGTTAAATCATCAGAGTAACAAAGTATAATTGTTAGACAATTTTCATTATCTGATCGCCATCCATGTTTATCATGAAATAATTCTTCATTTGGTATACCATTTTCAGTTAAAGTTTTATTGAAATCAAGTATTTGTTGATTATATCGCCATATATAAGAAAATATATGTGAATTATATTTTAAAAACTTTATTGCAATTTGTCCGATTGTTTCTTCTTCAGCTATTTCTAATATAAATGGATGATCAGGAGAAAAATTATGTATAAGACGAATATATCGAGGATATTCCGTAAGTCGACCAATAAATAAATCTTTTGTTTGCCAAAAAGGTATACCGAATGATTCAAGTATTGATAGATTTTCAATCACAGAAACAGATTCAAATGTTTGCGGATGTATTCGTCTACGTGGTTCATGTGTTATTTCATCAAATAAGAAACTTATATCTTGGCCACCATAACTAATCAATTGTTGATATAACTTAGTGCCTTGAGCTTTTCTTATAAGTGATGTAATATCATATATATGACCAAATATGCAAATCCATGCATCATTTGAATCATTATGTCGAGTTAATTCATTGAATGTATAAAAAGGCAATAAACTTTCAGCTTGTTCTTGTAAAGTATTATTCACATTAGGACGACAATATTTTGGAATGTCAAGAGTCGATTTATTTAAGATTGAAGATGAAGATTTTTGTTCTTTTTCTCCATCTTCAGTAATGTTTATCGTATGATTAAATATAAACTATAAATTGATAGAATAAATTGATTTGTATAATAATACAAATTCTTGTACCTGTTTTTTAGGAGTTGGCTGTGATGAATTATTGACTAAAATTTTTAAAATAGAAACGTTATTTATAAGAATTATTATACTTTTTTTTATTTGATATTTCTTTTTCTGTTGATTGGAACTATCGATTTCAGGCAATAAAAATCGAGCTTTTTTATCATAATCATCAAATGTTTTATCTTGCATCCCTTTGTTGAATTCTAAAAAAAATACAACTTTGAACAATATTTTACTTGAAAAATATAATTACTTTGATCTTCTTGAAATTTATTTAATATTTCAGAAGCATTTATCAAAATTTAAGCGCCTAATCTATTTGTTTTGAATAAGCGATTTAATAAACTATATGTGTTCAATGATCAAAGTAGTTCTATATTAGATATATAGTCTGTACTACTATTAAAAAATCTAGATCGTTTTTCGTGCCAATTTGGATACAGCAAAGATCTAAAATTGCGAGTATCTATATGTTGTTTGATGATATTAGATACACAATAGATTAATTGCTCACTTGTCTTACTATGATAGTATGTAGTATATCTCGCAAACATTTCAATTTTTCATGCTCATTTTGAGTAAGTAAGAGAAAGTAGATGGTACACGAGTCGAATTTGTATGCAAAAATGCGGTGCAAAGCCTTTTCAATTATCACAAAATTTTACTCAAAAGTAGTTTTATTTATTAGAATGGTATTGATGTAATAGGCTTTTTACGAAGTGGGTCTATTTCTGTTTATAGAATTTATTCATTCATTACACTATATTCTCTATTGGATAGTGAAATTTTTGTTATCATTTTGATTCTATTTATCTAGAAAAACAATAGCATGAATGTTGCTTCCGACACCCTTGCTTTTGCCGGCATGTATAATCCGAATAGTTTAGAAAGTTGATGTTGATATCGATGAAAGTGTACGAATGATGACGTAGTAAATGTGGGTGAGTGTGGGTGAGGATGATAGAGAAGAAGAGACACTCACAGCCACGCTCTTAAGGCAATGGAAATTTTATTTTTCATATTGTTTTAAAAGATCATTAGAGAAATCGATTGTAGATAAATAGAAATAGAAATATAATCGAATTATATGTCATCATTCCAGTACTTGTTTGGACACTAGTACCACCACTTGTCGTATTGGAAATAGTAGATTGAAATAATATTGAATCATTATTAATTGATAGAGGTACTGTTGAAGTAAAAATGATAGATTCAGTTGATCTTGCATCCCTATCATTTGGCCTAGATTCTGTTATAAAGAGACCATCAGATAAATATTCCGTCGAAGTTGTCGATTGAATCGTAGTTGACAATGTGGAGAAGACACCATTCTCTAAAATATTTGTAGGCTTCATCGAAGACTGCATGTTAAAAATTCCGTCATTTGCTGTCATTGTTGATATGATTACAGATTTCGTTGTCGTTGTCGTCGTTTTTTGTACTGTTGTTTTTTTAGGGGGTAAAGCAGTTCGTATAGCGTACATTTCATACAAGGAAAGAATATTATTCAATTTCAAGAGATTGCTGGCACTATTACATTTGTTATAGTCACATATAAGCACAACTGATTGATTTTCTTGATGGGTAATAGTATCAGTTGTAGTAATCAGGTGTAGATAGCGCTGCGATAAGCTCGTATTTGAACTAATTATGTGTTGAAAGTCATGGTCTTGGCTTGAACGAACCGTCATACATCGGCTATTGCGATTGCATTTTTTAGTAGTATTTGTCGTATCAAAGCACGATTCTGTAACAAACAATGAATATTTTATGAAAGAAAAACAACTAAAACTAACATTGCTGATAACACTTATTTGTTATAAAAAATTCTCTAGTTTAAGTTTCATGTGAGATCTTTTCCATTGTTTCAAATAAAAATGAAAAAAATCAGTAGTAGATTTATTCTTTTTGTAGATGAACGTGTTTAATTGCTTGAATCTCATTTATTTCACTGGGAAGGAAAGGGAAAGGAGTGCGTGTAACTATGTATATTATCTTTATCTTTCATCGACAGGTACATTCTGAAGCTCTTCAGACGCAGTCTATTACGATAAAATATTTGTTTCATTTTCAACAAAAACTAGGCGATAATATAAATGAGACAATGAATTATGAATGTGTTCATTTTATAAATGTTCTTTGATCTTGTAGTTTCATGTATGCAAAAAACACAACATGGATTTATTATTAACTACTTTTATATTAAAATTTAAAGAAAATCTATTATATATGTTGATATACATAAAAACTTACTTAACAGTTCATTTGGATTTGCAAGCAATGGTTTGATATTTTCACGAAGATATTCAAGAGGCATTTCTAAAAACCATTGTATATATCGAAAAACAAATTGTTTCTCACAACCACCTCTTTCAGAACAGGCATATTCAACCTTGACTATGAGCGATGATTTTAGCATATCTGGCATCGTTACAATAAATTCCAACCGAGCTTCATTGTCAGACAAATCGCTTTGTGTCAGTAAATTATTGAAAATAAAGTATAAACCTTGAGGTTCGTCAGATATGTAAAACTGAATGCGGCACAAGGCACCATCAGCAAGTTCGACAGATTCGAGGTTTTTCAATATGTTAATCACTTGAAGATGATCAAATTGAGATCCTGATATTTTGTATGGTTCTTTATTAGTAATACATGAGAGACCACAACTGATCGAACTAGTAATTAATATGGTAAATCCGATAAAAACAATCATTGCTGGAAAAGTAAAACGTTTGACAGCATTAGTTGATTTTTAGAAAAACAGTATGATCGATCATATTATATTTGTAATAAAAAAGATAAAAAGAAACTCGTTGACAGATGTTTGATACAATGCAACTGTCAAATGAACAATTATTTAATTAAATCACTTGATGAAAATACAATATGTCATTGTCAAGTCTTGTTTTTGATTTTTTTTAATTAAGTGTAAAAATATTACAGAGTATGATGAAATACATGTAAGCCTGGATGTTGACTGCTGATCAAATCTAAATAATAAAATAATAGAATACAGCATTCAATTAACTATACGAAACACTAAGATAAAATTATTGCATAATTTAAATAGAATTAGAAAGAAAAGAAAATATATCTTAGTGTATAAAGGGAAAGACCTCAAATAAAAACAAAAGGTGTGTATGGGTGCGAGTGTGAGTGGATTATCAGATAATAGACATCTACACCCAAGATAAATTTTATAAATATATTCTTAATAATGAACAAACATTTGGTTATCAATCAATTAGGGTGTGGGTGCGGGTGGGGGCGTGGGTGCGAGTGTGGATGAGGATAAGGCATGGAGTGGCAAATATCAAACTAATACAAATTTTGAATTCCACAAGTCAAAATTTTAAAAATTTTAATTTTTGAAATTTTCAGTTTCTGAAAATTTTGAAAATTTGAAAATTCTTCTATATGGTGATCGCATTGATTAGGAGAGAAGCAGAAATCAGAAGTTTACTTTTTGAAATTTTAAATTTTAAATTTTTTCCATAATATAGGGAGATATTTCTAACCTCAACGTAGTGACCTTATTAGTTAGGAAAGAAGCAGAAATCAGAAGTTTACTTTTTGTATTTTAAAATTTTAAAATTCAAAAGGTAAACTTCTGATTTCTACTTTGCTTCTAACCATGAGGTCCCTATATACAAGATAGAAATACCTGAATATTACAGAAGAACTTTAAAATTTTAAAATTCAAAAAGTAAACTTCTGATTTCTACTTTGCTTCTAACCATTGGGGTCCCTATATAGAGGATATAAATATCTCAGTATTATAGAAGAGTTTTAAAATTTTAAAATTTTGAAGTTTAAGAAGTAAACTTCTGATTTCTGAGTGACTTGTAATGAGGTAGTGTCATAAATTTCTGGTAAAAATCAGAAATCAGAAGTAGAAGTTTATTCAAAATCGGTTTCATTTTGAGATTTGCCACGCCCTCGGATAAGGGTGAGGGTGCAGGTGTCGATGTTGTATTCTTCTTCTATCAGCACTCACACTCACATCCTCATCTTCACTCTTTTCTTCCACTCATTGTATATAAGAGTATATCCTCTATTCGACGTACTTAGAACACTATGAGTTTTAGTTAAATTACAGCGTCATCGATGTTTTAGATACGCTTCATTCGAAAACCGCTTAGTTAAGCATAAGGGACATTTTTCAATTCCGGACCAATCTATAGAAGACATTTTTTTCAAGGTCATTTAGTCAGAGGATATTTTCTGAAGTACAAAAATTTAAAGAACATTTTTTACGAGGACTAAAAATTGGGGACATTTCATTAAGGACATTTCATAAGGGACATTCCTGACATAATTCATTAATAATATATTTGAATTTGAAGCATTCAGAAAACATATTAAAGAATAGATATCTAAAAATGATAGTTTTGAATATTACTAAACAAGAGAATACATAAACATAGGTATTTAAAATTGAATTTCATTGTTCTGATTACACTATACATGACTTTAATTAGAATGCTCGCTTTATGTGGCACATCATACGCATGTGAAATAATGAAAAAGAAATTTTTTAAAAACCAATGTCATCGTCAATGCTATTTTGCGTTTTCTCATTCAACGTTATGCATCCAGATGTCAGAATTCGTACACGCTGTTGTTATTCTGATAGATCAATTTATTTATTATTTAATAAATTTTCTACTTCGATTAAACTATTATCATGATCACGACAAGATTTACGTTAAGTTCTTGTTGAAAGATGTGGATGAGAGTGCCGGTGTGAGTTGGTCTTGTTCGTCTATACACACACACACACTATCTTACCAATTCTTATTTTAGGAAGCAAATACATTTAGAAATCAAAGAACTTCAAAGTAAGTCCGCTACGAAATTCTCTACATAAGAAACTTCAAAAGATCTTTTTTATGTTCCGGAACACACCTTTTTATAGAGTGCACAATACACCTAAGCAAAGTCTACGGTTAATACATATATTTTATTATAGTAAATTGCCGCTTGAATTATATTATAACACGAGTTAGACAGTTACTCTACATAAAGTTTTTAGTCTGCAAGCGAATCTTTCAAATTCGAACGAAGTCGTTTGTTGCTCGTCGTTGAACAGACCAAATCGGATGACGTACATAATTTACTGCACCTGCACATGTTCGTTGTCGGCAGGATGCTTGCTAGACAAGAAAAATGAGTTTAGTTCGAATACGAGTAGTACACTTACGTTTCAGATAGAGAAAATTGAATTTTGCAATGATCTTTTCATCCTGCTTAGCAACGATTGAGACCGTTCGATCTTGTCCATTTGGGTCCATCAAACATGGCGGTGTCCGAAAGGTAATCGTCTTCATATCAATCAGTTCGTATTGAATATTCTTTTTCTGGTTCAATTCCGCATAATCAAAATATATGCAAAGTGCTTAAAGAAAAACAGAAAAAAATATTGAACAAAAATGAAAACAGAAATTACAGTTTCTTCGATTCAGTTTATTAAACACCATCATAACCGTCTCACCACCTGTCCAGTCACCCTTTTTTGGTGCACATGTGCCCCCTTTTTCATCATGATTGCTGGGCGTGACGACTGAAACAGCAGTATCTTCATTGGAAAAGAAAAATAGAAAATATCAATGCTATAAAAACAGCTGTTTTTATACACTTACTATGTTGTCGATTGGTTTCGTCGGACATTACCTGTGATGATACCGAAGAGTCAGTGAATAGATTAAATACACCATTGCCGACGTGTTCAGCTAGAGAAAAAACAAGTTGCGATTTCCACAATTTATACGTTTCAATCAGCTGTTTGCTGCGAGATTTCTTCACGATACCAAGAATATGTCTTTGATCTTTCAAATGAAAAGAAAAAGTAGTTTTGTTAAAATTATTATTCTCTTACCAGAGCCAAAAATTCGCAGAGGACCATGTAATTTCAGTGCACTTTGTACCAATTTTTTGCGCGTAAGGAACAAACTGAAGAATAAATCAAAATAGCAAAATAATGAAGTACTTGTGTTAGTTTTTAGTACCTTTTTCGGCCGTTCGTAAAATCGACGTTTGTGATCGGAAAGTATACGGCATTGTTAGCAGAATCTTTCTGAACGTTAAGATCATCAGTATCAATTGGATATGGATGCACACAAACGGTAGATTCATTATCATTCGGCACAGTGACAGAAGTCACGCGAATGTATACAGGTAGAGTGATATTACGCCACTCTTCTAGTATCTAATTAAATAAAACAATAAGATATTTGTCTGTGTTTTAGCAATATACATTTGTTTCGAAATAAGAATGAGAAAAGTCGCAGTTGAATAAGGATTTCGAACAACTTCCTATTACGTTTTGTTACAAATCTCCTCTATCTCATCCCGTAATTTTTCTTATTGCCCAGATAACAGTTTCTAATCCAAAAAATATTCGAGACTGCCCCGCAAGACTCTGAAGAAATGATAATAGAATTTCAGAAGGAAATTCTGAGTCTTCTTCTCTGTAATAGTCAAAAACCACATTAATATTGCTTATTTTTTCACCTCGATAGTTGGATATTCGAGTTTGAGTTGGTTTTCTTCAGCACGAATATAACGTTGAACTTGCTTTCCAGTTTTATTTTGTTCGCTGCCATATCGTTCACGATAGAGTGCCTTGGGTTGTACAATGATTCGAATTGGCTGAGTTGGTTGAGTCATTGCGAAAACCAGACTTGATTATTAGGCGAGGAGTTTGTAGAATAATCCACAAATGACGACAGTGGATACAGTAAGATTAATATCGGTGTTGAGCAAATAGTATTTCAAGATGGATAATCGACAGACTGAGTTTCAGGATCTAAATGAAGTAAAAACATACAGAATCGATAAAAATCACAATAAAACTTTAGTCATGTCCGTAAGTTAGATTGCTTACGATACTCAGACGATTCAATCCTGTCACAGGATCCTCCGAAAAGTTCGAATTCTATAGCGAATTACTCCAGAAAATCAGTCGAATTCGACTTGGGTTTCGTCGGATCTTTCTTTTAAGAAAAATTGTAAAATGTTAGATTTCGCAATAGATCTATCCAGGTTTTTTAGGAATGTGGCATCTGAATTCCGGATCGGATTATATCAGAAACAGAGGTCGTCATGGGATGGGATGGGACGTGTGATTGCTTTTTTGTAAGAAAAATATTATTCTGCATAGAGGTCTTATTTGACAAGCGGTAGACATAAGTAATATATTCGTCGCTTCTCTGTATTGGTTAATAATTCTTACTTTAAACATTAGCAAACAAATAAATAAAGAACTAATAAAATTAGAAAAACAGAAAAAGCAATCTAAATGTTTTTAGATCAGTATTATAAGGTATTTCTGTATTTATGTATATGATTACTTATTTTTTTTTTGTTGATAACCTGAACTTTCGTTCGCTTTTATTAGGGGGGGGGGCGGCAGGAGAGAGAAAGTCTCTCAAAACCAGGAAGAAAATCTTAAGAGTAGAGAGAAATAATCTACAGATCATAGAAAGTTTCCTCTTTGCAAGAAAACGGTTAATTTTCCTTGAAAACTATGGTGAAAGCCTTTTTCTACACAAAAAAACAATTGACTTTAGTCAAATCTTCCAAATTTCTCTTTCTCTTTTGAATAAATCCTCTAAATTAGTGCTATAAAGAGTACCAAAAAGCAGTCAATAAAAAATATAACAGGACAAAAAATTAAGCGGATAAAATTCCTCTGCTTCTGTCCCTAATTCTATGACCTGTTGATAATAGTATTGTTGTTTTATATTTTCTTATTTTTTTTTTCTATTTTGAGAAAGTACTATTGTATAGTGAAAAGTATTGAAGTAACTTTTATTTTATATTTATTAAAATAGATTATCAGAAAGGATGTGTCATAAATGAAAATGATTATTTAATTTAATAAACCATATTGCAGAACTAAATTTTGTTTTTCAATACAGTTTTGTTACAGTGCGACATATCCCATGGGATGGGATGACTATTGTTTTTCAGTTTGAATTCGTAGATAAACGACATCTAACAATAGTTTTACACGATCTTACGCGGGGTGATGGACGAATTCGGACCGGTACGCTTTACCCCATCATCCTACTTAATTCTAAAAATTTGCTGCTCCGCGAGGCATAACCCGTGCATTGCACATCTCTGTTTACAATACAGTATGTTTTTAGATAGTGTTTAAAAACAAATGAATGATGACTGGGATATTTGCTATTCTTCTGCAGGTAGATATTATACGTCAGTACGAAAAATATTTTTTTGTTTATCAAAATATTATATATATATCTTCCAGTCATCGTTTATTTAACACGTATATCTAATATTGTAGTTCACTGACTGAAATAGATGACAAAAATCGATGTATTCAGATTAATCTATCATTTTTTATTATTCTGTCTGTAACTAGCATTTAGATAAAGAACACGCATATAAATAATCAATGATGCAACTATTTTCTTATTGATAAAGTTCTGAATCAGTGCTTTCATCATTACATATATCATTAATTTTATCAATTAAAATTGCTGCTATAATAATTTTGTGGCGAAAATCATAAATCTGAATTTACTCCTAATATGCTCTATAAAATTATTAAACAAATATCTACTCACTTTGAAAAATGCTTTACAAATCACACAAAAAATAAAGTAAACTAGTATGTAGGTATAGACGATTTTTTTAATGTGATCGCCAATATACGTTGCATCGATTACTGTAATATTCTTTTCTCTTTCTCCTCAAAATATGTATATAAATATCTATTTCTTGTTGACAATAAGCGTCTGATGCATCATTGCGCGTTTTACTTTTAAATGTACAACGTTTCGAAAGGTGTATCGATACTTATGCCTTTTTTTTCATTCTTCAACAAAGTATATACAACACACACATTTTCTACTCCCAGTAATCGTCCAATGAGTTACTCATAAATAGTCGACAAGCATGAGGCAAAAACATAAACAAAATATATATTGCTTATTTTATATCGATGTTGCGACATAACCAAATCTAATATTTTGTATATTATGATTTGGCTATTGCATCTTATTTATGTAATATGACTGTAAAATATACCGAATCACATATAATGAAATTGAAAACTGATTTTGAAGCGATGGTATCAGTTTTTTCCTCGTTGTATTTTCTTATGATAATGTAATCTACTTCTATTTTACTAGTTGTGAAGATTTATAAAAAAAAACATAGTTTTATTGAATAGGATTGTTGATTTCCTACAAGTACATATTCAGAGAATTAATGCCGTCAAGATATAAAAATTAATTTAAACTGAAATTTTTTCGTCACCTCTATTCTAAGCATGAAGAATCAAGCTCTTCGTTAATATGCAATCTAGTATTAAATATTTATTTTATTTTAATAGTTGAACGATTTACAAAAATCAAAAGAATTAATCTAGAAAAAATGAGAAGGTTCACCAAAGTGACATTTTAAAAAAACAAAATATTCACGAAAATATTTCATTTGATAATCTTTCACAATTGCGTTCATAACCAAATATAAAGTAAATACCCACACCCACACCCTCAAGAACTACCAAATTACTTAATGTGCTAAAATTATATTTTTACTGATTAAAAAATAATCATCATTTAATTACATATCATTACGTAATATGATTGCTAACTGACATAGTAAGAGTCAAGTATCTCAAAATGCTTGTAATAAAAAATGGTAAATCGTGGAATGATCTAACAATAAATTGTACAAGTAAAATGCTATCGACTAGTTGCAATAGATTTTCTCACACTTGATAAATAAAAAAGCACATGATATCTTACATAAGAAAAGCATTTGAAAAATTACTATTACAATCATAGATAGTATAAATGATAGTTAAAACTAAACATCTGATACTTGTATTTCTTTTTCTATCATTATTACTTCTTGTTCACTGTTAAAAATATATGGATAGTTGATAACGAAATGTTTTAGCTATTTATAAGAAAAAAACACCTCCACTACTACTTTTGGATCATCCTAAGTAGATATCGATTTGAACCTAAAGTGATCATATTTCATAAGATAAATTCGATTTTCGAGTATTTTTATTTTCTCAGAAAAACATATAATGTTGTTTTCATCATTTGTATCGGTTTACATGTTATTTGATGTTCAGAGAAATAATAAAAGAAGAAGTAAACTAAAGATATGTTAACAATGGAGAAGAAAAAAAATTGAATATATGTATCATTTGTAGCTAGAATATAACAATGCAAAGAAAAATCATATCTATACTTTTATGCGGCGAACGTAAAAACTTAAGCTGCTAAGCAGCCAAACTGTATACACAACATCAAATGATGAAACAAAAAAGAACATAAATACAATACAGTGTTTTAATGCGTTCTAAAAATTTAGGATCATTATGTTTAATTAAAAATGTGATAAAGTTTATGTAAAATTGGTTATTCTGACTTAAGCATATAAGTCATCATCATCATTGTTTCCTCCACGATGTCCACCTTGACCGCCACTACCACCAGCACCACCTTGTGATGGTTGTTGTTGTTGATCAGGAAAACGAAATTGCGAACCAAAACCACGTGATTGTTGTAATGTTTGAGCAAACATTTCATATTTACGGATATCATTATCACTAACCGATCGTCGAGCAAATTTCATAGCTTCTTCAAAGTGATCACGACGAATTTCAGGTACTGGATCGGGTTCATCAGCATCCATTGCTGTTTGTCCATTACGTTGTCGTTCTTTTTCACGATTAATTTCTTTTTCAATTGATTCGCGAATTGCTAATTTACAAGCACGTTGACAAATTTCTGTTAAATCAGCACCACTAAAACCTTTGGTTACACTAGCCAATAAATTCATATCAACATCTTTGGCTACAGGTGATTTTCTTAAAGCAGATCTTAAAATAGCCATGCGTGATTTATCATCAGGTAATGGAATATAAATTAATTGATCGAGACGACCTAAATATATATACATATATATTAAATTAATATTTCATTTTGTATAAAAAAAATCGATAAATTTTTACCTGGTCGAAGAATAGCTGAATCAATGATATCTGGTCGATTAGTTGCACCAATAATGAAAACATTTTTTTTTGCACCCATACCATCCATTTCAGTCAAAATTTGATTGATGACACGATCAGCTGCACCACCACCATCACCAGCACTACCACCACGTGCTTTTGCTATAAACATAAAAAAATACAGTAGAAATATTCTTTTATTTTTTTTTAACTTACCAATTGAATCTAATTCATCGAAAAAGAGTACACATGGTGCTGCTTGACGAGCTTTATCAAATATATCACGTACATTTGCTTCAGATTCACCAAACCACATAGTTAATAATTCTGGACCTTTAATTGAAATAAAATTGGCTTGACATTCATTGGCAATAGCTTTTGCTAATAATGTTTTACCTAAAATTGAATATTAATATAAATAAATATATGGCAAACAAAAAAAAAATATCAACGTACCACAACCAGGTGGTCCATAGAAAAGAACACCACGTGATGGTGTCATACCAAATTTGAGAAATTTTTCTGGATGTTCAACTGGATATTGAACAAGTTCTTGTAATTCACGTTTAACACTTTCTAATCCACCAATATCTTCCCATGTTGTTGTTGGAACTTCAACGACTGTTTCACGTAATGCAGATGGATTTGATTGATTAAGTGCAAAACGAAAGTTATCTTGAGTCACAGCTAATGAATCAAGAATTTCAGCATCAATTGTATCTTCTTCTAAGTCGATCACATCCATTTTTTCTCTAATTTGTTGTAGAGCGGCTTCCGAACATAAGGATGCTAAATCAGCACCTACATAACCATGTGTTTCATTACCAATTTGCACGAGATCAACATCATCACCTAATTTCATGTTTTTTGTATGTATTCGTAGGATTTCTAAACGACCAACGGCATCAGGTATGCCAATATCAACTTCACGATCAAAACGACCAAAACGACGAAGTGCTGGATCAATTGAATTTGGTCGATTTGTTGCTGCCATAACAATAACATGTGAACGTTGTTTAAGACCATCCATTAATGTTAATAATTGTGATACAATACGACGTTCAACTTCACCATGTGTTTTTTCACGTTTTGGTGCAATAGAATCAAGTTCATCAATAAAAATAATAGCTGGAGAATTCTATAAATAAAATATTATTGAATATTTTAATAATTATTTAAAAAAAACTATTATCTATTTACTTTTTCAGCTTCTTCAAAAGCTTTTCGTAAATTTGATTCAGATTCACCAGCCAATTTGGACATAATTTCAGGTCCATTAATCAAGAAGAAGAAAGCACCTGTTTCATTTGCTACAGCACGTGCAATCAATGTTTTTCCTAAAATATAAATCATTTTTTTTCTTCTTAATAAAATAATCATTTTTTTTAATTATACCTGTGCCTGGGGGTCCGAAGAGGAGAATACCACGTGGTGGTTTAACACCAATTGTTTTAAATAATTGCGGGTGTCTTAATGGTAATTCAACCATTTCTTTTATTTGTGCTAATTGCTTTCGAACACCACCAATATCATCATACCCAATTTCGTTTAATGATGCTTCTTCTTCTTCACGTTTAATTGGATCACCTTCACAATGTATAACAGTATCAGGTGCAACAATACAGTATGGACTAGGTTCAGTTTCAATAACTTTGAATTCAACTGCACGCATGGCGGCACGTACAATAAACACGTCGCCTTTACGTACTGGTCGATAAGCTTCAACGAAATATGGTTTCAAATATACTTCAAATAAATTGCCAGTAATTCCCTGTACTGTATCATCGATGGGTAGAACATGTATACGTTTACCATATTTAACATCTTGACAACCTTGAATTGAGACCACATCACCAGAGCGTACACGTAAATTATTTCTTATGACACGATTCATTCGGATCCGATCATTTGGGCATGTATCATCGGCTAGAACAATGCAAATTGTTTCTCGACGTTTTTTACCTTTGAGCATAACAGTATCACCACGAAATAATTGTAATTCATCCATTTTTTGTTGTGATAAAGCTACTACACTATTATCATCGTTAACAGCATCGTCAATAATTAATCGATTAGGCCGTTCTTTTCGATTTAATATAGCTGTTGCGAATTTATCTTCTTTAGTTGGATCAACTGGTTTCGCCATTTGATTATTAACGTCGTTTACGAATATGCAAAAATGTGTTTTTAGAAGAAATCTAGAAATATAATTTCATATAGTTGTGACAAGAGAAAAAAAAAGAAAACGGTAGAATAAATCGTATAAACACAGAAACAAATATTATCCTAAATATTTTTACAAAATAACATTTTCGTGACTATTCGTCGGTGTTAATGAAACAGTTGATGATTGAGGATGTTGTTTCGACAATGAAGGATTCATTGAACGAGCTGGTGATTGTGTTGGAGTTACTGAACCAGCATTTGGATGAAGTGAAGATGGAGATGCTGCTTGACCAGGTAAAGTTTTTGTTGAACGTGATCCTGGACCAGATGATGGTGAAAATTGACGATTCTAATAAATAAAAATGTATATATATAGTTTACTATAGATTTAATTTAGATGTTAATGAGTAAACTGTGAATTATAGTAAAAAAATTGATCGAATCTATATCTAATCTGATAAGTTTTAGTTACACGTGACATATATATAATGTGTTAGGTATCGATATGAATATCAAATAGTTTTATTGAAAATGAAAAGAGTATATATTGAAATCGAATCTAAGTTCTATTCAATAAATAAGTTATTGTTAGTTAAAAAAAAGATTTCTTATTGCGTGAATAAATAAAAACTAATAAAATAATAAGAATGTTTTTTTTTCGTTGAAAAAAAAAGTGTTGTTCTCAATTAACTATGGATGCTTGTCGTAAAACTTCTTGTATATTGGGACCTGTAGTATTCGAATGAAAATTTCGTCTACCATCTGGTAATATTGTTTCTTCAATATGTTTTTCAATATAACCGCAATTAATTCCATTTTGATATCCATATATATTTGATGTTTTATTTTCATTATAAATCATCGATTGATGATTATTTAAATTATGATTCATCGATTGCATTTGAATCATATTTGCATAATTATTTCCAACACCAAATTTTGTCATAGTATTTAAAACATATTCATTTGATGCTAATTGTGAACCATATTGAGCAGTATATATATCAGGATCGACACGTACAATACCAAGATCATGAATATTTTTTATAAGATGAACATGAGGAGCATCATATGTGATAACAGTATTTTTTTGTGGAGGTCTTGGTATCAATGGTGGTGCTGATTCAACAATAACACGTCGTTTACATGGTGCTCGATAAGGAAGCCATTTTTCAATAATAATAGGTTGAGGTTTTTGTGGAAGTGGTGCTTGTCGTTCAATAATTACTTTACGTGGAGGTGGTGGTGGAGCAGGTAAATATTTATTAACAATACGAGTTGGTTCGACAGGAGGTGGAATTGGTGGACGTTCTCGAATTATCATGGGAGGTGGAGTCATAGGAATAGAAGGATTTTGACGAATAACTAATGGAGGAGGTTCAGGAAGTGCAAGAGGTCGAATTTCACGAACAACAATAGGACCTGATGGTGGTGGAGTAGGTGGTTGTAAATAGCGTATAGATACATCTTGTCGATAAGTGATTTGATTATTATTATGACGTCGAATATGTTCTGGATGTGAATCTACATTAAGAGGATATTGATTTATATCTGTTGATATTGTTGAATCGACTAATTGATCAAGTGCATTAGTTGATAAAGAACGTTGAGATGTTTCCAGATGATTACATGTATTATCATTTATATTCATTGCTGATGATAAATGAAATTCTTCAGTACCCTGATGTTGTTGTTGTTGTTGTGATAAATCCATATCGGAATAGCTTAAACTTCGTGTTGAATAAAAACTTTCATTATTATGTAAATTATTCATAATAACTGGTGATGAACAATTTTCAACAGCTGTTTTCGAATATGTACAAGTTTCAATCTTATTTTCGGACATTTTTCCTTTGGTTACTATGAATATCTATCTCTTATTCTTATCGGTTTTTATATCATATCTTATGCGCACAATGAATAATATATAACAATAGATGGTTTACTCATTTATAGATAATCATCAATCAAGGTGTGTCTAATAGATGGTTGATTCACTCACTTGCGTAGGTTGAGTTGTGGATCTTGGTTGTTGACGCTGTTGAGTAACTTGTGTATATAGACGTGGTCCATAAAAATTACCGAATTCTTGTTTAAAATGTTCAATATCATCAGGTGTTGAACGTGATGTACGGTAAGCAGGTGGAATATATTTCTACGAAATATATAAAAATTATAAAAATTGATAATATAATAAATAGATATTATTTACAGATATAACGCCATTAATTCGATCAATTGTTGTTTTATCCATCTGTGATAGTGATGGATTTTCAACTGATTTTACTATTCGATCACCAAGTGTTCTTATTATGGGAAATACTAATTCTTCAATTGTCTAAATAAATTAAAGTAAATACAATTTATTTGATTTTATATATTTACTTCTTGACCCATTTCACATAAACCAACAAGTGCTCCATAGTGAGTAACAAGTGGTAAACGTTCACTATGAAATGTTCGAAGAAATATTCGTACAATACGATTTCGTAAACCATGAATACTAGCTGAAAACATTCTAATTAAGAACAAAAAAAATGTTTAGAAATGAAATTTTATCTATTTTTATTCTATATTTACTTGACCATTTGAGCACAACGTGATGAAGCATAATCGCGTAATGCCCAGTGATTATCTGCATCTGGTCGAACACAAAGTTGTTTTGCTAGAATACATGACATAATAGCTGGAAATAATTGATGAAGCTATAAAATATATTTATTCATAAAAAAAAATTTCTTATAAAAACAAATTTCAATAGTTACATATTTTTCACAATATAACGATTTGTTTTCAAGTAATGCACTTGTCATTCGCATTAAGTAAATTAGTATTGCTAAATTGTATTGCATTAAATTAACTTTAACACCTTCAGAAATAAATAAAACAATTCGCGGTAAAATTTGGTGAAGGCCTGTTTCTGTTGATAGACTGCCAATAGCTTCCTAAAATATGAAATATATCAATAAGAAAAATAAATTATTTTACAATAATAAAGAAAAACACATACTTGACGTTTTTGTTCTTCCGAACCAACACATGCTTCAGTTATTTCTTTATAATAAATTTGTTGTTCCTAGAAATAAATGGATTTTATTATATACAATTTTCTTTTTTAAGAGTCTTGAACTTTATTTTATAATTTTTTTCCTATCGATACTTCTCTCAAACAATCTTACAATGGTGTCTGATAAATGAAATAAATTTGCGCACATATCTAGGGTGAATAACATGTGACTCATTTCAAACACGTGTTTATTTATGTATATTTAAAAAAACCGTCTAGGGTCATTAATCCGATAAAACTTGATAGTATCTTGTCTGAATATAGATATTCTGATCTCTCCAATAACCTTCTACATAAATATATTATATCATCCATTATTCATGAGTATATTTTTAACATACCAACGAAAGTTCATGTGGATTCGAAGTTTTAATTTTCGATGCATCAAGATTGTATCGTTTTTTTGTTAACGATTTCATCTAAGAATTCAAAAAAATACAATGAAAACTTTTTCTTTTTTTTTAAAATCTTACAGGATCTAATGAATCCGTTGTTAGATCAGCTTTTGAAATTATTTCCGGATTTTCATTAATTGTTGGTTGTTTACCTTCAATTGCAAGCCAATGAGCTAGAAATCAATAATCAAAGATAATTGTTTTTTTCTTCTTTAATTTTAAACAAATTTACTTCGTATAGAAACATCTAAAGGTATTTTTGGCATTGGTGCAGTAATAACTTGATCAAGTTGTAATTCATGATCATCAATACATTGAACTTCACGATGGCCTAAACCTGCTGCTGTTGTTGTTTTAAATGGTAAATTTCCATTTGATAAGCGAAATCCAACGATTGGCTATAAAATTGAAAAAAATATTTTTTTTTTATTTAATCGAAAAATATCTTACTTCTAAATATCGCATCTTCATTGCAGATTCAAAATCATCTGTGATCATCTTTGTTCGTCGACATTTTCTTGTGAATTTAAGTGCATCCTAATAACAAAACAAAAATTCGAAAATGTTCAATGAATTTGATTTGTCTCCTTTTTCAATTTACTTGTAATAAAAACCGAACTATGCCAGTTACTTCCAATGTTAAATATTTAATAGAATCATCTGTTAGATGTTGACATTGATTGGAATCAGCTATAAATTGGATAGATTGGTATGGAAAATGTAGTATAGGAGCTTTGGCTTGCTCGGTCGTTGTCATCTAAAATATCATAACTTATTTTTTAACAATCTATATCCTTTTTGTTTCTTTCATATATATGATGAAATATTTATTTGGTAATATCTTTTACCTCTTTTTAACATTCTGGAAATTGTCGTATGACTATACATACACGTATCACACTAATAATTTTAGATAAAAAACGAATATATAGACTGAGACTCAGTGAATATGATTCATTCAGAATACTACATCCAACCTATCAAATGCTTACAGACCTTGAGAAAGGAAAAAAAATAGAACGACAGCAAGTATTTTTCTGCTCTCGACGAGTTTAGTCCAGAATATTCTTTATCAAATTTTCATAACTTTCTTGTCCTTCATAATAAAGATAACTTAGACTAGACAGGTACGATTCAATCATTGAATAACATAACATCGCACTGATCCTTGTACGATGAAGACATTTTATACTGATGTTCATAGAGAACAATGATTATTTGTAGTTAGCTATCACAACTATAAAAAAATTTCTTTTACTGTTATTGATTCTATCACACTGAATGAAAATTTGTAAATAAAGGTTTACTTTTTTTTCACAGTCAAAGAATAATAATTTTTAATGAGTTGTATAGATGACGTTAGTATACAGAGAGAGATATTGTTAATGCAAAACGAAATTAGAATTCTAAATAATATGTTTTTCATTATTCAGTAGAACAAGTCGACAGGTATTGATTTTTATCTTAACTTTATCACAATTGAAAAAGAAAAAATGCCTTTAAGAACTAACAGCAGAAATATTGTTGTCTTAATAAAAAACATTCACTAATACTTGTCTAAGAGCAAACGATATTTAATACGTGCATATATTGATGATAAAAATATGGGGCTTAATAATAAATGGTCTTAATTTGTAAGACAATCATTTAAATGATGAAATAACAATTTATGTGTACATTGTACGACAATCTTTGCTTATATAAGTTTTGATATTTTAGTCGATTATTCTTTATGATCTAAACAAGAAAATAAGATATTCAAATCGTAACTTCGAAATAGTTTTATTGTTCCATATATTACGTACCAATAAAGCTTCTAGTAGTTTATTTCTTTTGAATTAAGTTTATAATATACTGCAGATTATACTAAAATATTACCTTCTTAACTTTACAGATGTCATCAGTAGTCGAATACTTTAAAGTATAAACAAAATTTATATAAATAGTTTTTTTTGTGTTTAATTATTTTCTATCGTTTCTGATATATTTTATTTTGAAAACGGTAAATATACACCATTCAAATATTTGACACAACAATTTGATTTGTTCTTAAATATGATAAAGAACAGATGAGTCATTCTATGTAACACTATTGTTTATTAGAATTAGAAACAATGATTTCAGTATTGTGATTCTAATAATAATTCATAAATTTCAGATAAAAAACTAGAACAAACAATGAGCGAACCAAATGATGATTTCTATTTACGATATTACGTAGGTCATAAAGGCAAATTTGGACATGAATTTCTTGAATTTGAATTTCGCCCAGATGGAAAATTACGTTATGCTAATAATTCAAATTATAAAAAAGATACATTAATCAGAAAAGAAGTTTACGTTAATCGAGCTGTTATTGAAGAACTCAAAAGAATTGTCAATGAATCTGATATTATGAAAGAAGATGATGCTGTTTGGTAAGTAGAAACAAATTGTTCAATTTGAAATTTATATTTTTCTTTCAATAAGTAGGCAGTAGTTCGTTAATAAACATCAATATTCACTTGTATCAGATAAGAATAGTAGTTTTCAAAGACTAATTAAGGGTGTAATGATAATAATAAGTATTAGTTTGAAAGTATTAGCTATTTTTAACTTAAAAACATTGTACTTTAATGTATGCGTTTGATATGTTTATCAATTTCACACTACATCAGTTATGAGTAGTATTATTTTTCCGTTTAAGTTCAAAGAATGACGTAGAAAACTTGCTCTATAAATATCTTTTACATATTAATTAAACTTTATTGTTTAGGCCCCCACAAGATCGTACTGGTCGACAAGAACTAGAAATTGTTCTTGGCGATGAACATATTTCATTCACAACATCAAAAATTGGTTCATTAATTGATATTAATAATAGTCGTGATCCAGATGGTTTACGTTGTTTTTATTATTTGGTACAAGATTTGAAATGTTTTGTCTTTTCAATGATTAGTTTACATTTCAAGATTCAACCGATTTAAATAAGAAATTTTCCTGAACAAATAAATAACTAAAATCGAATAAAGATTCTTTTTTCTTCTTCTTTTGTTTTGTTGTTATCATTGTCTGTCTCATTATATTGTTAAACACCTTTTGATTTATGTCTGTGTGTTCAGTCTGGTTGTCATATGTGTCTATACACCAATGAACAAGATGTTTGCTGTAGGTGAATTCTTCTCATTCAAATAAATTCGATTGCATTTACAAATGATAAATTATCATTTGTAATATCAACATTAAACAATAATATACTTCGTAACGATTATTTCATATATAAACTGTTTTATAATATAAATTAAAGGTTAATACTAGAAAAGTGATGATTGAAATTATGTGATGTTTTTTTCACCTTTGAATTTCTAAGGGTGAAAGTTCTTCTATGAACTTTTTCTGAAGTCTTATAGGTTTGGCACATATTGAATTTGATTGACTTGATCGAATAGATAAAATTTTAGTATTATCTTCAGTACTGAATCACGTGGGAAGGTAGATAGTATAGCATCTGATGTGATAAAATAATAGACATATTTTAAAGGTTTTTTATTCAAACAAAAAAGTATTTTTAAATGATAATAAAACTTTTTATCTTTGACGACATCATTTAACAAACATTCCATTCGTATCTCAATGCTAGGAATTCATTATTTAACAATATCAAACATCGAAAGAGGTCAAGAAAATTTGTTATATAGAAAAATATTTTTATTCTATTTTCAGACGTCAATTTGTTCAATCTTTATTTAAAAGTACAAACGTATTTATTATTTATAAAAAACATGACTCGTGAGTTTTTGATCGAGTATTATAACTGAGTCAAACTATGAGAACATAGGAAGAGAAAAAAGAAAGATGAAAATACATCGTTTTTCAATCTAACATTTTACTTATAGTTATAATAATAGCATCAAAGAAGCAATCGATAGAAAAAGAAGAGAATGCTTTTACACTTATTTACTAGCGCTTTTAAATAATAGTTAAAAAATACTTTTTTGTTGCATTCTCTATGATCAGTCAATTATAGTAACGTTCGCCTACGATTTTTATTGTTTAATATTCATGATTTCCTATGACACATTAAATATTATACAAAGTATAGCTTTCAAGGATGGGCGTTTTTTAACAATTGCAGATTGTCTATTTCAAACAGTAAATACTTTCAATAGATCATAGAACTCTTCTAAAAAAATAGTGAGTAATAGTCATCCAAAATATCCATAGATAACGATGCTTAAGCTAGTGTCAGTTATTGTCGATCGATATTTTTTTAGTCAATAGAGAATATTACGACAAAATTACTAATGTATTTTTAATTGCAAAAGATTAACAAAGAAAATGAATATCAGAAATGATTGATGTATAATTGATAACAACTCTCGGAAATACAATGAAAACTTTTTTCAATAGATATATACGACAGAAAAGGAATAATATAGTTTTGAAGTATTTGTTTTTCTTTTATGGTCTCTGTTTTTCTTCTATCTATTGATCTACTTGTCTACAATTAAATTTTTAATCAACTATATGTCCTTATAAATTATACTGGAAAAAAAATGTACTTAAAATTCAATTGAATCTAACGGAAAAACATTTCTATATATTTGTATGAAAAACTCATTTATAGTTCACGAGTACGTAAAAAAAGCTTAGTTTCAGACGAATCAATTTCCAGTAATGCTCTAAGAAATTTCTAATCTTTCTTGTATAGACACCCATATATAAGCTTTGTATTTTCAATATAAAAATCTGTATTAATTTTATTTTATAGTTTTCCCATGATCATAATGAACTTTATATTTTGAATAGATTTGACTTCTTTTCTTTTTTTATTAGAACAAAATAGTAATTTATTCTAGAGATTGATTGAAAATATGATTGTATATATTTTCAAAGCGAACTATGACAAGGGAATTTGTGGACATAACAAACAAAATGATGTAGGCTTGTTTTCTTTGTTTGCTCATACAATGAGAAAAACGAGAGAGAGAGAAAAAGAAAAGAAAATTATATTTTCTTTGTGCTGTCTTTACCAGTTTTTGAATCAGTAGTCTCACTTTTCTTTGCTCTGTCATGTTTCTCTTTCGCTTTCCTTGTCTTCATCATTAATGTTTGATTCTATTGATGTGTGAGATCCAAATAAATCTTGTTTGAGTTCGTCCTATCGAGAGACCACGGTAAAACGTTACCTCATTCCTTCATTTCATTTTACACATAGTAAGTTTCAAGTGTTTAAACAAACAAGTTTTTTTTTATTCAAGTGGTATTTGACAAATAGAAAAGAAGGGTATAGTACTCAATTTTGTATGTACATCAGGAATTTACCATATACTTAGTCAAATCTATTGAACTAAATAGAAAATTCATTATTTGATATGATGAATATTTTTACTAATTTGTTTTATCTAATAAAATTAGTCATACTAAATGAAATATAAATTCTAGTAAGAATTTTTTTCATTTTTAAAATAAGAATAAAAATAACAAACAATTTAGAAACAACATGAGAAAAAAAACCGAAGAGAAGTAAACGAAAAAGAAAGGAGGCCACTAAATAACAAGGTTATTTTCATGTAGTCATCTATTTACATTTTTTTCGTTCAGATGTTCGATCAGCATGAAACTACAATAAGAGTACATTTTAAATTTATACTTTAATTCTAGTTTTTTTTATACAAGTACTATTTGTTCTTATAAGTTTGTAACCAATGTTTTGTACATAAGTACTTCAAGGTTATGTATTCATATAGTCTAATAGATTTCGTTTTTTATTCATACTTAGCAAAAAAGAAAATTTCCATACTACTTGAATATACCTCTTTATGAAGTATCATATTGAAACTATGTAGATTAGTACTTCTATTATTGATAAGATGACTCTTTAAAATAGACTACTATTTGCAAATATTCTCCTCATTGACATTGAGTACGAGAGAGTCGAAGTAAGTGAAGAAAAAAAGGCTATTTAGTACTATTATAAATAGAGAATGATTTTTCGAAAGTTCTGTACATTTTTGAATTCCAACATAATTTCTATCATATGCTGTTGTATAATATAAAAAATAATTATTGATTTTATTTTATACATCTATATATTTATATAAATAGCTATGATAATTTTTTTTTATTCAACAATTTCTCTACCATTTATGAAGAGCAAACTACTTGACACAATCGTAAATAAGTAACATAATTCTTGTTTCTTCTTTTTTATATTAAAATCTACTGTTTAATATATATTAGATAATTGGTAGATTTTCATTTGTATATAAAGCAAATGTTACTACTCAACAATATACAATTTGAAAGAAATAGATGCTAAGTAATATATAGAGAAAAAAAAGAATTATTCGGCAAATGTGACTAGTAATAAAAAAATAATAATCGAAGAAAAACATAGAAATCACGCTATATTTACGTTGAACACGCGTAAAAACGGTAACTATTTTACCTTCTCTTTTTATTTTTAGATTAAAATAGAAATATTGTCTGCACATTCTCTTATATTTAATTTTATTATTAGTTATTATAGTTTGTAAATATGTTTAATAGAATAAAGGTACTTACATGTGAGTATATATACAACAAAACATGTCTTTCGTTATCTCACTGACGCAGTACGAGAAAAAGAATATAATAAAGAGCTATGTTGATATAAGAAATGTTTTCTTTTTGTGATGGATACCTTTGACATTAGTCAGGTTGTTGTAGACTAGATATCTTATACTTGTGACAAAAAAAATAACAGTATATATAATCATCTGTGTTTTGGATGTCTTAGAGAAATAATATCTTGTGTTTACTAATAAATAACTTTATGTTACTTACAATCTATTACTATCTCATCAAGTATGTTACAGATGTAAGTTTTCAAGAGGATAAAAGCGGTTAGTTTACTGGTTAATTAAATATATTATTTGTACGTTAAAGTATCTAAAGACACTCGATAATCTTTATTTCGAAGGTTATAAAAATAAGAATGAAATGATTCGTATACTTATAGACATTTTTTTTCATTTTTACAAACATTATTCATGTAGCTCTTGTAAAAAAATATAATTGATTTTTTTGTTCAGATATCCTATGAACGTATCGTCTGCTGCACTTGTCTTTCCAATAAATCATCAAGATCATCGCCGTCGTGTTTTAACTAATAATCATTCAAAAATGTTTATTAATGCTTCTCCAGTTGCTGTTAGTAACAAAATAAAAGCTATTCAAACACGTCGACCACGTATTACTCTACCATCATATTATGATTTTACTGATATTCGACCGTTACATTTTGGTAATTCGAATGGTATAACAAATTCGTTAACATCTTTTTCAAATCTTTCTCCAGAAAAATTAATTGAACATAGTAAAGATCTACGTCTTAGTCGTATTTCTGCTCGTCGTAATCCACGTCCATCTGGTTTATCTAATACATCAACTGCTAATCAACAATCATTAATTTGGTCAAGTTATAATGCACCAACAAGCTTTCCTAAGCAATCTCAAACAAATGTACCTATTCCTCCCGGACTACCAAATGGTAAACCATCTCCTAATAATATGCCTGATATTAGTCGGCGTCCCAGTCGTGCACAAACAACATCACGTCAACCATTTACTGATCAAGAAAATTCTCTAGTACCAGTTGAATCACGACATAAATCTTTAACAAAAACAAAACCTTCTATACCGAAAGCTTATCATCGAACGACACCAAAAAGTAAATCTCCTTTTCCAACATCACAGACTCAACGAGTACAAACATTAAATAATGATAATACTAATACTAATACTAATACTAATTGTATTCCACTGTGCGAAAGTGAAGATGATGATGAAGATATTCCAATGATGGATGAAGAGTTTGAAGAATATCTTCAAAAAGCTCTTGTTAAATGTGCCGATTGGCTTATTAAATATGTCATCGATAAAAAATATGATGAAAACAATGAATAATTCTCTATTATTTCTTTTTTGTGTTAATTTTTCTTGTACACTAGCACTAGAATTAGTGCGTGCGCAATATGTGAAAATAAAATATGTTTATTCGATAGAAAAACGAATACTTTGTAAATTAATATATAAAATTAATCTAAATCTCATTGACTTTTTTCTTGGAAATACTAAATAATATGTCCCAGAAGAAGAAAACTCTTATCGTCTGTTACTCAAGTATACAAATGTTTTTATCTTGTTTTGTTCTTTTATGACCTTAGAGTGCGATGTATACAATGATCTTATGTCAAAAATATGATTCAAGAGGTTTAATAAATATTCTCGATATAATTGATTGCTTTTTTATTGTTGAATTTAACGATTTTCTCGATTGAAGTCGATGATGTATTATATTTATTTATTGATGAATAACAAAAGAAAACGTGTGTTGTCTATTTTGTTTTGAATAATTGATTTCTTTTCTATTCGAACGTTATGATTATGATAAAAAAGATAATAGAATAATTGACGTCAGTAGAAAAGAGAAAAAGTATTGAAAAGATCAAAACATTACAAAAAAAACAATATGAGAGAGCTTATCTGCAAAAAGCAAGCGGAACTTATACGCAATAGAAATTACCTCGTATTTTTCTGAAAATATATTTTAATATACAGTAAAATGATATTCTAAATATTGATGACAAAAACTATAGAACTTTAGGTTCATACATCTAAAGAATGTAAATTCTCCGTTTTCTAATTAGACGTGGTTATTAGATATTGACATCATATATTTCTAAAATATAATATTTTTAACTTTGAAATAACAATTATAAACTATCGTAAGTATCTTTTAAATATGAAAGTTCATTCGTTGTATGTAATAAAGTTTATTATTGAAAGATCTTATAATATTATCAAAATCCTAATCGATAAACATGCTATCTATCTCTCAAAGAGAGTAAAAATAGATCTTGTTTTATCTATTATTTAACTTTTATATCGATGTATAATTGTTTACAAAAATGTAACTCAAGCAGATACAAAACAAAGAATTTCAATGAATCGTCATCACATTCCTCTTTTTTTTATTTATTTATTTATATACACATAACAAAAACTAAATTTTTAATAACCATATTTTTCATTTAATGCTGTTCTTCCATCGCCTGTTTGTTCATTTTCAGGAGGCATCCATCCAGCAAATTTATCTTCTGAATAATGATCAGCATCGTCATATTGATCTTTAGAATCTTTCGTAGAACGTCCAGGTTTTCGGCGAGTTGTTGTTGTTGTTATTGGTTTAACAGGTACTGGATCAACAGCGACAGTTTGCTGTGGTGTAGGTGGGATATCGTTAGATTCCGATGATATAGATGGTTGTGATGATGATGAAGATGATGCTGGTAATGGCAACGGTAGTGATGGAGGTAACATTTGTTCTATATTAGTCGGAGGTTTTGTTTCGATAATTTGTTTTGGAGGAAGAGATGGTGGAGACGGTTGTACAATAGGTAATTGTTTAGCAGTTAAATTTTGTTTAGCTTCTTCTCGTATGTTTTCTCTCCATGTTTGTATATTGAATTCTCTTGGTTTACATACTTTAAGTAATTTAGCATGTTGTCTTTCTTCATTTTCAATTTCTAATAAACGTTTTCTCCATTGCCATTTTACCTTCATATTTAGTTTTTCACCTTGTTTTAGTTGACGAATATATATATCAACTTCATCAACATCTTTGTCAGTTTTCGAGGCATTTTTTGCAGCATTTTCTTCCATTTGCTTAGCTGTTTCTAATTTCAGTTCAAGATCAACTTGTTCTTTATAAAGATTTGTTAATTTTAAACAAAGTGAATCAAATGTTTCAACTTGTTTCTCATTAGTTAAATGACCAGACCATTCCATACGTTTAAGACGTTTTTTTTCTAAATCACCTGTACGATCATAAAATGTATCTTCATCTTCTTCATAAAAATCATTTTCTTCAAGTAATTGTCGTTTAATTTGTTGTACACGTGGTGTATATAATGATGATGCAGCTGTACCTTCACGTAAAACACCTTGATCATCAAGTATACGACAAGCTTCAAGTATACATTCTTGAATAATTTCTTTACGTTTACAGTGTTTCTTTTCACATTCAGCTTGTACAGAACGTCCATATTCATCAACAATAGGTAATTTAATTGTACAACTATAAGAACCAAATTGATGATCTTCAACATCATAAACAAGTTCAGCACCTTCACGTTCAAAAAATGCAGTTAATGTACGTTTTGGATCTTTAAGATAAAAAGGTTCTTTTTTTGCTTCGCTATTATCATCTTCTGAAGGGTCATCAACCTACATATAAAGTATTAATAAAGAAAATTTTCAAATAGTATTTTTTAACTTACTCGTGTCATAATTTCTTTAAGTACTTCTTTGTCATTTTTGGCTTGTTGATATGCCATTCGATTTTTAAGTTCTTCAATAGCTACTCGTTTTTTATTTTCTTCGTCAATTTGGATCTTATCAGCTTCTTGAATAGTTTGTATAGGAGTTAGATCAGTTGTAGGAGCAGATTCATCGACTTCTGCACCCATACCCCAATCCATTTCCACATTAGTATCACCGGCTTCATTGGCAGCATTTTCTCGTTTTGCACGTACAGCAGCAAGCATTTTAGCTCGTTTAGCATGAAATTGTTTCATTTGTTCATGTGTAATATCATCACCAGTAGAAGTATTAATATTATCTGCTTCAGCTGTTGAATCACCTTGTACAAGATAAAGTCTTGTTGATTGTCCAAATTTAATGATATAACCGATTTTTATTCGTACATAAATTTTTGGTTCAAGACGTTTTTTATTAATAAATGTTCCGTGAGTACTACCACAATCATATAGATAAAGACCAGGTGATTGACCATGTTCAAATTCAGATTTATATTGTACAATAGCATGATAACGTGAAATAGTTGGATGTTCAAGTACAACATCACTATCAGGTGAACGACCAAAAACAGTATATGGCCGATGAGAAAGTGGTACATAATCAATAATTGAACCATTGCGTAATACTTCAAGTGTATATTCTATTGGTGGTATAGATGATGATTCAGGTATATTATATTGTAAATTTTTGTGACGAATTGGCGTTGAAAAATCAGAAGGTGGCAGTTCTGGTTTAACAAATGGTGTATGAGAAGTTTCATTATTTTCGGATGATGATAATGTTTCAACATCGTCTGATTTTGGTTCCTCTACTGGAATAGATGGAATTTTGAAAGTATCTGTCATGTTAAATCAAAAACTAATTGATTAATACAAATATAAAATAAATAATTGTATTATAGTAGGTAGAAAATAAGAATTTCTATTTCTTTTTCTTCACATGTACCAATACCAATATTTCATTTCAAAATAATCCTATTTAGTATTGGTCAACATATAATCAATCATAAAATAGAACATAAAATATTAATCAATTGACAAAAAACTAATAAGTAATATATGAATCTAATAGCAATTTTATCAGATTTATTTTAATACGGGAATAGATTATTTTTTATTTAACATTAGAAATATAGCTGGCGCTAGATGACACAAATACCAACCATATTTTTATATTGACGATGAAATGAAAGTATTCTTTTTTAAGCAAATACTCAACATGCAGGCTGCTACATACTACTTATTAACCTATAAATGATAAACGAGAACTGATAAGAAAAATTGCGTCCGTATAAATTTCTTTTCTTCTAAATTATTTTGATATTAATAGCGTTCGTGAAAATATTTTATACTATATTTAACCGAAAATCAGAACAGAACAGTCGATACATAGCATATTTCTATAAATCTATGATTATTATCAGTTTGTTGTATAGATATTTGTTATAGTATTTTTATAAATATATTATATTTAAAAATGACTTCTGTGTAAAAGTCATGTAAATATGTATATCGTATCGCACACAACTAAATACATAAAGACATTAGATCAAGAATATAAAATATCATATATATAATTGCAGTGTACTATTTCTCGATGAAATTAAACGTGTAACTATTTTATATAAAAAATTATTATTGTTGATATTAATAAATGTGTATAAGAAATGGTCTGTAAATGAATTATATATGATATGGTACTGAACAAATGAAGGAGGCTAAAACTAATGTGTCGATTGGTCATAAAAGATTGACCAACTGTTGTAGGAGGTGTGGTGATGTTGCTTTCTCTTTCTTTTCTTTTCTTTCTTCTTAATATAGTTCTTTTTATGTAGAGTCCAAAGTCATTGTGCAAAGTCTGCTATTTCTCGTTTTTTTCCTTCCTCTTCTTCGTCTGTAACAATCGTACCACTGCCATCATCACAATTAATACTCTTATTTCACTATTCCATCTACAGCGTGGTACATCATTTTTTTTACTAAAAACCGTCGTTTATACAGTTTTTGAGTCGTTTTTGACTAATCGATTTCTCATTATACTCATCTAATATAAATTTAGAAAAGGTAAAATAGATATAATTTTTATTTGTTAAATAAAATATTATTGATTTATATAAATATATATATATATGCTTCGCTTCTAAAACTATTGGTTGAAAAAATATGAAATTTATAGAGAAGAACAAAACTAAATGTTAGATTTAGAAGAAGGCGTATCAATAGTAGTCGTTATTGTCAATAATAAGAACAAAATGATAAAACTGAATGGATAATATTGCCATAAGACTTCATTCATTTATTGATATATAGTACGATGACGTACAATGACGTAGTGATGAATCATTTGTTTATTTCTACGATTTGTTTACGAGCACTTGTTGGTATTGTATTGGTATATTTTAAATACAGGTGAATCTATAGCATACTGGATCTTCCTATGTTATTTTTACTTATTTATGTTTTTTTACGTTGCTTATGTAAAATGCATCAAAATATTAATAACATACATATGCGTTTCTTTGTTTTCTTCATTATAATTATTTCCTCTTCTGTTGTTCTAGTTTGTAATCACCATATTTATACTAAAGATTATTAAATAAATAAGTATACATATAATAAAAATTAGAAAACATGGACAGACTGGTTATTGACAATAGTCTTTCAAATTCTCTACCAACAACATTAGCTGTTGGTGGCGCACTTGCACTAGTTGCAGGTGCTATTATTCATCGTCATAGAGATAAATTCACTTCATTACTTGTGGAAAATCTAGCAAACGACGAACTGAATCGAGATACTGATTGGGCAAATCTAACCATACCAGCACGGGTACGTAATACATTGATTTTTTTTGTAATAATCTTTTTGAATACAGAAAGAAGACACTAGTAATTAAAATAAAGTCAAAAATAATTATTAATTAACTCTTGCTCATTATGTTACAATAGAGTAGATACTCTATTGTTTTCTGAGAATATTTATTGTATTATAGAATGGATCATTACTTTTTCTTGTTTTTACATAGATTATATCATTTTGTATTTCTGTTGCTGACAAAAACAGATTCACTTGACTTAAGCAATGATACTGTCTAGGATACTATTTAATAGAAAGACGAATGAATAAAATATTTTCTCTTTCCTTCACAAAGGTTTATACAGTAATAATAAATAGGTATGATAATTTTTAGACACAAGGACATTCTGAAGCACGTGTTGCTGCATCACTTGGTTCACGACCCTTATTAGTAAAAGGCAAATGTGCAACTGATGATCGTACTTTTTCGACATTCTATGAAGGTTTCCATATCGGCAAAGCTATTGCAACTCAACATGGTTAGTTTGATTTTCAATCATCTTATTATATATGTATATATATATTCTTTGCTTCGTTTAGGTGATGATAGATGTTTAGGTTATCGAGTAGATCGTAACTCTGAATATCAATGGACAACATATGGAGAAGTAAATAAAGTCAATAATTTTATATTTAAATAAATAACTTAATTTTTAGACTAATGATGCTGCTACAGAAATTGGCAGTGGACTTATTCAACTAGGAGAAAGTCATGGTCAGAATACGTTCATTGGTATCTATGCGATTAATAGTGTTGAAGTAAGATAATAAATATTCTTTTTTATCATATCTTTTATTTTTATTTATTAAAATAAATAGTGGATGACTGCAGCATTAGCATGCCATTCACATAGCATGATTTATGTACCACTTTATGATACACTTGGTGAGGCTGCGATTGTTCATATAGTTAATCAAAGTATGTATTAAATGATATATTCTTTTTCTATAATTAACTAAATTTAAATTTTAGCTTCGTTGAAAACGGTGTTTGTTGACAAAGCTGAAAATGTTCTTATTCTTCTTAAACTTGTTGAACAAATATCAACGTTAAAACGAATAATACTTACAAAAAAATTTCCTGATGAGAAAGATCTCGAAATTCGAAAGAAAGCAAAAGAAGTTGGAATTGAAATTATGTCATTCAATCAATTACGAGTTAGTTTATAGATAATATTTTATCTTATTCTTATTTATTTTTTTTCTTTTCAAGGAACTTGGTCGATCAAAACCAGTTGCACATCATGTAAGAAATAAAACTATACTCATCAATAAATAACGAAATACATATTGTTTTTATTTTAGCCACCTAAACCTGAGGATATATTTGAAATTTGTTATACAAGTGGAACAACAGGTCTACCAAAAGGTGCTATGTTAACACATAAAAATGTTGTTTGTTTAATTCAAGCAGCTGCAGAGTTTTTTGTAAGTTAGATTTTTATTAAAAACTTAATTGACTGAGAAATAATGTATCTTTTGTTTTTTTAGCGTCCAGTTTTTACTGATTTAGAAGTATTGATTTCCTATTTACCGTTAGCTCATTCATATGAGCAAACAATCGAAGTAAATAAATAACAATAATATTTTATTAAAATAAATATTTGATTTCGTTTAGCTTTATTGTTTATGTCAAGGTTTTAAAATTGGTTATTACTTGGGTGATGTACGACAATTGTCGGATGATCTTGCTGTTTTAAAACCAACATTAATGCCATGTGTACCTCGACTTTTAAATCGAATGGTAAACAATATATGAAATAGACTTAAAGTTGTTTTCTTCATGAGTTTCTATAAAAAATAATCAGGAAAGAAGAGAAAGATCTAGATTAAACATGCACTCAGATAGTTTCAGTTCTTTTTTGATGGTACTATAGAATGTCGAAAGAAGGATTTTATCAGTAATATTAGACGAAGTATCAAAACCTAATGACATTGAATTCTTTTTCAGTATCTGTTGAATCATTTACTTTGTTGAACAGTTTGTTGATAGTAGATATTCTTTTATATCTATAGTTTCTCAGATTATTACTTCAATCCATAATCAATGAGATAAAATCAAAATATTTTAATTCTTCCCTTAAGTTTCAGCGCATACATAGTTGATATTTAGCAATCTGCTATGAAGTTTTTCATCAAAACCTTTCAAAATTAAGTGTATTCTTTATTTAAAATGGCAGATCTTCTTTTCAAATAAATTCTTCAATATAATATATCCTAGATAAAACTAAAAAGAAATAATAATATAATCTATTTTAGTATGACAATATTCAAGCAACAATTCTTCAATTAACTCCATTTAAACGTTATTTATTTAATATGGCTTTATCAGCTAAAGCACATGAAGTTGATCAACATCGTATTGCACGTCATATGATTTGGGATAAACTTCTTCTAAAACGTATTCAACAACGTCTAGGTGGACGAATAAAATTGATTGTCAGCGGTGCTGCACCATTATCACCAACAATTCATCAATTTCTTAAACGTGTTTGCGGTGCTTATGTAGTCGAAGGTTATGGACAAACTGAATGTTGTGGTATATCAACATGTCAAGTACTTGGTGATGAAACCGTAGGAAATATTGGTGTACCATTGAATTGTAATATGATTAAACTAGCTGATGTACCTGATATGCAATATTTTGCAAAAGATAATGTTGGAGAATTATGTATAAAAGGTGCAAATGTATTTAAAGGATACTATAAAGATGAAGAAAAAACAAGAGAAGCATTAGATAATGATGGGTGGTTACATACAGGTGATGTTGCTAGATGGGCACCGGTAAGATAATGTTTTATTTGATTCTAAATAATTTCGATTTGTTTGCTTTTCTGTCTTTAGGGTGGTCAAATTGAAATTATTGATCGAAAGAAACATATGTTTAAACTAGCTCAAGTATATATATATTAATTGTAGAGATATTTCTTAACTGTTGTGAATTCAAAGTCCTACATATAAATTTATTCAGCGTTTGTTTTATTAATGTCTATTGGGAATTAATGACTATTTTATGTATAGTATCAATATACAGTTGTTATGTTCTAACACTCAGTGGACTAAAACAACGTATAAGATGATCCCATATATTTTTTTTAAACTGTAAATAGTATATACTTTCAAATGATTAGATAAAAGTTATTACAGATAAACAAAGACTACTATGCATGTTCGATCATCTTATGATACTGATATAATAGAACAATTTGTCTGATATTTTTATCTAATATATATATAATATAGGATTTCTTTGTTTCATTTTAGGGTGAATATGTTGCACCGGAACGTATCGAAAATATTCATGTTCAAAGTCATTATATTGCTCAAGTTTTTGTTTATGGCAATGGTTACAAAGTACGTTTTCTAATATTTTTATTCTGCTTATATATAAATAATTATTCATAAATGATTTAATAGAGTTTTACGGTAGCTATTATTGTTCCCGATGCTGACATTCTTGAAAAATATGCCCGTAAAAATAATATTTCGGGTGATATCGTTGAATTATGTAAGAAGAAGGTAAGATTTATTACTCTTATTTATTATAAATATGACGTTGATTTTCTATTCAGGAAATCAAAGAACTGATATTTAATGATATAAAACGATTAGAAAAAGCAAATTTATTGAAGGGATTTGAAATGGTATGTTCATTTATTTGTTTTTTTGTTTAATTTTATTAAAAGAATTTTGTATTTAACTTAATTTAGGTTAAAGATATTTATCTACATCCTGAACTATTTACAGTAGAAAATAATCTTTTAACACCAACAATGAAAACTAAACGACCTGAATTAGGAAAATATTTCGAAAAAGAACTTGAAGAAATGTATAAAAATATCGAGTAATTTAATTCTTATTATACACTAATAGTTTCCTATTCTCATTCTCTGAGTCAGATTCTTTGTTCGGAGAATATTTATCTGTTCTATGTTCTTTAGGATATCGTCTCTCTTATTTGTTTTTATTTCGTGTTTATGTTCTGTGTATTGTCATTATTTGTTTTTTATTCATTCTCATGTCTCTAACCTTTCCGGTTATATCCTATTGATGCACGGAATCTCGGTCTTAAAGCTCGCACATGTATCTATCTGATGTAAATCAGTAATAATGATATATTGAAGTATTTAGCGTGTATTCTCATTATCCTATTCTATTCTGTGTATACGTGTGTATCTTTTTTTTTAATCACACTTATAATAGGTGTATCATCACTTAAAAAAAATCTCATAAGACAAATAAAAGAACAAATTGCATTTTCAAACTCTAATAAAAACTACATTATTTTAAGACTCCTGGCTCATATTTGATCGAATGTTGTACGATATGTGAAAGACGGAATTGTGACAATGTCGCTATTCAATTCGTTCAGTAAAATCCTTCAATTGTAAGAATAAACGAAGATTTTCGAGTTTAGCTTAGAACAATGAAAAACTTACAATATATATTTCTTTTATGATCGAAGCGATTGCTGCAAAAACATTTTCAATACGTGTATTTGCTTTATATATTAAGAATAAAATACATCGGCTGACATCAAAAATGGATTGAGAGAATAGTGTATGACCTTTTAAGGTTTTTTTCAACTAAAATTTCAGTACAAAACATAGTCTTATGATTTTCATCATGCGCAGTTGTGTATATCATTCATTTTTTTAAATATAATTGATTGTTTTCATTATTTGATGGATCTAAAGAATGTGTTCTATATCGTTTATTAACCAGATGACCTTAATATTTTTCTTAATTAAATTTTAAAGGAACATTTATATTTTGTTCTTGTTTTCAAAAAATAATCCTAGATCATATTTCTAACTTTGCTTTGGTGTAAGTAATTGCCATTTACTGTGCTATCGAAAATAATTTAAAAAATAGCAAAGCTTTCAAATCTTTGTTATTCCTTTTTATTTTCAATATTTAATCCTTTATTATCAGATATGAGATTAATATTTCACTATACACAGGTGCATATACAGCTTTTAAAAATACTTATATATATATATCATAGTAAGCATCGAATCTAAATTATTCCATTGAAATAAACAACAATGCTCTGTTACGTCCTTGCTATCGTTGCTACTGTATTCATCTCCAATAATGCTGTCAACTCAGCAGAAACTTGTAAGTCAGTAAAAGCCGGTGCTCATTATTCATCATTAATTCCATTCAGTGGTTTGAAATCTGATGCAATTGTTTCATCACGTGTTAAATTTACACAAAGTGCTGGTCGTTATTTATTTGCACCAACAGAATCACGAGGTCATTTATGTACAACATCATGGAATAAATTATGGGGTGCCTGTCGATGTGGTTATTTAACAAGTAATCATAAAGATTCTGATCGATTTGTATTTCGTCGTGCTAATAGTTGTGTTCAACATGAAAATGGATACACTGTTGGTGAAGTTGAAGATTGTTCAGAAAAGGATTTAGTTGAAATCGCTGCATATGCATATGATGATAGTCGTAAACCATTTGAACATCAAGGTACATTATTAAAAGAATTCGCAACCAAATTACGAGTTGATACTTGGTATAAGGTCACACTTATCTTTGAAGAAGCTAAAACAACATATCAATTATTCGATGATGAAGGTCAACATCTTGAAACTCAAGAAATTATTCATCGTCAATGCAAAGATTTCAAACTTGGTACGTGGCAAGATTTATATTTTGGTGGACAATGTCCCGCACCACAAGCTGTTTCTGTTTGTTATGAAAAAATCTAATTGAAAAAATTTCAATAAATCTATTCACCAGATAAAAATTCTGGTACCATCATAAATAATCTATTATTGTCACCTAACATAAAGAATGCTTTAGAATTTAACAGTTGTTCTCTTGAAAACTTTCATTTTATAAATGAACTGCACTTGCTAATAACAATTCACACTATCGAAAGTGGGAATTTTGTAGTTTCAACAATTGTTAAACACTATTAAGTCATCTTATAGATACGAAAATTTATCTTTCTACTCCTTAAAAACAAAGATAGTGTATTAGAGCTGATATGGTTGAAGTTTGACCATTTTATGAAATATACTAAGTGTGGCCATTATAGATGCCGATAAGCAAGAGAAAAGAATTTCAATTCTATCATATCCAAATTTCTTTGAATATATGAAAAGTATAATTCATCTGCAAACTTTGGACTCATCAAACTTTATCATTGCATCCGTTATTATATATATTGAGAGTAAACTATATAATCTGATACTTATATATTATTAGAGAAACCAAAGGCTAGTAAAACTATCTCGAATAAATTGCATCCAATTATTAATACACACCAATTATGTAAGAGCGACATCAATATCATATAGTGGACAATTTAAAATGAAGCATTATTATCAAGATTGAGCGATTCGTTGACCGATAATATATTGCCAGCCAATATCAAACAAAGTCTTATAACGTTTCATTTTCTTTTTATGATACGAACAGTTAACTTACTTCCTTCATATTTTCATTCTATATTCATTACTAAGACAAACTCATCAGTTCTATATTTTTCTTTTCTCTAATTTATTATTAATATCTTCGTTTAACTCGCCTCTTATTTAATTCTTATGAATTTTAAAGTCTATCTTTTACTGACATCTATCCTTTTTCTTGATTAGCCTATCTTTTAAAACAGCTGCACTTTGTTCTTAATCCAAGAACAAAAAAAAACAAATCATCTCATCATTTTATTTTCGTTCAAATAAAACAATGACAAATGAACATTATTTTATTTTATTTCGTTTTATTCATTTAGATATCTTCATTTTCTTTCAATTTGGTGTACAAAGAAAAAATTTTTGCTTTATATTCTTTTAACAAAAAAAAACAATGTCTAATAATAATCTTTCAGCAAAAGATGAAGCATTATTAGTACTTGAATATCTTGAAAATGAACGCATGTCAAATACATTTTTAAATTTTCTTGATGAAAATAAACATCTTCATGAACTTCGTTCACGTCTTTATGCTAATTATGATAATCCTCAACAAATAAATAATAATGATGATGATTCAGAAGTTAATGAATTTCAAACATTTTTTAATTTATCAAAAAAACTTGTATCACAATTAAATGATCAACCAACAACATTTTTATCAACTAAAAGCTCCAATGATTTATTTTTTGATGATGATTTTTTAAATGATTTAATTAGTTATACACCACCAATGGATTGTCAACAAGATTTATCTGATACACCATTAATTAATCATGAAAATCAGCATATGAATTCTATAGAACAATTATTTGCTATAGAACATGACACACCATCTCATCAAACAGTGCATGGCACATCTGATACATCATCTAATCAAACAGTACACTGTACATCGGATACACCATCTCGATTAACATCATATACAAAATGTATTGTTGTTACACAAGATTTTCTTCAATCCATGTATAATCAACAATCAACTGTAACGAATAATAACAATAGTAATAGTAATTCGATTCATAAACCAAAACGTCGTAGACGAAGATTAAAAGTTGGAAAGGAAAATTATTCTCAACAACGAAAGATTATGCCAAGAACATCGCCTGAACATCGTTAAGAAAAATGACTAAAATTGTTTTTTTATTTCAATTTGTAATGATCTCCGACTTTATTTCTTCGTTATGCAATAATTGCAGATATAACTTTATTTTTTTCTTTTCTGTATTTTTTTATATTGATTATGTTATGCATTCAGATAGAAATGAAAATATGAAAGATTGACAAATGTAAATTGTTCCGTTACTTTTTTTTAAACTTACTGATAGATAAATTTTGTTTGTTATCAATGTCGTCAACACTTCGACTTTGCCTTCATTCATCGATTGTTAAGCGGAGTATGTAATATTTTACCTCAATATTCGTTTCTATCTTTTTGTTCATTTTAGTAACTCCTTCGTTTGCATCGTCACGTTGGAATTCAACAAAGGCATCAAGTGAAGTAGCACCCAAAAAAATAACTACACATTATACAATCTATCCAAGAGATAAAGATGAACGATGGAAAGGTAATATTTTCTTTACAATATAATCTACGTACTCATTCATATGGTATTTCATAATTTTTTTATAGATGTTAATATGGAACGTTATGCAGAAGAATATGATGTAGCAATTGTTGGTGGTGGACCAGATATCCTTTTTTTCAAATGCATATATATATATACAGCGTTTTTTTCTTTTTTGTTTAAACTTGTATATTCTCCTTAACTACAGTGTACCAGGTCTTTCAGCTGCAATTAGATTACGACAATTGGCTAAGGAACAAAATAAAGAAATACGAGTGTGTCTTGTTGAAAAAGGTTCAACTATTGGTAAGTAATAAAATAATAAATCTTTCGTAAAAATAAATTAATGATTATTTAAGGTGCTCATACATTATCTGGTGCTTGTATTGAATCACGTGCACTTGATGAATTGATACCTGATTGGAAAGAAAAAGGTGCTCCATTGGATACTTCAGTAACTAAAGATCGTTTTTATTATCTTACTAAAACTTCAGCAATCCCTATTCCGGTTATCAAAGGTAACATATTTATTTACTGTTAGTTCTAGAATAAAAATTTTTATTCAAGGACTTCCAATGTATAATCATGGTAATTATCTTGTTCGTTTGGGTAAAGTAACTGCTTGGCTTGGTGAACAAGCTGAAGCAGCCGGTGTTGAAATGTATCCGGCAACCGCAGCTAGCGAGGTTTATTTTTAATAATTATCATACAAATGTTTTAAATAACTCTATATTCGTAGATTTTATATCATGAAGATGGTAGTGTTAAAGGTGTAGCAACAAATGATGTTGGTATTGCAAAAGATGGTTCACCTAAAGTAATTTATTTTTTCTGAAATTTCATTTCGCTTATATTTTAATTTTATTTATTAAGGACTCATTTGCACGTGGTATGGAATTACATGCAAAATGCACTATTTTTGCTGAAGGTTGTCATGGTCATTTGGCAAAACAACTTTTTAAAAAATTTGATTTAAGAAAAAATTGTGCACCACAAACTTATGGAATTGGTTTAAAAGAAATATGGGAAGTTGATAAAAGTAAACATGAACCAGGTCTTATTATACATACAGCTGGTTGGCCAATGGTAAGTAATTTTCTAAAAAGTATCCTGCTGATAGAATATGTCATAATAAACAATTTAAATCTTCGACAAATATAAAATTATCTTTTAGGATACCCATACATACGGTGGTTCATTTATGTATCATATATTAGACAATGGTCAACCATTAGTTCAAGTTGGTTATGTTGTATGTATTATTAATAGAATATAATTTAGTATGATTCATTGTTATTTTATTATATGTATATAGGTTGCTCTCGATTATGAAAATCCATATTTAAATCCATATCAAGAATTTCAACGTTTTAAAAATCATCCAAAAATTCGACCAGTATTTGAAAATGGCAAACGTATTGCTTATGGCGCTCGTGCATTAAATGAAGGAGGTTATCAGGTATTAATAAGTAGTTTAGAATAATTCTGATTTTTGTTAATATTTTCTTCTTATTTATTAGGCTATACCACAACTTTCATTCCCTGGTGGTTGTTTAGTTGGATGTAGTCCAGGATTTTTGAATGTTCCTAAAATAAAAGGCACACATACAGCAATGAAATCTGCTATGATTGCTGCTGAAACAGTTTTTGATTTATTGAAAAAATCAACTGATGACAATAAATCAAAAGGTTTAGAACCAAGTGATTATGATAATCGTATTAAAAATAGTTGGATATGGAAAGAATTATATTCTGTACGTAATTTTCGTCCAGCATTTCATACATCATTAGGAGTATTTGGTGGAATTATTTATTCAGCATTACATTTTGTATTTCGTGGTAAAGAACCATTTACTCTTTCACATGGAAGTAAGTATTTATTTAATTATTTAGTAGATTATTTTATTTTCCCATTCGTTTTCATAGAACCTGATCATGCTTGTCTAAAAGAAGCAAAAGATTGTAAACCAATTGAATATCCTAAACCTGATAATGTAGTAACATTTGATCTTTTATCAAGTGTTTCATTAACAAATACAAATCATGATAGTGATGAACCACCACATTTAACACTTAAAGATGATAGTATACCAACAAAAGTTAATTTACCTGTATACGATGGACCAGAGCAACGTTATTGTCCCGCAGGTAAATTTAAAAGTTACATTTATTTTGTATTGTTCTTTGATTCTTCTAAGGTGTTTATGAATATGTGGAAAATGATTCCGGTGATCGACAATTACAAATTAATGCTCAAAATTGTATCCATTGCAAAACATGTGATATAAAAGATCCGAAACAAAATATTAACTGGGTTACACCACAAGGTGGAGAAGGTCCAGCTTATAATGGAATGTGAACAACATTTGCATTTTTAATTTTATCATTCTGTAAATTTTTCAAACTATGTAGTAGAGTTACTTTTCCATTAACAGCAATAAACAAGCTTAAATGACATCTATTTTTTCATGTTTCTTTTCTTTTCAATAGCTACATACATATTATATTAGGTAGAAATTGATGCTGTATATTTATCTAAGAAATGAGATACTTAGTGTAATTTATTCTATTTGAATATTAAAAAAACTGGAATTTCTCTTGAGTGACAGTCAAAATTATCAGATTTTCTAAATGAGAAGTTTTTATGAATCGAGAAATCTTTTTAAATTTGTAGGTATATATTTTTGATTAGTGTTACTAAGGTTTATACTATAGAGTTTCAAGACTGGCAGTAAAATATGCCTGTTTGAGCTCATAATCTTTCCAAACTAAGTTGGTTGCTGTATCATATATGTAAAATAGAAATAGTAAAACAAATGATCTATATATGTATATTCATTCTAGTTTTATTCTGACGTGTATGTTATGTAGTACAGATTTCTCTTTCTTTCCTTCTTTTTAACAGATATTTTCTTGTTTGTTTACTTTCTTTGCCGTAAGTAGTAATAACTTATCTATTTTTTAAGTGAAGTAAGGCATCTTTTATTATATTTCTTTCTAGTTTTATTTAGCATAATTTTACAAAAAAAAGTAGTGTCTTTATGTTAGGTTTGCAAATATATTTCTCTATATGTCACTATCAAACAAATCTCGTATCCTACGGATTATATGATTAGATGACGATATGCAAGAAGACATTTTACGTATGATGAACTCATTTTTGAGTTTGAGAGAGAATTCTATTGTATAATAACTGTCATATGTTAAGCTGAATTAGATTCAAATTACGAATGATGAATTTAAATATAAGTGAAATCGAAGAAGTGGAAGAGAACTGAATCAGTAACTAATATTGTTAGAAAAGAAAATATTGCAATAGAAAAAGATGATATATATATATAAGTCGTATCGAACTTAACCTATTTGTCAACATTCTTTTCAAAAGAGTGAAGCTATAATATTTACTGATTATAATCGTCATATATTTATTTATTTTTCGTTCTGCCTCATTGGTTTCTTCCTCAACACGTCACCTATGTTTGGATTTTGCCTTAATTTCTCTATGTATCATCTTACCGTCTGTATTACGGTTTTTGGAATTGACCCCAACCATTCTATTCCGATGACCCGCTGGGTATTCCTTGAAGATGTGTGATTCACTCTCGTATATATAGTCTATAGGTTTTCTTGCATTAAAAGTATATTTTCTGTTCACTTACGACTCATCATCATTATTGACGACAAGTACAAATGATAATAGTCAATGGAAAACGAAATCTAATTCAGAACTTATGAAAATTAAGAATGATTCATCGAACAACAGTTTATTCACACTGGAATTTTATCAACAAGCTGTTGATATAATTATATGTGCGACGTTGAAACGATATTCTAAAAAAAGCAAACAAAAAAATACATATGTGAAAAGTACAGTCAGTAAATAATATAGTTTTATTCTTCTGAAAAGAACTTCGATACGATATCTATATTTTCCAAAATTTTGTTCCAGAGATTTGATTTGTGAATGTTTTTTTTTTGACAAATCTAACGTCAGTTAAGCTTTGCTTCAGTGAAGCATATTTAGATTCGTTCCGATGATCTAATCAATTCTTGTATAAATTTAAGAAGAAAAACTGCATTGACTGACAGTCTGAATAGGAAATGAATAGATGCATATGTCATATTATATATATGTAAACTACTGATAGTGTCTGAATGAATGTATTATTTTTATTTTCTCGATTAAAACTAATTATCATTTCTTATATTTTTTGTTAAAAAAACCCAACAATTAAAGCTGTTTTTAAAACTCCATAGTGAGTTAAACAGCAGTAATCATACATAAATTTTGCAGTGAAAACTTTTTTTTATCAGCGACACTAAGATAGATTGCATTAGTATATACATTAATGTTGTTTTTTCATCGCGTTTTTAATACGAAGTGTATATGAATATAATGTGGTATTTATTTTCTCTGTTTTTTTTTAAGTTCTTTTTATAATATTTACTAATGAAAGTAACGGTAAGACATTATGCGTATGACACATTCGTTTTTATTTAGCGAGTCAATTTAGTTGGAAATTATGTACACAACAAATATTTAGTAAATAATAATTTCGAACATAAAGAATTTTCTTTTTTCGCGGAACTTTAGATTCATCATAAAATTGTTGCGAGAATTTTGTTTTATTATAGAAAGAAAGGGAGAACAAACTTCACTTTCCTTTTATAACCAAAAGAGAATATACAACGTAATAAGCAACATGTCGTTTTGGTAACCAGCATTATCGGTGCGTTTGACTGTCGTTTCTCTTTCTTCCTCTTTTTTTTAAATAAGCGACATTCGTCGAATAAAAAAAAAAGAAAAAGGAAAAAAAATCTACTGTAGTCTGGTTATTTTGCAAACATGTTGTTTCAAAACCTGTATAATAAAATTACGTGCGTATTGCGCGCAATAATTATAATTTTTGTTAAACGTTTATTACCATTACTTAAAAAATCTAATTTCTATTTTTTAGAAAAAAAAAACCTTCATCCATGTCTGAAACACCTTCGTCTATGGAAACTGATCAACAAGCAACACACGATCAGGAAAATCCTGCAACTCAACCAGTAGAGGCAGCAGCCGCTTCATCGACATCATCGCCTTCGTCGTCCCCACCACCACCACCATCATCAACGCTAACACCACCGCCTCCACCACCACCACCACCATCACACCCACAACCATTTGTAAGACCACCACCTTCTCAATCATTCGATCCAGCTGCTGTTTTTTTCGAAGCCTACGATTGTGCTAAATTAAATAATAATTGGAATAAGGTATCTAGTTCATTAATGATACATCCCGAGTGGTTATCAAGAATTCCAGAAGGTTTGTATTTAGAAAATTTTTTTAATTCATATCATACTAATAAAATATCAATTTTTTTTTCTAGGACGGCGGTGGACAATGTTACATCAAATCGTTTTTTCTGGTAATGTCATGCATTTAAATGAAGTTCTTGCATTACAAGCATCGAATCCTCAATTTCGTCTTCTTTGTAAAACATTGGATAATAAAACAGTTCGTGAAGTAGCTGCTGAACGTGCACATATACATCCTCAGATGATGCGTCGTATTGAAAGATTAGTTGCTGTTGATCAATTATTGAACAATGCGAAAGATCGTAAATGGGAACTAGTAAAACAATGTATTTCATTACAACCAGATATTGTCAATGAAAAACCACCATATCGTCGATTTTATTTAGCACATCATCTTGCTTTTGTCGGAGAACTTGATATATTTAAAGATTTAAGTACAATTTGTCATTTTAAACTTGATTTAGTTGCTGATAATAAAACAATTAGTCAAGTTGCTCGTGAACATAATCGTATAGCGTTTGCTGAATATATTGAAAGTCTTACTGTAGAATCCGATGAAACGACTGCTAGTAATACTCATGAGGCATCAGGAACACATTCATCAGGAGCGCATTCAACAGGGACACATCATTATAGTCCAGCTTTTTATGATGAAGCTTGTATATCATTTATTCCAGCAAATATCAATGTAGCTAATTTATTTTTACCAACGAATGATACATTATCATATCCTGGTGGTCATCATTCATTGAATACGAATCATGTTGAAAATATTGATAATGGTTATGCAACACATAGTCTTTATCATGGTCCACATACAACGTTACCAACAACAATGATACATGGAAGTACTTTTGAAGAAGATGAAGAAGTTACTGCTACAAAACCTGTGCAACCAAAACCATCTGTACCAGAAATGACCGATGACGAACAAAAAGATTACGAAAAAACAGTCATAAGTAATGTTCAAAAAATGTCTCAACAAAATTTACTTAATTCAATTACTTGTTGTATTACAAAGGAGATTCTTCGTGATCCAGGTAATTCATCTTTAATCAATTTATACTAGTTTAAAAAAAAACGTTTTTAATGCATCATTTAAAATTTATTATCATCCGAAATCATATCTATATGAGAAGAGACAAGGAATGTAATATTAATGAGTTTATATTAATTATAAAATCTTAAAACAAAGGTAAAGTTGAAAAGACACGCTGACATTTGTAGTTTTATTTTTCTACAAATCCTTTCATATTCTCCGTAATACACTATTTAAACTCATAGCAAATTTATCTGAATATCTTGTTTTTGCACAATCGAACGTTCTATTTTATGTGCGAAGATTCATATTAAGAAACTCTCAAACATCAAGACGAGTGGCTATTTTAATTCAAACAGATGACCAAAATATACGTAGTATTCTATATTTATGACTAAAATGCAATCGGACAATAAATAATATGAATGAACAACAATTATATTGACTAAGCGAAAAATATAATAATTCAGAAACAATTAAACTAAAGATAAATATTACATTCCAAGGACAACATAGACTTATTTTTTTAGTTCTATACTATATCGTACGGGTTATAGGGAAAAGACTATATGCGAAAGAACAGGTGTGGGTATGAGTATGACTAATACACCCACACCCACCCTTGAACGATCAAAAAATGATCATTAATATTTAATTGAATTATTTGTTGATTATAGTTGTGGCTGCTGATGGTTTTACATATGAACGAGCAGCAATTTTAAGTTGGTTTGAAACTTCAAATCGTAGTCCAATGACAAATCAAGAACTCGATAATCTTGAATTAAAACCAAATTTTGCTATTAAATCAATTCTACAATTGCTTCAAGGAGGAAATACTTCAGATGAAACTGCTAAAAAAAGTTGATAATTATCATTGGTGATATACGTGTCAGTATGAAACATTTTTTTCTTTGAACTTCCTTTATATTTTTTTCGTTATTTTTCATATAAAATAATGATACTATACCGTTTAATTCACTTGCTGAAAAAGCATATAAACTTATATTTTCTTTTTTTTTGATCAAGCCTGTAATGATTGATTTCTGTAAAAAAATATGTAATTTCTTTTGAATTTCAGATAAGTATTGTTTTTAAAAAACAAAAATACAATGTCTGATGAAGAACTTTTACAAAAAGCTGTTGAATGTGCAAGAAATTTTCAAGATTTTCCTCAAGTTCTCATGGCAATTAGTCTTCATCCAGAATGGTTAACTATCATCCCAGAGAATCGAAAATGGGCAATTTTACATCAAATTATTTTTTCCGGTGATGTCAATCAACTTGAACAATTACTTGCTTTACAAAAATTGAATAAAAAATTTCGTTTACAAACGAATACACGTCAACAGGAGACAGTATTAGATATTGCTGCTTTACGTAAAGACGTACCAGATATGTTGAAACGTATTCAACAACTTATTAAACTCGATGAAATGCTTACTTATGCGAGAGATTGTCAATGGGATAAATGTTATAATATTATTAAAGAAAATCCCAGTTTTGTTAATGAAAAACCGCCCTATCGTCGTTTTTATTTAATTCATCACATAGCTTACGCAAATGCTATTAAAGAATATGAAAATATGAAACAAATAAAAGGCTGTAAATTCGATTTAAATCTACGAGCTGATCGAAAGAAAATTAATCTTATTGCTAAAGAAGGACAACAGTTTGCATTTGCAACATATATTGAAAAAGAATGTCCAAGTTTATTAGAGCAAGATGATCCTGATGATGATAGCATTTATCAGGCAACAGACCATGCTATAAAACAAACAGAAATTATAAATACTATGATGGAACAAACGAATATAATTCAAGATTTAGATCAAAATCTTATTGGTGGTCCAACTAAAAAAAGTCGAGATGAAGTAATGAAATATTTAAATAATTCAAAAACTGATACTGAAATACAAGAAGTAAAAACAAAAGTTGCAAGTTCGAAGGTTGAAGAAAGCAAACATAAAGAGATTCTTCTTGATAATCTAACGTGTCCACTTACACTTGCTGTTTTTACTGATCCAGGTAAATATTTTTCCATTGACATTTATTTCGACTGAAAAAAATGACTGTCAATCTAGTGATTGCTGCAGATGGATTTACCTATGAACGTTCAGCAATTACAAAATGGTTAGAAAAAAATGATAGATCACCGATGACAAACCAAAAACTTTCTAATAAAAATCTCAATCCAAATCATATTGTTAAACAAATTATCAGTGCTTTTCAAACAGTACTTTAAGTATACATATATATTACTATGCAACGTTTTACTACTTTAATAGGTAGCACGAATGGCGCATTAGTTTTAGTTTTTATCATACCTGTGATATTAATATTTTATACAGAATGAGAAAATAATAAGTACTAACCGGCTTTTTAATCTATTTTTTAGATAATGTCTGCGTCTGTTACTAATAATCAGGGACCTTTATCATTCGAAGAAGTCTATGATATAGTAAAACGTAATGACACCGCCAAGTTTGATCTTGTTTATCGAACATTATTAGATAAATCAGAATATTTAACTCTTATACCAAATAATGAAATTTATTCAATTCTTCATCATATTGTTTCACATGGTGCACTTGATTTATTCAATAAAGTCATAGCTATCCCTAATATACGTGTTATTCTATTAACGAAATCATTAGGTAAACCAGGAAAAGATATTCTTCAAATAGCAGGTGAAAATCGAACGAAATCGAATAAATACAAACAATTATATCAAACAATTGATCGTCTTGTTCAAATGGATAAATTTGCTGAGTATGGTAAAAGTAATGAAATAGACGAATGTAAAAAAATGCTTGCATTAGATGAAGATTTAGTCAATCAAAAACCACCATATAGAAAATATTATTTAATTCATCATTTAGCTTATGCAAATAATAGAGAAGCATTTGATCAACTTCGTGAATTATGTAATTTTGATATGAAATTATTAACAAGCGATCAAAAAACAGCATCAGAAGTTGCTTTCCAACAAGTTCATACAGATTTTGCTAATTACCTGGAAACATTATCACCGGAAATGCGTGCTATACGTGAACAACATCAAAAAGAAAAACAAGCACAAAATCAAGTACAAATAAAACAGGATGATCGACTTGAAAAACTTCTTATTGAATTAGGTGGAACTAACATGTTAGATCGTTTTACATGTCCATTAACAAAAGAAATATTTCATGATCCTGTTGTATTAAGTGATGGTTTTACATATGAAAGATCAGCAATACAACAATGGCTTGATTTAGGCAACCATCGTTCGCCTATGACAAATATAGAATTAACCAATGTTGAACTTGAGAAGTTATTCACAAAACAACGTAGAATTTCATAGAGAATAAATTTTAAGGTAAGAATAAAATAATCACGACAGTTTGTGAATAAATTTAGTACCTAATTCAGTTCTAAAACATATATTGAATGAAATTTCTGAAAAACAGAAAAAATAACAATATGATTGATAATTTTTTTTATTAAAATCTACCCAAGACTTCGGTTACATTAATAAATTTATATTTTATACATAGTATTTTTTAGGTTTCAGATAACATTAAATGATGTACTTACATATGATCAAGTCTATTAAATGGTAAAACATAGTTATATCAATGATTAATCCATATGGAATCAAATATATGTATATATACTTCATAATTTAAATAATTTATTTTATATAACATCGATCCATCGTTAGTCTATTGGGTATTAAATAATTTATGATGAAAATTTCAAATTAATATAACACATCCAAGCGATATCTATAAAACAAAAAAAACGTTGTTCAGTACATATATCGAACATTTATTTGCACAAGAGTATATACATTACTTAATTTATTAGATAATTAATGTCAACTGGATTTACAAAATGATAATGGTAAAACGGCTTTAAACTTAGCACGAGAAAGATTTGAAAAATGTAAATCTTGTTTCATACCATTAGATCAAGTACCATTAGCACTTGGATTAGTTATTGACTGTGCACGTTCTGGTCATGAATGAGACAAAGTTTATCGATTTCTATTTGTTCATCCAGAAGACTTATTTACTATACCAGGAGGACGTGTCTGGCCAATTGCCCAACAAATAGTTTATCATGGTGATATCAATCTTCTTAAACGTATCCTTGCACTCTATTCTGGTAATCAAATGATAAAAAGACTCTTCTTAATGTTGCAAAAGAACGAGAAGTAGCTCAACAAGCAATGTATACTTACACAGAACATTTATTTCTTCAAGATGATTTAATTCAAGCAACTCATCGAAGTAATGGGCCTTTATTTATAGATATTCTTGAAAAAAAGTAATTCATTGACGAATGAAAAACCACCGTATTCAACATAGTTTCTTTTGTATTATGTGATACAAAATGGTAAGACAGATCTTTTACAAGATTTTTCTACGACGTTTTCAATTTCAAACACATGTTTTAAGTACAAATAATGAAGCGCCTATAGATATACTTACAAAACTAAAGCCAGATGATATGTGCTTAATACTTGAACCAACAAAACAAACACAGTGACAATCTAATCTACCTCGATCTAGATTACTTCCATCGTCACAACCACGCTTAGTAAATACATCATATGAAGATCAAAGATCCTCCGTATATGCAACAATTCCAACAACATTTAAGTAATATCTATGACACCAGTCTCATCTATTTCTAAAAAACATATGTTGAAGGATTTTAAATATCTTTTAACACGCGAAGTTTTTGTTGATCCAGTTATTGCAAGTGATGGTCAAATATATGAACGAGAAGCTATTATTGAATGGATTAGATTATATCATTGTTCACAAATAACTGGTGTATCAATGGATGCAACATTCTCAAATAATATAGAAACCAAACAAATCCGTATTCTTCTTTCAATATTTATTTTTTCCTTTTATTTAGGAAATCTCAGAAATGCATTTTGCTATAGATTTTTAGTAGATCAGTTTAACAATATTATCAATTTATTTCTAGATTTATAAGTCAGATTATTAAGAATGGAAACACTTAATCATTATAATGAATTATGGAAAGAAACCAAAGAAAATTATAGTGGTATGTTAACTTATTTATGTATAACTATTTTGTTAGCAGAAAACCATTTATAATTTCAACGATCGATGTAGTTTTAATATAAATATAAATTATATTCTTCATATTTCGACAGTACTTCCTTTACAATAAATTCTATATATTATAAATCATTCGATAGCAGAAAATTTTAACGATAGTTTAATCCTTAAAAACTTTTGTAAACAAAGGGATTAGATATATATATTGATCATGACATAAAATAAAGTATCTATGATTTTTTGTGGAAAAAAGATTTACTTATCAAAACTAACTAAAAACTTCAAATAATCCTTTTAGTATATAAATTCTGTTTTTCTTTTGTTCCATATATATCAGAAATAGAATTTTGTCCGAACTATTAATCATACTACGCTCTGATATATTCATAAGTACTTCATCAATTCTAAAGATTTTTTTTATGTTGTATCATAGATCCACGTACGTCCGATTTATTTATGATGAGTTCTCCACTGCCAACAGCTTTAATCTGCTTGGGATATTTCGTATTTGTTGCCATGGGACCAACATTGATGGCTAACCGTCCTGCTTTTAACATTCGTCAAATATTAATTGTTTATAATTTTGCGATGGTTGCTCTATCAGGTTATCTTTTCTATGAGGTAATTCAAAAAAAAATTAGAATATTTCTTCATTAAAAATAAACTTTTTTCAGTTTCTTGCTGCTGGTTGGCTAAATGGTTATTCATTAGGTTGTCAACCTGTTGATTATTCTCGATCACCAGATGCTATGAGAGTAAAGAAAAGATTTTTTTATTATATTAAGAGTATCTTCTTTATATAGATGGTTCGAGTATGTTATTTATTTTATCTATCAAAATTTATCGAGTTATTGGATACCGTATTTTTTATAATGAAAAAAAATTTTCGTCAAGTTTCCGTCTTACATGTTATACATCATGGTATTATGCCGATAAGTTGGTGGTTTGGTATTCGTTTTGTTGCCGGTGGTTTTGGAACTTTCCATTCATGTATTAATTCATTCATACATTTTCTTATGTATTTATATTATGGACTTGCTGCCCTCGGTCCATCTTATCAAAAATATTTATTTTGGAAAAAATCAATGACATGGATGCAAATGGTATGTATTAATATATATATAAAATTTTTTAATATTTTTCCTTCTATCTTAAGATTCAATTTATACTGGTAATGATTCATGCATCACAATTATTTTATATAGAATGTAATTATCCAGTTTTATTCGCTTATTGGATATTTGCATATGCCATTATGTTTTTACTCTTTTTCGCCAATTTTTACGTCCAATCATATTCGAAAACTTCCTCATCGACAATCTCAAAACCTAAACAAGCCAAGTCTGATAGGAATAGTCACAAAAAAGATGAATAAGAGAAGATCTGTGATGATTTTATACGTATTTTTCAAACTTGAACAAATCGACAAGAATGTAGTTTTGATATATTTAGAGAATGACTCAAACAATTTAATCTCACTCCCAATCATTTTTTTTTATTAAATTCGTATAGCGCATAATTTTTTTCTCCGACAAAACAGATAATAATAACAAAAATATTTTAGTTTGTATTTTTTTTTGTTTGTTTGTTTTTTATTGATTATAATAATAATGATGTGGATAATACTCATAAGAATTTGATGTTAACCATGACCAATTCGTCGAAGATAATTGAGAATTTGAATGTTGTAATACTTGTGCACGTTGTTCAAGTTCATCTGCTATATGAATTTTTTCAGGTTCATTAAATAAAACTGGATTTTGTTGTGTTTGACTACGCATGAGATAACGTTTTGCACGTTTTGGATGTGTATTTTGTGTTCGATTTCGTTTATTTGAAAACCATGCTTTTACCTGAGTTTCTTTAATACCACCAGTCGTAGCTAAATAATCTAAATCATTACGATTTGGATATGGATTATCTTCATGTGATATAAACCAAGCATTCATTAAACGGATCGCTTTTTCTGGTAATTGTTTATTAGATTTTATGTTTATCGAACGATATGTTTGCTTAATATTATCATTTTCATTATTTATTGAACTGGATTCATTCTAAAAATAAATAATTATGATTTAGAAAATATATGCTAATCATTGATTCGATTCTCGAACTAAACTTTTATGTTATTTATATAATTAAATTTATTTTCTCAATTAACTTATGTTGTATTGGTTATTAGAAAATATTCTAAACGGTTTCTATACTGAATTGAATCTAGAAAATGTTCAAATATGAACTGAACACTCTGTTACTTACTTCATTTGAGGTTTGTTGATCGTACTGTGATGTAAAAAACATGATTGATAAATGAGTTTTTTTGAATATTCAACTAATGAATGAACATTTATTCATATGGAAAATATGTATATACATGATCGAAAACTATCTATTTATTTTTTTTTCTCTCTCTCGCTCTCTTTCATTCTTTCGGTTTGTCTCTTATTTCTTCGAACGAAATTTGACCAATTGTAATAATTACGAATGTTGACGAAAAGAGAAAATTATTAGCTGCGCACCAGGTAAATTGATATCCGTAATGAACACATCCTACCACCTAGCACGATACATAATATATAGAACTGATCAAATTTTTTTGCCATGTTAGACAAACTTTAACACGGTAATTAAAAAAGTCTGATAATCATTGGAAAAATATAGTCTGAATGTGTGTGTGAGTGTGTGAAATACAGATTTTATTTTTAATCGAAAACGAAATAAATAATATCCTACGTAGATAATTTATTGTTTCACGTAGAAGTAGTGAATTATAATATGAGAATGCAACATAATTTTTTTAAAATTCAGATTAGATTGAAAATGAATGCAACCTTTGATTATTTATCATACACTGATGATGATGATGATAATTAATTGAGACATAGAAAGTACAGTTTACGTAATCTTCTTTTATTATCTCAATAGTATTGCAGAGATATGTAGATAGCTATATATCTCTTTAGAAGTCAGAAATGAGACTGTCACTATACATCAATTTAAAATAGATTGAAGAAAGAAAGTTTTTTCTTAGGCACATTAATTATTCAAATCTCTTTTTAAATGATAAGCTTCATTCAAGGGTGTACTAATTATTTGAAATAAAATTTTAAATAGTACTTCTACATAATAAAAATAAATGGTTTTTTTTCAACACTATTTCAAAATTTTGTAAATAATGCGTCTTATATTTTTAAGATTCAAAAAATATTATTAAAAGCATTTTTAAACAACAAATCACATTAATTATACATATAGAACTGCTATTTTTCTCTTCTTTATAGTAAAGTCAGATATTTTTGAATGAATGTAAATATTTAATGTACGACAACGGAGATTCACGAGATCAAATAGTAAAATATTGCAACTGTTCATTCAATACTATAAAAGTAAATATTAATCATATATTGATTTCATATTAAAAATATTTATCTAAAATCTTCAGATTACTTTTTTCGTCAATTTAAACTAATTGAATTTATTCTAGTTCATATACAAATAATATAAATTTAATATTCTTATTTCTTTTTTCTCCTTTGCATTTTCTAAAAACAATAGAATAATAAATGAATGCTTAACATTCTACTAAAAAAAAAAAGTATTGAAAATAATAGAATTATGTATTATAGTTAAAAATAATAAATGATCTCTATTGTAATCATAACTCGTTAAAATTCATATAATTTAAAAGAATATTTCAAGATTGAAGCATGACATATACTGTATAATCTATCGTTACACTCTTATTAATAAGCGGAATCTTGAAGAATAGGAAGAAAATGTTGAAGAACTTCTAGACAAATCGTTTTTTACATTAGCTAAGAAATAAACAATCAGTAATGATTGTCATGATAAAAACTATGTCGACCATATGGAATGATTCATCTCATCTGTCAGAAAATCTTTTCTTTCATTTCTTATAGACAAATGACTTCTTTTTTTTTTGACAATGACAAAACTTTTATTTATATCATACAAATTCATAATTATGACTGTTAAATCAATTATCATTATTGACTGCTTTATCAGTTAAGATAATGTACTAGATACTATCCGTACAGCTATTAGTACTACGAAAAAAGGAACAGATTTTTCTCATCACTAACATTTTAGTGATTTTGAATTTTTTAAATGTTAAGATAATTTCAATTTTTCTTAACAAAAACATCATATTTCAATATCTAATCAAATTACATGTCAGTACGATGAATAAATTTAGATAATAGAGCATTGTTTCTATAATAAACAAATCTTGTTCGATTACATAGAAAATCATTGTATGGGTTTTTGTTTTTTGATTAATTATCTATTTCCATTGAAGCATTATAAAAACGTTATCAATATTATATCTAATGCGATTAAATGCATTTCTTTTTTCAAATAATAAAAACAAACACTTTTCATATGCTTATGATAATGATCGATGTCATACAATAAAAAGAATGTGTTCAATGAAATATCATTTTCCTGTTTTTTGTTTTGTTTTAAATATTGTCCCAAAAATTTGGTTATTGACAATAAAAGTCAACACAGTGATGTAGAAAAAAAAAAGAGAGATAGAGAGAGAGAGAGAAAGTTAAAGAGAAAAAATGAAAGAAAGAGAGAACAACAATCAACTATACAAAAACAAGAAGAAAGAAAGAACATGAATGCCATCATTCTGTTTTCATTATTCTAAATTATGACAATCTAACATAGATAACACGCACATATATAGAAAGATCTTTTCTCGTTTTTAACCAACAAAACATACATGCAGAGAATATCATGGCATTCAATGTCACTGTTCGTTTAAATGCAGACGGAGACGACTAAAAAGAAGGAGAAAAAAAAAAGAAAACAAAGACGCGCATACACACACACACACACACACACAACAAAAGACAAAAAGAAGAAGAAGAAGAAGAAAAAAAAAGTTAATTTCATCACAGTTGAGAGACGGGGAATCGAATGTCGCGCACGCGTATGAGAAAAATCATATGTGTAGATTGTAGAAAAATATACATATATAGAAACACTTTGATTCAATAGCGGCGATGATGTAAATGAGCATCTGACGCCCAAGAAAAACCGAGAAAAGAGAAATGATAATTTAATATTTTGATTTTTTTTTCTACGCGACAACGGTGCGTCCACACTGTGGAATGTGTCGTGAAGACAGAAGAAGAACAAAAAATTTTCCGGATAGAAAAAAAACCAAGGGATAAACCGGGTTAGACGCGCACGGCACGCATTCATCAAGTAGATGGATCTTCGTTACGCAATAGTCGCCGGTATATTTGTGAATTTATAAAACGTGGATAAGAGTCACGATGCATCAAAGTATATATTTGTAATTGGGCTTCGTCGAATGTATGTGGAGATGGTTCAACCATATTTTTATTGATTACTTCGCGCACTCGACTATCCAAACTTACCTAAAAAAATTACAAAATTTATTAAATAAAAAATCTTTAGAATTCATTTTATTTTAATTTTACCTCTTTCGGAGATAAAATAGATATATAATCTTCATAGATTGATCGTGCTTTTTCTTCAATTCTCTCAGGATTTTGTTCATTTTTAAGTGATTCACAGGACATCCAGAATAGAAAATTTTCTTCACTATATTCGGATCGTAAAAAATCGCGAAAATAACGACGACCAGCTAAAATAAAAAAGAATAGAGTGCGTTTTTTTTAAAGAATAAAATGACTTTTTAATCAGCTTAAAACATTTCAATATTATAAATTCTTACCGGGATTAAGCATTAATTTGTCAAAGGATTCCGACCAACTTTTGAGTTCTTCAATAGAAGGTCTACATATATTTAAGCTAGATTTTTAATATGCATAATATAAAAAAGAATAGAAATACATACGGTTCACCTAAGTCTACAGGTTCTGTAGATTGACGGTTGTCGTTGGCGCGCTCCGTTAAACTATAATAAAAAGAAAATGAATAGATTGATAGATGTTGAATAATGAATGTTTTGAATAAGAAATAAAGAAGACGACGACAACAACAACGAAGAGAAAAAAAAACAAGAAGAAAACTTTCTACTGTTTAAAGATTACTTTTTTGGTCCTCCAAGTATTCTTCGAACGTTTTCCGGAAAGACAAAAACAAGATGTTCAAGAACACTCTTTCCAATTCCACGATTTTGATTTGAACGGTGTTGATGATCATCAAATGAAGTTGCACGTTGTTTATTAGAGAAATTTCTTGTTGCATAGGCTGTTCCACCAACAGCACCAGCTCCTCCTTTAGTTTTTGTTGAAGGTCTATTGGGCATTGATAATGTTGATGCAGATGAGCTTAATAGCGATTTTTCCTGTATAATATTCATTTCTGATGTAGTTGTTAAACTAGTTGACATTGATGATGAACTATTTCCACTTGGCTTGTGTTGACGACGGTTAGAAAATGACGTTGGAGGAGGATTACCAGACACATTCATTAATGTTGATGATGAATGTGATGCACTTATATTAGAATCGGGTAGCAATGCATTTTTCGATGGAGATTGTTGATAACGACTGTTACGAGATCGTACAGATGTATCTGTATCACATGTGACAGATATTGTACTTAATGTTGCAGAATTCGAACGTTGTGATCGTTTTTTATTTGTATTATTACTTTCTTTCCGAATAGTATTATTATTATTATTATTATTATTATTGTTATTGTTATTATTATTACTTGATCCATCGCTAAGTTTAGCACGAGCCACATGTTCAGGTACAACTTGAGTCATTGGATTGTTGAGTATATTTATATTGGAAGATGTTGAGATAGAATTTGTTTTTATTTCAAACGATTCCGGCTGCCAATGATATGGCCACGAGACCAAACTTGAAAAGTCATACTGATGTAACAACAACGACGATGACGGATGCTGTTCGGATTCCATGATCCATCGTTGCCGTCGACAAAAAAAAATTATTATTAATTCTTCTCTTTTGCTTCTTCTTCTTCTTCTTCTTCTTCTTCTTCTTTTTCTCGTTTTTTTTGTATCTGTAACGACGTTGAGTTGATGACGGCAGTAATAGTCAAACCTTCATCACTATCATCATCCTTACTACCACCGGCAGAATCAACGCAAACGAGAGTGACATGTTCTTTTTCTTTTGGTTTTTTTGGTCTCGCGCTACTAGCAAGAACATCACATCAAAGACAAACCCGGCGAATGAGAGAAGTGTAGATCTAGTTTTTTTTTCTTTAGCTAACATGATTTAGCTAATAACAAGTCTGGAATGAAAAAGATGACGACAAGCCGAGAACGAGAGTCGTTGTTGTCGGCGTCGACGTTGAACACTTTTTTTTTCTTTTTTGCAGATATACACAAGTAAAACACCGACAACGCAAGTCGAAGAAAGAGAAGAAAAAGAAACGATAGATATGTCCCTAATCAGATTAGGAGTGGGTAAAAAAGAAGAAGAAGAAGCAGAAGCGAAAGAAAAAAGACAGAGAAAGAAACGTTTCGTTTTCACCCGTCAAAATGCTAGTTGCATGAGAAGAAAAAAGAAGAAATCTCAGTGCTAAAGAGGGCGCGCGATATGTAGTACATGCAATATGCAAGTAGCAAGTTTGTTATCGGATTATTGAGCACAGTGACGGACTACTTTTGTATCGTCTCTCCCAATAGAAATGTAATTAGAGTTTATACTCTATTGTCAAGAGTGCATCTGTTGTCAAAATATATATCTATTTGTTGTATGACTTTCGAAAGAGATAAAAAGAAGCAAAAAAAAAAAAGAAGCTCGATCAACAGCAATGATGAAAGTAAACTGACTGAATTATAATATAGCCTATTATTCTTTTCTTTCCGAAACGGAAATCATATTTGGCAAACGTGAGTCTCCTTCTCGTTTATTTTTTCGCTCGCACATCATAATAAGAGCAGCATCACAATATTCATAGAAGAAGTAGAAGAAGGAAAAAAGTGAGAAGAAGACGAAGAACAACAAAAATAAATACAATATACTAAGAAATAATAATCAAAATTTACAACATACTTTGGTGGATGACGTCGTATGGAACCGAATGGGTTAAATTTGAAATGTTTAATCATGTTCTTTTCACATGCACACGCGCGCTAATAAACGCGCAAAATCACCAGGAGGACTGGAGAGGAGTAGGGGACCAATTTTTGTATAGATGAATGTGATGCTGCTGTCTGTGTTAATGTGCGATGATGAGGAGACCCAGGTCTAAAGCAAGATAGATAGTGAAAAAAAAAACTACGAATATGTACAGATTAACTAGTAACTTCAAAAATAAAAAACAATTAAAAAAGACAAAGGGAAACATGGGTGGTTTACAAACACATATACACCAATTTTCTTTTTTTTGCGCAATATCGAATTGAAAATAAATTCCAAACAAAAAAACCGAATAACATAGATCTATACATAAATACGTACCACGAACAGGAGCAACAGCAACACCAACAAAAACAACAGGCTTTTGGTGCTTGATCACTATGTGAAGGAGATGATGAATTAAGTAGTTCTTGTTGATTGCAAGGTAGATTTGAAGGTGTTGATATTTGACGGCGCGATCGATTACTTTCGTAAATTGATGAGTTTTCTTGATTAGAATGACGCGAGCTCATAATCTAACAAAAGGAATTCTCCTTTATTTAATTTCAATTTTTTTTTTCTGTTGTTGTTTACTTTACGGAAACAATTCCTTTGCACTTCTTCGACTTGACCGACAAAACCCTCTGTGAGCCGGAAAAGGATGTCGGCAGCTGAAAAAATCAGCACCGAATAGGAGGGTGTTGTAGAAGTAGAAGGAAGATAGCAACGACGATGTTGCGTTGCTGCTACTACTGCTGCTGTTATTGACGAAGTACTTAACAATAAATTTGATGCTTTTCTTTTTTTCCTAAAAAAAAATAAAAAATTACAACCTATATATATCAATATATGATCGAATCATATGAACTAACAAAAAACCATCATCGAACATTAAACGAGATAAAATATAATAACTTGACGCATATTGTAATCTTTTCTTTTTAGACTATAGGCTGAGAAGAGTAATCAACGTCACCATCACAGAGCTCATATTCTTTCTTTTCTTTCTTTCATTCTATTTTATATTCTTTAACCAATGTTAGAGAAAAGAGGATCTATGCATGATCTCCTTTCAAATGAATATGACCACTTCGATAGATAGAAAAAAAAGTGTTAAGAAAGACAATTTTATTGAATTTAATAAGTTTTTAATCTCAAGACATTTGAAAATATTCTTTGTTGTTTTTGTTAATCAAGACATTAAAATTGTTTTTTTTTCCTATGCGTACACAGGATATGAAATGTCAATTTACTTTTATATTAAGAAAAAACACAGAAATTTGTCTATATAGTATGAAATTTCAGACAAGTATAATTGTTTTATATTTAACTTTAACTTAAGTATTTTCTATTTTTGTAAAGAAGCAAAAAAGAAAACATATGTAATAATTAAGAAAATTCATTATCATACCTAGTTGGCGAATATTTCAATGTTCGTGTGGTCTCTTTGTAGAAGACGAACATAATGCGACAGTCGCGTTCGTGTTTTATTAGCGTTCATTGAAGCGTCTATAAATAAGACAAGAAAATGGCCAACATAGCAAGGACTCTACCATAGGAAGGCTTCTCGCTTTGCAGATCTGCTTTGGTATACTGAAAAAGGGTGTCCCATCATGTGTAAAAGAAAGAAAGAGACGATGAAGAGATAGAGGCTTTGGACTATGCACAGACGTGCTGTTTTCTTGTTGTGGCTTTCACTTCTCCTTCTCCTTCTTCTTCTCTCTTTCTCTCTTCGTCACATCATCATCAACATCATCACTATCATGATGACTTACCATGCAGCAGAAGAAAAAAAAGAAAGAAACGAGTAATGGCACAGGTTGGTTCCGAAGTTGAATAATTGAAAGCAATGTTTTGTGTGTAGCTATATATAAAATATAGTTCTATCTATTTATAGAATCAAGACAATTGTCGACAGCAACTGATCATGATCTACAACAAAAAAAAGAAGAGAAATACAATGTAAATGCATGTTCAATCAGTTTTTTTTTCCATACTAGAATTTTGTCGATTCATAGCACCTATGAATCTGTAGTAGAGTAGTTAGCGATGGAACTCTTAACACTATCATCAACTATTGTTATAGAAGAGTAGTAATAGTTATGAACAGAACAAACACACACACACATATGTAGATGGGAAAATAGAATGTTAAAGAGAAAGAAGAAAAAAAAGAGAGAAAACAAGGGAGAAATGATGATGATGCGCTAGTACCACCGCCCTATTCTCTCTCTAAAACTAAATCCTAGCAGCCAGTCAGCAATTATCTCAAATAGTAGAGAGAAGCAGAGATAGAAATGAGTAGCGCATGAGCTTGCTCATCAATCAGAAGGCGTGACAATTCTCATTGCTGTCATCATCAAATAAATAAACGAATCTACTCACTATAGACTAACTTATGAATTAGTTATATGTAACTGAAAAAAAAATCAACAATCATTTAAACTTATCAGAATTACATATTACTTCGAAGATCGGATATCAAAAATGATAAAAAGATAGCAAAAGAAAGAGAATCATTCAGGATAGATTCTTTCTTTAATATATACAAGAATTATCTGTGCGTATGTTTCTCTCAAGCGATACATACACATTCTATTAAATATATACGACTCTGTTAATTTGGTATTGGTGACATTTACCAGTCGCTGAAGAAGATTATTACAGTAATTCTACTGCTTTTGTTGTTACATCTGACTGAACTAATTGATCAATGTATCTTTTATATAAGTTAATAAAAGTCAATCTTACATATTCTTTATATGTATTAGTTCATCGCTCATTAGTATTGAATATAAATATATATCGCAACAGACTTATTTTACCTTACTTACTTTAGCAATGTTCATTCTTTTTCCTTTCTTTCTTTTTTTTTTCTTCCTTCTTCGTTCTTTTCCTGACTTTTTTTCATCAGACAAATGAATAAGCAAGCGAATGTTATAGAGAAATAGAGGAAAAAAAAGAAGGGAAAGGATCGAAGAGTAATTAGTAGGGAGGAGAGAAACTTCGTTTCTTTGTTGTCTTCTCTTATACCTCTTTATTTTTTTCTTTTCTCTAGTATTTCAATCAAACAAAACAGTTAAATGCAGAGAGCGTGATTCCACCTGCTAGAAAATAAAAGAAAGAAAAAGTGCTATCTAGTGGAGTAACAATGATGACGGCACAGACACACACACATACACACATATATATATATATATTTGTCTGGCGTCGATTTATATGAGTAAAAGATGCTGACTGCAATTGTTAAAAATAAAATAAGAGAAATATAACTAAAGCAAAAAGGAGAAGCAGAAAACGCTTTTCATATATTGAGTTAAATAAGGTAGACTTCATGTCGAACATCATCATCTCAAGTTTCTATATAGTCGATAGATTCAACATGCAAAATAAAAACAACGACAATAACGACGACAAGCAAAGAAATAAAAAATCTATTGCGTGTGTGTTGATTGTAGTTGCATTATATATTATTGAGAATAAACCCAAGAGAAACCATTTTTCTCCGTTACTGTTAAATCGTTGCCATTTAAGATGAACTTACTTTAGTTCCTTCCCGTAATTTTGTATTTTTAAGTCAACATATAGACAAAATATACACACCCACATGGTATTGATAGTAGTAGTGCACAAGATGGTAACGAAGCCTGATGATGGCTGTATAGCAAAGCAGAAGGAAAAAAAGAAGAAGAGAAGAGAATATGTGGCTGTACTACCATCATTCTCTATTACTTTTTTTTCTTCATCAGCTTCTAGCTGTTGTTGTTGTTATTGTTTATAGTTTTGGCAGGCGTCTTGCTCTTCCCTTTTTTTTCTCTTCTTTTCCTGGTTGTATGTGTTAGAGAGAGGGAGAGATGCAGAGAGAGGGGGTGGAGGTCTTCTTCGTCCGAACATCTATCCATCCATCTATCACTAGCATCGTTCTTCTTCTTCTTCTTCTTTTTCTTCTTCTTTTTTTTTCTTCTTTTTTTTGTTGCACACAATGAAAATTGACACGAGAAATTAGAAATGATGGAGAAACAACGACCATGATGACGACGACGACGACGACGAGAACACTGCTTTTTTCCCTGTTTTTCTGCACGATTTCTTTTTCTTTCTGCTTAGCGTGCGGGAAAACGCATCGACATACTATGTCAGTAGAACGAGTTTTAGTTTGAGAGTAATGAAGAACAAAAAAAAATATAGGGAAAAACGCGAAAGCAAGAAAAAGACAGAACATGAATCGACTGACGTTGCCTTGTCATTTTGAATAAAAATGTGAGAAGCAAACAAAGTCTACATAGCTCAATTTGTCTCTCTCCCTCTCCCTCTCTTTTCTTTCTTTTCCGATTTTCAGCCGTTAAGCTAAAAAAAAAGCGCGAACCACACACTGAGATGTCGTTCTTCATTGCATTCTTTCCTTTATTTAGAGGTTTAGTACGATAGCAAACGATTGCCGGTCGAGATACCAATGGGAGATGGAACGTGCGCAAGAGAGATGTTGTAATCTGTTATTAGTTTTTCTTTTCATTTCCGTTCTGGCACGCGCACATATCAACTCCAGCTATGTTCTATACAACGAACAAACAATAAAAAAAAGAAAAATATAGTCAATAATGATATAGAGTGCAGTACATTATGACAACAAAATAAAAAAATATCATTTATGTTTTGCTGATGAAACAATTGATTGGTTCCATATAAAATCTGCTTTACGCATCGGTTTTCGTCGTTGTTGAATACTAATTGCGGATGACATTCTTTGAAGAGATGTTGATTTAGGTGTAAATGTTGGACGATATTCTTTTAATGCAGCTAAAGTTAATGGTGGAAAAGCTAAAACAATAAAAAAAAAAAATTTTTTTTTAAAATTATTCAATTATTTCTGGTTGACTTTCTCACTTTCATGATGTAAATTTGATTCTGTTGATTGACCTTGTACAATAGAACTTTCTTTAGCAAATAATGATTCAATATTTCTTTCTGCTAATCGTTTTGTAGAAGGTAAACGACGAGTACTTATTGGACGATATATTGGATTATGAGCATCAAGATCTTTTAAAAATTTTACATGATATTTTTTTTCTTTATGTTGAACATGCATAGATTGAGAACGAGATAGATTTTGTTTATCAGTAAAGAATTCTTCTTCTTCTTCATCTTGAATAGGATATCTTGAAGTATTCTTGAAAAAGTAAATGATTAAATACGGAAATAAGAGAGAGAGAAGAAAAAAATACCGAATGCTTACATTTATTGTTTCGGAAAAATATTTTTGTATACTTGGATCATTATTTAATTGTTGTAAACTGTTACTATAACCGGATGATTTTAATAAATTTGCTTTTTGTTCATTAAGTTTTGATGAGCGAAATAATAACTGAGACTAAATGAAATGCCATATTATTCTTGACATTTTCAACGTATATACAATAATAACAATCTCCTACTGATTTTTTTAAGCTGATTATTCGCTTGAAAGATTTTCCTAAGCTATTCTAATCTTTCTTTTGATTATGATAAGATCTTTCTCTTATTTTAATTAATATTTAGAGTTCTTTTTCTTCTATAATATAATCAAATGATATATATATATATATACCTGATGAGGATTTATTAAAACCTCATTAGCCATGTCTAAATAACGTTTAGCCGAATCAATATCTGAACTATTCCGTACAAATTGTTCAAGTTCTTGACGTGATGCTTGTTGAGCAACTTGATCACGAACGAATGATTGATATGCAGCCTAGATATGCATACATATTAAATAATATTTATTATTATTATTTTAAGATAAAAAAAAGCGTGCATATAACGTGCAGGAATATAAAAAGCATGATACAAATACGCATACTTCAAGATCAACATGTGATAGTGACTGCGTTGTGGTCGTAAAATGTACCGCCGAACGCAGTCGCTGTAAAAATTCTTCTTGATCATTAGAATTAACTGCAATAACGCAATAGAAGATTAAAATTAAAAGTAAAGACAAAAACCATTGGGGGAAATAAATTAATTTAGGGGAAAGGAGGATTGAGCAACACAAAGTATATAAAGAAACAAAAAGGAGCGGACCTTTGCTGTCGTGTACATGACTATTCGTGAAGGCTTTTTTTTCAAGTCTTCACTCTCTAAATAAAACAGATAAATTTATATTTTTCATATCTTATCAAACTAATATATTCTTATTTTCATTCATGCAGAAGTAAATATATCCTGATTTGTATTGCAAAAAAATTTTCATCATGTAAAGTTTTTTCTCATTAATTAATCTGCTGAATACTATTACTCATCTCATTCGATGACGTTTTCTTTGATGTTTTTTATATGATGAATGATGTTTTTCTTTTCTTTTTAGAAATTCTTCAAATCAAAGAAGTGTTTTGAAAATTTCTATTTAAAAAGTGCAAATATAAGTCGAAAATTCAATTAAAAACATTATAGTTCTATTTTAATTTTAGTACAGAAATTTTGAGAAATATAAATCGATATTATCATTGTTCTATTTTACAATCAAGATAATGTTACAAAAAATAATCAAAATTACTACTTGAGCGATCTCATCAGAATGATAGATCTTTATATTGAAATCTCTCTTATGTTAGATAGAAAATCGCATGTCAATGTCATCTAATTAAAGAATAACTTTTGTTGCGTTTTGAGCAAAAATAAAATATAATCATTAAATGTGGTTTTTTAAATATAGCATACACTCGAAATTTTTTAATTAAAAATCAATTTCGTTTTTACATAAAAAATATCGATTAAGATATGCAAAACCAAGGTTTTTCTTTAGTTCCAGTCTCAACCTTTGCTATTAAAATTTTTTATCTTCAGTTCACCTGTGCAAACATTAATTTCTATGGTATCTATTAATAGAAATCAATTTATTTTCGAATCAAATGAATTTCAATGGTTTCTTTTCTTAAGATTATATTATTCAAAATATTTCTTTCCTATAAAGTTTGACAAGAATAAATAAGTATTAAGATTTTTGTCAATATTTATAATTTAATATTGAAATGATTTGTAATTTATTTATGTGTACATACGTAGATTTAATTCTTCAAGTGAAGTATTATCACGTGCTTCATTTGTTTGTGGACATACAAAACTAATAGCTGTGTCCGGATCGAATATATTTGATAATCTTTCAAATATAGCTTGTTTTTCTTTAGATAATTCTTCCTAAATTTCATAGATAAATAGTTTTCTAATATAAATATCTAACTTTATTTTTACCTCAATTTCAGATTCAATAAAACTTCGTGACATCCTAAAGTTATTACTCAAAGATAAAAAAAATTTAACGTATGTAAAATCATACTATTATTTCTATTCCTAGTTTCTATAGAAACCTTAGAAATGTACACAAATAAAGTTTATATAAGATTTGGATGTAGTATATAAAAATTAAAAGTTTAATAGTTTTTAAAACAAAATAAATTCATTTTAATAAATTTTATAGTGACATCTTTTTTTTGTTATACAACACTGGAAAATGTAATTAAAGAAAGAAGCAAAACATCGATTGTACAGATGTTTCTTCATTCTATTTGTAAAACGGTAGTTTTTAAATATTTTGTTACATAAATAATTAGAGTGTGAATGTTTTATTCGGTTCATTCTTACATTTTATATAAAACGATGGACTCAAAAATTGTAGAAATATTGGGTAGATCGAAAATATGTTTCAACTGACTAGTTCGTATAAGAATTGAAACAATTTTCAATCGTGTTTTATGATGAATTGTATGTAAAAGACTGCAATAACAGATCAAAATGGTATTTTTAAGATATTTATGATTTTTCCCTTAATACTCGTCGGCCGTAGATCATGCATGATACTTCATTATTTTCTGAAAACAACTATTATACATTAAAATTATTTGATGTATATACGAGAAGATGTTAAATTAATAAATATTTCGTTAATAGGTGAAACAAATGTATACAAAATATCTTTAATGTTACGTTATTCTATCAATTCATAATATTTAATCTTTTCGACACTTCGAATTTTTTATAATACATATGATCAAAGAGTTGCGAGTATCTTACTAAGTCTACGCGTTCGTACACACCTAGATTTCGCTTTAAACTTGATTTGTATATAATCAAATCTATCATTCTACAGTAAAAAAAAGTCGGATTTAGCTCCAGAAATTAAATTTTTATTGAGTTCACGTTGATATTAACAAAACTTAGATGTAAAACAATTTAATTAGATTCAAGTTCATTTTCTCGCATTCTAATATTCTTTTTTTATAGAATTCTTATCAACTATATAGATAAGTGACGCCTGACATCTACAATAGAAACATAAACTTCTGATGGATTGTTTATTGCATATTTTTTGACATATGACCAATAGAAAAACGCTCACATGTTGCTCGCTTGTCTGTCTAACACTCACGTGTGTTAAATTAATAGATCAAATCAACTAGATAGATTGACGTTCTCTATCGTATTAAAAACAAATGAACGAACGCGATCATTCTCATGAACAGAATGTAAGTATTGACAAATAAAATCAAAACAAATCTTCTATATTTATTTCTTCTATTCAAGGAATCAAAAAATACATCGATAACATTACAAAATCCGTCGCTAGTTGTCAATTCTATGTTGACAGCATTAGCTCAAAGTCTACTTCCATCATCGACAAATCAACAGGTAAAAAAAAGAAGGTTCTTTTTATCATTCATTCATTTATAAATATCTTTTCTTTTCCAGCAACTCTTAGCTGATTTACAAGCTGCAGCAACATTAGTTAATAAACAAAAATTATCATCGACAAATGGTAATAATCAACATGAATTAAATTCTCATATTCAAACGAATCGTACCGATAGTCAAGATAATTTACCACATATAACTCAAGCTAAACGACGTGCAACCCATAATGCTGTTGAACGACGACGTCGTGATCGTATTAATCAACATATTCAACAATTATCAAAATTAATTCCTGATTGTAGTAATTATGTTAAAAATCAAGTAAAAATGTTTTTTTTACAACCAACAAAATAAATAAGAATAACTATTTCATAGAGTAAAACAGCTGTATTAGAAAAAACAATTGCATATGTACATGAACTTCGAACACAAAATCTTGCATTAGTTAAACAAACAGTTGATGCTGGAATTATACTTCATGAAAATGATGCATTACGAGATCGAGTTTGTATTGAAAATATAATTTGAAATTTTTATAATAAAATTGTTCGTTTATTTTAAGATTCGAGTAATTGAACAAGAAAATGGAGTATTAAAATCTCTATTAACTAAACAAAATCTACTAAGTGGTAATGAATCATCATCATCAACATGATAATATATATCTCTTAATATATGCGTGCAACAGTTAGATATATGCAATTGTACAGATTGATTTTTTTTCCTTCATCTTTTAGTATTCATTTTTTTTCTATTCTATTATATGCTTCCCTTCCTTGTTTTCTCTTTTTTTTTGTATATATTTCCTTTAAGATTTCTTTTTTTTTTGTTTTGCTTTATGATTGACTATAATGTGTGGTTTTTCTTTTTTTTTCCGTTCGATGTCAACAGTAAAGAAATAATATATAACTGTTTGGGAATTATGAATGGTAGAGTTATCTATTGGTTTATGATCGAATAAGATAGTCAAACAATATGCATTTTATTACATTGAAATAACCATAAACCAGCAAATGTCGATGTAACAGATTTTCAAACGTTATTCATCTTGATTTATTCCATTGAATTTGAAAGATGGAAATAATTATACGAAGAATATTTATATAAAAGATATACAGTCTGCATGATATAGATCAGTTATTATTTGCTCAATGTATTAGAATTAATAATCGACAGTGAAATAGATTAGGATTAGTTTATGATCGATCGTATGATATTAACTTCTGAATGAGAATCAACAATATAATCTATCATAAAATATTTAGAATAAAACATAAACTAATATTCTATTGTTGAATAATATCGAAATGAAATTGAATTTTATTCTGTACGACTTATGTTGCAAAGGTTAATCGTTTGTTTTTAAAAGTAAAAAACGAAAGACCTTCATTTTGATTTATTAGTCACGAATCTTTTGTCGATTGCTTATCAATTACATGATAAATAAATAAATCTTTCGTGTAAACATATTTTATTTCCTCAAAGGATTTTTAAAACTTACATAAAATATTTTATAATCTTTCAGTGAAATTCGTAAGAAAATGTTGTACATAAATTTCAAGTTTTTTTTCATTAAAATGTCCAAATTGAAAATTTGTTTCATTAACAAGTTGACGCGTACGTTCTACATATTTATCTCCAACATGAATAAGAAAAAGTTGATTAAATATATTGGAATCCATCTTTGTTATATTGGTGTGTTTTGTAAATCCATCTGATAGAATACAAATTTTTTTAATACCATTTATTTGCTGTGAATAAGTAGAAATTTTTTCTAATGCTTGATTTAAATTTAAGAAAGGTTTCATTTGTAATTCTTCATCAAAATTTATATTAGAATTATATTCAATTTCTATATCATTAGTTTCAAAAGTAATATGATTAGTTTCAGTAATATTTCTGAAATTTAAAACACTTTTTTTTAGAAAATTTTTAATCAATGTTTATCATTTACCTTTTAATAAATACAAGTTTTAGGAATTTTAAAACATTTATACCTTCCTTTGCACATGATATATCAATTAAAAACCATTCATATATTGGTTTAGATTCTATAAATTTACTTAAAGATTTATTTGATATCAAAGGTTTTTCTGGATTAAATTCCCAGGTGCATACAGGACATCGAATTGGTGCTGTTGGATTTAATGTTCGATTACGATTTATGAATTTTTGTATACATAATCGATCCATTGTACGTCCACAATTAAGAATAATTGGATCATTAAAACGGGAAAGACAAATAGGACAGTCTAAATCAGTTGCTTCTTCCGAGCCAGACATTTTCCAACGTAAATATTAAATAAATAGATAAGAATATGTCATATGTCATAGTATTTTATATGATAATGGCTACAGGTGAAGGCAAGTTTACATGTAGTGTTTGTAAGCAATTATTTAAAAACCCAGTTGTTCATAAACTTTGTGGTATTTCTTTTGATCGTGAATGTCTTGGAAATCTATGTCCAGAACAACAATGTCAACAAGTTATTATAGAAGACGATTTAATACCTAACCGTAGTCTATTAAATGTTGTTGATGAATATCGATTAACATTAGTATCACCTCCTGTCTATTATATGATTCTACTCGATTGCAGCACTTCTATGTGGTATTCAGATGCATGGCTTCCGTTTGCTCTAGGCCAAAGTCGATTTGTATATGCTATAGATTTTTTGAACGAGTTCTTCCGACTAAAGTAAATTTATTACCTTTTGTATATTGTATATGAATATAATTTTTATAGATTGAATTTAATAACTGATAAAGTTTCATTAGTTACTTTTGATACAGCTTCTCTACAACGCTTCGATTTCCAAGTAATCAATGAAAATCATATAGCGATGTTAAAAGATTTAAAATGTGACGGTCAAGATACTGCGCTATTCGATGCCATTGACTTTTGTTATGACAGACTTGAAGAGTTAAATAAACGATTGGGAAATCAACAATCTAATCTATATCTTTTGGTACTGACCGATGGTCAGAATAATTTTGGCCTCAAAGAATCCAAACATGCGGACAACTTATTATTTCGTTCAAAAAAACTTCATATATCAGGTCATATGATTCAAATCGGAAGCAAAAATCGAAAAACAACAAGAACGCTTTGTAAAGTACTTCAATTTCAATATAATCATTTCAAAGGTGGAAATGTAAATGAATTTGTTAATTCTTTAACAAATACACTTACTACAAAAGCTCAATCACGAGTTCAACCTACAAAAAATATAGCCGAACAATTGATTGATCAATTGCCAACTGTACCAAATACGCCAATAAAAGCGCCAAATACACCAGTAAAAGTGCCAAGGAGACAATTAGAATCCGCTTAAATATATATGACAATTTTTTATGATTAATCTTGAAGAAAATTAAAGCTATTTTTTTAAACTATACTCTATAAAGACTGAATATAATACCTATGAATGAAATAATATTTTTTTCTCTCATAATTACAATCGAAAACCTGATGATGTATTATCTACTGACAAATATTTACTGAAAAAAGTATATTTCAAAGAATTGTCTGTTAAATAGAGTAATGTTCGTTTTCATTCAATGTCTGTTAATAAATGACCTCTTTTAATTTTATTATTATTCGCCAATTATAATTTCTTCATTTAAAAAATGATCTAAACTATAAATTTTTATTTAGCAAAACTTTTATATAGTCTATTAATAATGAGTAGAATACTATTTATTTGATTTTTTAAGGAGGTTGTAACTAAACAACGACAAACGATAAAAAGAAAAATTTTTATACTAAAATGTCGTTGTCATTATAATATTTCTAATAACAAGAATATAAACACATAATAACAAATAAACATGAATATTCCACCATCTATGCCACCATATTTTCAATGGATTGTTGATAAACGTTTAGCTATATGTGCTCATCCATTTCATGCATCACATATTCGATATATATTAGAACAACGTATTCAAACAGTTATTTCTATTAATGATTCATATAATTCAGGATTACCTAATCATACTCGTGGTGAATTACAGGTTCAAAATTTATATATTCCTGATGGTAGTGCACCAAATATGCAACAATGCCAACAATTTGTTCAACGTATGGCAATTGCTCGTCAACGTGGAGAGGTTAAATCTATTTAATTATCTTAAATTATTTTATTGTATTATAATATTTTTTTATTAGGGTGTTGTAGTTGAATGTACTCGTGGTAAAGGAGCATCAGGTGTATTAGTTGGTTGTTATCTTATGGCTCTTTGGCAAGTTCAACCTGATTATATAGTAAATCATTTACGTCTTATCCGACCAATTACAATCGAAACAACAGCACAAGAACAACAATTAATTGAATTTCATAAATTACTTGAACCATCACAACGTCATTTTTATGCTGAAGTTGATCAACCACATAGCTGGGATATTGATACAAGTTATTTACAAACAACACCACTTGCAACTACAAATCAATTATCACTTGCTTAAAATTTTTATACAAAAAAATAACAGACTAAGCGATTACATAGAAAAAAGATATATGTTTTACTATATATATATCTATACCTCGAAAATAATTTAAAATTCATTACTTTTCTAATATTTATTTTTATAAATAAATAGTTACGGACATATATTGACTTGAATTTATTTCAATGAATATTGATACATTGTTAAAGTAGAAGAATATAATAATACAAGCGAAATTTTGTTAAATTATATGTTGAAATCTGACAGACTTGAATAATTTTCTTTGGATTTCTCATTTATGTTGTTCAGCTAATTATAAGCGAGGACAAAACACACAAGTGAATTAAGATTCTTATCACACAAAAAAGAAATAAATAAAGTCGAGGTCAAATAACTATACGGACTGAAATGTATGTTGAACGAAGCCTAACGGTCATTTCTTATAGATGATCTTTTTTCCCCACTAATTAGTTACAGGATATGTCGTCTATATTAGAAATATCATAGTATTAGACTGCATGAATCTCTAGTCGATGTCGCTGATTAGTAATATCAGTAGATGTCATACTTTTTCGTTATGTATTATTTTGTCTTTGTTACATTTATATAGATACAGTTCTCCAATCATAGACAAGTCATTGTCTTTTGTTCTCATATAGAATTTTATTTCATCAAAATTTTGTAAATTAATATTAGAATAGTTAATTAAATTTTGATGTCTTTACTTGATCAAAATTGGGGTGCTGGTGGTAGTGCTGAAGATGAAGCACAAGATGAAAATCAACAAGGACGACCCGTAAAACTAATATATATATTTATTTTTTTCTTTATTTATTTTTTGTTTCATTAAGATTACAACAAATCGTGATGGTACATTAATATTAATTGAATGTGCTCCACAAATGTTTGAAACATTAGCTAATCAAATGAAACAAGATTCAACATTTGATGAAGATGATGAAGATGCACAATTAACAACAGGTTTTCAATTAGTGATGCGTGCATGTCAACGTTTTTATCAATCAAAAATTATTTCTAATGATAAAGATCTTAGTGGAATTATTCTTTATGGCACAGAAAATAGCCTCAATGCATTTGATTTCAAACATATTTATATTCTTCATGAATTAGCACAACCATCAGCTGAACGTATTATACAATTAGAAACATTATCAAATAAAGATACATTTAGAGCAAAATATGATGAATTATTTGGTTCAACACAAGCAACTGGTTATTCATTAAATGAAGCATTATGGACATGTTCAAATTTATTTTCCAATTCACCTCAACGTTTAACAATCAAACGTATATTTATATTTACATGTAATGATCAACCACATGCGTCAAACTTAACATTAGAACGACAAGCTAAACAACGTGCTAAAGATTTACATGATGTTGGTATACAATTAGAAGTTTTTCCAATATTAACTGAATCAATAACAAAATTTGATTTTAAAAAATTTTTTCAAGATGTTCTCATGTTAAGTGATGAAGATCTTGAAATACGAAATAATCAAGAACCAACAGGAAGATTAAATGAATTATTAAAACTTGTCTATTCAAAGGAACATAAAAAACGGGCTTATTGTACTGTTCCTTTTTCATTAGGCAAATCATCAGATGGAACACCATTGGAATTTTCTGTTTCAGTTTATAATATGGTATCGTACTAAAAATTTTCTGTTTTTTTTGTTTATAAAACTCAAGACAAAAAAGATAACTCGGATTTATGAGATTGATTTTGAATGTTTATATGAGAAATAATTTCAGGATAATATAGATCGAAGGCAATGAGCAATTTCTATTGATAGACATGTCTGAAATCTTAGTACAATTTTGCCACAAGTCTCAAATTAGAATGTTGTTAAATCAGCCTTATTTAATTAATTCTGAAGAATAAACTGAATGATACTTGTGTCAAGGATTTCATACCTTTTCTATAAAAAAAATATGCACTCCAAAAAATAAAAATAGAATAGATTAATAGAACGAATACTTAGATATACCTTCGCATATGATGAGTCACCATATTATATGCGTAAGTGAAGCACGTGAAGGATCACGAGTTATTGAATCATTTTATATATTTTTTGCAGAAGGGATACCATATGATTAAAAAGATTAATTAAATGTATAAATATTCCTAAGAAATACCTTCTACTTCATTCTTTTGTTTTTAAAAGAAAATGAAAGCATTCGTTACTTATTCTATCCGTTCGCATCAATATGAATTTCAGAAAATTTTGTCTATGTTTCCTATGACACTTTGGAAATTCTATTACAAACTTAACTCGTCATTTGTCATCGGAAATATAAATGCGTATAGACTTGCTTTCTTTTTAAGTACAATACATTTCCGATGAATGACATGATTTTTATTAGAGAAGAAAAAGTAATTAGTCGAGCTAATCTTTAATCGAATTATTTCTATTCGATAATATCTTATTCAATATAAAATACGGATCAATTCTTCTATTCATAGGTTCGTCCTTGTCCAAAACCAACAAAGATAAAATTAGATATGAAGACAAACTTGGAAACAAAAATTGTCACAAAACATTATCTTCCTGAAACAGGTGCGTATCTCGATGATTAATGATGACACAAAATAAATAGAAATAAATAATTCATTTGTTTTTTTTCTTCTTTTAGCTGAAATTTTAATGCCGTCAGATATTCAATATGGCTTAGATGTAGCTAATCGTCGTATATTATTTGATTCTGATGAAATAAAAGCAATCAAAAAATTTGGTGATTCTGGTTTTGAATTATTAGGTTTTAAAAGTCTTTCATGTTTATTACCACATCATTATGTAAAACCCGGTCATTTCATTTATCCCGATGAAAAATATGTTGAAGGAAGTTCATGTTTATTTAATGCTTTATTAAAAAAATGTTTGGAAAAAAAAATGTTTATTTTATGTCAATTTACAGCGAGAAGAAATACACCACCACGTCTAGGTAACAAAAAAAATATAATCAAAACAAAAACGTTCAATTTGTTTTTCTTCTCTCTCTTTCTTAGTTGCCCTTACGGCTCAAGCTGAAGAAGTAAATAAAAAAATCAAAAATGATCGTTTGGCATCGAATGGTTTTCATGTACATTATTTACCTTATGCTGATGATATTCGTACATTACCAAAGAATGATACAACACGTGCAGCTAATGATGAAGTTGATTTATTTAAAAATGTTATACGTGGTTTAAAATTTAAATATCGTCCAGATAAATTTGAAAATCCAGCATTACAAACATTATGGAGAAATATTGAAGCAACAGCTTTAAATAAAGGTGAACCAGATGAATTCATTGATTTAACAATTCCAAGTGTTGAAAATCAAAATCGAAAAATTTCGGGATATGTTGATGAACTTAAACAAATGATTTTTCCACCTGGTTATGTTATGGGTACAACGAAAAAATCAGCAGCAGCAAAACGAAAGGTTTGTAAAAAAAATTTATTTAATTTTTAAGACAATTATACGGAGAATCTCTTAATTTATTCAAATTCCCATAGAAGTCATGCTTTACTGAAAGCCGATTATCTAAATGTATGATTATTATGCATCGTACGATACGCTTTCTGTTTAACCATATAGATTAGATAAAATACTAATGGAAATATTCTTTGTATGCCATCAATTTGACTTTCAGGTCTTTTTATTTCATGTCAGATTAATATTGTCATATTTAATAGTATATTTAACCTTGGATTTGACTAAAATAACAAGCATTTTGTTATGGCTCATTCGTCCTCAACTAACACTTTTTATTTTTCTGTCATATCGTGCAAAAATTTATTGCTAAATGATATGATCTTCTTCTTCTTCTTTTTTTTTGACTGAGGAAAAGCGAGCATTTGAATTTTTAATAAATCCTTATAAAAACAGAGTGGGAAGTATGTTTAAGTATTTGTTTTCGAGAGAAATGAAGAATAATCATGTTTTCTATTTTTAATTCAACTATATTTTCAGGTGCTTCTGTATGTTTATTCAGAGAACAAATAAATTATAGTCTTACATGTCAAAAGTATAGAGATATACACAACATGTTTTTAATGCGCTTTTCTTGGATAGAACAATCATAAACATGATATTGACGTAATATAATCACTAATAGAGTTTTTAACAACATCCATATAAGTTATACTTTACTCACGTCCATAAAAAAAAGCGCACTATCATGATTAATTTCATATAAAACTCTGATAAATTTCAGTGAGAAAATGCCAGATGTCATATTTTTTCTTCTACCTTTTACAACTCTCATTTATTATGTTTTCTATTGAGTACATACAAGGGGATTGCAATGATAAAATTTCTATTTTTAAATTTTTTGACTTATAAATTTTTCTTTTTTTTCTCTCCAAAAAAATAAATTGAGACAGAAAAACAACCCTCGAATCTGATGGTTGTGTTTTATCAATTGACAATTTTATCTTTTATTTTTCTTCTATTCTCATTAATAATTTAAAAGTATCAGGATGAAAAGAATAATTATAAGACAAGTTCCATATAATAAGAAACAAAAAAAATATAGATGTACGCGCACTTGAATAGTTCTTAATCTATGAAATATTATTATTAATAGTAATCACAAGTATGTTGTTTTCTGTTTTGTTTTTAATTATGTATTATCTTTAGGCTGAAACAACTTCTTCACCTAGCAGTGCAAAAAAGACAAAACCTGATGAAGATGTTGATGTTGAAGCTGCAGCGAAGAGTAATTTGGTATGAAAAGTTATTCTATTATTTATTTATTCTTTGATTAATATTATTTTATATCTTTTTAGTTAAGTAAATTGACTGTACCGATGCTTAAAGATTATTGTAGAGATAAAAAATTAAAAGCATCAGGTACTAAAAAACAAGATTTTATTGATGTTATTCAATCACATCTTGGCATTGCTCAATAGATAAATCAGATAATCATATTAGCAAGAAAGAAGTATTTCTTTGTATTCTCATTGGTAGATATGTAGACATTTGTGTTATTATTATATAGAAAAATTTGTTAATTATATAAAAAATAATAATGTTTGTTATCTTGTTATATTCTTTGTTAAAACATTCATATATACATAGTAAAAAGATGTAAGTTATCAATCTCTTGTTGTTTTTTTGTGTCTTCCCTTATGCATATTTACAGACGCACACACCTTTTGATTGTCTTGTACGTCTTATAGATGAAACATAAATCATACACGTACACATTACACGTATGTCGTATGAGTAGTGTCTCGTTACTCTTTTTCTTCTTTTCTCTTTACTCTAACTCAGTTCGTTACGATAGTATGTGAATAACAAAAGACGAACTATAAGATAATAAATCATAGAGAAATGAGAGAAAACGAGAGAAAGAAAGCGAGAAAACAATAAGAACAATTGGAATTTGATCTTTTCTCGATCACTTCCATCTGTTTCATCATACTGTCACGAGGGATTTTATCTATGTATATATGTGCATGTGTCCAACGTGATATTTTATTTGTCCTACTTACGATTTAATTGACTTGTCTTATTTTCTCAATTCAGATATAATATTATGTCGAATAGTCTTAAATCAAAAATAGAATCAGCACCAATTGCACAAGATGGTCCTTGGGCATCGGTTGGTGAACATCCAAATGCAATCACAAATCGGTATTTATATTTAAATTTATAATAATAATCAAATGAAAATTTTCTTTTATTCAGTTTTTATACATATGAACGTGTTCAAGAAATTGTTAAATTTATTCAAATTATAGTTCCAACTAAACCTGAAATAGCTATTATATGCGGTTCTGGTCTTGGTGGTTTAGCTGAATTAATTGTTAACAAAACTGTTATTCCTTATACCGATATTCCACATTTTCCTAAATCAACAGGTGATTAAATAAAAAAAATATTCTCATAATGAAAATGAAATATAACTTCATTTTTATTTTAGTTGTTGGTCATCGAAGTAATCTTGTATTTGGAACATTAAATGGGCTTAATGTCGTTTGTATGCAAGGCCGATTTCATCCTTATGAAGGATACACTACTGCGACGGTAAATAATAGTTGAATTTTTATTATAAATATTATTATCTTCATTTTCTTTTTGATATTTTCAGTGTGCCTTTCCCGTACGAGTAATGCATATGCTTGGAGCACATACATTAATTGTTACCTGGTTTGATTAATCACTAAATTTGTTGTTTTTTTTATTTTATATTTAATTTTAGTGCTGCGGGTGGTGTTAATAAATCTTATAGTGTTGGTGATATAATGTTAATCAAAGATCATATAAATTTTCCCAGTATGGCTGGTAATAATCCACTTATTGGTCATAATGATGAGCGGTAAGAAAAATAAATTCCCTCGGAAAAAAAACTAAATAAATTTTTAATTATTTTTAGATTTGGTAAGAAAATTTCATAATTAAAATTGAAATTTTCTATTTTTAAATTATTTTAAAGGACCACGTTTTCCACCTGTTGGACATGCATATGATCGTAAATATTCTTTACAAATGAAACAAATTGCTAATAAACATAATTTTGAATTACGTGAAGGAGTTTATTGTGCATTAGGTAAGAAAATTAGTTTTTATTATTGATAAATAATATTTGTTTTTGTTTTTTCTAAATAAATCTTTAAGGTGGGCCTTGTTATGAAACAATAGCAGAAATAAATTTGCTTAGGTTGCTTGGTGTTGATGCTGTGGGTAAGAAGAATATTTCTTTTTTTGATTTAATAAAAACTTATTTGATATAATCATAACGGAAATGAAGGAAGGAAATCTATCATGGTCTTTACCAGACCGGAATAAATCTCATCCATATATAAGAAAAAAAAAGAAATTTAACTTCCTGAAATTTTCTTTTTAGGTATGTCAATTGTACATGAAGTTACATTGGGAGCTCATTGTGGTATGCGTATGCTTGGTTTGGCTTTAATAACAAATAAATGTTTATCAGAATACGATTCAACAGTTGAAGCTGTTCATGAAGATGTTATTCGTATAAGTGAATTAAAAGCAAATGAATTACAACAACTTATACTAGATTTTATTGATGGTATTAAAGAACAGCAAATATAAAATCGTTTCTCTTCAAAATCAAAACTATTGCGGGAAAATCAATAACATCAGATTCATACCGCCATTGTGTTATATATATATATATATACATATTCTTGTGTTTTTTCTCTTCTTCTTTTTTTGTGAACCGGTGGTGGTAGTTGAGCAATATTTTCTTTTGTGTCTTACTAATGATCTGATTTTGTTGAACAAACCGTTTTTCCTCTCTCTCTCTCTCGTCTAAACGTAGTGTTTTCATGAAATTTCGTGTATTTAAAAGAAAAAAAAGAAACAAACCAAAGCAGAAAATCTTATTTTGTTTAGATGAATATAATAACAGATGAAAGAAAAAATCTAATAAATGACCAATCAACAAATGGTAGATAAAAACTAAAAGAACAATCTATTCTCTTTTCTAAAATGAGTTATGTTTTAGTTGATTCTCTATTTCGTCGAAAATTTAATAATCTATCATCAGCAATAACCAATCGTTTATGGCTTAATGCTCATACAAATTATGAATGTGATGTTTTATTAACATTTCCAGCTCGTATTGATGATTATGTTATTATTTGGTTTTTGGAACAATTACTACAACTTGCACCAGATATTCGTATATCAATTAAATATCATTTTACAACTGGTGAAAGATTTTTGTACTAATTTGAAAATAAGATAAATATTATTTTTATTGAAATAGGTGTTTATGGATTTTATTTAACATTTACATATGAAAGGTGAATATTTACGTATGAATCAAAGTTAAGCGAAGGGCATATAAAGTTGATATTAATACTTAACATGTCTAGATTCAAAAACAAGCTTAGTGAATAAGGGTTCATGAAGTTTTTTTTCTTTGTTGAAATCGAAAAAAAAATGAGAAGATAATTTGGTTTAATATTATACCATCAAGTACTATTATTAATAATCATATTACTTTTCTATAGAAGGATGAAATTCCATCTTCATAATTAGTGTTATATTTTATGTAGGTGAATTTATTGTAATATGATTCAACATATGATTTCTATAAATAAAAAAAACCATTAATTGTAACATTTGTTCTATGTTACTCATGCTCTCGTTCACTAGTGAACTTAGATCTGTTCAGAATCTATAGAAAGAGGCTGTTTGCTTTAATTCAATGTCATATTACATATTCGAAATTGATTAAGCCTTAGAAAGTTTCCCAAAATCATTTAGTTGAATTTTGAGTCTGATTTAGACGCATGATATTTTTCTCTCTATAACTACTCTTCGCTACAAGTCCAGATGAAAGATCAACCTAGCTTAGAAATCTTCAATTCGTTAAGCTCTTCATACATATGAACTAACCAAATATTCGCCAGAATATATCTAGTACATTACCATACGAATGGTCCGAAATAAGAAGTTGTTAGCATCGAGATTGTAACATCCAGTGCTCATTCTCACCTACATGATTTTGTATTGATAAAAAAACTGAGCCAAACATGTAATTATAATTTCTCATCTGGTATTAATAATTATCATAGTTATTTTAATTATCATCTATGATCATGTAGTATAAATAAAGATGATGCTGTGAGTAGCATACAATAACCTTTAAATCTCTATAAACAAGATTTATATGAAAAATATTTATTTGATTGATTAGAAAAGATAAAAAGTTTATTTTCGATCATTGTTTATTCTATATTTCTTGATTTTGTAGGCTTTTGAAAGGTGCTCATGATATACAATTAGAAAAACCAATAAAACAAGAATTTGGTGGTGGATATAAAATATTCATTTTTGATGAATTAGAATTTTATGAAGGTTTAAATATACGATTTTATATAACATCAGCCTTTTTTTTATTCTTAAATCTATTTTAGGTGTTGAAAATGAAGATAAATTTTTTACTTCTCAAGAACGACAATCAATCGTTCGTCATCTTCTTTTTTCGATAAGAATTATTCATAAACATGAAATCAATGGAATTAAATTTAAAGTCGATCAATCATTAAGTAATTTATCTCAATATTATAATGATTTATTTTACTAAATATAATATATTTATATAGTACAACGTGGTTTGGAGAAAAAACTCATACGACAAGTACTTCCATTACATAATAAGGAAATATTAAGTCATCTTCGTGAAACATGGGTTTGGCCACGAAAATGTTTTTTTACACGACAACCTATTGGTAAAAATCAGATCTTAGTTTTTTCCTTTTTTTAAATAGAATTGTTTTCAATAATTTTTAGAAGATATCCGACAATATTTTGGTGTTAAAATTGCTCTTTATTTTTGTTGGATAAGGTATTCTTTTTAATGAAAAATGATTTAATTTATACGAACAGTGTTTTCATTACTCTTTAGTTTTTATACAAAAGCACTTTGTCTTCCAGCTTTATATGGTATTATTATATGGTTTTATACTGGTCGAAATCAGGTTTGTTGTTTTTTTCTAAAGATAGTCACTCGATTTTGAATCATATTTATCAAGTATTGAAGAGAATATTTCACCAGGTGACATATCATTTGTACGAATAATTGATTTCGTATTAGGATTGTTTATTGAATTTTGTTGCGAAAGATCTTCTCGATAACGTTGACGAGAAAAATGAGTATTAATTTCTTCATCACCATCATCATCATCATCCTCATCATTAAAACGTATTGTACAATTACCATTCTGAAATTTAACTTCATCATGTAGTAAAGGTTTAACTTCTTCAACTGTTATTCGTGAACGTTCAAGTTCAGAAATCCATACTCTAAGAGATAAATAATAGAAGAGAGATTCAACAAGAATATCATACAAGTATTCCTATTCTTGAACATACAGTTGCTCGTAGGACTAGGTATGGGTGAGGGAGACTCATGAGGGAACCGCTCCAACTGTCCAATCACTTTCCAGTTCGGATCCTGTGGATAAAGTAGATCCCAGTGAGGTATGAAAAACCCCAAAAGGATAAGGGCCGTTAGGCTTTCTGTCCCGAGTTATAGATAATATACTGAAATTCTAGTCTATGGTAGGGTATATAGAAATAAATCAAATGATAGTATTTCGACCTGAGATGTTGTTCACAATGAGGTTTATATGAGACTAGAATACTCTGAAAATTTCAGTAAAATGGCTATAACTACGGAGAAAAGGCCTATCAGCCGTTATCCTTTTGGGATTTTTCATACCTCACCTGGGTCTATATTATGCACTAAGCCCGATCTCAAAAGCTAGAAAACACTTGGTGGGCTTCCTTCGTCAGTGCATACTATCAAATCCTATTCTCATTACATTTATTCTCGAATCTATGAATATCATAAAAACTTCATAGAGATTTTTTGTTCGATATAAATTTACCTTGGTAACATATATGTAAGTAAAAAAACAAAAGCAACATATCTATTTGGCATTTGTGGATGTGCTGAAAAAAATAAATCCATATACCACATACTACCACTCATGACAAGTCCAATAGATGATATAATTGCTTCAAGTAATTGTGCAATAGCAAATGGTTTTGTAAAACGATAAATATTAAATATTGTTAAAATAAATATAATTGGTATTGATAATGATGATAATAATAATGGTTGTTGTGCATGAATACAGAAATGTATTTGTATATGATGAAAACATGTTTGATAATGATATTTAATTTGTTTAATATTAATTATAATTAACCATAGACTTGTTATAATTGTTTGTAAAATTAAACTAATAAAAAATAAAAAAAAAATTAAATGAAATTTTTTTTCAAAATTATTTTTTAATAAACGAAATAAAGTCATAACAAATATATTTGTTAAAAGTATCGTTGAAGAATATTGTATAAGAATTTGTTCATATCGACACATACTTTCATTTGAATTCATATTAAATAAAAATGATGCAAACAATAAAATCATTATTGATATATTCATAATATGACAACGAAATAACGCATAATAATCTTGAAAACGTATTTCTGTTAGATGAATTTTAATTGTTATTATAAAAGTAATTATTAAACCAATTGAAATAAATAAAAATTCTTCAAAGTGTATCCATTTCGATTTTATAGGACATAGTATTGTTTGATTCGGAAAAAAATCTATAAATTGATAATCATTCAATGACCAAGATTGCATACTTAATAATGATTGATTCATATGCATTATTTAATGAAGTAAAATTAGGTAGATTTTAATAGGAAAGAGATAAGCGCGAAAGAGAAAAAATATAAATATGAATAAGAATAGAATTTATATCGTAATATCGAGCATTCAATTAGTGGCGTAATCAGAAAATCGCGGGTGCCATATGGTCTTTGACAAAAATCCATAAAAAATAGTTTTTTTTCTCCCGATATCCAGGCTAGCCTACTCCTAGTTACGCCACTACATGCAGTTGCGTATGTAAACTTTAAATGCAAAGAGTTCCAATTAAGGATCAGTTTGATTGTGTTGATTTTTTTATAGGAACTTGATGATCAATTATTCGTTATTAATACATTTCTCAATATTATTTGGGCAACAGGATTTCTGATTTTCTGGCGTCGACGACAAGCTGAATTAGCTTATAAATGGAATACACTTGATATGGAATTAGTAGAAGATACTCGACCAACATATAAAGGTCAATTACGTCGGTCACCTATAACAAATAAATATGAACCGTATTATCCAACATGGAAACGTTTATTATTTCGAATGTTTGTAACAATACCTATGATTGGTATTAATATTATTCTTGTTTCATGTGTTATACTTGTTATTATTCGTTTTCAAAGTTGGATTGATAGACGATTAAAAGATGGGACTTTACCACGTATGAATCTATTATTTTAAATAATAAATACATTCATATTTATTATTCTGTTTTTCTAAATAGACCTAATGTCATTAACAGAATTATCACCAAAAATTTTATTAGCATTAGTTACAACATTATTTAGTGATATTTATAAACGTATTTGCCGTTGGTTAACTGATCGAGGTATTTAATTGATAGAATCTATTGTTTGTTAAATTGTCTTTTTATTTTCATAGAAAATTATCGAGAACAACGAGTACATGATAATCAAATGATTGCAAAATTATTTGCTGTAAAGTTTCTTTTCGTTTATTCTTTTCAATTAAATTAATATATTTGATTTATTTTAGTGTTCATGTGTTAATTCATACTTTAGTGTATTTTACATTGCTTTTTTTACTCATAAATATATCCGATTATCTCATGTAAGTATAAACATAAAATGAATAAATATTGATGTATTATTTTTTCGATAATATTCTAGCAATTGGTTACTATTTTTGTAATGAAACAATTCTGGGGAAACGTAAAAGTAAGAAAAATGATTTTTATCAGTTGTCATAAACTAGTTTACTTAATTATATGAGAAGGATTTATTCAGTAACTTATGATATAGAACTAATGAATTGATACTCAATGCTTTATCCGGGTTTCTTTTTTCGGGTGGGCGCTGCCCATTCCGCTAGATAAAACACTGTTGATACTCGGTATGAAGAGTTTTTGTAGTAGAACCTGAATTTCAAAGTTGCATATATATCTTGTTAGCAACGCATGACATTTCTAAAAATGAGATTTCATTGAATGATTTATTTTAGGAAGCTATTGTTCCATATATAGTCTCTACTACTCGATTAATGGTATTAGTTAAAATGAGTAAGAAAGAACATGCTCGTTATGCTGAACGAAAAGATTTAAATAAAGAATTGAAACGTATTCTTGATGTATCGAATAATTCAAGATTGAATAGTGTTAAACAACAAACTGATAATCATGCATACACAAGAAAAGCTGTTGATGATATATTAACAGATAATACACTTAATCGTCGTGGTTCAACACCAACATTTGAAACTTTATCATTATCACAAGCTGAAATTGAATGTTCACAACCAAAATGGCCAGATTTATATGATGATTATTTAGAAATAGTCGTACAATTTGGTTATATTATATTTTTATCAACATTATTTCCTCTTGCAGCATTTTTTTCCTTATTAAATAATTTACTTGAAATTCGTACTGATGCATTTAAATTATGTATGATATATCAAAGACCATTTTCACAACGTGTTAAAGATATTGGTCATTGGCAAGTAAGAATAAATCGATTTATTTATTCGGATAGAATTATTTTTATTTCTTATGTAGAAAATTATGGAATATATGGTTATGGCAGCAATTATTATAAATTGTATATTTTGTTCAATACGTGGTGTTTTTCGTCGATTATTACCGAATTTACCATTTGCTGCAGAAATATTCCTACTTGTTTGCATTGAAGTAAATTTATTTTCTCAAAGAATTAAATCCATTCTATTATTTCTTTTCATAGCATTTATTAATTTTACTCTGTCAAATAATTCGATCAAATGTTGAAAGTGTACCATATTGGGTACGAGTTGAAAAATCTAAAATGGAATATCGTCGACGTGAAGCACTTAAGGTACAATGAAATAATTCTATATCATATCTATTGTTATAATTCATTTTTTCTTTATTTAGAAATTCGAATGCGATGTATTACATCAAAAGGAAACTCGGAGTCATACTCACAATGAATAAACATTAATTATATTTAAAAAAAAGACATACATATATCTAGTCAAATATTTATAATCCTGCTATAGTATTTTATTATTAACGCTCAACTCTTTTTCTCTTTCTTATAAACTTGTATTAATACGGTACTAATGAACAAATTATATTTATCATGTTAATTTTTTTTTGTTTGTGAAATAAATATATTAACCAGACTAATAGTAGTATATTTACACAAAGGTTTTCTTACCGTAAACTTTATGATCAGTATTGAAATAAGTGCCTCTATTGATATTGTAAATGAATAGTTGAATAAGATTTATATTTATTTAATTTATGACACATAGGTTTTTTTCTATTCGATATAAAATTAAATATTATAGAAAATTTTTTGGTAGATCTTCAGTAGGAAAATATTGATGTTCGATATCGTTTTCTGTAACACGTACTAAACGAACACCGGATTGATCTTTACCTAATTGAAGACCGATTGCAGTTGTTACAACTTGTTCCATTGATTTATATGTTCCACCAGTATTTCGATGATAATGACCACAAAAGATTTTCTTAACACCAGCTGAATGAAATTTTTCAAGCATTTTAAGTCTTGTATTTATTTCAACATTAAAATAATCTTTTTCTTCATCATAAGATTTTAAAAACCATGGAATATGTTGAAATATAATAATATGTTTGGATTGTTTATCTTTTAAAACTTCATCAAGCCATTGTTCATGCTGTAATTTTAAATCTTCAACATTTGCTGAATGAGTATAGAATTGAGAATTTAATACAATACAATGGACACCACCACAATAAAAATCAAAATAATCATCACCAAAATTATCTACATATCTTTGAATACTTGACCGTGTTGGTTCATCACCAACATCATGATTTCCACATACACATACTAATGGTATTGATGGATCTAATTCACTAAATATTTGTTTAATATCTTTTTCTTGTCTTGATCGAAATGGTTCTTCGACTAGAATTAACAAAAGATAAAGACTATTGATATGATTATCTTTCGAGATATTTCTTACAATCGAATGCATCAACAATATCACCACAAACAATGAAAAATTTTGGTTTTGGTTCCATTTGATTAAGTTTTTCAATAACAGCACGTGTTGCTTTCATTTCAACATCCCAACTAAATAAAATAATATTTACACGAAACAAAAGAACAAATTTTCAAATACTTCATAGACATATCAGGATTACATGCTACTCTAGTTGTACCTGTCCATCGATATGTTAAACCTAATTGACAATCAGCACCTTGAACAAAAAAAAATGGACCTTGCCATTCTTTTTCTTTTTCTATAAGAAAAATATTAAAATAATTTTTATTTTAAATAAATAAAATTAATTAACCAGAATCAAATGGTAAAAATCTACGATTAGCAGTTTGAATTTTGAATGTACGATTTTCTTCAGTCATTGATCTTATTATTTCAAATCTAAATAATAAATAGTCATATATATGTTGTATCAGTTTAAGGCAACTTCATAATGAATCGTCAATATTTTTCACCATTGATTATATCTACCCACAAGCATATTCAGATGTCAGATGTGTGCAATGTACGAAAAAAAAGTATATTATATCGTATGCGATAAAAGTAATGAATGAAGACAATAAAAATATTTGATTATGATCTCTTATATATATATAAATTATATAAGAAAACCTTTTCAATAAAATGATATGATTAATGCAAATAGAATGAGAAGAATTTTAATCAATAAAAAGTAATAATACATGAATTTTGAATAAAAAAGAAGCAAATGTTAATGATATTTCTTTAAGATGCTAGACATTTTCCCAGGAAAAAAGCAAAAAAACCATAACTAATGATTGAAAAACATCACAACCCATGAGTGGATTACCATAGGAATGGCATGAGATGAGAACTAAGTATTTTTTTTTGCATTTTAATCAAACTAATAAATTACACACAGAGAAAAAGTATCATTAAATTTTGAGGTATAGAGTTTTATTTTGTTTTGAAATCAAATACAATCTTCCGTCCAAATGACTCTTTATCTAAACTTTGGTAATAAATCTCGATAACATAAAAATACATTGCAACCATAAAATTTATAGTACAATAAAAAAAACCATATTTCATCTAATCTTGATTAGACATGTATTTAACGAATAATATTACATGCATTTATTCCATAAAAAAATAAACTTTGTTTTTTCCGAAGGTTGTCATGTTTCAAAGATATTTATTAGGTACAAAAAAATTTATTTCTAATTGAGAATAAAATAATACAGATAAGAAATTTTATATTAAGCACGTACATATGCATGAATGATATTTATACTTGTATATCATATTTCAGTGGTAAATTTCATGCCTTGAAATATTTTTTTATTGCTTTTTTCGTTTTATATAATAAACATATTTTCGTATACATTTTTTAATGTATATGCAAAGTTATTTAATATAAAATTAGATAAATGTTTTATTGGATTTTTTTCGAAATATATTACATATTTTTAAGTATAGAGAAGAAAAAACCCATTTTCTTTTTCGAAATATTCATGGTTTTAAAAACAATATGATTTTTATGCCATTTTGACTCATAATTGGTATGTATAAAATGTGAGAAGAGAAAAAAACCATTAGAAGATAAGACGTGAGTGTTTATTTCAACGAAAAAACAAAGAAAAAAAAAATAATAGAATTGACATAGTTTTTGTTTCTATTATTAACTCATTCAACAATATAATAGTTACCAAGTAAGTTAAATAGCATTAGGTTTATTAGGACTAAAAAAAGTTTATCTAAACATATTTATCTAATATTTGTTCAATAAAAATGTATATTAAAAAGATTAATCATTTATTTAAAATAATTATTATCAAAGCATGACTTTTATTTTTCTATTTCCTAATTTTTCTATTTATGATAAATAATAAAATGGGTAACATTAGTCTAATGATATTCAATTATTATTAGTTTAGCTATTTTTAGAATTGACAAAACGTTAAATAGAAAGTCATTAAGGTAAAACGAGATGACTCTCAGTTATTAGTGACTTTAAAACACAACTTCCTGACTTTTAAACACTATACATATGTGTAATTATTTATAAGAGAAAAATATCATTCTGCTGTCTGGATTACGCGGTTTATCTAATAACTGTTGTTAAAAATAGATATGAGATTTTTTTAAATATTTCATTATAAATTTGTATACATATAGAAAACATTTATAATGCGTTGACCTTGTTAAATTCGTAAATTTCTCTCAAGGTCTGTACTGATTTTGTTCTATATTACAAGACTAGTTTCTTTTCTCTTAATACTTATACTTTGAAAGTATAGTGATTACTACTTGAACCTACAATCAATTTTGATGAAAGTCGAAAATTATCAATGTCTTTTTACATGCAGAAATAATTTCTATTTATGTTTAAACTTTCAAAATGACGTTTCTTTTCTTTTTTCTATTCCATTTGAATAAGTAATACTTGCTCTAAGTAATTTATTTACTTCTCAGTAAATACTCTTATATTTTAACGGTTGATTGAAAAGTATTTTGACAAAATTCAAGTATATGTTGTTTCAGTAGATTGATGATTGAAATCTGTTTCTTAAATATTTAACATCTCGAAAGTAATGTTTATTGTATAGATATTGTTATGCAAATTCTATTCAAGGTTAGCATCATATGTATCGATCTATGACAAGAGTTTCCCAGAATAAATATTATTACACAAAACAAACGCAAGAATATCAAATTTATGTGAGAATCGATCAATCTATCGACTATTTTATATATAAAGAAAAAAGTAGTTGTCAGAAATTAATATTATTTATATAATAAGCAATAATCATTGAGTAAGAATAGGTAATAATTACAAAATGAAAATATCATTTTCGTATAAAAAATAGAATAGATGAAATATAAATTTCAATTTTATTGAAATATTTTTCAATCAATCATTATATATACGTATAACAAGTATAATTTAACTGTACTTGCTCGATTGACGTACTTTACGTGTGCAGTGACCGTAGTGAGTATGAACTGAGAAAAAAAAAGAGAATGAATCATTTTGATTCATATAAGTAGAAAATATTTGACAATGACGTGTTTATTTTTTAAGATATATTATGTAAAGAAATCAATCGATTTGATTTTTACTAGTGTTTGTTTTTTTTTTATACTTCAGAAAAACGAATTTGATGACTTACTAATATTGACTTTTATATAAGAAATTGGAAGACTTATTGAAAAAAAACTAATATATAGAGTGTTTCTTCTCTAATATATACTTATAAGAAATTATAAAAAAGAAACTAGAAAAAGTATAACATTCATTGAATCAATCAAAAACAAAAAAACGATCATTTTTAGAAAAATCTATCAAATTTTTTTAAATCTTTATCACAAGAAAAAAAATACAAAATTTGCTGTAGAAGAATATACGTTTGATATTCTTATATATTAATCTGTTTGTAGATCTCGTATATAATAAACTTCATCACTAGCTTTGTCTCGTGTATAAAACATATTCACTGATTTCGATTTTAATATAGGATGATCATGACAAAATCGTACAAAATCATTGAGTACATGTGTTGGTGGTTGTCGCGTACGTGTCATTAAATTAATGCCCCCACTAGAAAAAAGTGTTGAACTATATATTATTGCTACCCATTGATAAGGTCGATCAGATGTTGTTTCATTATCAACAAATACGAAACCAAATTCACTTGTAAATAATTTTAGTATACCATCGCCTCGCCATTGATAACGACTCGCTTTGCTTGGTAATTGTGTATCAATACCTTCAAGACTTGTTGGACGATAACCAACACAAGGGCGTTTACTATAATATTCAACAAGATCATTTAGACGGACACGTCCATCAGGTAGTTGATCATGAATACTATAGGTTATAGTTGGAGTTAGTTTATCTTTCCACATATTAAGATTCGTTGCAAGTATATGCCATAGACCAGTAGCACGATATGGATCGAATTCCTCAACACTAGTTGCATCAATATCCTCAGTTGTCATATGTGTACAAAAATACTTTTTGCTGTGTATAACCAATAAAAAAAGTACTGAATCTGTCACGCGTGAACGATATACTGATCGTATATAGACAAATATGGTCCCCGTTTTTTTCCTCTTCTTTTTTCGTTCTGTCTTTTGGGCAAATAAGGCCAAAACATAAAAGAAGAGGTGCATTGACGGCTCGTACGTCATCTCAATTACTACATACCGATTATTTCATATTTATATTATGTATAATATAACTTATTAGATAGATAATACGTAGAAAAGAAATAATATCCTTCTATAGAATTTTCTACTTAGCATAATAATAAACAAGAATTCATATATAGAAATCCTTGATTTAAATATATAATTTTAAAGTAATTGTGAGAACAGATGAGTCATTTTTTTTCCCCAGAACTATTTTTATTCCGTGAATTTAGAAATAATAATGAAAAAAGTTTGAACAAGTGAATATGCATGAGAAAATGTCTAGATAGAGAAAAAAATTATTTAGAAATCTTTTTTTATTCCACATTTGTTTTTTCTTTCTACATTAGACATGACCAAGCAGATAATGGAAAAGACAAAACCTAGTAAGTTATTTATGTAATATACAGAATTCTTTCGCAAGAATAATGCTTTTCTTACGTTTTGTTTTGCTTAACAAAGTCAAGATTAACCATGACATTTCTATTCGATGTCTTTGTTTAATAATTAACTTTCACTAATAAAACATTCATAGGATAACATCTTTACAACGTGAGAGTCATTTTCTTAGTATATTTATGCATAAAAAACCGCTCATATAGAATTGAAATTTGCGTTTTTATCTCTAAAATGTAAAAAGTTATAAAGTATTATTTTTATCATAGAAATGACATTTATAATAAAGTATTAAGAAAATTAAATTGTGTTATTAACGAATGATTTATATAATGAAATATTTTGAATAGAATAAGTTTTATCATTAAGCTCCACTAATTGCTATAGATAAACAAATCATTTTCTCTATTTTTAACTAAGTAATATTGTAAAACGCTTGGCAATATAATATCACAATTGTTTTAGACTGTAAAACTCCTACTAATAATTCATATGGAAGAAAAATGTTCCTAAGTTTTACAAAACCTTTTTCTAAATTAAAAAATAAAATAATTTATATTTTCATTACTAATATAATCTATTTCGTTTTATATATTAGAAAACGTTTTTTTACCCAAAAACGAATGCATATTAGTTTATAGTGTCATAATATTCTTATTCAGAAAACTATATATATATAATTATTTTGGATTTAATATTTTCTGAAATAACATTTCATTAGCACTTCTATCAGTATTTTTGTTAACCTTTCAGCTATTTATTATATGTCATATGGCATTACTTCAAGGATTTAGATGTCAAATTACGAAAAGAAAGAATGTATTTACATGAATTATTAGAATTCTTTTACAGTATAAGATATGTTTGATTTTATAAATGACGAAAATATGAACTATACAGAAAGATCAGTGATAGATAATAAAATGTGAAGATTAACGAAATCAAGAGAGGAATATATATCATATTTCTATTTATAGGGTCTACTTCGAGTGAACCATTTGATGAAAGAATGAAGTTTTTAAGTACAAAATAAATAAAAACAAAGATCACTAGGTAATATATAAGATTTCTTTGCTTCAACTGAATATATTAGAAAGATCATTATTATGAGTTTAACCTTTGTTGTCCACAGCTACTTTTTCAAATACCTGTAAGATCTTATATTTATTAGAATCGATTGAGTTTTGTTTCGTTTTTAGTTGATATAATAAATAATATTTCATTAGTGCTACTTCATCGATCATTTTCGAAAAAGAAGCACAGAACCTGAGGTTAACCAGTATAAGTAGAATAGTGAATACTTCGAACTCTGTAACCGCTTAGAATTTTGTAAGAATCATCACTTTGTGTATGGTCCTGTATTAAATTAGCCTTAGAGTTTAGTTATAATGAGCATTTCAAGTTTTTTCTTTCTATCTTTACTGAGACAGACTTTTACGGAAGATGAATAAGTACATTCGCATAGCATTCCACCACGAATTAAAAATATCTTTCATAACTCTGTATCAAGATATTCATAAATACAGTACTCTGTTTTGAATATGATAAAAATTAGTTCTAATTTGACCTGCGTAATAGCTTATATATTGCTCTATAAATACACGTATTCAAATCCTAAGAAAATATTTAGAATATGAAGCGAAGCTTGAAATTTATAAAAACTTCTATACAAAATTTCTTTTGTATCAATAATTATATAATTATCATTTTGTTTCATATTCAATTTTACTAATATATAACCATCGTTTATATATTCTCATAAGATTTTTTGATATAATAGATATTTAGAGAAATTAATTCATTATTATTTGCAAATATCAATTAAATATGGTACGTGATTCTATTTATTAAAAAATTCCCTTCTAATATTAATATGAGAATGAAAAGAAATAATTGAAAGAATAAATGTAGATCAATACCTTTTAATTTATCCAGACTTACATATATAAATAAAATATAGGTTTGAAGATTTTTGAATGAAATAAGTAAATTACTATATATCCTTTTTTTTACACAAAAGTTTTCTTTCAATTTAGATTTTTTCTTTTTTGCGAGTACACCTTTTCACCTGACTATTTCTTTATTTTATTAATTATAAGCTTGAACATAAAAAGAAGACAATCATTTATACTATGTAATAAGAAAAAAGAAAAAAGAACTCATCATTATTTTCTTTCATTTCATTCAAATATATATAATTATGTACATCTTGAAATGTCTTAAGTAACAAGAACAGAAAAATAGACTTCTATAGAATCTCAACATGAGATTATTGCTTTGAAACAGCGATAGTATAAGAAGAATTTTTTTCTTTTTAAACAAGATTCTGGTATGATTGACTGTGTGTTACTTTTTTTAATATATAAAACATGACAAATGAAATCGAAACACCTACGATTGTATTTAGAAGTGCTCTAAAACTTAATGTACTAGAAAATAATATTTACAAAGTAATTTACATCAAATATTTTTTGAAATAAGAAATATATAGATGAGAAGTTTGAGTATGTAAGAAGAAAACCTTGAATTGAATGAACTGTTTTCTTTAAAAAGATACCATTTTCTTATTTTTAATAGACAATAACCATGTAATATTCAACAAATATCATTTTAAGAATATAATCAAATCTCTTCGTCTTTTTTATAAAGTAAGAAAATATGTTTTTATTCGAAAGTCATGCATTTTAATCTTTAAGATCCATTAGTAAACGAGTTTGAAAATTAAGTAAAATCTTTATATTTTGACTAGGTATTATCATCATATATGTCAAAGATATTTTTGAATCTTTTCATTTTTCATTAGATTTATGAGGAATTTTAATAATAATATTTTACTAAAAAAAGATATGCCCTGTAGTACTAATGTGGGTTGGATTAGATTTTTATAATAGTATTCATTATGATAATTAAATAATAAATCTTAGCTTTGAAGAAATCTTATAAGTTTTAACCTTCAAGACAATGTATTATGAAATAAGATTACATAAAAAAAAAGACAGAACTTTTTTTCTTTTGACGTATTGCAGTAATCTGTATTTTTTTTAGATGAGATTCCAGTGTCTAAAGATTTTTTTTTTATTTTCTTTCATTCGAAATTATCTCACTCATATGTTAGAAATAAAAGTTAGTATAATCTATTCATAGTAAGATTTGTTTCTATCATTGTTTGAAAAATAGGTCGAATATGTAACCTATAGAGGTAAAAAAAACAAGAAAATGGTTTTGCACTTTTATCGTTCGAAGAAAAGCAAACACCATTAAAAATACTAGGAATCTAATGTAAATCCGCATTTGAATTTATATTTATTAGCTGTAATCAATTTTGATTATAGTTTTAAGACTATAGTATAATTCATTTAGCAAAATGATGTATTGTTTAAAAGTCATTATCAGCCATGAAACAAACGTAAGAAACTAAGGCTATATATATATATAAACTTAATTTTAAATTTTAGTCTATTATTCCTTTTGAATAATTATTTTATAGTAATTATAGAGGGAAATATATTATCTTGAGAATTTAACGTACTATGATATTCTTGAAATTTTTACATTTTTCCAAACGATTTATTTTCATATCCACTATTTACTATTGATAATTGAAACGTCGTTGAGTACTTTAGAGTGTATTATTACACTTTTTTTTTTCTCTCTCACTTACTGTAACATACAGTTTCTGAATTGTTTATTAATACTTAAGAAATATCTAGAGTAATATTTGAAGATTAGACATAAATTCTTTATCTTAAAGGACAACGCCTTAGTAAACTGTAAGACTTATAGAATATAGCTTTTTCGCTTTTGTTATCATTTTATATAATAAGAAAAATGTTGATATAAAAGAAGCAAAGAAAGATTAGTAAAATACATTGTAGCGAAGGGCACAATCACCTCTAAGCATCCACAGATATTTGTAATTTGATGCCGCACGATGAGAAAAAAAGGTAAAGTGCAGGTAGTGAGAAAAAAAAAGGGAAGAAAGTAAAATGAAACATTGACAATACAAATCTCGCTAGATTGAAATATAAAGGCAAGTTTTTCATTTAGAGTAATGTCTTTTTCTTTTTATACGGTTTTAAATATATTGATTTTTGATTACCTTGAAATTAACTGAATTATCTGATTCCTAATTCAGAAGAACAGAAAAAACAAGACGTAAATATTCATTAATAAGTACATAGATGAAAAGAATAAGATAGTTAATATGAAATATCATATATTAGATACTTTCTGTTCATATATATAAATCTAGAAACTTATATAATAGAATTCAGTAGTAAGTATACCCTTTTTTTTCTTCTTTATTTCAAAGAAAAAAAATCTGACTCATACTATTGAATATATTATTCATTCTCTGTATAATAAAAAAATGCAATATCAACACTAATTTCGTTTCCATCAATATTCAATTATGCATTTCTAAGCACATTTATTTAAGAACTCAAAAAAAAAACAGGTGAATAATAACGCATGTGTTTGTAATATTCTCATTTTATGCAATTTATTTCGCTCGTCCTTGATGTTGCAATAACAATCCGATATGCTATATATCATTAAATTATGTAAGCGAATATTCGAAAAAAATATGAAATAGTACATTTGTATAAATTTTTTTATCCTTTTAGATTTCTTTAATAAAAAGATGATAGCAAAATTTTCTCATAGATTAGATAAGAAATCATCAAATAAATGATAAATAAAAGTTAAGAAACGTATGCGCATATTTAAAGATTTGTCATTTTGCTTTTAGTATCATCATTTATCAGTAACAAAATTAATTCTATTTTGTAAGATATTTGAGCTATGACTGCAAAATGCATAGGCTTACACATAGTCTCTCTCGTCTTATCTTATCATTCTTTATTTCAAACAAAAAGAAAAAAAAAAGCAAACATTCGCTTTAGTTTATAACAGTACAGAGGTCAGTTAGGTTTCAGTTACGCTTCTTTTTTCTACGTACGTAAAATGCACTTGAAAATTACAGAGAAAGATAAAATATATATGGAATATGATAAACGACCTTGAGTTGTATAATCTTCACATATAAATAAAAGAGAATAAAAATGTTTCTCTTATCATATGACAGTGGACATTAAGATAAGACCAGTTGTTTTACGTTCTCAGAGAAAATTATGTAAGTATAAAACAAGAAAAAAGAATTAGTTTGATTTTGTCCTATATATACAGTAATCAAAAATACTAACAAACTTTTTTTTCTTTAAAATAATAGTCAACAATAAGTAATTAGATTAGTTAATTTATATATATATATTTTTTTGTGTTCGTATTTAATTGAGACGGTTTTTCCCCCGATTGAATTAAAAACGATTTATCGTGCACTTTGAAAAATACATTTTTTTTATCAGCGATTGTCATGATTAGTTATTTCTGCTGCTTATTTACAGCATTTTTGCATACTCTCAGCCTATTCTTTTCTTTCTCATATAAATCACTCTGCCTGTTTCATTTTCTCACATATGAATATATATATATATGTGTGCATGTATATATATATATACGCGTGTGTGTGTATACACTGACACCTGTGCATATGCACACGAGCAAATAATGATCGTTTATTCGAGTCAATGACGATGATGACACAAAACAGGCGTAAAGCGCATCTATACCGGAAGTTATTATCGTTTTCTATCATTGAAGAAATGAGCAAAGGACTAGAATGAATAGAAGTTATATTCGTTTACCTAAATCAATCTTTTTCGAGTTATAACAGATGAAGGACGATAATGATAAGTAAAAAAAGAAAAAAGCAATATCGGTAAGCATGATTGCTTGCAAAAAGAAAATGGTGATAAGATAGCTTTATCTTACCCTCCAATCTCTATGATCATTCATGCACATCCGATATAAAGACAAAATGCAAATAACTGTTATTTAAAAACATTCCGGTTATAAATGTATTTTACTGTTTAACTATTTTATCGTATTGAACATTTACTATTAGTTTACACATTATATTCAACAATTATTACTATTTATATTATCGTTCAGAATATCTTCGTTTTACAAATATTTCAAATGAAACCCATATCGATCGGTAAGCATTATTAACATAGAAATGCGCTAAGTCATGTCTTGTCACGGATGACTATCATTTAAAAAAAACAAGGTTGACAATGTTTATTTACATGTTTTGCATCTTCTTTATTTATAATGACGTGTTTTTTCCTATACGTTCGTTTGAGTAATATCATTATCGTTAAAAACAGTTACTAATGAATCATTATCTATATGCGCGGTAGTGATTTTAAATCATTGTATGAGTGACAAAATACAGATACCTTCTTATTGTCTACATAAAACCTTGATCATAGCATAAAAGATAAGCTTTTCTTATACATGACTTTACACGGGAGTGTCTATTGTTTATACATTCATTAATAGCTGTTTTCATTTATTTATGTTTATGTTTATGTTGGTGTTTATATAACCTGGGTAACGATAATGACAAAATTCAGTTTTTCTCTCTTTTTTTTCAATTGTTTAAAAGTTTTAAAAGCGAAAAATGATGAATGTACCCTGTAGAATTTAATTTGTAGATATATATATTCTATCACACACACTTTTGTTCTTTGTTTTGATTGTTTTCTTAATTAATAGTGTAAAAAAGGAAAGTTATGTTTTTCTTTCGAGCAGACAAATTTTAGTATGTATGATTAACCATTTCTTAAATAGTTTTTTTAAAATTTATCTAGGTATAGCATTTTGTTATTATTTGATATAAGTACCCATTTTATAAAGTACAATAGTTCGATCAACAGACAAAATCTTTTCTAATACTCATTACATTATCCTTCTTAATGTTATTCGATAGTAGAATTTTCTAGGATAAAAACTTTTTATTTTCTACGTATGATATTCATATATTATATGCAATAATCTAAAAATAAAAATACGTTCTCAAATAGTATTTAACATAGTACCTATTAATATGGTAATTTTCAATCTAAAAAAGTCTGATTAGAAAAGAAAACTAACAAATGACAATACTTTTTTTAATATTCATAAAGTCATCAGGTTTTTTTCTTTTGTATATTCAATCCTTAAAAAGAAAAATATAATTGAAAAAAAACAGAACAAAAGAATTTTGATTATCTTCCTAAGTATGATATTGAAGAATGGAAATTTGTTGAATCGATATGTTTACATAGCATTATTATTCATTAAAAAAAGAAAATCTCGTACACATTCCGAAACCCAATAAATATTCATTATTTGATGGCACCTTTTTTCCCTTTATGTACAAATTTATAGTTCTTTATTCTTCTTTTTTTTTCTTAAAGAAAAACAAGAAAAATTTTTCATCATTCATCTTCAAACTATGCTGGTGATTGATTCATAGTAGACGATATATAAAAATAACATAGGTAATACTTTTTTATTTTTAATATTTGAGGTTTTTTCCTTTTTATCAAAAAGGAAGATTTAAAATGATTTACATTTAATATCATGAAAGAGAAAAGCAAATAGAAAAATCATCAGATTTTTTCTTTTGCAGATGTTAAAATGAATACTTTTTCTCATTGTTAAAGTCTTAACATCTGTTTAAGAATCCCAATAGAACATAGTTGGTCGATTTTTTTCTTCTGTGAACATCAAGGAGAATAATATTATAGTGTTAAATATAGAATAGAAAAATTATTTTTTTCTAATTCGATGCGCATGTATCATATAATTATCTATCTTTTATTAAGCGTGTATATTTGGTATGTAATTCTTTTTTTCTTCTTTAACCATATGAGTTCATAAGTAAACCGACAAGACGCAAAGAAGAATAAGAATAAGAAGAGTAGTAGTATAAAAATCTTCGACAACTTGAAGAACTATAATATCCAATGAAGACATGAAACACGTGTCTACCCTCTTTTTTTTCTTCTTTTTTTCTCCTTTGCATATTGTTACTTTGTCAAATAAATTGCGTCACACCTGTTCGCATCGTTCATTCAATGAAAATTGAAGTAACATGTCCTATTCATCGTCTACTAAAATATTTTTTTTCTTCACATTATCGTTCTGTTTCTCGCTCATTTCTTTTTTTTTCTTTTTTACAGTTTTTTTTAGACAATCTAAGAGAAGAAAAAGATGAAGACAAAAGAAAATTTTTTCTTCTTTTTTTTTCTTTCATTTGTATAGAAATCTCTTACGTTTTTTTTCCAGTTTTATTCTTTTCATGTCCTTCCCACTCTTTTTTTTAAAATCTAAATGAACTATTATCTATCATAACCGTATTTGAGAGAGTCAATATTTTAAACACATATTTATATAAAAATTAATTTCTTAAACAGATGATAATGACTACAAATACTAATAGAATACTCGAACATCTAAATATATTTTCTGTTGATCATTATAAAAAACAGCAACAACAACAGCATCAGCAACAACACTATGATGAGATCAAAATGAATCTAACGTCAGATCAACACGGTAAACATTAAATACGTGACAATTAAATCCGGGTTATTTTTATGCTTACCAGTTCATATTATTATTAACACTAACCAACTAATCTATCTTTTTTCAGACGTGTGCATATATATATATATACATCATTTATCTCGAACTTTCATATTATATAATAAGATAAAATACCTCGTAGATAGTAATAAAAAAAAAGACCGAGTTAATTCATCTAATCTTATCTAATCAGTGTCATACATCCGAAATATTTTTAAATTCCTCTTATTTCTAATTGATCATGCATTTAATTATTAAATACTATAATTACAAAAGCTTTCTTTTTCTTCTTATTACTATAGTTATTACAATGAAATATTGATTAGGTCCTTTAATTTTGTGAATAAAATCTAGAGTTTTTTTGTTTTATTTTCTATTCATTAGGGAGAAAAAATGATGTAATAATACTGTTTACTGATGTTATTTTATTCATATGTCTAAAATTGAATAATGTTATAGAAATAAGATCTAATATTTTTCCACTTACGAGAAAATATAAATATTTAATGTTAAAGTTATGTGACATAGTAATGTTATAATTTAATTTTCTTTTTTGTTTAGACAATATTCTTCAATCAAATATTAAAGACGAAAAAACAGATCATCATGTTGATAATACTCATTTAAAAACGTCACCAACATCAACACCTAATATCGATCAACCATTATTAATTGTACTTGATGAAGACGATATCAATACTGATGATGAAAATGAACATATTAATTTAAAAACATCTGAAATAAAATTACAAAGTGATTCACCTACAAATGAAGGACAAAAGACAAATAGTTCAAATAAAATTACACCGACAGGTATTCATTTAGTTTCAAAAAAAACATTTTCTTCTTTAGACAATATTTTTTTCGTTTAGCTAAACAATCTATAAATAAATCGAAAAATTCACGAAAATCCAATACAAATACATTAACTGATTCTAAACTTTTTCGTCGTCCACGAAAACCTGGTTTATCATCATTACTAAACGATTGTAATCAACAACAACCATCAGATAAATTTTTTCGTACTGTTGTCATTGATACTACTTTTATGCGACAAACATATCAACAACAACGAAATAAATTAATAGCTCGTCGTAAAAACTCTAATACATTTTCATCATCTATTAATATGTCGAATACTAAAACACATTCTATTGACGATAATTCTCCTATATTATCATCGAATGATTCGATATTATCAAATATATCATTTGATAATATATCTAATGTATTAACTGTATCACGTATGGGTTCAATATTTTATTGTTTAGAAGATTTATATGGCAAAGTCTTTTCTTCACTATGTACATTAGATGAATTTACAAATTTAATAATAAAACCTGAAATAATTGTTACGAAACAAGTAACATTATCAGAAAAAATGTCAATTGAAAAACAAGTACCATCATTAAAAAAATTTCATGATATTCGTTTTCGTCTTATATCAATTAATTCTTCTGATTATTTACTTCGATTAAAACAATTACTTGTACCAACTAAAAATCTAGGTTAGATAAAAAAGAATTTATCGATGATTGATATTTATTTTTGTTTATTAGGTGAAACTGAAAAACAAAAGCGTATCGAACAAATCATTGATGAGATGCGTGATTATAAACGAACACCAACACCTGTTCTTGTAAAGGACAATGGTAAAAAGACAATTCTTTCTTTTCCTCCTTTTTTTGCTTTCTCTATATATTATTTATTTATGCATTGCATATGTTTATATTTTAAATACAACGTTTTCTTTTCCTATTCAGTCTTACATTCACCAATGACTACGAAACGTCTCTCATCGGATGATGATGACGATGACGATGATGAAGAACATGATGAAGAACCACGAAAACGTTTAAAAATTGTTACAAAAAAACAAAAATCAAATGATACACCACCACTAGCTCCTACACAATTTGGAATATTTATACAATGTAATGGTCCAGTTAGTTGTAATATATTTTCAACAAATGAAACTGTTTCACAATCATCTTCATCATCAACAACGACTAATAGTGCAGAAACGACAACAACAACCACTACAACAACAGTTGCAAAAACTGAATCGGAAATCATAGCTAAATCTACTATAATTCGAAAACAAAATGAAAATGATTCTAAACAAAATTTTCTTGAAAAATTACAACAACAATATTCCAATATACCAAAATTTAATTTAAATAATGAACAATTTATTCCTAAATCTACAATTTTAAATCGAACGGATTCACAGAGGTAAAAATAAACTCACGGGACTCATCAAAGATAATTTTATCCTATTAAAAATAATCTCATTAATCCAAAGCCTAAAAAAAACGTCGTCCTTTATCGTATTTTAATTATAAACGATAAAAAAAGAACATCGCTCTTTTGTTCTCTTTCTAAATGCATTGTTACTAAAAATGATTCAATCATAACATCAAAAAGAATAGGGTCGACTTATGCCAAATTATAGATTAATTCTATTAAGTAAACGATGCATAAAATCTAAAAACAGAACAAACTTTAAGGTTGATTTACTATGTCTTTCAATTATTTCCCTAAAACTAATAATTTGAGATTATTACAAGTCTATAAATTTCATTATAATTAAATGATTCATTATTTTATTTCATAATAAATTATAGAGACCAGATATATTTGCAGTCTAGTGATTATCTAAACAGATATTAGAATCATGTAATTATGTGTTTTGTCTTTGATGTTAATTCTAGAGATAGAATTATTATTTCAAAAGATAAATACCGGATCGATATTGATGTGATTGTAAGTTCAAGGATAAATTTTGAACACAATATTTTCTCAGACATGTATATTTACAGATGCTATAAAAGAGTAAAACCAATATATTATTCTAAGAGTAACCGACAAAAAAAATTTAGCGTATAGGTCATAGTATATTTAATCAATATACAATTGCTTACCATATTAATGAATAAAAAAAAATTCTGAATAAGCTTTTTATACTGAGTCATAAAAATTCTGAATAATAATCACTGTCTGCTTTTCTTTAGTTAATAATATTCAAATATTCCATTCATTGAATCTGAGAAAATCAATTATTTACCAATGAAATTTTGTTTATTAATTGAAATTTTTTTTTTGTTTCGATTATTTTTAGTCCTACGGATTGTAATCAAATAAATAACATATGTCCATCATCAACTGTTATGAATATGCCAATAAAACGGCGTATTCTTAATTCATATAATAACGATGCAAATGATTCATCATCATCATCTACAACAGCAATGCATCTATCTACAAGATCAATAAATCATTCACGTTGTTTATATCGTTCAAAATCTTTTACGTTTAAAAATAATAATAATGATCAACAAAATAAAAGTTTTGCTCGTCGTTCATCTAGTTTATCATTAATTCAATATCATACAAAAGAAAAATTTTCTAATAGAAAATCTCATTCAACAGACAATAATAATTCCAAATTAAATATTAAATCGAAAAGTGAACCAATCGATTTAACAGATGAAAGTTATTCAATGCCAATGATTGTTAATGTTGAAGAAAATGTTGAACCTGCTAATCAACGAGACAAAATTAAATGTAAAAAATTAATTACTACAAATACTAAACCAAAACAATCAGAAAGTGTGTCGATATCATCCGAGTCAGAATCACGTCCACCGTCAACAGTCAATTCTCGCTCAACATCTCATGGATCTAATCCAACAACAGTATTAGCAAAACCAACACCTACTCATCATACAACTCCAACTTCAACTCCAACTCCAACTCCATCATCGTATCGTCCAACGCCCTATGTTGTTTATCAACATCAAGAATCTTATACATATCGTGAACCATCTCATAATATTTCATCTTCACCTTCTATGTCTCATTCATATCAACATTCAACACCCATTCCACATAATACAAATCTTTATCCATATTCATTTTCATCTAATCCACAACAGTATCCAATAATAAAAAAAACGAAAGAAGTATCTACACCAAATTCTTACGATACTCGACCTAATTCTGTTGCTCCAATTCATCCATCATCATCATCATCATCATCTTCAGTAGCAGTAGTAACAGCAGCAACAAAAAATAATCATCATAGTACTAGTTTACCATCATCTGTTGTTATGCCTATTGTTCGAAAACCAAATTATTATCAGCAATTAACACCAGAACAACAAGCATCAATTAAAACACAATCATCACCGCCAGTACAAATGCAATGTCGTTTACCTTGTTGTCAACCACCACACCCATCTATGCAACAACAACAGCAACAACAACATCCACATCCACATCCACATCTTCATCAACATCATCAACAACAACAGCATCAACAACAACAGCATCAACAACTAACATCACCACATTCAACAGAAAAGGCACTGCAAAATGAAAGATATATGTATACATCATATGTTCCTTCAACACCGGCACAACATACATTAAAACGTGATCCATCACATACACCAGATATTCTAAATTCATCACCATCTATGAATCGAAAACAACGTCGCGTTGAATCTATACCACCACCATCAACAACACCATTTCCACCTTATTCATCAACAAAACCATATTTTGTTCCTCCACCACCAATACCATCGCTAGCATCTTCAAATTCCTCTTCATTATCATCATCACATTGGGCATCGATATCTCCTTCACAACCAACTCAAAATATAAAACCATCTATTCGATATCCGTATCCTCCACCACCAAATACACCAATAAATAACATAACACGTAAAACTGATTCTTATCGTCCTCCACCACGTCGTCCAATACCAGTTCAATCTCGACCACCATTAACAACACCTGTTGTTGCACAAAATTCTTCAACATTAATGAGTCCACCAAATACACCACATGAATTAACTTTACCAAATATTCGTACACGTAGTATTGATATACAACGAGCAATTATTGAACGTGGTTATTGTGATATGGATAAATTACCCAAACTTGTTGTACGACATACAAAAACATATTCAAATAAAACAATTGATACAATGGGACAATTATTTCCTACATGGTTCAATGAACCTGATTATCGTTGTATACATTGTTTTCGTTGTGATCAAGTATTTACACCACAACAATTTATGACACATGTTGATGATGAACATTTACAAAATGAACAACCCATAAATATGACATCAATACAATTATTAACATCAGAAAAAATGTCTGAATATAAAGTTGGATTGTAAGCTTAGTTATTGATTTTATTTGAAATTTATTTTTTCTTCTTCTTCTTATTTAGATGGAATCAGTTTTGTACAAATCTTACCATCTATGCAAGGTTAGATAATAGAATAAAAGAACGGGATTTTTTCTGTATTTTCTGATAATACTTATCTTTCAACAAAAAAAAACAGCTTAAACCCATTGTATAGTAAATTTAGTGATATGGAAAGAAAAGAAACAACAATAAAGTCAGCTCAGGTATACCTAGTATTACTAAAAAAAACTAATAATACTGCTCCAGCTGCTGCTATATATAGATTGCAATTAAACTAGCTTTTAATATCATAGTTATAGTTAGAAAAACAAATGACTGTCTCGTAGAGAATTAAACCTTTTCTTTCCTGTCACATTTTCGGATGAAATAAAAGGATAACACCTGCTCCTGATAACTGATCCTTAATATAAATATGTATATATATATATGTATTTTTTTTTTTATAGAGAGGGTCGGATCGGTGGTTTTTCTACGAATAGAAACACGTAAAAAACTTGACATAAACAAGTTTTATGTTTACCAGTAAATGTACTGGTAGCATCAAGGATTGGTTTCAATGAAAAATGAGTAATTCTAATACTCAATTGGTGCTATTATATGCATCATGGTTCGTATATTGTTCTGTGTTTTTGTGTAGAAATTATTTCAACTTATTCATATTTTCTATTGGCTGTGATTTTTGTTATATTCGTGAATATTTGTATCGAAAAAGAAAAACAGAAAATAATCAAATCTAAAAAGAAAGAAACAGAGACAATGCAAAGATATCTATATATATTTCTATACTGAGCGTCTTGTGACAGAATCTCGCTTATCTGTGATACGTAATTTATTTTGTTTTGTTTAGTTTCTTTTCATTTTTTTCAAATATTGTTGTTTTGCTTGTTGGTTATTATTCACTGTTGTTTGTAAGCTTGATTTCATCTGGTTTTGTTGTTTTTTTCTCTTGCAAATTTTGTTCCCTAGAAATCAGTTTGTTTTTTTTTTGTTTTTTCATTTTCGTTTTTTTTTAATGTGAAAATTATTTGTGACACATTCAATGTTGATCTCGGATTTCAATTTATAAGTGAAAACAATAAGTGAGATAAATATATATACGTATATATATATATATATGAGAGATCACGTTGTACTGTTGTTGTTTTTTTTTGTTCTTTTGAAAGACTTAATTTGCTATAAATCGTTGTTTGTACATTTTCAAATGATTATGCATTAATGATGACATACAGAAATTTAATAATATTAATATCCACCTGTCAGTAACTAAAACATCATCAATTAAGGTTCTATACGTCATAAATTATTATGAAAAACTTGACAAGTGCAAAGAACCTGTTGACCCTTATTAATCATATTATTGATTCACTACTATTTAATGAATTATTCATTCGGTAAAAAAGATTTTTTAATTAAGTTTTTGCCGTAAAATCTCGTATTTCCTCATTAAATTATTACGGTGTTTAGTTTACGTTGAATAGAATATTATCTCAAAGGTTGTATAGCAAAAGCAAAATCAAATTTTCAATAGTATCTCGTACAAACTAGGTCAAGATCTAACATTGAAAATAATGTAAAAAGTTAAAGTGATATTATGTGACCTTAAAAATGTAGTTCAAGTGTACTTGAAATCAATTATTCAAAAAGAAAAATATTCTTAAGTCATTTGTTTTTTATATATTATAATAAACAAACATAAAGAAAATCATCTTCAATATTTATTTAAATAAGTATTCAAAATATTTTTCATTGGTAAATAAATCTTTTAACAGATGAATAATAATCTAATTTTTTGCTATAAATAAACTATTCGGAAAATTTTAATTATAAAATTAATGGTATATTTAGCTGATTTTCATGACAAATAATGAATGAAAATTACTTGTTAAACTGGAGATTGATGGATGTTTTCCAGTACACGAATGGTATAATCGTATTAAAATAATATATGAGAATTAATTTTTTCGAAGCCAAATTTAGAAACGTCGTTCTTTAATTATAAATATTATTCTCTTTCCAGTCTATGGCTCGAAGATATTTTAAGATTAATAACTGTTTGGATGAGACATGGATTATTTTTTAATTAGATATTTGACGCTAGACTAGACATATTTGAATTGAGATCAAATGAACTACTATGAAAATAAAGAAAAATATTTCGATCATAAATAGTTCTTGGCATAAAGAAAGTTAAGTTCACAATCATAACATATTGATTGAAATGCTAAACAAGAGAATATTTACACTGTCTCACCTTTCTTGTTTTTCAATAAACAGAAAATCATTACATAAGATTAAATCTTAACGGGAATGTATACTTAATACGGACCGGAAATTAGAATTACTTGAAACATAAATCCAGAAGTCAAATATAAAATAATATTCTGTAAATTTAATTATTCAATTCTAACAAGAATATCTATTTGATGTATGACAAATCTTAAATTATATACATAGTCATGATTATAAAAATTTCAAAGTCCATTTCTTATCTCATTACACGTAATATAAACAATGTATAATGATACGTGATTGTATTATAATATATATATATAACGCATACGAATGAAAAATATCTATGTATCATTTATTTTCATATTGAATGTGTAATGTTGGCTGTACATGAAAAAGAACTTCGAGAGCTTAGAAAAGTTTCGATTCGATATGATAATTCATCGAGAACATATTATTGTTTTTATCATAGAAAAGATTTAATACCATCGGAATTAATTTTATCCTATGATCTTGATGAACGAAAATGGAATATTGATACAATTGAATATAAATATATATTTGAAACAAAATTAAATCATTTATATAACAATGAACATATACCATTTGAAGAACAACTTCGGCATGTTATTGATTATCTTGATAATTATTTCAGTATGTTTAAATTAGAAATTAATATTTAGTTTTTTTCGTATCATTTTTAGATAATCAATCAGAACAACAAAAAGCGAAAATAAATCTTCATCGTAAATGTATATTTAAAAATGATTATTTTTGTAAACTCGTTTGTTTTATTCAGGTATGAATTCATTCTCATGGTTTCGACGTTTACGTAATGCACGTCGTTGGTCAAGTCAAAATGTTCTTACAGATTCGCCAGCAGGTACATTACCAAAATAAGATTTTTTTATTTTTAAATTTTCATATTAGAATTACAACGTTATTCAGCACCGGAAAAATCTACTAAAGAAAATAATAAAGAACAAATTCTGTCAGTCAAAACATTAGCTGAATCATTTGATACAAATAATATTCATCGAACTCGTACAAAAACATCCAGTTCATCATTACAATATCCAAATGAATATAATGAAACTCAGTTAGTATCAAGAATTAATTTGAACACAATGTATTTATTTTATTTTCTAGAGTACTAAATAAAGCACCATCAATTAGTGAAATTTGGTTGAATGTTTCTTTGCATGGGTAAGTTTATTTTAAACTAATTACAGTTTTTGAATAAATAATTTATATAGAACGAATGAAAAGCAAGAAAATAGTACAAGTCATATCAGCGAATATCTATTGAAAAAATTAGCAGAAAAATTCGTGAAATATTTCGGTGGAACATTTCAATGTAATGTTGGTCATCAGGTAGGAAAAATACAATAATAAATAATTACAGTTATTTACACACAAAAAATAACTTATTGATTTAATATCGAATTACTTATTATCACGCGAAGCTTAGAAATTTTGTATGATTAGCTCAATTTAACCTATGTTATGATAACTCTTAATAACTATTTAATTACGAATTAAACTTAATAAAGAAAAGGAAATAATTGATCTAAAATGTGTGCGTAATGGAAAATAGCATAAAATATTCTCCTCGATTAGAAATACTTCGATATGCATCAAACCCACACCCACCCATTTTGGCGTTTGGGTATTGAGTTTGACTCAGACATTCAAGGTTTTGTCGCCTAAGCCACACAGAACTGTAAGCACAAACTCAGTACCCAAACTGATTGGGTTTAGTGCATATCTAGAAAGAGTCAATGATCATTTTCAGTAATATGTGCGGAAAGAACGAGTATTACATTGTAGTTAACAGAAAAAAGTAGTCAAACTTTGAATGATTGATGCTACTAAGATTAAAATGTTTATAAATACTTTGATTGTATTTATTGATCAAACTTAAAATATTCGATCGATGATTGATCAGACATCTTTTTTTTAAAGAATAATTTCTCGTTTAGTGTCAACTCGAATATGATGGTCAAGTATGGCATTTTATTGTACTTAAATTTGAATGTATGTATTAAATATATTTATTACAAAAAAAAATTATTTATTTTTTTGTTTCTAGTTTTAACAAATCAAACTTGTGAACCTATGAAAATACCAAAAACAAAAATCGTTTTTCTTATTGATGGTGTTCCATATTATGTTCGAGGTTAAATATATATATTTTTTTTGTATTTCTTATCGAAGATATCCACATAAACTTTCTAATATACGAAATACGGTATTAAATGTTAAATCTCTATTTGCCGCATAAGACCAAAATAAATTTTCATATGAAGATGATGTTGATATTAATGAATTTAAAAGTACATTTCGTTCTTCATAATTTATATTATCATTATCATCAGTTTTTAAATATGGATCAAGTACCATATATCGAATAGTTGAATAACGTTGAATAATTTTTTTCATTTCATTTCGATTAAAATTTAATCGAGATGATATTGTTAAAATAATTTGTTGTGATTGTTGATTTGATACTATTTGTTGATTTTTTATTAAATAATCACTAGCACGTTCCATATGTTGATTTAATTCCATCATTGACCTATTTTCATAACCAGTATAAGATAGAAAATTTTCAAGTAATTTATTATTTATATTATATAGCGCTGTTAAAGGTATATGATATTGAAAAGGATCTACTGTTGTTGATGATATTATCATAAGACCAAAACGATGATTACTTGGTTCGATTAATGCAAGAAAAATATTAAGAAATGTTTGTATTAAAGGCACATATTTTTGTTGACAATCAATAAGAATAAGAATATCAAATTTTGTTTTATGACATGATATTTTATATTTATTACAAACTGGTGGAATTAAATCCGATTGATTTACATGTGATATCCATTGACGTGGAGTACGTAATGAAAATTCATTGATCATTAAACTATCATCACTTTCCCATAGAATATCTAGACCAGGATTATTAGAGCAATGTGGAACACCTATAGGTAGATCCAAAAATGAACTAATATTACGATTTTCATCGATTACTGGACCATTAGCATAATCGGTTGCATATAAAAATTCAGCTAGAAATGAAAATATTTAAGTAATTTATTAAATATAATTGTCCTATTTAAATACAGCTAAGCTTATGAGTAAATAAGAAATTAAATTGATTATTTTATTATTATTAATTCTCGAACGGTGTTCTCATTTTACTACATAATAAGAACTTAAAATTTTGTTTGTTTTAAGTTGGGCGTGGATAAATCGAGATTTGCATCATAATTTTCGTCAGGTATAAATACGATAGTACGAGTCCTGATAAATGAAAAAGTTGCTGATTAAAGGTTTTAAGAGTCAAAAAAAGCGTTGTGGGTCTTGTCAGACCTTCAAATGCCGTACGAAGGTTAATAAACAACAATGCGTACAAGCAATAACGGAGATCTTAATGGTTCCACAGTGAATATCATAAAGCTCGACACATATTTTTTCTCTCTCTATCCATCCGTAGAGAATAAATATAGAAGTATGTATTATATACATTAATGATTTTAACGGATCTGTTTTCATTCTAAATTGGTTATCCATATGGATCGAATAGTTTTAACCGATTTTCATATTAGAACAGCTTTTTTTACACTAACAGTCTATCCTATTAGTTTGAAAAAACAATAAATATTCTTTGATCGTTATATTAGATCCAAAAAAGTTGGATACACGAAACTTCTGCACTGAAGTTTGGAAACAAAACGAGCTCTTTCAACTTCATCAACATCAATAGTTATCTTATATAATTGGTTTTCGTTTCAATCATGATAAAACTTACGTGCTAAAGTACTTGTTGTAGTTAATGCATATTTTTGTTGAATACTCATTGTTGAAGGTAAAAGTGGATCAACATGAATAATAAACCATTGACCATTAGATATTCTTTGTACATATAAATTTCTATCACCTAATGATCGATAGACTGGTGCTGAAAAACATCGATCTGTTGTTTGATAAAATGTGTAATCAAATTTTTCTTTTAACGTTGCATGCATATTTTGATTATTCATTAAAGTTAACAATGGACATTCTATTGCTTTACTAACATTTGTTTCAATTAAATTTGTTGTAAAATTTTGAATAAAATCATTTTCTTCCATAACATCACATAAACGATTATAATGATTAAATAATTGATTTCCAAAGATGGCATCACCTAATTTTTCATATGTTTCAATATAATTATAAGTTACAGGTGATGATACTAATGAATATTTAGCATTATGAATAAATGCTGAATGAATATATTCGGATAATTTTTTATTTGATATTTTATTAAAATCAATAACAAGAATTCTTATTGGTACTGATGCAATAAATTGTGCTAAACGTTTATCCCGTTGTTTATAATCATAAAGATTTTTTGAACGTGATGTTAATATAATAATAACATGATTCATTCGAGTAGATTTCATATCTATTGAACGTTTTTCTTTATGTGGATATGTTGTTATGTTTAAAATTGTTTTTATTGCAAGTTCATCCGAATAAATTAATGGATAGGGTTCAGTATATACATCATCCTCATCATCATCATCAATTGTATCATTTGTATTCGATTGATATTCATCAATGAGATTAATTTTTTCTAATGGTATTAAAAGTCGACGTTTAAAAATTTGTGTAACTATATTATGAATAGCATCAATCCATTGAACAGAAAATCTTCTAGGAATATCAACATGTTTATTAATTGCATCTATTGAATCATATAAATGTTCAAGACTTTTTGATGATGTTTTATTATTAAATGTATTTATAAGATGAAATGTATCATGATAATAACTAAGTGCAATTTTTGTTTGATTATATAATAACCATATTAAAGTTTTTGTTAATAATTTCATTTGATGAAATTCATCATTAGTTGTACTTTCAGTTAAATCAAATAAAAAAGTTAATTGTTGTGTTTGACATGTTGAATTTGATAGTTGATAATAACATTTAATTTGAACATCTGTAGCAACAAAAATATATATGTAGGTCTTATTTATTTTGATTATATTCATAAATCTTATTGCTAGAAAATTTGTTTGCAAAGAGAAATTGACAATGATTAATTTATGTTTAGTTTCTTATAATTCAATTAGTATCGATTTCGATTTCTATATGCCCGCGCAAGTAGAATTCAAATGAAATCAACTCAATACGTTTTTTTTTAGATAAACAGAAGATTATTATAAATAGATCGATCTAGTACTGTAATTTCTTAAAGAGTATGATATGGAAAGGCTTCCGAAAATAACAATTGTTTCAAATTATGTTCAATTGATTGTAATATTTAAAAAAAAATTTTCTAATATTTAGATAATGATCAGAAACTATTATTTTAGACTTTACATGAATAGAAAATAACTGAATTAGTTTTTTGTTGCTCGAGGTTATTGACACAAATTCAGTTCTTTGGACTTGAAGGGTTCTATTCGATAGAGATACATTGATAAGATATGAAAATGACAGAAATAGACAATGTATTTTAAGCTATTTCTACACTTCTACAACAACAACAAAAACATATTGACATGATCTTTTCTTGAAAACTTTGGCAGTAAGAACTCTAAGAACATACATAACGCATTACTTTTACAAAATTCTATTGAACTCGCTTATTTGTCTTATTTCTTACTTGATATAGGTTTGTATGTATAACTATTATTTTTTGCATGAATAATTACACGTTGCCATCGTTGTGATCGTTTTTGTTTTCCAAGTGGATGTTGAAACATTCCAAGTGGCATTGAAAGTAATGGTTTTATATTCCAAGCATCACACCATTCACGCATACCTAATTTATATGTTGAATTTGTTGTATCATAAAGTGTCCACCATCGATTATTAGGTGATTGAAATTGATATAAATTTGCATATTTAATTGAATGAAAAATTGGTTTATTCTGACAAATATAATCTGTTTTATAAAATAATTTCTCTTCAATTTCATTAAAATGAAACGGAAGTAAACCTTGTGGTATATCAAATTCAATTAATCGACATAGATCATCATTTGTAAAACCACCTATTTATTTATTTAATTAAATTTAAAAAAAAAACAAGAAAAAAAAATATATATACAAGAAATATTCGTTTTTTTTCTTTATTTTATACACTTACGATGAAGGAGTACGAAAATAAGAAGAATAATAGCATTATTAAGCAACATTCTTAACGATAACTAATCATCTAATGACTGTTAACATCTTTCTTTATTTGCTACTCTCCTTCAAATGACAGATATTGTTTATATATTCTGTATAACTTCTGTCACTTAGAATGACATCCATTTTCTGAAGAAACCAAGTATTTATATATTCATATTTATACAGAAGAAAACACTCACACACACACAGAAACAAATGCACACATAATTGTCTTTTATTTCTTTAATTTCTTGTTATAAAACCAGTTCGTATTGTTGATGTTGAATGATCTGTTCCTCCTCCTCCTCCGGATGATGACGATGGTTGAGTTTCCATTGATGTTAAAGCTTTAATTAATGTTAATTTATCTCTTTGTAATACATATATTTGTTGTTCTGCATCAGTTAAATCCTAATTGAAATAAAATGATTTATATATTAAAGATAAACATAAAAAATAATAGAATAATATTTACTCTTGTAACTCGATCTAATTTACGTTGTAAATCATGAATTATTGAATCTTTATCATGTATAACAGATTCAAGTGTACGAATATGTTCTTCAAATTGTCGATATTTTATTGTTGAAGAATCATCACCCGATGTTTGCTAAGAAATAAACAAATATAATAATAATACGAAAGAAAGAATTTTGTATCTTACTCGACGAACAATAAATTCTGTGGGTTGAAAAATTGATGTTGATGTATTTGGATATATAGTTGCTGATGCCACTGATGTCATCAGAAAAGAATTTTTCAAAAAACATTTTAATAAAATTATTTACCTGGTCGTGAAATTGTTAATTTTTCAAATGAATGTCGGGAATTGTCATCAAATGTTGGTCTGATTGAAGAGGGAAAAAAAATGCACTCTTTTTTTTCGATTGTCAAAAAAGTTATACTTACTGCACACGACTAATTTTAAACACTGGTTTTGGCGAATTCTAGAAAAATAAAAAATAGTAATACGGATTTAATTTGTTCAACATACTGTTTGATTATGTTCAAATGAATCACTCGGTTCTGATTTAGTAAGCGTAATAAATTGATTGCGTGGAGTTGTATTGTCTTCTTCTTCATCATTATTATTAAAAGAATTCTAGAAAATGAAGAAAAAAAAAACGTTCAATAAATTCTTGTAATTATTTTTAATATAATTTACATCAGTTAATGCACTTGCTGACAAAACATCATCTGGTCGTATACCAGTTGCACGACGTTTATCTCTGGTATTTCTTTTATGTTTCGGATTAAGACGTACTACTGATTGATGTTGAGTAGTATTTGTCGTTATTGTTGTTGTTGAATCTGTTGTCGTTGTTGACGATTGAACAACAACAACAGGTAATGTTTCATTTGATCGACTACTTGATGAAATAGTCGGCATTAAACGATGATGAAAACGAAGGGCACGTGTATGATCTGTATTTGTTGTTGTTGTTGTTGTAGGAAGAGATGGTGCCTCACTTGCCTGTAATGACGACGTTGTCGTCGTCAGGAATGTAGAACGAGACATCTAAAATAAATATTGTATATAGAAAAAAAAACAAATCACATAAAGGTGAAAGAACAAACTAATTTTCCAAGACCAATCTCTACTCTTTTTTTATCCCCCTCCCCCTTCTTTTCTATTATCATATGTATTGAATTAACACATCGACCTAATAATATATTACTTCTCATTGAAATCTGTTTTTTTTTTATTATTTATTTCATTAATACTAATAATAGTATATCATAATCGTTCAAATACTCTTTATGTTTACTTGATTCGATCTGACCGACATATATATATGTTTTGTTTATTTATATACAATCGAAGTCTGTCATTCTGCCTACTTCTACATTTTTTTTTTCTATGGACAAGAGTATCACATCTACTATATATTTCTACGGCTGTTACCATTACCATGTATGCTGATGATTATAATCAAGATAAGCGTAGGTTGAGTGTGTATGTGTATAGAGATAGTAAAAAAAATAATATATTTACCAATCAACACTGAAAAAAAACACATAAAGATTTTTAGAAAAAAAAAGGAACACTGACAATAATAATCTTATTTTGTTCGATATCTCAAATAAACGATACAGTGATTTAACGTTGTTGTATTCTAGCATAAATTCTTTAAATATATAAATATATGTATATATATGTACATAGAGACAAAAGATTATCTTATTTATTATATATCGTACAAGGAAAATCGAAGCAAAAAAAACAGCAATATAGAAATATGTTTTGCTATTCTCCTTCCTTTCGCTTGTTCTGTACATTGTGATGATACATGAAGAGCAAAAAAACTATTAAAGACAGATTCTATATTTCTGTCATTTTTGCGAGAGTTGTCGTTACTATCTGGAATATCAACAACAATAACAACAGTCTAATTGTATGTGTATATGTATGAGATACAAGACAAAAAAAATTGTTTCAATCCTTATCAGCAAACTAAGCGACAAAAGAGAAAGTTTCGACAATATGCTTATTGTCACTAAAAATTAATATCAACAAATTGATGTTGAATAATGATAATGATAATGATGATATGATGAAATAGCTCATAAGATATCTATATATATATATACAATCGAAATATATACGTATGACATTCGATAGTTGTCTCTACTCGTATTGCGACGATGAATAGTAATGACATACGATATATTGTCGCAATCGAAAGCACAGCATGAAGAAAAAAAGTCTAAATTCACTATACTCAATAACAATAATAAAAGCGTAAATAGATATGTTTGAAAATTAAAAAATATATAAATACACATTATTCTTAATCATTTCTGTATATAGAAAATTTATATTAAATAATGACAAATGTTTATAACAGTCTTTCAAAGAAAAATCATTGATTATCTTCCAGTTGTTTTCCTGCATAACACGTTCGTGTCAATAGTTATGTATTATCTCAATAATAATTGAATGTAACAATGAATAGTCAAATGGCAATATAGATAGATGATTTGAATTAAACTATATCTTATAAAAGATTTATTTAAAGCTATAATTGAATACAAATATGATGAATTAATAACTAAAACTTTTATTTATATTCTTAAAAAAGAAACAGATCTGAATACAGAAAAAGATGAAGAGAGAAAAAAAAACTTTCAGATTTATACTGATGACATTCCAATAGTGAATGCCAATTCAGTAATATTTTGAGCAATTGAATCATGATAGCAAACAAAAAATTCATGTTCAATTGGTTGTAAGCATTTTTTACCGACAATCCAAAAATGAAATAAATTTGTATCTTTTTTTTTTCTTAGTATCGGTGTCAGTTTGTAAAGAAAATTGACAACCAATTTCGAAATATTTTGGACGTAATTTTCTACTAAATAAATTTTTTGATTTTAATTCTTTTTGTTTTGAAAAATGTTTTTGTCGTATATAGATACATGTTTGTTGTATTGTTTCAAATAAAAGTCGATCAATTAAAGTTGTTTGTTTTATTTTATCAAGTGTAAAATAAGGTGCAATAAGTAAACCACGAATCGATTGAAAATCCAAATAATAAAATATTGTCGAATAATTACCTGGATGTAATCGATATGCCGATAAATTTGTTTGAAGATTCTTATTTTGTTGTTCATCAAGAGATAAAGTTGAAGATTTAAATGATTGACGACTACTTTTATATAGTTCATCTTGAGATTCAGGTTGACTAACTAATTGTGTTGCTCGCAGATCATTTAAAGATGGTTCATGATGATGAGAAGATGCTATCGACATAGTATCATCAATATTTGTTTCAGCTGTAGTCGATTTATTTGATTGATTGAATCCTTTTTAATAAAAATGAACATAATCGTATGAATTAATGTTACAACTAAGTACTCGATTCTGCCAACTAAGGTCGAAAGTAAAAATGTCGAATTATAAAAATATCGAAGAAAAAAAGTCGAAATACGATGATAAGACTTTGGGTGTTTGAAACAACTTAAGGGGAAAACTGAAAACAGACGTGAGTGGATGGGTGGGTGTGGGTGTCATCTTCTTTGCTTCCATACCCACCCCCACATCCTCACTCACTCCTACACTCTCACCCACACCCTCAAGATGGTTTTTCAGTTCGTGATTCTCACATTCGACGTTTGTCTAATTTTATTTCGACATTTTTCCTTTTCGACTAAAGTTCGGTTTATCAAGTACTCTGCAGTGAAGCAATACTTTTATTTTACCTCCTATTAATGGTAACGAAATCGTTCGTTTTAATTGTTTTTTAAGAAATGCTGAAGGTGATGAAAGAATCCATGGTGATGAACTCGGTAATATTTTTGGAAAAATCGTAAATATATCATTCAATGTTAATTTAATCTGTTGTATAATTTCATGATCAGGTGATATACTAAATAAATCAATTTTCAAAAAAAAATAGAAATTTTTTTGTTATTTTACTTTAGATCATTTTTTTCGTATTCACTTTCAATAATAACAGCTAATGTCAATTCACCTTGAGAACAAACAATTAAAAATGAACGATATTTTGATTCATAACCTATTGGAAAGATTTCTTTAAATAATAATAATTGCCATGTCTCACAATAGAATTGTGTCATATTTAAATGTCCATAATGAAGAAGAAAATGATAAATATCATTTGTTAATTCATTTGATAAATGACTTATTAATAAATGAGTACGATGGAATAAAATTGTGCCATTTAAAAAAAATATTCGCCGATAACGATTTATAATCGAATCATATTCATTTGAACATTGATTTATACTTTGACATTCTAATTGATTTAATAAACAATCAATATTTATTAATAATTGTTGATTATTAAGAATTAATTTTGGACATGTACCAAAATTATGAAATTGTGCAGGTAAAAATTCATCAATAAGACGAAGATTTTTAAATATTGAAAAAGAATTTATCGGTGATAATAAATGATGAAGACGATAGAAAAATATATCAAAAAAATATTCAATTGATTCTTTATAATAAAATAATCCACGATAAATTGAACCAAATAAAAAATTTATTAAACGAATCATATGTTCTGTATGTTGTTCAAGTAAACATATATGTAAATTTTCAATAGGTGGATAAATAATAATCAAATAATGTATATTATCATCACTTGTTATACACACAGGAATGTTTTGTTCGGCAAGTTTGATCGATATACTAAACAAAGACAAAAAATATATATATAAGTAAATTAGGGATTATCATTCAATGTGGAACCTTCGAAGTAAACTATCATGTTCATTCATATCATGCATAACTTGTGTTAATGTAGGAAAAACCCCACCAGCAGCAAAAAATAAATCTTTTTGTGATGGTTGTTGATATAATAATTTAAAACCTTGATTTAATCGTTTTTCATAATAAAGTACGGAATGAATACAATCAATTTGTTCTGGTAAAGTAAGTTTTTTTTCTTCTATTGATGGTAGAATTATTGGTAATTGTAAAGAAGATGAAAGTTTCGAATTATAATTATCTGGATGACGAACTGTTAGACGTACTTTACGTGTAGAACAATATTTTGATAATATATCATTAAGATTTAACCAATTTATACGATTACCATTGATTGCTAAAAGCCAATCACCTACTTTAATACGACGATGTCGTCGTTCGATAACACCACGTACAATAACAGGTTGTTCAATAGATGAACTTGTATCAGGAAATATACCAAGTACAACTTCACATAAACTTGTATGAATAGATGCATCAAATGAAGATGCTGGACGACAACGAATATGTATATGTTCAATTAGTGATAAATCTTGCCGATATGATAGATGTGCAAATGGAGTATCAATATGAATTATTTCATTATTTGTTATTTGTGTTTGATCAGAAAAATATGGATATTGTAATTCAGATGAATTGACACTTGATACATCAGTTAAAAGATTACTAAGTCGATGAAATACACCTGAGCGTGATAGCACCGTGGATTCAACAGATGCTGACATTTTGATGGAATATTCATCCAATTGATTGATGAATGATTCAGACACTCCTTTTTTTAAAGATTATCCATCAATCTCACCGTTGTCTTGGAAATTTACAATGAGCCATACAACCACTCAAAAATTAAACTTCTTCAATAATCAGAAATAAAATCTCAACTTTTATTTATTTATTCTATGCTACAATATTGAATGTATCAGACATATAATAGATGTCACTATAATCCTGTTCAACAGATCATATACAGTATTTGTAACCCTGGTATACGTATATCATATACATACAAGCAATTATTTAAACATTGCTTTGAAGAACAGAAGTTATATTGGACGTCTTGCTCATAGAAATATATTCTAATTGCTTTTATTTAGAAGTTACATACGTATGTGAATACCGTTTCTATAACGTACAATAATTAGTCTGTTTTTAAAAGTTGATCTTGTACTTCTCATTAGTACTCTTGATTTATTTTCTCCAAAAATATGTTAAATAACGAAATTGTATAAATGGTCTCTCTGTTTATTTACGAGTCACACGTATGTCTTTCATTTAATAAATATTGTATTGATCTTGATAAGCTCTATTCATTTTTGTACATTTCACTAATAGAGAAAAACAATAAGCGAACATTCTGTTTTCGTTCATTTGTATTCTGCACCATAATCACACTTAAAAAACTAGAGAAAATGTTTTATATTCAATGAATGCTATCTATAACGATTAAATGTATTAGAAAAAAGACCTGTCAAAATAAATCAAGTTTAAGTGATGATTAATGGAATACTTATGACATGTAATAGCATTTGACAAAAGTAAAAATAAGCCATACTGTATCGAACTCTAAAATGTACGCGTATAATTTTTATTTTCATAGAAAACTTTTCTACGATGATCGGACTTTATGTTTTAAGAATTCAAATAATTCGAAAAAAAATGAAATGCGACCTACTTAATGATCATTAAATAAATATATCTATATTATTTATATGCAAGGTTTATGACAAATATAATTGATTTTTATCTATATGAACGTTTGTTTAAAAATTACATTCAAACTAAAATACATTAAGTAGTGATAAAAATCTAATGTAACTACTTGTTGATAATATAATATATTAATCTATGATAAATATCATATGAAATAAGTGATAGATATAGATTTTTGATTCATAAAGAAATTATATATGAATTGATGTCCTTAGAATTATTTGTTATCCTTCTTGATGATTTTTAATGGACTAATTTTCCTTCATTTGATCTAATGAAAGGCTCTTTTTTTTCTAATTTTTTTACAATAGTCTCAGGGTTATGTTTTAACCTTCATTAAATATCTATAAATCGACGCGACGATGTATTATTAAAGTCTTTTTTTGTTTCATTGATATTTCTAATATTTTTTTCTAATCAATAATTTCGAAAGAAGAGAATATATACAAGGATACTTTAATGTTATGAAATAGTAAATGTGTTATGTTTATATTCATGTTCAATGCCATTTATGGTTCATTGAGCATTTGTAATATTAATGACAGATATATATAAATTGACGATTGTCATTTTGTCTTTTTATCTAAGAATTTATTTTAACTTTGTCTATCTTATAAATAATGGCGAACGTTGATGTAGCTAAAGCGATGTTTTCACAAGCTGATACAAATCAAGATGGAATGTAAGACAGAACACAATTGTGAGATTAATTAATATTCAGATATTATATATTTCAGTGTCGACCGAGATGAATTTCGTAATTGGGCTTCAAATGCAACTGGATCGACACCTTCAACACATGAAATATTAACTGGTGGAGTTACTTATAATAGTGATAATAATGCTAAAACTGGAATAAATCGAAATGAAACTAGTTCACAGAGTGCTTTTGAATATGCTTCGGGTTTTAGTACTTCAAATTCAGCTGCAGCTGCGGCAGCAGCAGCAGCATTGAGAGAACGAACTAGTAGTACAACCGTTCAAACAAATAGTGCACAAGAAACAAATGAATATCTTTCGCGATCAGCTAATGGTATTTATAATGATCCTAATCCAGAAATTATACGACGAGCGGCAACAGAAGGACCACTAACTTATCAACAAAAAATTCTTATTCGATTTCTTCAACCACCACCTGTTCCACCACCAGGCGTACTTAATTAAATTAAATATTCACAATTTATAAAAATACATACATTCTTTTTTAGCCACTTATAATCAAAGAAATACGTCCACCACAACCACCTCCACCACCACCACTAGTCGTACGTCAGCGTGCACCACCTCTTCCTTCACCACCTCCACTTATCTTGCGCGAACGTCCACCAATACCACCAATAGCTACAGCTAGTCAAACAAGTTAATAAATTTAAATTTAATCAATAAGATTAATTTTCTATTATTTTCTATTAAGTAATTCGTCATTTAAATGCTGTACCTGTTCCACCACGATCAGTCATTGTCGAACGTCTTCCACCGTTACCACCAAAACCACGTAAAATAAATCAGTTTATACGATTCTTTTTCTACTAGTTTTAGTTCTTGTACAATTTAGGTGAAATTATTATTGAACGATGGATTCCTTATGGGCCACAAGCAAAACGTCGTACTATTGTTCAACGTGCTCCACCTCCTGTTCGATATCCTCAACCACGTAATATTATTATCAGTTATGATTCTATACAAACACGTATCGTTCGACAATTTCAAAGACTTGGTGTGACTCAACAAGATCCTCAAGCTTATGTAGCTCAATATGGTACAACATTGTTAGATTCTGCTACACTTACTCGACTAGCTCGTACAGCTGGAGTTGTTGAAGATATAGTAAATTATTTAAAGAATAAAATTCTTTCTATTTTCTATTGAACTAACAAAAAATCTTTATTTGTTCTAGTCACCACCTACTATATCATCTTCATTTAACATAAATACAGAAGGAACTTCTGCTAATTATGAATATTCAAATATAACAAGCGGTCAAGGTTTATCATCATCATCAAGTGCAACCGGTTTCGAAGGACTTCAAGTAGTTGGTGATACTGAACCGAATATATATAATTTAGAGACTCGTAATAATAATAACCATGCAAGTTATTCATCATCAAATTTTGCTAGTGATAGTGTTTTAAATGGTAATGTTGGTATAAACAACAATACCGCATTAGATGTAGCTGCTGCTAGTTTTGGTGCTGCTGATGTTAATCATGATGGACGATTAGACCGAGCTGAATTTATACGATTTATACAAGGTGGTGTTTAAATAAAGTCTTTTCTTTTAATTAAAGACGCATATTTTTTTTCTTCCATGAAAGACAATATATAAACTATATTTATGATATAACGAAAAATTGTACAAAATTCATTATTAAAAAAGAAAATAAGAAACGAAAACGTTTATTAAATAGCACTGATACCACTGTCAGCTGAATCACGTTTTCGTGTATACCATGAAGGTATTGTTTTTAAACGGGCTAATTCCATTGAATTATGCCATAGATCAGAATAAAATAATAATTTATTAGTTATATTTTTCATATTCTTATTAATATATTCATCATCTTGAAGAATAAGTTCATGATTTAATTTTATAGTAAATTCGTATGTGAATTTATTGGTATTCAATATAAATGTTTGTGTTTCTTTATTGAATGATATTTCGCGAAGGTCAGGAAGATTAATCGAGAAATTTTTCATTTGATCTAATTTTGTTGTATAAATATGTAAATGATGATCCTCTTGTAAATCAATCCATATCATTGAACGTAAAGAAGCATAATAAAAATCACCAAATAAAATTGATTTATTAGGATCACGTGGTAATTTTGTAATTGGAATAGAATTTTTAGTTATACCAGTGAAATATGTACTACAAGCATGAACTCCGTCCTTCTTATGGCAAAGTTGAAGTAATAATTCATTTTTTGCACATAAATCACATATACAACGACCGCATGAATGACAATATTGTTCAGGAGGAATTAGTTTTTTTATCACACGATTATTACAAATCTGACAACGCGTTATATTATTATCATTAACCGCTGTAGTTGCACGGGTATCCAATCCTGGTTTATCAAGACATTGAACTGAAAGAAGAATACGAAAATATAATATTTAGCTTATTTTTGTTATAGATAAATTTATTCGTGTATTTATATTATGTTGATTAGAGGTGAATATAATACTTACAAAGGAAAATTAAGTAAAACAGCACATTTTGTACAATCTCTTTGAATCGATAAATTAAACTATTATTTATTACGTATCAGGAATTGCAAAATCCTGCCTATCAGCTAAAAATATCAGCAAGACTAATTAAATTATATATAATATTTGCAAGTATTGTGTTATTATAAAATAGTCTGAACTAATTATGAGAGGAAAACATCGTATATACATAGTAAAAGTTCAGTGTTTTATTTAGGTTTCGTTTTTCGGATGGACGATGCCCACCCACTGGATAAAATCCTAAGTAAAAGATTAAACGTCTTAGTAGCTATGTTTTTCTATATATCTTTCAATAACTAACAATATGGATAGATGATTAATTAGATCTCCGTTTCTCACTGTTATATAGGAGAGTTTAATCTAAGTTTCCTAGATTAAAGCATGAAATAGAAATATATTCTACCTTTCGTGTTGGAAGTTCGTTTTGTAAATTCATCGATGGCTTGTTTTATTTTATCTATCCATTTTTGTCGATCTTGTTCTTTATTAACAAAGAATTCATATGATTTTTCAATCGTATGAACTCGAAAAAGAAAAAGTATATTGCCGTATTGTCTTGCATTTTTTGAATTAAATGAAGATAATACTGATTGTTCATTTTTAATACTATCAATTGTGACATTTTTTATCAAAAGCTGTCGTTTTAATTCGAGTTTATCTCCAGATTCTTTGCAGACTAATATACAATGTGATAACAATATAACATATAATTGATCAATGCCATTATATTTATACGAAGATCGTCTTTTTAATGAACCATGCCAAATAAGTTGTTCATCTGTAAAGTGTTCTGATTTACTACCAAGTCGTGTTTTTAATTTATTCACTTGTGTTGGACTAATGAATAGTTTATCTTCACATCGTAAAGCAATATGAGTAAGTTCACGATGTATAGAACGTAGATGATCACCCTCAGAAGAATTCTCACCCAAATGTTTTATATGATTTTCCATGAGAAGAATGTAACTATAATGAATAAATACAGATTTTATAATTTTTATTTTGACTATATTCTACGCACCGTACTAAACGTAGATTAGCACAATTGAGTTCATCAATTGGATATAAATTTCCAAGATGAGTTTGACATTCAAGCATCGCTGTTTTTAATAATGAAGAATCTTCACATAACTTTTTTAATTCAGCTTGAATACCAGCATAGGTTATAAAATATTCCGTATATAATTTTTCAATATTTAAGAATTGATCTTTCACAATTGTCCACATATTATCTGTACGTTTACCTGTTTTATAGTCTTCCATATGCGGTAAAATCATTTGACTATGAAATAAATATAACTTTTCTAATATTAATTGTAAAGGTTCATATATATTTATAAAACTTGGAACAACTTTGTCATTTGTTGTACGCTTTCCTTCAAGTATTCCAGGAAGTACATATGAAAACACTTGAAGTTTTTTAATGAAAGTTAGTTCAGTTTCATATACTTCTTCATATCGTTTAAGTGAAATTGTTGGCTAATAAAATAGAATTTAAATATATTTGTGATAAATCAATCAATATACCTTAATAACATTGCAATCTTTAGGATTAGATGATAAACCATCATCAGAATGTTCTGTTTTGGGATCCTGACAGTTATTTGACTCGGAAGTAATATGTATACCTTCCTGGATTGGCAATATTGCTGATTGATGTTTCGATGGAGTTCTCGAAGTGATTCTGTTTTGTTTAAATGTTGATGAAGAAACTAACAATAAATAAACTGTTAAAATTCAGTATTTAACAAAATAATTGAATGAGCTTCAACAATCAAAATGTACATCTTACTTAAGTTTGAAGGTTCAGCAATAGTAATACGACCAGGGATTGATGATGGTAAACGGCTAATAGTTCCTCGGGCCGTATTGTCAGTTGAATTCAAGTTCTCAAATTTTTGTCTTAATTCAGTGACTCTACTTCTTCTCTTCGGTGCTGATGTAAAGTCTTCATTCATTGTTGTAGATAGTTTAACTTCTCTTCGAACTACTGATTGTGGTGCAGGTTCTCGTTTTAATTCATTATCAACTGACAAAGATCGTTGCGTCTTATACATTGGAGTTGATAGAGGTGGTGGTTGATGTTGTTGCCGACCTCTACTTAAACCATGATTAGCCATTTATTTGTTAGATTCTATCATACACATAGAAATAAAAGAAACGAAATGACGAAAACTTACATTATATCTTATATACTTATACTTGGTTATTTCCTTTTTGCGGAGATCTTTTTTTTACAGATAAGTGTTTTACACGACACGTTCGAGGGCACGAACAAGAACCTAATATTTTATATCATGTTAAAGTCTATTACAAGTACAACCAGAATACTAGTCACCAACATCTTTTCTCATAAAATCTCATTATCTTTGTTGATTTATCTCTTGAAAATACCTGACTTTTTCATTTTCAAACTTTACCCATTTACATAGACAAATAAACCGACTTCTTTTTTTTTTATATATCAAATAAAGATTATACAAGGTCGAAACAAACAAAAAAAAAACAGAAAAGAAACGTGTAATATAATATGTCGTTTTTAGTTTTTGTTCGTTACATTTTTTTTCTCTCAAATAGAAACAAAAAAATAGGCACATATCAATTTCAACAAATAAGATCAATGATAATATTCGTATATAAACCTAGAAATATTTTTCGAAAAGAAAAATAAAAACACATATCAGCATATACACATATATAAACTACGTACAAAATCAAACATTTTCTGACAAATGGCATAAAATGAAACATAAAATCTTTTAAGTATGAGGTATTATCGAAGGATTATTTTCATTTGTTAATAAATTTCTTGTTATTTGTATTCCGTTTAATTCCGATTCAATTTTAATTCGTTGTTCATGTTCATGATGATTATTTATATGTCGAGTATATTGTCCTGTTTCTTTGACACGTTCAAGAAGACGAGCTTAAAAAATACAAAATAAAGAGAAAGTTTTGTTTCCATCAAATATTTTACTTTGTAATTCTATTGATGCATTGTGTCGTTTAAGTTCTTCGATTGATTTTTGATGTTGCTGATTTTTCGTTTTCATATTACGAATAAAATCTGTAGCTGCTTTAAGAACATGAGCACGAGATGCCTAGAATAACTAATATGTGATTATTTTATAGAATTAATTTTGCGTATTTTTACCTTTTCACCTTTTAATGAAGGTATAACATCTCGTAGATCACTAAAACTACCTTTGATATGATCACGTCGTTTTCGTTCAAGAGCATTATGATGTGCACGTTTTTCTGCTTGATTTTGTCCATTATTTCGCATATTTAATCCCATATCAACATCTTGACTATCGACATCATCTACTCCAATATTAGTACCATTTAAATGATCATTAAATTGATCAAGATCTAAATCTAAAGACATGCTATCTATAACAAAAAGAAAACAACAGAATAACAATAGTGGAAATAACAAAGAAATATAATTTTAATCGTCATCATCATCAATAATTTCATTATCATCTTGAATAAAATTCTATAAGAAAATAAAAAACAATTTAAATATAGTAATCTATAAATAGTAGGGGTGTGGGCAGGGGCGTAAGTTAGGTGTCACAGCAAGGGGGAGTATAACTCCAGTTTTTCTATTTCAATGGTCAAAAAAAGTGAACTTTCTAGAAGTAGGGGGGGAGCGCGTAAACCCCTTTTTTCCTATTAGTTTTCGGAAGCAGGGAGGTTATGTGCCCCACGTCCCTCCCCCCACGTACGCTACTGGGTGTGGGTGCGTAATCTTCATCCACCCACCCACGCTCTTCACTTCTGTTTTCTGTTAAAAGCCTAATCTCATACCGTTTTAATAGCAAATCCATTATCGCCGCCTTGTTTTTTTTGTTCTAATTGATATAAACGTTCTTCAACTAAAGTCTTAACAAACGAAAAAAAAGATATTATTGTTTTTTCTTTACAAAAAAATAATAATTTCTTACTTTTGCTGCTGCAATTTGTTCACTAGTACCCGATATAATTAAACGAGTAAATGTTTTATTTTCTAAATTATCAATTATTTTTCTATCCATATTAAGACGAGCTTTTGAACTATCTCGAATATCTTTTATATGTGAACCATTTCTTCCAATTAAATATCCACACATATTTTCTGGTATAAACATTTCAATTTGTTCATATTGAGGTAAATCAGCAATTACACGACGTATTTCAACTTCAGCTTCATATACTTGTTGACGTTGACCTCGAATAACTAATATTCGATAATTTTCTGTCAAACATTTATCATCATCTTTTGCAAATGTACAACGTATAGAAAATTGTTGTTGAAACTAAAAATAAATATTTATATCAAAATTAATAATATGTATATATTTATTTCTTACACGTTTAATCGCTTCACCACCTTTGCCAATTATACTTCCTACACAATAATGAGGTACTTGAACTTCGAGTACAAGGTATTCTGAACGATTTAAACGAACTTGTTTATCTATAGTAATTTAAGGTTTTGAAATAGATGATAAATAAATTATTTATTCTACTTTTTTGACGATTATAATACCAAATAATACTACCAAGAATAATACAACTACTAGGCACTAGTAGACCGTAGAGAAGGCGATGATTGAGAGAAACGAACATTTTTGCTTGATTGCTTGCTAAAAGTGGTTTTTTGTACGATGAGTCATCGATTGAATAGGAAATGATTAGTGACATCTATCAAAAATATTTTTATTTATATTAATTTTTAATATAAAACTAGTTTTATACTTAGATAAATAAAAATATTTTTTTATTGGTTTTAAGATTTGAACAAATCATTATATAATCACATGTATCTATTAATCTGCTATGTTATTTCTTCCTTGAATACTGTTAAAATTTCCTTTGACAATAACTAATCATATGAATACGTGACCAAGGACAATAAATGACTATATAACTAAATGACAGAAATAATAAATTATTTAACAAAAGTGATTATTCAATATGAATAATTATAAAATAATCAGAAGATCATAGTTCATTTTACGAAAATTGAGAAAAAGATATTTACATAAATTGTTGAACCCATTAGGTTCAAAAATTTCGGATCTAAATTGAAATCTCAATATGTTCAATAAAACATTCTAGGTTTCAATATGATATCAATTTTAACCATAGATGATTCTTTTTTGATTGTGGATATAAGTGGCTAGTATATTCTGTATATTAATCAAGTTACTTCAATCAGAGCTAGGTAACTCAATTCAGTTCAACTCAGAGCAATTAATCAACTCTGATTTCGATAGTAACCTTATAAAAGAATTAAGTTAGAAGTAATTTTCATTGTTGATAAAAATTTATTGAATACACGGATCTGGAATCTAATCTTCTTGGATTTTGAGCTGATTTCATGTTTTTGAAGTAATGATTATCTTATAGTAAGTTTATTATATATCACCGTATTTACAACAGCAAGTATTCAAAACGAGTTATGATGTTAGAACTTTGTTTCTGAACTACTTATGAACTACTTGAGAAATCAACACAATAGCGTATATGTATTAACCAATATAAAAGCAATTAGTAATGACAAGGATAGCGGGCTAATGATGACCTACTCATTTATAGTAATTACTAACCTTGACATTAAGTAATCAATCATTGTTATGTATAGATGTTAAATGGCAAGGATGTTTGACAATATCGAGTCATAAATAATCAGTTTGTAACAATGTCTGTAGCTATAAACTGTTCACTGCTTTCACTTTTTAATAGGTCTGTATTATTTAAACGTTAATTTATAAAATTTAAAGATACTTATAAAATAGTTTTCATACGCTGACAGATATCATATTGCTACAAGATTAGTCTACATTCTCTCTACTATAAATTTGTATCCACTGAGATATTTATCGAATTTTGCTGGTGTCTGTATCGATATTGAGTTGTTTGTTCCAAGTTTCTGTTTAAAGTAAGTTTTGAATTTTAGATACGCATATATTATTAGTCTTTTCGCGTACAGATGATGTAAAAAATAGATTATAATTTATGGAAATGGGTTTCCATTTGTTCATTTTATCTCGGACAAAAGTTAATTATAATGTTCTTTTGCACGAACCTCTAATCGATTATAATAGATTTTTAATCATTTTTTGGTTGATTTCCTCTTAAAGATTTTTACAAGGAAATGCCGCCTAAACAAAGTCATTTTATGTCTTTTTCAAAGTAGAAAAACAAAAGACTATTAATAGGTCTGAGTATATATAAAGAAAAATTAGATGTGCTCTATTTGAAGTGTATTTGTACTAGTTTTATCTAAAAAAACAAAGTTGAAAGACTTTCTTTAAGCACGAATAGTTTTATTTCTTCTTCATCCATCGTTCCAACAACAGTTAAAGTCAACAAGAAAGACTAAACAATTAATAGGTAAGAAAAATCTTCGTTTAATTTTCTATTCGCAGGGATTTATTTTCAAAACTCAGCCTATCCTGGGAGAAAATTGTATCGGTGCCCATAGTTTCAGTATACTCTTAAGTTCCTTTATGAGCTTACTTTATACCATTATCATTAAACAATAGATATCTCCGTGTTTGTTATATAGACTACGTTATATGATCTATGAAAATCGTATCGGTATCTGTAAGATGCGGTTATCAAATAGGACTTGAAAATACTATTCGATCTTTATGTAGTTCTATATTAGTATACCTTCTTCGATTTCATAAACTATCAATATTATTTTATCAAATCATATTTGACATATCCTTGAATGTTATAAGATATTTGTTGATCTAAACAAAGCCTATCATAATAGAATCTACAGTAGATTGATATGAAAAATATCCAATCCTTCTAAGCTATTAATGGAGAAAGATTAGATATAAATCATTTGAGAGTAAAATGAAAGAATTGACCTAGTTTGATTTTTTAAGTATATTATATTAATTCTAATACTAACAAATCATTTTAAATGAAATCGTCGAATAGATTTTCATTATATCCGTTGTCTTTTGAATCAATAGAATGGTTATTCATTATTACACAAAAGCAATATTTAACTTGAAAAAAAGAACTAGATCATTGTATGAATAAATCAAATTGGTAAATATTTAACAAACAATTTCTTTTTAGCCAATGAGAACATCAAGATATTATGAATGCTTATTAAATATATAAGTGTTGATAGAATACAACATTCTATCTTGTGAAGGTCACAATCTTTTAAGATTCATCTTCATTATAAAAAACATATGAAATTGTTTTATCGTTGACTAAGTGTTAAACATTATTTCCCCCAATAATTGTAGATAAAAGGATGTGTATATAAACTATTGAATTATTTCATTTATTACGTCTTCTAGAATTTAATTTGTGACTAGAAATAAAATATATTCCATTTGATATGTATATATAGATAAACGAGGATAGACGAAAAATTCAATTTTGTTCTGTAATAAACATATATATAGTAAATAAAAATTCTCATGAGAATTACTTTTTTAAGAAAAGAATGAATTTTGCGAACTTTTAACTACTATCTTCGATAGATACTTCATCAAAATATAAGTGATGTTAAGCAAAAAAAAGAATCGAGTTTTTTCTTTTGAGTACTAGCAGTCATGCGATCCTATAATAAGACATATTTCAATATTCTAAAGACTGTTTCTTTTCATCTTTACCTATTCCTAGAAACAATTGCTTCATTGCATGTTAAATTACGTTGAAAAAAAACTGTTCTTGGTTGTCAATCTGTTAATTAAATACTCTATATAAAAGCATTGTCAGAATATACAATAAGAAATATCTATAAATCTGCGTAATAACACTAAAGCGACTGTCACACAACCATATGGAATAAAGACATAAATGATATTTTCAGTCATATCCTTATAATGGACTAATCAATAATTCTTCAACATACATTAAGTGTTATATTTTGCATGATTATGACTAAATAGTTTTAGATATCCATATATTTTTTTGTGTTGAAAGAAAATAATAAATCAAATAATTGATGTCGAAAATATTTGTTTTTCAATATGTTATTTAAGTTCTACATACATATATAATAGTTATCTGTAATTATATTTTTTAAGAATTATCTTCTATTTCTTTTTTTGATTGAATTATTTGTATTGTTGTTATTATTCGTCTATTTATTGAATAATATGAACATATAGAACACGATCGACGAGATTTAATTGAATAATTCATATTTGCTCTAATTTAGTTGATTTTAATCGTTTTTCCAACATCAAATTGTAGCTAATGACAGTCTATTAATAAGACGAAATATGTCAATCAACACTAGAATAATATAATAATCGTTAGTGATGATAGTGCGTGAAGAAAAACACAGATGCTTTTAATGAAAAATAAAAAAATATTCGAAAAACAAGGGTAATAAATCAGGTGAATTATTAACATTTGATACTTTCACTTGTTGATCTTCTCCATTGGAATTCATCATTAATCTTTTCTTCTTCGTTATTTTTATATTTGATATTTTTCCTATATCTGTTATTTTGATCTCCTAACGTATATATCCAATTGCACTTGATGTTTATAATATATAAGACAACAAATTGACAATATCTTATAAATGTCATCATGATACTTATAGCCATTCAGTAGCATGATCATAACATTTTTTTATTAGGTTTTTTTTTTGTCTTCAGGAAAGTTTCAGTTAGCTATCTTAAACAGAATGTCAACGACGTGCTGTTATATACAAACGAGATAATTACTAATGTTGAGAATATTTGTATTATCTATTCATCCATTTGATTTCACATCGAGATTGATTTATTCATGCATCTATGATTGAAAAAAATAGTTATTCAATAGAATTTTGTTCATTTGATTTCCATCGTAGATCATATATGAGGAATGTTTATTAAGTTGATCAACAATTGATTAAGAATGATCATCATTGACTGTCTATTATGACAGTATGTATTAGCATCAATAGATAGATATACATACATAAATTTTATTTAAACATAAAGCATATACTCATCAATCAAAATATTATCGAAATTTCCTTATTTAAATAAGTTGTTTCCTTTATTATTGAAAATATTTAACTAACTTGTTTAGACATAAATTTTCGATAATAGTATTAAAAATATAAATGATTAATTTACTCAGTATGACAAGATGTTATTAGGTTTATTACATACGCCTACTTGCAGTTTTTCTGTATGAATAGAATAACGAAGAAAGAACTGGTGCGTCAAAACGAATAGAAAGAAAAAAAAGGGGAAAAATAATGACCTTTCTCTCGTTTGTTTAGTTATGACACTACTTCATTATCCAGATATATTCAATGTATATATAGTTTCATCAATAACTATCTTTTTCGCCTTCATTTGTCTCTCTACAATTCTTAACTATCTATACTACCACTTCCCAATGATATATACAGAACTCATCAAGTATTGATATTATGACAAAAATGGTCGTGTAATCATATATACATATACATATATATATATAACAATAGCAGTTATTTATTCTTTTGTGTATAATATATTGTGTGCATTCCCTTAAATTAATGAATTGCCAAACAAACCAAATCGACAATAAAAGTGCGTTAAGAAATAATTGAGTTATATATTTTATAATAAATATAATTATACAATACAAATTATTCTAAATCGGTAAGTTCGATAAATTGATATAGAAAAAAAGAAAAGAAAAATTTTTAACTTATTGTTACTTATTCAATTAAATTTTTTTTTTCGGTTTTGTATTACTGATACAATTTATAATAGTAATAGTGATCGATTAGGATAAGGATACTAGAATCCATTTGAATATATATCTTGTATTGTCAATGTCAATCAGAAATGTAAAGATCGTTATGGTTAATTGAAAAACATGCTGAAATATACGAAGATACATCGTTATGATAATCACATACGACAAAAAAAATTCTTTTTTCTTCTGGATTTATTTTCTTTATATCATTGTTATACAATCTTAACTTTTTTGTTTTATGTGTGTGATAAAATCTTGCCTATTTCTATTCGTTTCCCTTTTCTTTTTTTTAGTGAATAACAAAGTAAATGAAAATTATGACATTAATTTAATTTCCTTTGATACTGTTAAACTAAAAGACAAAAAGAAATCAATAGGGAGATAAGTATATGAATAACAGGTAATTGATTTTGCCCTTAAAAATCAAGTAAATAATCAAAATAAAACGGCGTTAGTAGTTTTATTTTATTTCCTGTTTCTAAACACAATTTTCACTGAGTGAATGAGTGTCACAGATTTTTCTTTTTGTTTCATCAATCAATCATCCGTTCTTTCACTGAACATTAGCTTTTTTTTCTCTTCCCGTTTTTCTTTCTCTATCTCCTCCTCTTTTTTCTGTCTCCCTCTCCCGCTCTCCCTTTCATCTTATAAACGCCAGCACAGCATGGTTGCTTAATACTGATAGAGACTATAGGTTTTCCTCTCTGTGTTGCTGTATATCGCTTCGAGCGTGTATTACTAATACCCGTACTGCGCCCTATTGTCATTACTACCAGAAAAAAATACTACTTAAATATACCATATTTCTATCTCTCTCTCTCTCTTTCAGTACTAGGAAATCGTTTTTGTTTTTTTTTGGTAAATAGTATACAACAGAAAATAATTTCGCTTTCAAAAAAAAGAAAATTATATATTCACAAATATACTATATTATTATAATTGCAATTCTTGAAGAAAAAAACGAAAAATTTTCTATTAATCAACGGATGAAATGAAGAGATATATCATCTATATATAAACATCTCAGTTTGACGCCAAACGGAAATCAACAGAGACGAAGAAAAGAAAAAAAAGGCTCTTAAACAGACATCATTTTCTATATTCGTCACGTCTTAGAGTTACGTATCGATCATCATTGTATTAGAGTCAATTTTCAAGGCAACATATTATATTAACCAAGAAAAAAAAAAGGAAAAAGTAAGTATTATTGCTTATATATAGATATATATGTGTGTGTGTGTTATATTTGTTGTAAAAAAAAGAAAAGTAAGAAAATAGTGCCATATTATACTGTCGTAATAATCATCGTATGAATATTGTTCAATCGTATGCTCGTGCAATTGCAATTTGATCAATATTTACAAAAGCATTGCTCACTTCAATAGCTTCCGATTGAGACAAACGAATAGGCAAAAATAACAACCCTCGATTATCGTTTAGAGGTATAGAAAAGATCTCATATAATCAGACAATTTATGTACGTCATGTAATTATCAAAATATATAATCGTATATACAATAAAAAAAACTAAAAAAGACTTGTCTTTCTACCTGAGGGCTTTACAATGTGTGATGTTAATCCGATTTATTTTTTCTCGTATATGTCTGTCCTTGTTTTTGCTTCGGCTTACGCAAACATACAGATGTTCGATTGCTTATTCAGCTTATCTATAAAAATTGTCTTTGTATACGCCATGGGCCATCTAACAGTTTCGCAAATATCGTCAATACTAGATCAGATTTTTTTTCTTGTTCGCTGCATGTTGATATTAACAATATGCGTATACAAACTATGCCGAACAGATTATTAGATACCAATATTTTAAAAGTAAGTCGAACGTCTATGTGCATTTGTTTCTGTCTAGAGATTCCCTAAAGACTCTTATAATTCTTTTCTCGATTCATTTAGCTAAGTTCTTTTTCTAACACATAATAATCATGAAAAAATTTATAAAAGAATGTATAAAAGCATATTAATGAGTATATTCAAAAATAATCATAATAAAAAACTATATATATATATATACAAATGGCTTATATGAATAATAGAGGGTATCTCGAATATTCAAGTTAAATATTGTATTGTTCAAAATAACGGAAGATAATATATATCAATAATTATATAGAAAAACAGAAATAAGCATAAGGCAGAATATAAATAATTAGAAAAATAAGTAAATTTTATCCTAGTTCTTTTGCAAAAAAATATAATCTTATTCGTATATTGTTTTCTGCTTTTTGATAAGAAGGATTTTCTGGATTTAAAATCTAAATATATTTATTAATATTTTATTTTTTTTCTTTTCTTTTTTCAGTGCTTACTCAAATCCTATTAAATTATTATTCAATTCATTGTGTTGTCATATCCGCTGCTGTTGTCTTCTTGTCGTTTACATTCACTCATCATGTTTAAGATTAAAAGAAAATCTCAAGTTCCATCATTAAGTAGTGTTAATCGTACGACAACATTATTTACATTTTCTTCTTTTTCTTCTTCATCTTCTACTCCTACAACAACACCCTATCATCGTAATAATGGTTCATCATCGTTCTCTTCACTATGTAACAATATTACCAAGGATCAATCATCAAAATCTGATAAAATTCGCCGTCAACAACAACAACAAAGAAATGAACAAATCATCAATAATACTCGATCACCACGTTCCAAACAATTTCTTGCTTATTTCCGTTGTTGCTGTTATCATTTATGTTCGTTCACATGTGAATGTTCCATTCCATCTAATACAAATCAAAATCGCTATGCTTCATCAATATTTACTCGACAAATTCGTTCGAGTTCATCATCAATCAATTCATCCTATTATCGTCGTTAAAAAAATTGAACTTTTTATTGATTTTATCTTATCTACAGATCATTTACGTCATTATTTATTTGAACGACATTTTATTGAAATCAAAACTAAGCAAATATTTCCTTCTAAATTCACTCTATGGATTTTATTATTACCATTTTTATTTCCTATAACATTTGCAACTAAAACACCATCACTTTCAAAAACAAATCATGACCTTTTTCTATTAAATGATTATACATTAAAATTTTCCTTTAACCTATCATTACAAAGACCATTGTGGCACGCTGGTTGTTGTTTACGAATTAATCAAACAATGTGTAATACAACTTCTTATTCATCAATATCAAGTCATAGTATTTATGTATCGAATGATACATCACGTGGATCATATTTATTTGATGGTGGTAGTAATCCAATTGATCGACGTCGATTATTTCATTTGAATGAGCTTCCAGATAGTTATGATTTTCTTAATAATCAAACGTTATTTTGTCAACGGTACGATGAATTTCGTAATATATCATCACATGAATTAGCAATAGTTACATATGTTATTGTTGTTATTGGTATCATATTTAATTCCTGTGTATTTATTGTTTTAATGTGTGGTTCATTAAGACGTTCATCATCATTTACTTTATTTCTTGCATTAACTTGTTTTGATTTATTAAGTTTAGCATCAAGTTTATTTGCATTATTATTTCGTAATGTAATGACATATTTAAAAACATCAGCACCATTCTGTAAAATGTTTGGAATATTTTTCTTATATTTTCGTCAATGTTCATCAACAACATTATTAATAATTGCGATTGAACGTTGTGTTGTTATTAAATATCCCTTATGTCGATACATGTTTAATAAATTTCGTTTACCATTTTTAGCATTTATGATGCTTATATATATTGTACCAATTCCATTTGATTTTATATTTTATACAAGTGGTACATTACATTGTGAAGCATTTGATACATTACATGCACATCGTTATCAAATATTTCGTGGATTTTTTACTGTATTTTCATATGCAATGATACCATTTTTTGGTATATCTATAAGTAATTTAATAATTATAATTGAATTAAAAAATTCACGAAAACGTTTTAAAATTAAAGATGAAGATGGTACAACAAAAAATCTTTCATCAACGTAAGTTAAATAACAATTAAGAAAAGAATTATATTACATTTAAGGTCATTCTAATTAAATAATATTAAATGTCAATAGAGTTTTTTATGTGTTGATTGATAAGAAAGAAATTTGTTTACTTTTTTTGTTTTGTTTATATAGTTTAATGGATAAACGTGGTACAACAGTTATGTTATTTGTTGCATCGTTTGCATTTCTTCTTTTACTTGGCCCATTTTATCTTCATTGGTGCATAACATATCTATTTCGTAATTATCCTCAATGTCATTTTACACGAAATCTCTATGAAAATATCCAAGTATGTATGGGTGTATTTCATCCATATTTAACTATTATTGAAAAATGTATGCGTGAATCAAATCATGCTATTAATTTTCTTCTATATATGGCAACATCAAAACGTTTTCGATCAGATTTTAAGACTATTTGTCGTCGATTTATTTATCGTATCTGTGGTCCAGCTATATTATTTTTCTATAGACATATATGTTCCTGTTGCCCAGTTCCAACATGTCTTGTAACACTTGAACGACGTGTGTCAGATATAAAAGAACAAGATTTAATATTAGATGTGAATAGAAAAAATCATACAGCTTATAAAACATCACATTATCATTCTAATTTTGAACGACGACGTCAACAACAATTACTTCGTGCAACATTATTAAATAATACAAATACGACAGCTATAAGTATAACACCAGCTGCATCATTTACGGCTTCACCAGTACCAACAGCTAAAACTGTTCGAACGTTAACATGGAATGTTCATGATCCTTTATTACGTTGTGTAGAAAATAAACGTCAAGCTGCACGTTTATCAAGACATTTTTCTACATCAGACCTTATGTAAAAAAAACAAAATTGTTCATATTTGTATTGTTTTCTTTCTTTTGTCCTTAGCTTTTATTTGTTCTTGTTCTTGTTCTTCTTAGTATTATTATTAATTTTTTTTTCTCGTGAAATATTTACAGTATTATGGGTACAATTTTACATTTTATTATTATACTATTCATATGTCACTAACATCGACAAATGGATATTTAAGAAATGTACGTGACATATTTATTTCTATGATTGACAAATAGATAATTGCTTTACCATATATATATTTCTCTATGTTATAGAAGTACTAAAAAGAAAGCCAAAAACCAATAGACAATAGAAGAAAACTATCGTACGATCGATAATATCATTAAGATAGATGACATTGATGATAGATTTCATCCTGAATAATAGTTACAGTTATGTTTATATTTACATTTTTCGCCTATTAATCTTATGTAAAAAAAGAAGAGAAGAAAAAGAAATCATCTAAAATCAACAATAGAGATGCTTCCAGGAAAATTTTGCTAAATAAACAACCTTGAACATACAATACCGATAAGGTTACCAACTTCTTTTTTTTTCGTCGTCTATCATTGAAAGTGCTCTTGGCCTATTGATTTTCAAGGATATTTAAGTGGCTGTCCACTTCATATGTATAGATAGAAGTAAATTTATGGAAGAAATTATTTCATTGACACCTAGTGAACCACTTTTGTTGCTTATTCTTTTTATACACGTCGATGCCAAGTGAATAATGACAAGAATCGATCGATCTATCGATTGATTTTAATGAACAATAGAGAATGAACGTTGATTTAACCGTTTGATAATAATAACAAAAACAAACTTATAAGGTTTGTTATCGTTCGTTATTGACGAACATCTTATTACTCAGAGACACACACAAAAAAATTCTTTTTTTATATGTTAACTGTCTAATCTTCTAGACTATATTTTCGTTTTTCTATGCTAATATATTCTTTTTTTTGATATATTTAGTCTCGTCGTATTGATCCGCTTTTTTTCTTTTCGTTTATTCTCCTCTCTCATCACTATTCGAAAGAAAATAACATCCGGATTGAATGAGCGGCATAATACTCTCATATATATATGTATATTCAAGTAGAAGAGTAAACAACGAATTGAACACATCCATTTCTATTCAGTCAAAGAGGCAAGGCCATTCGATTATTGTTTGTATTTGTGTGACGAAAAGAGAAGGTAGCAAGTAGCAAAAATATTTGATTAACACAACTCATTGAACAAATATCATGCGACGACAACTTTCCCATCTTCTTCTTATTATAGTTCATCTACAAATTTATCATACAAAGATATTAGAAAATTGTCAATTTCTTAAAAGTTTCTACGATATTCATTCGAACATATTTGAACTTAATAATAATCAAACATCTTTAACAGTACGACCATTATATTCATTATTAAATCAATCATATTCATTTATGAATCAATCACTTTCAATTGGAATTATTTATCCATTTGCCGATACATATTTAGTACCTGTACCACTTGTTTTTCAATGTTCAGAAAATAAAGAAATTTATGCACCAAATGATTGTGAATTTACAATGATTGATACTCGTGTAAGAAAATAAGATCTTAAATATATGTTTTTCTCATTTTATTCTTTAGACAGATTTATCGATTCGACGAACAGAACCAACACGTACAAGAACAGTTTCACTTCATTTTCAAGAATATTCCCAATCGAATACATTTCCATTACGTGGTGCGTATTTTAAACAATCAAAAATCGCTTTACAAAATTGTCGTATTATTATTTCCAATGAAACATTTCTTATATCAAATCTATTCAATCTTCAAATTGAATTCGAACAAACAATTGGTTCACAATGTCATGAGAATTGTTCACATTCACAATTATATGAATGTTCATCATTATCGAAAACTTGTCAATGTCGTACACATACAATAGAAAAATATGGACATCTTTGTGTTGATACAGAACTTGCTTCGAATTGTTCTCTTACACCTGAACGTTGTCGACGTTTATGTAATGTTCAAAAACAAATTCATACAAATGAAATCGATCATAATTGTCAATGTCCATTAGGTACACGACGTATATTATCAAACAATATCTATCATTGTGAATTACCTATATTATCCGAATGTGATACAAATCTTTCGCGAATTACTTGTCCAAAAAATTCTATATGTCAAGATAATCGATGTATATCAATATCGATTCCTATTCGTGTACAACAATCCATATTACCCTTACCAATTCTATTAATTGGATTACTTATTGGATCTTTATTTATTATAATTATACTTATATTAGGTCTTTTGAAAATGCGTTCAGTAAAATGTGTTAAATTTATACATCAAGAACATGTTTTATCAACAGCTCATTCAGGTAATTCATCACCAGCAACAATAACACGTTTATCAACAGTACATTCATCATCATCACCTTGTTCGACATTATCCTCATCATCGAAATCAGTTAAATTATCATCAACAAATAAAATCTTAGAAAAATATACAAAAATTGATATATTCGAATGACCTCTCTTTTTCCTCTTCAGTTCGACTGTAAAAATGTTTTTCTTTATAGAAATAAATATATATATATGAAAACAAACAAGTGTTTTTCTTTCTTTACTATCTAATAATTGAATTGAATTTTGTAATCAATTCAGTGGGAAAAAGGAGATTAATTCTATTACAAAAATTCTTTGATAATTCTTTTAATACAATTATTAACATCTCTTTATTTTAAATTAAATAATTAACACTTGAGATATATTTTTAATTTAGAGTTCTTTTGTCTATTTTTTTTCTACTTTAAATAATAATGACCTTTGCAAGCTTTTACTTATCGCAATAAGTGCTATTATATATTCACATTTCAGTCTATCTTGGCTCTATACCACGATAGCAATCATTGACTGAAAGGCAAAAAAAACACATTTTTCTGATCATGTGATCTAACTTATTGCCTCGAATTCAAAAGGAAGAAAAAAAATGAATCGAACGGCAAATACTATCTACACATATATATATTCTATTAAATAAAAAATATCTCGTCTAAACAATGTTATCACAACCACTAAATTCTTATAAAGTTCTTGATTTATCACGTGTACGTGCAGGACCAACAGCTGTTCGACAGCTTAGTGATTGGGGTGCTCAGGTAATTAAAATCGAAATGCCAAAAAATAATTCTGATGATGATGATAAAATTGATACATCTGATTATCAAAATATTCAACGAAATAAACGTTCAATAGCTATTAATCTTAAACATAATGATGGTATACGTATTTTAAAACAACTTGTTAGTACAACGGATGTATTAATTGAAAGTTTTCGACCTGATGTAAAACATCGTCTTGGAATTGATTATGAAACATTACGTGAAATTAATCCTCGATTAATTTATGCTTCTATATCAGGATTTGGTCAAACAGGACCATATCAAAATCGACCTGGTTATGATCAAATTGTACAAGGTAGATTTTTCATGATGAAATTAATCGAAATTTTATATTTTTTTCAGGTATGGGTGGTCTTATGTCTGTGACAGGATTACCAGGCCAAGGACCTGTTCGTGCTGGCATTCCAATTGCTGATCTTTCAACTGGTTTACTTCTTGCCAATGGAATATTAATTGCTTTATTAGAACGTCACTCATCTGGTCAAGGTCAATATATTGAAACATCACTACTTGCTGCACAAATTTTTATGTTAGATTTACAAGCAGCTAGATATCTTGTTGATAATGAAATACCATCACAAGCTGGTAATCATCATCCAACAACAATTCCAACAGGTACTTTTCGTACATTGGATGGACATATAAATATAGCTGCTGCTCAACAATCAGAATTTAAACGCTTATGTAAAGCATTAAATCTTGAAAATTTATCATTAGATCCTGATTATCATACAGCTGAGAAACGTTCTATTAATCGTGAAAAATTAAATACTCAATTGGAGACAGTATTTTCTACAAAATCAACTGAATATTGGATTAATGAATTGAATAAAGAAAGTATTGCCTGCGGACCAATAAATCGTATTGATGAAACATTTGCTGATCCACAAGTAAAACATTTACATTTAACAAGTCATATTGAACATCCCAAACGTGGTGGTATGGAACTTCTTGGACAACCAATAACAATGAGTCGATCACAATGGTTAATTCATCGAAGAGCCCCTCAATATGGAGAACGAACTAGAGAAATTCTCAATGAACTTGGATATGAAACAAATGAGATCGAAGATCTTCTCACCCGAAATGTTGTTTATACTTCCTGTTAGACTAGTTAATAATTGCAATCGATTGTGTTTCTGTCGACTATAAAGTGACTAAATAAAAGCTTTTTTATGTTTCTCTTCGTCTTCTTTTTCTTCTCTACTAGCTTTTCTCGACATTTCATTAGAAAAAACGAGAAGAGGATGATGATGTTGATGATAGTTTAGTTGCGAAGGATGATTCTAATAGTTTTTCTCGCTCTAGCAACAATTATATCAACGCAACTAATATTATTGTTATTCTATTTTCTTTCTTAAGATCAACACAAATATAAATCAGTCTTCTCTTTATATATATATATATGTATAGTTAAACATAGAGAATAGGTTGTTAATGATGATAATCACAATGAGTCAGATAGTATTGTAAAGTATCGAACGATGATTTAACCTTCACCGATAGTAATTCTACTTATTTCTATTGACTAATGATGACAAACATGCATATAGATCGATGGCTAATCACGAACACATTTATATATAGCTGATGAAATGACCGAATCGATCAATACTCTAACTAGTATGTAGCAATTATTCTCGTATAGTCTTTCTCTATTTCAAAGTAAAGCACTAGATGCCATTTTGATGGATGAGTATGTGTATATATGTGTGCGTGTGTGTGTGATCGGTACCGCCATCCGTTCATCTTGCTGGGTCATCAACAACATGTAAATGGAATCTAAGGAGTTACACCCTTTAAACATACTTCTATACTTTTTTTTCTTCTTTTTTTTATATTCTTTCTTTCATTTCTATATATATATATACAACAAAGCCAGGCGACAAGCGACTATAATGCATTTTGAGTGTATTATAAGTTGAACGGACATAATAATAGAGATTTTTTTCTTCTTGTCTCATTCTTCCTTTTTTTTAAGACACTGGAAACGAGGGAGAGAGAGAGCGAACGAAGGAAAGAAAGGAAGTAAGCAGGCAGGCAAGTAAAAGATAATGTTTCATTTCTTATCACCCTTATTCATCCTATTCATTGTTGTGTTCTTTACTTTATGCACACATTTGTATACATGCATCTTATGTCTTATATCATATTTTTCAATGATTTAGATTATAAACAAAAAATAATAGTAACAACGATGATAATTCTATCGATTTATTGGTGATATCGATCCACCAACAGAAATATATCAATAATGAATTTGATGTGCTGGATGATGATGATGAAGAAGATAGTCTGATCTTACTGGGTAAGATAGAAACAATCATCAGATTAAACTAAGGAGAAAAAAACTGAGATTGCCAATCGAATGTCAATCATTTTTATTTTCTGCTCGACTAAAGAAGTACGATTTGTCTTGTTTCAGTTATATATATATATCCATTTACTACTAGCCATATTCGTTTACATGATTTCATTTTTTCTTTAAACTTAATCTCTTTTTTCAAGATAATATCATGTTTTGCATTTATATATAGATTAAAAATTTATACGTAAATCTGATTATGGTTTTAAGTATATCTGATCAGTTGTTCGTACATCAATATGATGATGTCTTATTTATAACCAATCCTCGACAAAAACCAGTATGATCAACAACTAGAGACAATTCTCATTCATCAAACCTAATGATATCCACAATGATTAATGACTACGAACGACGTTTTCAATATTCACTCCAAAAATTGACTATACCGTCATGGTATACCGAACCCGCCCCTTCATATAAACCATCGAATAAACCATTACTTGTCTCGACAAGTCATTATGAAAGAGACGTTCATCGTACTCCCGAAATAGTTCATGTACAACGTCCACATAGTTATCGTTCCTATCGTTCATCATTAGGAACATCACCATCTCCATCCGTACATTCTTGTTATCCAAATTATATGATGGATGGAACGAACTCTTCTTCATTATTACCTTCATTGTCATCTAATTCACGTCGTCATAATAAACATGAAAAGGGCATCGAACGTGTAACAAAATCAAGTCAGTGGTATCGACCAACTCAATTTATTCCCAAGAAGCAAACTGATCAGATTAGTAAGCTAAAATATATATATTTTGAAAATCAATCGTTGTCATCAATATTTCATTTTTATATATATATATATACATAAAAATGATGAGAAACAAATCTGATACTCAGAACATTCAAGGATAATTTCACCATATATTATTTCTTCTTTAAGTTTGCGTTTAGATAGATCATTATCAAAGCTTCTATACATGTTATATATACTTATTTGGGACTCTTATTAATCAGTAAATTAGAGTTTGTCTATGTTATTCTTTTCATATCTCATTAATTCTGTGTAAATTGATACATTGTCGTGTATAAAAGATAGATTAAATAAGAAATTCAATTGCATACTGTTACATGAAGCGATAAAAAAACAACATTTGTTTATCAAATGCTTTTTTCGATGAATGAAAAAAAAACGTTCATTCAAGGTTTCTTCTATTTGTACCAGATTAACTTTATAGAGTGCACATTCTTAAACAAAAAAGTACACACTACTCGAGACAACTAGATTTGATTCCACGCATTACAAATATTTTACGACCTTGCTGTTGTCATCTATATGTCATATATGTTTGTCTTCTTATAATATATTAGAAAATGAATACAGAAACAGTCACGGACAACTCATTTAATTCTTTGTTTTGTATATGTGCTTCGACTGGATACATTGATTGAGAACAAAAGGACGTAACAAAATTCGTAGTATATGAAAACAAATCTTTCATGCCGCCGTGTTGTAATAGATAATCGTATACTACAGACATAGTCATACGGTATCAATCAAACCAGATGGTTTCTTCTAGCAGACGAAGAAATAAACAAGTGTTTGCAGGCGCGTCTCTGTATGAATACGTATTAGGAGAGAAAAATGTTACATATTCAAACCAATCCTGTATTTTTTTCTTCCTTATCAAGGACTATTGACTTATGACAAAAATAATTTTTTTTACAGGTAACCCAAAAATATCGGTTATTCAAAATGAGACATCAAATGTTAATCATTACGATATACCACCTAAACATGACGATGATAATAAACATGTCCATAGTATCAAACAAAATTTAATTTCTGATAAAACTATGATATCCGAATTATTTATTGAAGAAAAAAAGACTAATTTGACTGATAATATCAACGGTGATGATGACGTCGAAAACACGAGTATTGATAAGCAAAATAACAGCAATACACACAATCACTCAATAACGAACGATAAGGTTAGCATATATCCTTATACCCTCTATATGTTTATGCTTTTTTTTTCTTCTTTCTCCCCCTTTCATATTCGCTTATGTATGCCGCAGTAACAGACGCAAAAAGGACGAGACGAAAGGAGAAAAAAGAAAGAAGCTTTGTTGTTTTTTTTGTCATTCATCTACTAGCACTTCGTAATATTGATTGTTTTTTATCTTCTAGCAACACAATCATCATAGGAACTCAAATGAAATTCAAACGATGCCTCTAGCAGAGTAAGAACAAAAAAAATCAATTTTTAATCGTCTGACATAAGCTAATGTGCTAGACTATATTGTCTCTAATGAATAGTTGATCTTTGTTGATGATGAGAAAAAGACAAAATGCATGTTCAGTCGATGATCTTTTGTAAAATTCTTTCTTGAATAGAGATAGTCAACTATAAAACAATTAGGGAAAACTAATGAGCATTATTAGATTTATAATCGTGCCGATAGGAAGATTTTTTTGTTGTTTTTTTTTTGTTTAGTGAAAAAATATTATTTGCTCGTGTCGAATTGGAAGATGTGACTGATGAAGAAGAAGAAAGTGACAACCGTTCGTCGACAAAAAACATACATACTGTCGATGGAATTGTTAATGATGAAACCAATACGTTAGTAGAACATTTAGCTAATAATTTAGTCTATTCAATATTAAATGATGTGTTACAATTGAAAAATTTTGAACAAGATGATGATACAGATACAGGTGTTAGAGAATTATCTGATGATGAAAATGCCCTTCGTGAAATGGACGAAAATGATATGAGTAATGCAGATGAATTTATTGTTTTTGCTAGCAATGCTGAAACATTTCATGATAATGATCGTGATAATGAAACATCATCTATTATACCTCGAGGTAGTCTAAATCGTTTATATATTTTTTCAAGAACAAATGATGATGGTACAATTCATTCAAAATTATCTTCTAATCAAGTATGTACATAATAAACTTTTACTAATTAAATAAAAACTTGTTGTTACAAATCCTTATAGTTCTAATATAAATACATTTCTTAGTAAATAAAAAAAGAAAACTAGCATATGGTAAGTCGTTTTCGGATAAATAACTAACTATCAATTCTATATTTGCTTTTTGTCTTGTCTAATGTATATGCCTAAATGCCATGTGGATTTTCCCTAAGGAATGTTATAGTTGTATCTGGTCCATGCGTCGTCGTACGTAGTAATACAATCAACAAGTTCTATGAACTAGAAAAAATTTCGATAATAAGAATTTATTGTTTTTATTTTGTTTATTAATATAATGTTGTTCTTATTGCTTGTCTGATCATAATCATCATCGACCTTTCATACCTATGTGCATCAGAATCATTAATTTTTTAAGTAGACTTTTCTTGCCTGATATACCTATGTGTATATAAATATTGATAATGATTGTCGTCTGTTGGACAATATCAATAGTAATTGTACAAACATATAAAAGTATACAATGAAAAGAAGGGAAATGAAGGACATATGTACTGCTTTTTCTGTTGTGAAATATAAAACTGTATCACATTTATTCATTCATTTCTGTCCTCGATTAGATCATATTTCGTTAGATTGTCTTTTTCTCTGTTTTTCTATAAGAAGTCATTCATTTTTGTTCTTATTTGTTATTGTTTCTTTGTAGGATTCTCCAGTATCAACACTAATGATTCCTGACAAGGAATTTCCAATAACTAATTCTCCCTTGAATATAGATCTAGACCAACCAACTAATACAATGGGTTATCTTAAACATGATGTTTCTAACAGTTCACTTCCTATCTATCGTTCACATATACAAAAACGACATATAAATTTAGGCCGATATTATGATGGTATGATGCGTGCTGCAAATAGTCAAATACCAACACATGATTTACGTTGTAATCTTCTTTTACATAATACAAATACTGAAATATCATCTGATGGTGTTAATGAAGAAACAGTACGGAAAGGAAGATTATTACTTGATAGTATACCAAATACTATTGAGTTAAACAAAGATATAGATGATCAGTAAGATATTTTTTTTTATAGTTTCTATAATTTACTTATTGAAATTTCTATTGAATAGATTAGTGCCGCCTGTTCGATCTATAATAAAAAATACTCGATTTGCATTATCAGATGAAAAAGATGAAGCTGATGAAGTCAAATTTGATGATAATATTTTAAAAATCGAAGAAAGAGAAATCATTTCTCCACGAAAAGTTATTACAACAACAATAACAGAAGAATATCGTCGGATTCAACGACAGATCATCGAAGAATTTGATGAAAGTATTTTAACAGTCGAATCAAATGAAGAAGTATGTCGTGATTCTGATTATTCAAGTACTCAAGAACGATCTAATACACAACAAATATCAGTACCATCGGTTTCAATCAATGATGATTCACCATATGGATTATTATCAGAATGTTATTCGGGATATTCTTATATTCGAAGTGACTTTTTAATACCAACAGAAAGTCCATTTATATCTAATGTTTCATCTTTACAATCAACAACTGATGAAGCTTATGAATCTGAACCAACCACAACATCATTGCATTCACCAACAATAAGCTCATCGGCAGCACCAACAAATTATGTTCATCCAGATCTTGAACACGAATTTCAATATCCATCACCTCCACCACCGGTACCTGATCGTCGTCTTAAACCAGCTCATCTACGTCCGGCACCTCCTCCGACAAAACCTCGAACTATTAAACAACAACAAAAACAAAAAGATTCAAATCCTTATAGTAAAATCAAAACTAGTAAAACTTCACCATTAACAGCTATTCAACATCTAATAGCATTACCCTCAAATGATTCATCAATATCTTCGGCACGAACATTAAGTAGTCGACATTATTGTGGTTCATTACCACTAGCAAACGAAACTAAAACACCAATAACAACAACAACAAATGGTAAAATAGATGAAATACCAAAAGATAATAGTAAAACATTTAATCATTCAAATTTACCGATGAATAATGATCAAACTCCACAAATTATATTTACAAAATCATCTACATCATCATTAAATCAATCTACACCAAAAAGATTGTCAGCTTCATATTCAGAGGAAACAATGAATGGATTAGATATTCAAATACCAGTGCCAATAATTGATAAACATGATTCTACCACTAAACAAAATCGAAATAGGTTTGTTGAATGCATAGAATCAAAATCGAACGAAGATGAAATAAATACACATTTCATACTATAATATTTTCTAGGATGTCAACTCCATCATCTAGTAAACAAACCGAAGGAACAACAAGATCTCGACCAGTATCGGAAAATGTATGTATATATATATATTTTTCTTAAGTACATTCATTTGAATTAATAATCTTTTTAGATCGAACGATTTTCTGTTTATGAAACATCAGTTTAAAGTATCATTTCCTTTGTATAATATATGTAAATCTCGGAATGTTATTGTTTTTTTTGTTCTTTTTCTCCATACCCACTATGTGGAAAATAAAAACATGAAGTTTTACTCAGTTTTCTAGCAATCAATCCTATAACAATGATTATTCTTGTTTTCTAATTATAGAGGATCTCTTTCTATTCATATTTTTGTTTTTGTGTTATATATGCATTGTTCATTGTGTGTGTTTATTGCTTGTACGCTGTCTTTTTGTCTTGTCTTTTTATAACATATCGTAGCTTTGTGCAATGGAAGTTGTCAAACATGATAAAGAATCCAGTATAATTGATAGAAACTGATGACTTACTATTGCTAAAGAATTTCGAATAATAGAAACTAATTAAAAACAGATATTAATGGAAAAGGTTACATATTGATATGAAAACTATAGGAAAAAAATAGAGCCAGCTGTTGGTGATTTGATATCTATATTAAATATCTTATGATAAATGATCTGAAGCTAATACTTCTAACCGATATTTATATATTTTTTAACAAAAAAACCTTATTTAACATAAATGAAATAAGTTCGTCTAGTTAAATATTTCTGTATAGAAATTAATAACTAAACTGTTTACATAATTCTCTAATGTATATGGCGTGAGCGATGGTTGATTGTAGTTGAATAAGATTTATAATTGAAGAATCTAGTCGTTAGGGAATCTATACTGAGTAATAGCTCATCCATATAGAATACAATATAAATCAAACAAAATACAAGGATTTAATCAAATATATATTTCATGTACTATATTGTCTTGAGTATATTTATTGATGATTATAAACCTAATTATTATGCGATATCGATCAATATTAGTTTTATTTATCTTTTCTATTTATTTCAGAACTTGTCTTTTGCCTAATGATAGTTATTACAAATATATATTTATATACGAAGAAAGCTTTTAATGCGTTAGTATTTTTCCATGATATAACACCAGCAGAAAAGGATATGTTTACCGCAAATTTGTTTTCCCCGTCAAAAATGTCTCGATGATGTTATTGACACAACTATCGTATTAATGCAATGCAAACAAAGACTAATGCAAAAAGAGATTATATGAATATTCTATACTCTAGAATTATTAGCTAACTTTACAAATTATTATACCATATTGTTTCTCTTATAATTAATAAACATAATAATTAATGTTAATCTAATAGTCTAAACTTTTGTAATCAACCAAGTGTGATACATATTTATTAGGGTTTCAAGGACGAAATTAAAATAAAAGGAATAGAATGTTAGAGCACTTATCTATCTATCGTTATAAAATATAATTACTTATTTTTACGCGATAGAAGAATATATAAACTTCTAGATTGAGAGTTTCTCGATGTCGCAATTTATTCTTATCGTTACATAAAAATTCGATGAGAGTTATAAAGAATTGTGAAAAATATAGAGTACTGAATACTAGCGACATCTATTTAAAATATGAAATGATGTTTTAAGTATAAAATTTCGAAAGGTAATTTTTTAAATAAAATTAAAAGAAATGAATATGTTAAAAGTTCATTATTTTTCAATCAAGGAACATATGGATACATAAAAAAACCAATAGAAAATATGGACTTCCAAGAAATAAACAATAGTATTTTAAAATGTAAAAAAATTCGATATCTTGTCAGCTCTACCTCATACATCTCTTTCGATTATTCTTATAAATAAAATAAATTATCAATATTTTTTTCAGATCCGTTTTAGTCTCTATTTCTATCATTTCCAACATGTCTGACAAAAAGACGTCAGGTACAGCCACATCGGCTACCAAGAAAGCCTCCGCTGCTGCCAGTAAAAAACCAGCAACCACCACTCCTGCTCCACCAAAAGCAGAAGTATGTTCCATAATATTTTTATTTTATTTTATACTCTATTAATTCATTAATAGAAGGTCGAAGCAACTAAAAAACCAGCAACAGCCACTGCTACACCAACACCTGCAGCAGCAGCAGCAGCACCACCGGCACCTACTAAACCTAAGGCACCAACTACTAAATCAACATCATCATTAGCTAAAACATCAACAAAAGTCACCAAAAAAACAACAACAACACCCAAAGGTGGCAAAAGTGGTGCTAAAAAGAAAAACAAGGCAATTAAATATTATATCGATTGTACACATCCAGTTGAAGATGGTATTTTTGATCTTGCTGCATTTGTATGTATTCGTTGATGATTTATTCTATTTTGAATTGATTTTCTGTTTAGGAACGATTTTTACTTGAAAAAATGAAAATTAATGGTAAAACATCAAATTTAACCGGTAATGTTGCTGTTGAAAAAGCCAAATCGAAAATTTCAGTTACATCTGAAATACCACTTTCAAAACGGTAAATTGTTTTTTTTTTGAAAAGACAAAATTTTGTATCTTCATTTTCTTATTTTATAGATATATGAAATATTTAACAAAGAAATTCTTGAAAAAACATGAACTTCGCGATTGGTTACGTGTTATTGCTAATTCAAAAGATTCTTATGAATTACGTTACTTCAATATTAATCAAGAAGAAAATGAAGGCGAAAATGAAGCCTAAACTATTATTCATATCGTTTTTTTTTGTTTGAGCACTTTATTATTGTACTCTATTAAAAAGAAAAACGTAAAAATAACAAGAAGAAACAAACGATATTTAAAATATATTTTCTAATAGAATTATAAATAAGAAAGAATATATGATTGTAGGATATATAAATGATGGTGATGATGATGAGATTTCTTGATGAATACAAGCAATTGAAAGTGCTGTTGATCGTGATGATTCAGTTTTGTTTTTAGGTACGAATTGACAGGAAGGTGGTTGAAGCCCACCACATGTATTTGTAGAATTTTGTAGACATTTACAACCGACTGACATAGCTGAATGTGGTATTCGATTGGCAAGAGAAGCACGAGATTGTTCAATATTTGAATAATTACGAAAAACATCTTCTAAAATACGCATAACAAATGTTGTGTTACATGAATTAAATATAAGTGCTCTCATATAAGTTAACCAACGGATGTTTGTTTCAACTGTATCAATAAATGACATGGGTGATGGTCCATCTCCATGTGCTGGATATATTTGTGTAGATTGAGGAAATGCACAACTAATACTTTGTAAAATACCTATCCAATTGCAAACATGAACATCTGAATCTGGATATGTATCTGATGGTGATACAAATAAATGACTTTGTACAGCAATAAGATCACCAGTAAATAAAGCTTGAGCTGAAGGAATATAAATCATAGATGAATAAATTGATTCAGCTGTTGGAAAATTGGATATGATATGTATTTTTTCATTATTAAATATTGTTATAGGATGATCAAGAACTTTAACATGATTGTTATATAAAAATACATCTGGTGATTGTCGTTTATCAAGTAATATTGATGTTTCAAATGGATTGACTTGTCGCCAAATTTCTAACCAATAATTCATTTCATTTAAAGCACTTACACTACTAACATAAACTGGTAATTGTGTTACATTCAATTGATTTAAAAGACTAACAAGACCAAGAATATTATCGGGATGTGTATGAGTAAGATATATAAATGATGGTAATGTTTCATTAGAAAATTGTTGACGCCATGTTTGACCAAGTACTATACCATGTTCCCAATAACAACCACAATCAATAATAAAACCTTCATTCTTATTTTGAACAATCCAACTATTTGATGAATCAATTGATACACGTACTTGTATTATATTAATCATATATACATATTGAATTAAAAGAAAAAAACATAGATGAACTATCATTGTCAATTGAAAACATATAAATGATAATAGGAATAAGAAAAGATAATGATTATCAAAATCTATTTGCTATGAAAACATATGTAGGTTGAATTTTGTTTCAATATGTACCAACATTAATTTGTTGTCTTATTAATGTAAAAAGAATCGAAATACATTTTATATAACAATATAAGAAAGAAATATATGCTTCTAACAGATTAATGCACTAGTCGTATTGAATAGTAAACGTACAAAAGCTTGGAAAGAGCTACATTTTATATTTTTAGTCGAACGAATACATCGACATTTTCTTTTGGCAAAGATAAGATCTGAATATACATACATTAATATATACGATAAACGTTTTCATTACTCAATTCTCGCGACTTAAAATCGAAGCATCATGATTAGACATATATAAATACTGATAACTATCAAAATTAAACAAATTTTTCAAGTTAATAAGAGACTAAAATTCGCACATTATCTATCGCATGTATTAAAAATGTTGATCTCTATTCAAATATTATTCTCTTACGTTTATGTAACTTACATAATCAACTATGAAATAAGATAAGTCAAAAAAAAATCTTTATAAAGAATACTTTGATGTTCTGATATTGTCAAATAATAAAAGATCATTAAGATAAGATTGTATATAAATTCAATTAAAGATTTACTCCTACAAGTTATTAATTATTCTTTTCTTTAGAAATAAAACTTTGTCCGAATATATGTATTATTGAATTATAATATAATTGTATAAATGACAACAAGAAGCTCATATAAATATACGACTCTTTTTGTTTCAATAATGACACTTTACAGAAATAAGATTTTGCCAAGAAATCTAGTATATTAATTCTATTGAATTATATAAGAAATTCAATTGAATATATTTTGTCTTATTCAGAGAAAATTTCATAACAATGTGAATTTGTTGTTCGTTCTAATAAAATCATAGATGAGTACTAAATCACTATGTATTACATATTTTAGCTTTATACTATCTATAAAGATTAATTTTATGATACATTAATGATTTCCTAATAGACAGATTGCATTCAATTTCCGAGCTTTTAACATTTTCTTATCATCATAAGACTTTCAACATAAGTAAATCAATTAATTCTATCAAAAAAAATGTCACATTTAATATCTCCGCCATTTTTATTTATCGTTGTGTGATAGAAGTCTAAAAAAATCGTTTTTTTTTTCATTTAAAATTACGCGTGTACATACATACAAATATTTTCATAAATCAACATAACAAATATAGATACAGATTCACAAACGAAAGTGGGTAAGCACGAATGACTAGAATAAAACAATATAATTTAACCATCAACAGTATCTATTTGATTCGGTGTTAAAATTTGTGAATGGTGTTGACTGGATTTTCTTCTTTCTTGTAAATCAGGCATTTTTATATATGCATACCATGATATAGCACAAAATAATGCTGATAAACTTCGAAAACCACAGCCAAGTAATGCTAATGATATAGCCATACGTTTATTATTATAATGTTTACATTGATATTTAAATCCACATGTTCCACGTACCCATGTTTTACAAGTTCGATCAATAATTGCCCCGAATAAGATTGTACCTGGTAAATATCCAAATGTTTTTGTCATTGTAGATTTAAAACCAAGTGAAAATGCTCGATGTGTTGGATGAACACTATGTAAAACACATTTTAATGCTGGCACAATTACACAACAAGACATAAATACAACAATGAATGCACCACATAATGTAATCATTAAATTTATTGTACATTTACGTTCTTTACATCGACCTAAATTATATTATTTTAAATAGATAAATTAATGAAAAATTTACAAAACTTACCAACAGTAACTGTACTATTCTTAGGTAAACATAAACAATCAGTATATCGTCCTTTAAGAATTCTTTTACATCCTAATAGACATGGATTTTGATAGGTTTTACGATTTTTCATTTCGCATACTGGTTCATATATGTTCATATCGCATTCTTTGAAATAGGCAAAATAATAGATTGAAAGAAAGATTATTTATGATATCCTTACTGCATGTTTGCTCACACGGCTTATCAATAAATTCGGTCACAGGTTCATCGAAAAAATCATCATCGAATGCTGTTTGTATAAGCGGTAAATTTATGGAATGTGTTGTACCTTAAATACAAGTAAAATTTCATTTTTTCTTGTTTCAATATCAAATCTTACCAATTGTCGGTTCACGACAATGAAGTATTAATCCAAGAAAAATCACAGATGACATAGCTAGAATTATACAACAAAATTTTGCACATTGACGTCCATTCATATCAAATCGTTTGACACAAAAAGCGCCTAATGGTGTACCAAATATAACCTAGAAAAAATATACTTAAAATTCGATATTTATATTACAAGATTATTATTTACAGAAAATAATGAAATAACGCCAATATAAACACTTGAATGTGATGATGTTGTTCGAAATTGATATTCAATATGTTTACTTAAAAACGCCAAATATCCTTTGATTAATAATGCTTCAACAATAGCACAACAAGTTATACCCATAAAACGTAAATTTACGAGTAAATGTTTAATTAATGAAAATACATCAGCAAAAACGTTTTGTAATTTAATTAAAGTTGTTGATGTAGAACATTTTCCATCAAGTGTATCATCATGTATAATTTGTTCTTCATCAATGGTTTCATTTGGTATAATATTAACAGTTGAACTTAAATTTGTTGTTGATGAACTTGTACGTGATGATATTAAAGGATTATTTTGTGTTAAATCTTTTTGATTTATTGTCGATGTTGGTAATAATAAATATGTTGGATTTAATGATGATTGCATTCCTCCTCTTTGCGACATTAAATACTTATTACGACGATCCCCAACATCAAATATACAAAGAGATAAACATAGCATAAGACTTATACAAGTACCTAATGCATAAACTAACCACCAAGCTCCAACCCATTCGGAATAAACTGGTGTTAACCAAAGTGGTTTTTTAATATAAGTGTAAACTTTTAAAAATTGTGATGTAGCAAGAAAACCAAGACCAATACCAATTCCTCCAACTGCGTAAAATATACCTGTAGGAGAAAAGAAAATAATTGATAATTATTTTTATTTTCGATAAAATTACCTTGAGCAATAGGTGCTTGTTCTTGTGGAAACATATCTTCGATTAATGTAACAGCTAATGTTGGTAATGCAGCTGAGCCACATGCATTGATTATATTCGATAGATAGAAAACATATTTTAAATGACTTAAAAATCGAAGATTATTGGATATTGTACAAACATTAATTAATGTTCGATTTTGATTACATAATGTTAAATGATCAGCAATACTTGGATCTAATGGAGGTTTACCACGTTTTGATTCAAGTAAATGTGGAAATGACATAACAAGAAAACCACCGGCAAGTACACCCATTGATATAGCTATCCAACGAACTTTTCGACCACTTCGATCACCAAAATAACCAACAAGTGGATATGCAAAAATCGCAACAAGTTCATAAACTGATTGAAATAAACCTGTTTCAGTTGATGTCATATAGAAACCTGTTTCAAGTGTTGTCATTATTGCATTATTTGAACCTCCAACAATTGCATTTTGTACCATATTACATCCACAAATAAGTATAAAAATTATTTTTGCAGTTAATGATATTGAATTGAAATTAAATGAAGAAGTATCAATAATAATATCATCATCAATACCACCTTTAATTTCACTCATTTTTGTTTTGGTCCTATAAAAGTATTTTTATTAAATAATAATCATATTGACATACTATTGCGAGTAATTCATTGTTTTTTTTCCTTATATTCTTCTATAAATAGAAAAAAAAAGAATATATAAAATAAACGAACTATAAAAAAAAGTTTAGCGTGCACACGAGTATACATAACACACTCATTTATAGTCAACCTTTCATAGTCTCGTTAAGAAAAGTAAAAGAAAATGAATCGGTAAAAAGAAAGAAAGATGAAATAAGGCATCGACCTATTAGTAAAGACGGAACAAAAAGAAGGAGAAAAAGAAAAAGATCTAATATTACTGCCGCTCTTCTTTACCTACGAATTGACGATTATATTATGACTCACACAATCGAATAGCATCGAAGGCCATATTGTCAGCTGTTTTTTTTTTCTATTCTATATATGATAAGCATTTTGTGCCGGTTATTGATGGGGGGTGATGCTGAGTGTTTACAGTTTTTTTTGTGAATTTGCTATACGTGTGTAATCGAGCAAACTATGATGGTAATAGAAGGATTTTCATAAAATGTTATTGTAAATGTCAAAACTTTTTTTTGCTGATGTTATCATGCTGTTAGTTTGTTTCTTTCTATCGCGCCTATTTTTTTTTTGTGTGTTCGTCGTTCACATATTAAAAATGTCAGTACATCATCGACAGTAGAACTCTCTAACAAGACACATCGAAGAAACAGAGAAAGATTTTGAAAGTGCATGCATTGCTATAATCAAGCTTCTCTTTCTTGCTATTCTTCATGGCTTATTTTTCCTCTTCCTTTTTTTTCGATGTTCTTCTTTTTCTCCTCTACTCTTCGATAGAATCCACACGAGACAAATAGTAGTTAAGCTACAATACAGAGATGATGCTCTACATCTATTTCTTCCGATATTTTATCGTTAGACACCAATAAAAATCTTTTTTTCTCTCTTATATAATCGAGAAAGCTTTTTTTTTTTGAAATGTTATTTTTTGCATAAGAATAGAAAGATTAATAAAGAAAACTTTTGTTAAAATGATTGATATATATATTATTACCTTCATTTTTTTCTATAATTTAATGAAGAGAAAAAAAAAACTTGAATGAGTATTTATTCATTTATTTTTTTTTTCATTCGTCTATACTCTAGAGAAAAGAGGAAAAAGTATAGATTACAAGGCTTTTACATATATATAGTTTTTTTTATCAAGATATTGACAGAAATGAACAAACCAATAAATTCTTATTTGAAAATTTAAGAAAACAAATTCAAGTAGTTTTCTTTTCTCTTCTCTATATTATTCACTTGATAAAAACTCATCAACAAGGAAGGAATCATCAGACTAGTCATGAGACACTCTCATCCGTTCTCTTATATAGTCAAGAAGAAAATAATAATAGCATCTTTAGCTTTCTGAATATGCTCATAGCTAAAAGAGAATCGAAGCAAAAAAAAAATCTAATCTTTTTGTTCCACTTATTCTTATAACTTTGTATATACGCCCATCTCTTCATGTTCATTTAAATCTAACAGGAAACTCATCGCGCTAGAAAATACTATTGCATGCAATATAAAAACAAGCAACTAATATTTTTCTTTTTCTTTATCAGAAAAAATAACTATAGACTTGTGCAAATTTGATAAGATGTATTAGTGATCATATTTTTTTGTTTTGTCTTCTATCATCTATTATATTTGTATATAAGATAAGCGTGTTTTATTAACCAATAGATTAGTCTTTTCTTCTTTTTTTCTTAGAAGAAATTAAGAGAAAAACAAACAATATATTATAGTATTAACAAGAAAGACATTAATATAGTTAAATAATAATAATGATGCATTATTATGACTTCGATATCCACCTAAAGAAAAACAAATACATATATATATATGTAAGATGTTTAATACAAAAATTAATTTACAAGGTGCAGCTATATATCTTGGATCATCACATTGAAGTCGATGTAAATTCCATTTTGATCCTACTGGACATTCACCCGTTTTTGTTTGACGTTGATCAGTACATAAATAATATAGACGACATTGATGATCATAATCAGCATACCAACCATTTGATTTACCTAAACCTAAATATAAAATAGATTTAATTCAAATATATAGAGAGTGAATAAATGCATTACATGGATCATTTCCTCGTTCATTTGTTGGTCGATTTCCACAAAAAACTTTTCGATAATCATTACATGATAAAAGATCTTCATCAAATAAATATTTATCAGGACATTGAAAACGTGTTGTTATTTCATCTTTACATGTAAAATAAGCTGAACAAAAAAAATAGAATATCAATTATTCATTTAAATATAATAGATTTAACATCTTTTCTTTTTCTTCTTACATTGGCATTCATCCGGATCAGGTATATTTCCTTGAAAATTACATGGATTATTTTCCATAATATCATTTGTTGGTAATAACATTTTACGATTTATTAATTTCATTGGTATAATAGTTGTTCTTTCTTGCTCATTTTCAATTTCAATTACATCATTATTTACACGTGGTGTAGTTTTTAATATTATATTTTCAGTTACATGTTCTGTTTTCCCTAAATAATTACTTTTATGAAAAAATATTCATATAAAAAACAATTTAGTTTAAACTACATTCTGAAGGTAATATCCAATTAGGTCTTTCACCATTTTTACAATCAATATTTTTTGATAAATCACATCTTCCATGATCAATGTCATATGTCATACCATTTCCACACCTAAAATGTTATTTTTCTATATTGAGTAATGTCAAAATATGACATGAAAATAATAATCTTTAAATTGTTTCCGTTTTTATTTCCGTCAATAAGCAATTAGATTTATTTTTAGAACTTTTAATTAATAGAATGGGTTCTTCTAATTTTTGTTTTATCGTGAGTGAAAGAAAAAACGGAAATCAATGATCAGATGTATAGTTACCAAGCTTCAACGCCAACGCCTGAATTACAAGTATAAAATCTATTTTATAAAAAAAAAAAGATACACAACAAAACTATACGTATATATTTGATCTTACTTTTCACAATCAGCTGGATGTGGCCATCGACCATCTTTAGGACAAATAAATCCATTATTATCTGTAATAATATCTACAATAGAATTTACGTATGAATTCTTTTTTCTAACAAAAACCTACTTTGAATATTTAATAAAAAGTTAAGAATTAAGTATCTATAAATCATATTATTTGCTTCTTTTGTTCAATTGTAATATCAATGAATATTTTAATTTGAAATATACATTGTTAATAGTAAGAATAACATTCAACAAATGAACGAAAATCAAAACAACCTACATTTATCGGCTTACTCAGTTGCTTCTTTCTTTTTTTGTTACAATCAATTTCGCCTACAAAAGCGATTTAACGCGAAATAATCTATCTATGTATATGTGTTTCTATTGACAAAAGCACATTCGATTACATGTTGTCTAGTTGCTTACATAAACTATGTGTAGTAATATACTGTACATTTCAAAAAAGAAATTCTTCATTTTTCTTCTAATCATTAAAATAAGTCAAATTGAATGTTGCATATTTTCTTAAAACAAAAATATTCAATTTCATAACAATTAAGGTTTTTCTCGTATTATGATGATAACTTATAAATCTCAAGAGATATTATTTCGATATAATCACGAGAACATTTTGCTTTTAAATTCTACGCATTGACATAATGTTTTGTCTGATAGAATAATACAGTCACAGATGCAGAAAACGTGAAGAATTATGAAATAAACGGTATGTTTTTTTTCAATGTGAGAGTGCATAATTGATGAAATTTTAAAAAAACGAAAGGAAAAAGAGGCGTATGATGAAAAACAAACATACATTCAATATTTACTTAAGAGATTCTATTTAAGCAGCCGTTTTATTTCTCATTCATACGTATTTTTTCGAGCAAATAACTTATTTTTGAGCCGGTATAATGACACAAACTATTAGTTTTGGTTCATGCGTAGCAGATTATTGGTTTGTCTGGTAAGTTTAATAAATAATTAGAATAAAATTGAACAGTTTATTATTTCCTAGGATGATTGATGGCGCTAGCCTTGTATTTACACTTGCCATAAATTTGGCTATATCATATTTCTTTTTGAAATACTTTCAATTTCTTGCACATGGAGGTCCATCACCACCCAAAGCAGCTTCGCAATTTGGAAATTATGATGCTGCACAAGCAGCTCCTTCGATGCCAGTTGGTGCTTGGGGTAATGCAGCTGCAACGGGAACTGTATTTAATGCTGTATGATCTTAATGGACATAATGTAACATTTGCTCGTTAATTTGGCTCTCTACTATTTTTTTGTATTGTACGAATGAGATGAACCTACATATTTTTCGTGTAAAGCAGGCTGTACAAGTTTTTTGATCATAAATAAGAAACATATCGAAGATTTAATCTACATAGTATCGGTATTTTTTTATATTGTTTAAAGCTTATGATAAAAAACATTTGGATGTCATTGGATACTCTCCCTATTTTATGTTGATTAATATAGTTAAGAAAATAGACATTATCAGAAAGAATGTAATAAAGCTACTGAGTGATGACATGTTGATAACAATAATACTGGCATATCAATTATAACTTTTGTAAAAGTAAATGATTTAATAAAAGAAGAAATATTATTTATTTCTTATATCAAAAAAAGTAAAATCTTGATGAAAGATTATTTCAATTAAAACTAAAAAATAATTCTTTTAACAAATATGTTGAAATACATTTAATAGTTTTGTCATTAAGTGGATTTTAAACCAACTATTTCTTCCATTCCTTTTGCATTACGATTAAAAAAATAAGAAAAAATAAATACTTATGAAAGCATACCATTTCTACTTTATGTACAAAATAAACAACAAGAGTATTAAGAATATTTCAATAGTTAGGAAAACGAATACAAGAATTTTACAAATGTAATATTGAAGAAAAATGAACATACAGGTTTAATAATCGCGTGTTTTATTTTTCTCCCTATTATGTGTATTTGCTGTAATTAATATCTAATAGGTTTTATTTTCGAGATGCATAATGTCCACTATATAAAATTGATGATCAATGCCATCGTTCGATTACCTGATGTGCAATGCTTAGAATTAATCCTATTGATTTATTATTCACTATAAATATTGAATTTGTGATTATCGTTATTTATATTTCAATCTTGAATATCGATTTTCAATTCTATTGAATAATACATTCAAACTATGAAGTCTTTATATCATTTCATCAAAAGTAACAATTGATTATATCAATAGCAAACGTGTCAGATGCAATTGTTGCATTCATAACACTTAGTTATAAATTAGATATATTCGATCTGTATTGTTGAATAGGTCAGTTAGTATAGAAGTAATGAATTAAAGAAATGCTTTAAGCTTTGTACGAATTATGATAGATCTTCAAGAAATTAACAAGTAATTAAAAATTCTATATTTCTGCAACAATGAAATTGCATCAGAATTTTTTATTTCTTATTTTTCTCCGGTACTTTTAAACATCTGTGAATATATTAGAATAATAAACATTTGAAGCATAAGAACACCGTGAGCAATCATTTTCCTAGTGTTATTAAGTGTCTTCTGGAACAAAATAAAAAAAAAAGAAGGCGACTATTAATGATAAATATATATGACTTTCAGTCATTTAACGCTTCAAAATCATATTCTCATTACATTTGAGATCAGCTTCAATTAATCATGAACATGACTTTATGAATAATCGATTAAATGTTCAAATATATATCTAAAAAGTTTGCTTCTTTTTGAAATTATTCTTTCTCTCTATTTATCCATTATTATATATGAATAAATTGTCATCACGAAATACATTATTTCTATTTCCTTTGTCAATAAATTATATGAATGATGTATTCATTATGTTTCACCTTAACATCTGAATTTCTTCTCTTAGAAACTAAAAGCAAAATTGTTTGTCAAGGAAACTAAATCGTTCGTAAGAAAACTCATAGCCTTCTCTAATTCTGATTTAGTTACGTCTCTAATCTAGACATTATTTGAAATTAGATTATGTCTAAAATCATTTTCTTATCATATGAAGGACATACATTACAGATAACATATTCATCATCAAACAACTACTATATCGAAATGAAAGATATTTTATTTTATTTCTTTGATCTATAAAAAAATGTTTTTGTTGCATCTATGAATGATAAATGCTAATTTTGAACATGACGTATAATTAATGTCCTGTAGCAAATATCATACGAACGGCATATTTTAGACAAAATTCTCGTGGTTGACCAGATTGACGACAGTATCTATAAAGTATATTTGCATTACGTTGTGAACGTTTGACAATTAATCGATCTCGTTTCATGACAGATAATAATGGTGAATTTGATGAAATTTGTTCTAGATGGTTGGGTGAATCGAATTCATTCGAATCATCATCAGTATACGCAGATGCCTACAATAGATATATATATATATTCAATTGTTTCTTATATGATATGTAATATTTACTGTTGAGATAATAACAATTAAAAAAATGACAAGCAGACACCATAACTATAATACAATAGTGAAAAAATAAATTCTATTAAAAGGATATGATTACTTTCATGATTATTTATTGTAAATTTGGTTAAGGAAAAGTAATACTGATATAGGTTCAAATGTCTTTGTTATTTTTCATTATGAGCCAAGCGTAATATAACCGATATATTTCTTCTTTTTTTTTCTTCTCTTTTTCTCTCTCTCTTTCTCTTTTATTCTCTTGAGTTTCTCTATAGTTGATGATGTTACTGTTGTTATAATTGACGTAAATAATAACAATTGAATAAAATATAAACAATAATTTAAAATAAAGAATTCAAATGTCGAATATGTCAATATAACATTTTCTCAAGAGAATCAATAATAAAAACAAAATTATTCTCTCATTTAACATCGCCTTAAATAAATCTGCATTGAACCTCTTCAAGAAATATTTCCTACTTGAAAAAAACTCTACTATAATCTTCTGATTGCTCTTCATAGAAAAACGAAAAAAGAAGCCAAGTATACAAAATAGTAAATTGCTATTAGATATGATATTTTTATGACTTTAATTGCGTCATTATGACTTACGTATGTAGTATAAAAAAACTAATTATCTAAAATATTTAAGTATTGTGCAATTTATTGCTTCAGATATATTATGAAGAGGATGGAATATTAATAAATATTGTTTGCTTATATTACTCTTGATTTAGTTGCTGTGTTTCAAAATCAATCATATTGACTATCGATCTTCAATTATATAGATATATGTGTATTCTATTTTAATCAATTCTTATGAGATTTAGTATAGAGAAAAAAATCAAAAATCATTCGAAATTTAGAGAAGATCTCAAGATAGTTGTTTCTATTTTAAGACGTGACGACTTTTTTTTATAAAAGAAACTACAAATCTGAGGTACAAAATCTTCCCAAAAATCAAAAATCTCGTCCCTCAGGAAGATTTTTCCAAACAATTTTCCCAAAAAATGCAGTTTTGACAAAAATTTCTTCCTCCGCACGAGAAAGATTCTGCACCTCTGTTACGAATGCAAAAAAGAATGAAGCAATCATACTATCACATTCGGAGAATAGAAAATAGAGCAAAATTGTATTACAATGATGAAATAGAGGTTATTTTTGGTATAATTGATTAAAATAAAAATTTGTATTTTAATTAGTGAGAATCAACTACATCAAAACTAATGTCCGTTACGTCATCAGAAATGTCATTTCCTTCTTGTTTTTTTTACACGAAAGTCATCATTTTTTATTTCCGGAACAATCTTAAATTTGTTTTCTATTAAATAGAAAAAAACTAATGTATATAATTACTATACAGAGTGATTTTTAGTTCTCAGTTATTAATATCGTTGTGGTATGAAACTGTAGGATGTATATTTTCATTTTACATTAGGCGATGATTTATATGAAGTAGTAAATTATTCCCATGAATGTAATAAATAAAATGAGATCAAAGATAACTTACGATGTATTTAATTTATTTCATGATAATAATATCAACAAAAATAAGCGTTTCTTCCCACTACTGGTTTTTATTCAATCGATTTCTCTTGATAAAAGAACTAATGAATAGTTTATGAGATGAATACTCTTTAATATCTTTTTATTGTAATTTATCGATCATAATTCGTATATTCGGTACATTCTCTTGTCGAGTTATGATCATTTTATTAGATTTCTACTCGATGATTGATCATATCATGATTTCTTTTTCAACATATTAGTTTCGCAAGAATATCGGATTTCTTGTGAAATATACGAATCAATTGAAAACGATGTAACAAAAAAAGATATTCTCTAAATCTTTTGTAACAACTTCATACTTCGAATATTAACTAATAAACTAGAATATACATTACACACAAAAATAATACTGATAATCTATTACTTAATCTTACATTTTGAAATTAATGAATTTCTATGACAACATATACTCTGTTTATATTTACAATTTCTCTTTAATTCATCTTTTCTAAATTAAAAAACAAACAAACATTTATATTATGATTGAAATATGACGAGTACACTGTCATTAACTAGTGATAATCAAAATGTAATATCAACAATTGATGATGAAATAAGTCATCAATCTAATCGGAATACTCCAGAAAAAATCAATCGATTAGTAATAAAACCAACAACTGTGACAGAAAGAATTAAAAATTATTTTATTACAAATGATGGTCGAATTGCATTAGCCGATCTTTTTTTTACGTTATTATGTGTTGTTCTTCAACATGTTATGGGTACTTGTCATCATTCCTTTAGTGATGGTCTGACTGCTATTGAATGGTATGTTTTTACACCACCATGTATGTAATTTATTTGGGAATAATGTCAAATAATATAAATAAACTTTAGTTGGAGCTGGTCCACATACAGCTGTATTCTTTTTTGTTCTTTCATGGATAACATTAGCTTATTGTATTGAATGTATATGGGTTTATTTAAGTACAGGTATACGTGTATCGAAAAAACGAGATTTGATTATACATGGTATTATTGTTATTTTATTTTTGATTGCATTTGGTTTTAATATTTGGGGTAAATGAATAGAAAATCTTTTTATATTGATTAAAATTTATATATATTTTTATTGAGGTTATGTTTTATGTGAAATGACAAGTCAAGTTATAACAATGAAAGCTTTTGCACCAGGCGTTTGCCGAGGCAATAGTAAAGCATGGTAAAATAATTTAAAAAAAAAATTTGTGAGAGAAAAAATTTCAATTTTAGTATTCCTTTGATTGCTGGTGTATTAACCTCATTTGCAGTAGCTTGTGCTTTCTTTGTAGAGCATATACTTGCACTAACGAAATGTAAACTATACAATGAGAATTTAGATTTTCTTTTAAAATTTTATTCTAATTTTAGTTTTAAAAAATCGTCGAGAAATGAATGATTCGAAATCACCTAAAATTTTATTGTAAATGTTTTTATAATGGATTTTTTCTTGTTTCTTCGAGATAAAATAAACAAATCGAATGGTACAGGTCAAAACTTGGTTTAATATTCGGATTTTTCAAAATGATTTTATTTAGAAATTTCGATATTTTTTCGAAATAAACTTATATTCGATTAACCTTTCTAGCACTAGCTTGGGTCATTTTTGATTCGTACGTAAAAATCAGAAAATACACTAGAGATATTTTATTAATCTATGTTTTTGAATTTAAAAAAAGATACAAGTTACATTTTGACTCCATAATCCGATGATTCATCGAATTATCGATTGAAAGTGTCATATGTCTCTCTGTCTGTTTTTATATTTGTAGAGTAACGGAATTATGATTTGATATCAGGGATTTGTAATAGTACGTAAAGAAATGAATCTTTTCTAAATTAAACAACATAGATTAATTCATAACAGATGCTAATTGCTTTAAAGAATCATGGAAGAATAAAATATGTCTATTGTGTTTTCAAATTTTTAAGTACGGATCAAAAATGATCCAAAGCTGGTAGTACAAAGGTTAATGATATGTAAAGTATGTAAAAGTATGCATTCATTCTGAAGCTTATCTATAATTTCTAATACGATTTGACAAGTCACAAAAAAATGCGAATAATGCTCTTTTGTATCTATAAAAATAATTTATTGCATAGAAGTAGAATTTTATGACATATATCATTAGAAACAACCGATGCATTAAATCCTAGTGAATACGAGAGTTATTAGACATTGTTGAACTTTGTCGTAAAATGCTACAAAATCCAATAGAATATAATAAACTCCGTACATTTATTTCTTGTGTATTAATAATGGTAATACCCAATCTTTTGTCATTCGAAATCTCCTACAATTCTTTTTTCCTCATGAAACACTAGTCATTGTTTTGCATTGTTCAACTAAATTTAAGTAATATAACCCTTTCCGGCTGGTTATTTGAAAAATACTGTGTCCGCCCACGGCAAAATATTGCCATTTGGCAACATCCGGCCGGAAAGGATTAAACTACAATCTATTGTACTACAATAACGCATTTTTGTTGCATCCATGTAAATTACAATACTTCATAATTGTAACATACATTAAGGAACATTCTATTTTCATAATAAAGAATCCTATAGATCATCAATCGATAATGATGAATCAATGTTACTGTTAAAAACCTTTTATTTATTAGAAGAAACTTTTCTAAAATATTAAATTACGATATAGTAGTATACACTCAATAATACAAAACAATTAAATTTTAAACGAAATTAGTAATAAATGAATAAAAATTAGTGAGCAGCACAAAACAAAAAAAATGTAGTAATTATTTATCACAATAAACGAGTTTCTACCATCTTCTTATAATTCACAAATGTAAAGTTATAAAAGTCAAATAGTATAAACTAAGTTCTGTTCTTTTTTTCACTGTTTATGTTGAAGGTAAAGGTGCAGGAAGTTTTTGTTGTATTGGTGGCTGTTGAGCTATAGCATGGCTAAAATCAATGGAATATTTAACATTATCTGCTGAATCTTTTAATGTGCGTAAATATTGAAGAGTGCCAATATGTTTAGCTTGTGTAATACCTAATGTTGAACACATAGATGACAAACCGTCAATACGAGCAATTTCAACACGTTTAAGTGCGTCAGCTTTAGCTTGTTCACGTTTTAATTGTGCTTGTGCATCAGAAAAAGCAACGGATTGTGAGGCATTATTACGAAATTGATTTGCTAATATATCAGTTTGTTTTTTAACAAGAGCTTCTTGATTAAGATATTCTTCTCGTTCTTTTTCTAAATCACGAACTAAACCTAATAAACGTCGTTCCATAACACGATCAGGTACATCAATATCTAAATTTAAATTCGAAATTTGTTTTTTGTTATCAGTTTAAATATTTTACCGTGTAATTGAAGATATCGAACTTCAGCAAAAAAACCTTTTTCTTCTTTTTTACAATTTTTGTCACGTGCTTTACATGCGGCAACACATTGTTCATGTATAGGACAAGTTGGACACCCTGATTTACACTTTGGAATACAACAAGAACCACCTAAGAATAAATAATTTGATTTAATTTTTTTTGAAAAATATTTCTTTTAGATTTACCTAGTTGACGTTTAACGCCAAGATAAATTTCTCGCCAAATTTTTTCTCGATCATTTATAAACTCATCTGTATCGAAACGAGAACAAGTTGATATTATTGCTTCTTTAGCATTTGAAACAATAATTGGTTCGTAATAAAGATCATACGCTGCATGAAGTAATGGTAAATCTTCTTTTATTAAGAAAAATTGAAATGTTATTGTCTAAATAAATAAAAAATTCGCTTTTTTATGTAATATGAGAATTTTAAACTTCTATTTACCAAATGCACTTCTAAATTATCTGTTGTAAAAACTGATATACGATTGAAATTTACATGATGTGCTGTAGCTCTGAATTTTTTAAAACTAAAAGACAAACAAAATTTTCGAAAAGATTCTTTTTTAATGATTTACTGATAATCTGGACCAACAAGATAACGACCACCTTCATAAACTCGATTGAGGTTTACACGACCGGTTGTATGTCGACGTAGAAAACCATAGTGATAAAAATCAAGGTAAGAAAATGATATAGGTAAAAGAATAATCAGGAGTAAGATAGATACTCCAACACCTATAACGACCGGCCAAAACCAACGAGGGAAGCTCCCATTATTATTTGCCATCATATCTACAACTATAATATATAACCAATAATCGTACTGTAGGAAACAATTTAGAAATGAGTATGAGCGCCTGTCCTCGGTTGACACAAGGAATAAAAAAAATATATGTCAAGGTTCTCCTTGTTGGTTTGTTGTTTTTTCTCCTCTCGTCATACATGAGAAAGAACAAATCAGCATCAATGATGTATAAAATAAAAAAAATAGATTGGACAAGTATATTGATTGATATACGAGTCTCGTCTTACTAGCAAGCGTTTTATTAGAGGGACGAATGTATGAGTAATCTATTTGCTAGTATAGTATAGCATCCATATGTCAAATCTATGTACTACAATTAACGACTGACGATAGTTGGCGTTAGTTGTTGAGCAAATATTATTATATAATAATTATGAGTAGATATAGTTGTATAGGTATGTGATAATTATATGTACAATATATATAGTGTGCATTGAAGGAAATTCTTAATGTATTCAACATAGAAATAGTCTAACATCTTTGTCGAAAGTTTATCATTTGTAAACTTTATTTTATTACGAAGCAGTTTTTAACATTCTTTGGTTTGATAAGAATAGCAACAGTATTAAATCCTAAACACAGTCGAGTCTATTTCCTTCAGTCTTTTTAATTAATCATGCATCGCTATCTATTCAATTTTTTTTTAAATTTAATATACTTTTCTCTGTCATAAAAAAGTAAGCTGTGAATCTGTTATTGTCATTGTCATATTACTTCAACAGTCACCATATAATTATGTCATGCGTCATGACGAAGCAGAAAAATATGATATAAATATATATATATATATATTTACTAATTTCAGAACGAAGATTGCAAAAAAGAAGAAGATGGGTATCAGTGGATCTCAAGATAATAGTGGAAAAAAGCCTGTTGTACTTATTGTTGGAGGCGGCTACGGCGGTATTCAATGCGCCAAATTATTAGATAAAACTGGTCAATTTTTTGTCGTACTTATCGATCGAAAATCTTATTTTCTTCATAATATAGCATCAGTGCGTGCAGTGGTTGAACATGATTTTGCTCGAAAGATAATTACGCCATACGATCGATTACTTACTAACGGTTAGTATATTCTCAATGTTTTTTCGCCAATCTATCTTGAGAAAAATATTTATATGTTGATTAAACGAAATAGTCTACGAGAAAACAGCAGTCTTTACGGTTTTCTAGTGATCACGAATTTTGCACTGTTCCTCTGAACTAAATCTAATGCTTCCATGGAGTGTATATGGACCATTTCAAAGTATTAGACGCCTATATATATATACGTCAATGTCCAGAAATAGAACTAACCGTTAAAGGTGTATTACGTATATAATATAATAATATTATTATTTTAATCTTCCTGATGAGAAACATCCAAACGTGTGGTTGTCGTTAGCAAAAAGATGAATTATGTTGATTAAAAATAAAATTGAGCTGCTTTTGATTAAAATCTCGAGTTTCACTGTTTTACCTTTAGAAAAAAGACTTTGTCTAGAACTGGATAATCCAAACCATCTTCGTCATTAAAGATTTATATATATATAATGTTAATAATCTTATGAAATACTAAGTTGTCGACTTACACTAATTGAATAAACCAGTTGGTTCCAATTCTCATTCTCACACACTGTAATATATTAAGAAATCTTGTATAAATTCATAATTTCCATACTCCGGCGCTGAACAAACCTCTTTCGAAAGTTTTCTTTCGTTATAACGAAAAATATCTTTTCAATGAAACTCTATCTATTTATCTTATAACAATATTTGCAATATTTTCGATTATAGGTTGTGTTGTACAAGCTGAAGTAATATCTATTACTGATGATAGTATTCAAGTTTATGGACGTAATGAACCAATTCATTTTAATTATTTAATCATAGCGACAGGTTCATCATATGCTTTTCCTGGTAAAATAGCTGAAACTGACAGCTCCAAAGCAGTTGATCTTTACAATAATTTACAAGAAAAAATCCAACAAGCTGAACAAATATTAATTATTGGTGGTGGTCCAGTTGGTATTGAATTAGCTGGAGAAATTGCTACAGATTATCCAGAAAAAGATATTACAATTGTTCATAATCAAATGACATTATTACAACCAAAAGCATTTCAAGATAAAATATATGTTCGTTTACAAGAACAACTTGAAAGAATGAAAATAAAAATCATATTAAATGATGGCATTGAATTATCTGATGATTTACTCAGACACAAACTTAACTATGTTGAAGGAAAACGAACTTATATAACAGAGAAAAATAAAATAAATATTACAGCTGATTTAACATTTCTATGTATTGGTGCACATGTTAATAATAAAAGTATTAAAAATGGTCCATTAATTTCAAAATTAAATCCTCAAACAGGTCGATTAATTGTTAATAATTATTTTCAAGTTGATGGTTATGAAAATATTTTTGCTATTGGTGATATATGTGATAAAGAAGCAAAATATGGCTATGTAGCAGCAGCTCAAGCAGAATATGTTGCTAAATTTCTAACATTAATTGATAAGAAAAAACCTTATCCAAAAGAATATCAAATTCATCAATATCCACTTATACTTTTAACAATTGGTAGAAATGGGGGTATTGGACAAATTCCAAATAAAAGTGGAACTATTATAGGAAATTTCCTTGTAAAATATATAAAAGCAAGAGATATATTTACATCACGTTATCGATCATTTATGAATTATAAAATGGACAGTGAAATAGAAAATAAATCAGCATATACAAATAAAATTGATTCAATTCAATCGATATTATCATTTACTGAACAAGATGCTCGAAATTTACTTGCAGGTTTACCAGCACAAGAACTTGCATCTGGTCAAGATTTTATTTAAAAAGTTTTTTTTTTGAATATAGTGAGTTTTTCATGTTTAAAAATTAAAGAAATGATTCGAGACAACGTCTAATTGTTGTTTCAAAATTTACTTGATCAATATGAATGCCAAAATCATGTGATAATTTACTACTATCTAATGCTGCATTATCAGGTCGTTGAACATTTGCATTTGATACTGAACCTTGATCACGTTCAATATGATCAATTGGTAAATGAAATAGAGAAGCAATAAGTATTGCCATTTGAAATTTTGTATATTTTTGTGTACCAGAAAAATGCACTATTCCATGAAGTTCAGTTCGATTCTAAAAAATAGAAAAATAGAAATTTTAATATCAAGAGAAAGATAAATATACTTGTTTTATTCGTTGTTCACATAATTGTAAACAAACTTCAGCTACATCACCAACATATGTTGGATAACGAGTTTGAACACTTAATTATAAGAAGAAAATTCTAGAAAAAAACAATTAACTCATAATGCTCTATCATACTCATCCATTTTCGCTCGTGTATCAGTATTTTTAATATTTTTAAGTAGAATAGTAACTGCATTTTCATCTAAACTTTCAACTTCTCCATAAAGTAATGGAACTCGAAGAATGAGATGATCTAAATAGAAAATTTACTCTATTAATTTAAATATAATAATATTTAATCATTACTTTTCGATGCTTTTTGTGTTACTAATTCAGCTTCATATTTACTTTTACCATATGCTTGTAATGGATTAGGTGTAGCATCTTCTTTATATGGTGGATTTTTTCCATCAAAAACATAATCAGTTGATATAAGAATAAAGAAGATATTTTCTTTTGCTACAACAAAATAATGACTTCATTCGTAATTAAATTAAATAAATCATTTTACCAGCGAATTCAGCCAGATGTCGAGTTACTTCAACGTTGAGAAACATGGAATGTTTTGGATCTTTTTCAAATACATCTGGTTTACGTTCAGCAGCACAATGAACAATTGCATGTGGCTATATAAATAACTGTGTTTTAAAATTCGCGTTTTTTGTTTTGTTATAGTTCCTACCTGTATTTCTCGAATAGTTTTATCAGTTTCATCAAAATTAGTTAAATCACATCGAATTAAATGTTTTTTATTTGCTCGATTATATGCAAGACCTGAATAGGATTAGAAAATTTTCAAAGAGATTTTTGTTTTTGTGATAGATATTAATCACCTGTTACATCCCAACCAGCATCAATAAAACGATTTGTTACTTGTCGACCTAAGACACCGGACGCTCCAGTGATAAGAACAGTTTTATTTATATTGAGACTCATCTAGAAAGCAGGATGTATGAAGAAAAATCAGAACAAAACAAATCGTTCAAGACATCAATCGAATCACGAAGTAAAATTAACAATACAATCACAAATAAACACATACAAAAACAAAAAAGATGTAATAAATTAAGATAATGTTGGTTGTTCTCCTTCGTGAATATTTGGTTGAGGAATATTTGTTGTCGTGGAAGAAGATTGAGGCGGTATAACTGACTAAAAATAGAACAAAATAAATTATTTAAAAACAAATGAAAAGTATTTTAATTTACTGTGGCATTGTAAGGTGTCTGTGGATGAAGAGTGATGCTTGAATTTGGTGTCTGTCGTACTGGTTGAACATAATTAGCGGGTATTAAACCTGTATGAATACGATCTACAGTACCCAAAAACCAATTAGATGATGTGGATTGTAAAGCTAAAAGATATAGAAGAAAATTGTTTTTCTTTAATAGTATTCATAAAGCAAATTGATTTTAATATCATAAGTGTAAGGAGTAGTAAAATCTTTCTCCGAAGAAGCATTAGATGAGGAAGAAGAAAATTACTGACTTTGATCATCAAAAATGTCTGTCAAAGGATAATCATGTTACAAATTATTTTAGAATAGAAAAATCCGATTTCTTCAGAATCAGTATCTTCTTGATTTAATGAACAATTCATTGCTGATATTCATTCATTACTAAAAGATAGACAAGAGTAGTATATCATCTCATGTGATACACTCTTTCAATTCTAGTCATTTTCCTATAAGAACCGAAATCGTTGATGTTCGTATGTTTTTCGGAAACAGAAAGGAGAACGTGTACAGAATATTATAGTTCAATAAATACATTATAAAGTCTTTATCTCAAATTTTGACTAAAGTGAATATGATTAATCTATTTTAATACACTCTTATTAAATTCTTACCTAAAGGTGCTAAATAAATAGTTGCTCCTCGTGTAAACGATAATTCATCTGGATTTCTAGCCGTATAATCATATAAAGCTAATACTCGAGGTTGATTTGTGTCTTGTTCTAACCAATTGGTAGAAGCTAAACATTCAACAATCATTTATTAAACAAAAAAAATCTCCGAAAAAAAACATTTTCTAACTTTGTCTTTTTTTAATTATAGAATTAATGAGTCTTAACATTAACATTGGTGTACCAAAGGAAACAATAACAAATAAAGCAACAAGTAAACTAGATGATGATGATGACGATGGTGATGGCATTTGTCCATTTGGATTTATATTAGTTTGTTGTAAACTATGATAAATAGCTGACCATGTTTCTTCCGTTGTTCCACGTGTTGCATGTCGTAAATGAAGAATACGTAATAAACGATGATAAATATATTTAATAAATCTCCATAATAATACAAGTGGATAGAGTGATGCAAGATCTGATCGTATTCGTGTGAAATTATCAACTACATCAGTTACAGCACGAAATGATGAATAAACACTATTAAATGTTGATTCAAGCATGTATGATACTGAACGAAATGTATGTATGACAGATTCAATTGATGAAAATGCTGAACGGGATTCATCCATAGCTAGTTGAGAAAAATTACTAACTGGCATATTCGATTGCATACCGTATTGTGTATTATATGGTGAATAACGATAATTATTATTATATAAACCTCCTTGTTGATATGAACCTAATGAATAAGGACTTAAATAATTTGCTGATTGATAAAGACCCATTGGTTGTTGTTGTTGTTGTTGAATTGTTCGAGGAGGGGGAGGAGGTATTTGACTTTGCATTCGTCTAAAAATAATCAGTTAACTTTTGGGAGAAAAATAAATTTAATAATTTAAAAGAATACATACGGCTGTTCGATAGTTGGTATCATACCGTTATTTATGGTATCAAATATTGTTGGCATTGGTTGACTTGACATTGGTACTGATGATTCCCAAGGCTTAGGAGCAGCCATCTAAAAAAAAGTACATTGATAAGATAATTTTACGTATTTAAAAAAAGAAAATTCTCGTTGACAACAGTCTATTCGATCTTCATATCTGAATGAATCATCGTATATCAATCTTATTTTCCTATTAAAATATAAGTTTTTTATTTTTATTGATAATAAAAATTGATTAAGAAAACACGAAAATTATTTTTAAAATAAAATTTTATTACTAAAGTGACATCTTTAGAAATCCTTATATTATTGGATTGTTTTCTAGTTGTTTTGCTCGTGTTATTATTATATATGGAAAAGAAGTCGAAAATACATGAATTACGATAATGATTCTAAATAATATTTATTTTAGATTTTAGATTAAATAATGTTATATTCAAAATTTAAATGGATTGATAATCAAATTATTACAATGAGACAATTCGATGCATATTATTGTAAGTATTTTCAAGTCCAAAGTTTTATTCGGGAAGAGTAGAAGTATTGATTTATTTATATTTAATCAAGATAGTTTCTCCAATGTTAAAATTTGTTAGTGTAAACAAGAATATGTTTATGAAAGATAATTATTGTCATCTATAGAACCCATAAAGATGAAGACAGAGTATTTTAAGATGAAATTTGTTTTTTTGTCACACAAATTAACTATAGATATCTTCGAGAGTAGAACTGATAATTTATTTCTAGTATATTATTGTATTTATTCGAAGAAATGATATTTCATTGGTCAAAAAAAGCAAGCTCGAAATTTGGAATTTACGGATGTCTAGTTTTAACCGAAAATCTCAGCTCAGAAATTTAACCATCTGTTTCTGATTGCTCATATAAATACTCTGAGTCGATCAATGTTATTCAAGAAAAAAAACATGGAGTTAAAGGTTGAAATACCACAAAATCGTAAACTCCAAACTTCAAGCTCACCTTTTTTGACCTATTTCATTCATCTGTTTTTCCCTTTTGAGATACACCATATACATATTTCATTAGTTTTTAAGTCCTCGAAAATTAGTTAATACTGTCCTTCCAAACGTCATTTATTATTATCGATAAATAAATTAGTAATTAATGAAAAAAATATACTGGAACGGTCTAGTTCGATTAATTGTCTGCACGGTTCTTTTTTAAACAGCGTAGAATAAGGACACAAAGTGAATAAACCCTAAAGTTAAAGTTCGCTAATTATACTTCAAAAATCTTAATTATTCATAGATATACTCAGTGTTTTATCTAGGTTTTTCCTTCCGAGAGGGCGAAAACCTAACTTCTGGAAGGAAAATACACAGTATAAACACGAAAACTGCACTTTTCGGGAGGAAAAATTGGTCTCCGAGAGGACGCCGCCATCCTTGCCCTCCCTCTAGATAAATCACTGGATAAACTGAAGTATCTGAATATCTTTCGTATTGTATCAATAGAATAATTTGAATTAAATGTATTTCTAGACTTCATACAGAATCAAATAATTTTTAGACAACAAAAATATGTCTTAAAAGAACGTCCAAGCGAATGAATATTTACATTCAATATCTTCAGTTATTTTTGTTATTTTATAGAGAAAATGCATGTAATTGACGTCTAGTAGTAAAGTAATTCATAAATATGTTAAATTGTTTTTAAGAGAAATATTATGTTGTACGAAGAAGTCTGTTTATAATAGAAACGTTGTTATACTGATTGAGTTTGTCTACTTGTCTTTTTACCTTAGACTGAAGGACTTATATGTTAACCGTATCGTATAAAAGTGTGAATGAATTTCTATGAAAAAATATAACGAAATGAATACCTACAAAAAGAAACTCACCTAGATTTTTTAATAAATTACCGTAAAAAATGAATATATTGTCAGATCCTTAATCTTACATGTTGATATATTATTCTCAATAAATTCTCTCGTAAATGACTCATTATCGTTGTTATCAGTATCGTAAAATACTAGTTTTGATACAAAATGACTCGTTGTATGCATTCTAGTTCTTTCTATTCTATTTGATAAATACATAACAAAATTTTGATCTTGATTTTTATTATTTATCTACTTTCGAAACAAATAAGTATTTCATAAGAATGTGTTATACTTCTTGTTTTATATTCATTCGTTCATTATACTTAATACTCAAAAATGTCCACACATGAAACCCTCTAACGTACAGAATAGCATTACTGTGTTAATTATGTAATACAAACATATGTGTTCCTTCATTTTTATTTCTTTCTTCTTTTTGCTATATGACTTGACCTTCACTCTCCTAAAAGGAACTCGTGTTTCAATATAACATTGCTGATGACTACTACCACCTATTACAATTTCAATTTCTTCGTTCTTTTTTTTTCTTCTTTTTTTTCTTATTCTCCTTCCTACTTTTTTTTTACTAGTTCTCTTTTGATTACTCCTGTGGCTGTTGCTGCCGCTGCAACCACAACTCCCCATTTTTATAATGTAAATGCACAAATGGTACGAGAAAAGAACATTGACGAAAAAAGAAAAAAAAAATTCATCTCGCATTTAATATGTATGTTACATACGTACACACATAATAAGAAAGAATTGAGTTGACGATGAAGGGCGACATTGATGTGGTTTTTTTTCCTTTTTTTTTAGAGAAATAACTTCTTTTTTTTATTATTATACAGCGAAAAAGAAAGAGAGACAAAACACGTCGACATGCGCCGGTTTTTTTTCCGTATTTATTCACGTGGGCTTGAGTGAACTTTCTTTTTCTTTTTTACATTGAGTTTTATACCTCTCTCTTGTTCTGTCATTGATAGAAAAAGAACATCAACGACGACGTCGAAACTTCATCTGACTCGTCATCAATGCAGAATGAAGGAAACCGGTGGTTGTTAAATGATGAGAATAAAGGCCTAGTAGGATAGCGCTCTTTGATCTAACTGAAGCTAAACCTTTTTCCTAACGTTCACAAAACAAAAAAAAAATTATAATTTATCGTATTTTAGATGCGCCATGCAACGGATGATAATGAGCAACCTGCTTTTAATGATATTCGAATTGACCTTCGTGGTAGTAGTGTCGATGGACCTAGAACTGGCCTAAATAGTAATCAAACATATTATCCAAACCGTTATACAGCTGAAAATGATCAACGATCACAAGGTTCAGTACCAAGTCGAGTATCAAGATATTCAGGTAAATCAAACTGATAAATTAGCATAAATAACCTTGAATAATAAAAAAATATTCTTTTGTTATTAAAGAGTATCCTCAAGTTCGGCCAACTAATCCATTATATTCAAGTCAATCAACTATAAGAACACAAGGCTCCAATCCTCATGCAGCTGGCGCATCAAGTTCAAAAAGTTCAGCTACATTAGTGAATCGTCGTCAAAAATTTGATCCACAAGCACCACGTCGACCATCAGATTGGAGATGGTTAGCAATATTATGTGTCATTTTATTTTTTCCACTTGGTAAATTTCTATTTACTTTTTAAACATATATATATATATTTCATTATTCTATTGTTTAGGTTTATTTGCATTTGCCTTTGCTCGCAAAGCACAAAATAAATTTCGCGATGGTTTTGTTATGGATTCACATAAACTTAATAAACGTGCTCTTATTCTTTGTATTCTATCCATTTTATGTGGTATTGCATTGATCATTGGTTTACTCTTTGGTTTCGATGCTTGGCCAAGAACAAATGGATAAATATTTCCATGTATACATAAATACATATATATACATATAATCAATGAGAATATTAGATTAGTACAAAACATCTTCTTGTATATGTCGTTGGTTTTTTTTTTTTTGAAACGCCTTATTACAAACGAAAAAGAAAACAAATCAGAACAGTTTTACTTGAACAGTATAATCAAATTAATTTTTATTCTTCCTTTTTTTTTGTTTTTTCTTGTGCTTGTATGTGTGTGTGATTTATTACTCATGGAAAATGCTCAGAAAAAGAAACAGTTCATTTTTATTCATCCGTGTATATTCTTATGTACTTTCTTCTTCTTTTTTTTTATTTAAAAATAAGATAGACAAATTTGTTTTCTTTTTCTTTGAATATTTTGATTTATTAATTTACTTTTTGAGAAGAAAAACATATATGAGCCCTTCTGTTTTATGAAGCGTATCGAATATTCTATATCATTAAAACCTTGACGAGAAATTTTCCTTTGTAGATGAAATTATTTAGCGATACCGTATAGAATTAATAATTAAAAAGGTTTCCTCATGTTTTCTGAATAAAATAAGTGATATATACATTTCATAATATTTAACGATTTGTCAAAATTAATTATTTTCATTTTTTTGTTCGATTACATATTTTAGATACTTCACAATGTCACTCACAAAAACTATTTATAATATTTTCTTTCGTCGTTCAGCAACAATTGCTTTAACAACTGTTGTTGGTGTATTTGCCTATGAACGTATCATCAATAAGTCAGCTGAATACATATATGAACGTCGTAATCAAGGCAAATTATGGAAGCATGTTCAACCTTCATTCAAATTACCAACTGATGACGACGAAGAAGCATCTGGCTCCGGAAAAGAGGGTGACGAATCATAAGCACAATCAGATCGTGAACAAGGAAGAAAAAATTTAAAAAAAATAAGGCACAAATGCTTAATTATCTAACATTATCCCATTTCTTTTTTTTCCCGTTAAATAACTGATTTAGTTTCTATTTCTGTCCTTGTTTGTTTTTCATAATAAACAACTCTTTAGATTTTATGTCTTAGGATAAATATACTTTTTAATATTATTCATCGAAACACATTTTTAGAATCAAATTTTAACCTTGTGCAAAAAGAATGACTCTATGTAGTGTACTTGTAAATCAAAGAGCAACCATTCATGATTAAAAGCTATTACTGTAGATACTCGATTCTCACTTTAATTTTTCAATTAAAATTAAATCAATAACCTTCTAGTATGATTACAATGTCATAGGTTTTCCTTTTAACCCTTTGATGGACGGTGGGGCATATATGTACCACTTTTTTTTCTTTTCAATCATATGATTACGGTGAAGTAAGAACAATTGTTTTGATATAAAATACTATGATACTGCATAGATTGAGTATATATATATGAGAGGGTGAGTATAGGTGTCGCTGCAGATAACATGGCAAAACCTACAGCCACACCCACTCACACCTATATCCACACACATACCCCAATAATCTGCATCAAAGCTATCATTCTATGCGAAAACAATCGTCAAAACTTGCTCTTCCAAAAGTTGCCCGTTAAAGGGTTAATAAAAAGCACACACATAAATTATACTTTTTAGGTTCTACTTTATGTCATTATAGTCTATGACAAAATTATTATTCTTTTTTTGTAGCTGCTATTTTTTACCATATGACAAGTTATAATATTATTAATAATAGCAGCGATACAGCATACTTTCTATTAATATACCGATAGAACAAAGTCCAATTTTTATCTTTTTATTTTAATGCTGGTTTTTAGGTCATTTTGTTTTCTGTACTTGAGCTAAAATAGAATTAAAGAATATATAATAACCTTAGTATTTTTGCAGACTTGATTAAATCGAAATTAACCTTTGTTATTTTTTTCTTTTTGGAATATTCTATTATGTTAGTTTTTATCATTTATATAATATAATGAGTAAATAATTCCTATAAACCTATTGATTTAGTTGAATCAATATGAAAATATTCTTTTGATTACATTGACTAAAATATAATGGTATTTAGACATAAATACAATTCTATCTTTTCTTTTTCGACAATGTTGTTTACTTTCATCTTTGTCTACTTGAAATCGATTTCTGAAGTGTCTTAATGTACATTTTTTATTTCTTTCGCAATCTTTTTTCCTTTGTTACATATTACTAATTACCTTGCTTGCACTTTCGATACAAAGAAAATATGATTATGACCTTCAGAGACATCTCTTTACTCGTACATACATGTAATTCTAAGGCCAAATCGGATTAAAATTGAACCTTGGAATAAAATTAAAGTTATGTGAAATGCCATACCATTGCTTCTGTACGAAAATGTTTAACAAACAGAAGTTTATATCAACAGTTATTTCTTGTAGGTGTTTTCTCTTAGCACGGATCTAGGCTTGGATACAAATGATCGATGACAGACCTATCCTCGATTTTAATAAATCATTTTTATTACTGTACTTATTCTGTCATATATAATATATAGATAAATCACTTCTAATGATGGTTAATTATGATCTGTTAGATATTGATCTGACTATAAATACACATGATAGTCTTCAGATTTTAATAGAGAAAACAAAATTTTATATTATTATTATCATCATATAAATCCAATTGAAACGATTTCTTATCTAAAAAATGTTATTTAACTTAATCTAATCCAATTTTATATTTTGTTTTCGATTTGATATGCTCTATTAATAATCTGTCATATCATTTTTCATATTCTTCTCTTATATCAGTTGCATAGAAAAGAAAATAGGAAAAAACAACAGGGTGTGCGCTGTACCTATACTGTTCGACACTTAAAGATGAATTTTTGTATTTCGATATAAAACATTGAAATGCAATTATTGAAACAAGATGTATCGAGGTATTGATTATGTACTTTTTTTTGTTAAGTTTGCATTTAAATGTATTAAACTAAAAGTATTTGAATAGAATAGAAGCCATACTTTTATATATACACAATTCATTTCATCATGTTTTTTTATTTCAGTTAAAAATATCTACCAACTAGAGAGACAAAAAAGAAGAAAATCAAGTTGATACGTATCTCTCGTGTTCTATTCGCAGGACTGTCAACTCAAGCATAGACTAAAAAAGAAAAAGAAGAAGAGAAGAAGATATACATAACAGAAAAAAAAAAAAAGAAAGACATCGCCTATCGCCGTATATTCACATACACACATTCACACATACAAATACACTCTGTCTGTTTTTGCATACACTATACATTAAAAAAAGTATTTTTTCTTTTGTTCATTCCTCTTCTTTTTATATTATAAAAAAATGTTCCTCGCGCTAATGTTTCAATAAAATCTCATTTCATTAAAATCACAATCATGTGGCAATGAAATTATTGTTGAAGGTGTATAAGCAGCTTCTGTTTGTAAAGTATAATTTTTTCCTTCATTATTATCCCAATGTTCTTGTCCATTAACACAATAACGTAAAACAAAATCAATTCGATCAACATCTTCAGGTATATCAATAAAAAATTCAAATTGATCTATATTACGATAATCATTCGAATGACAACGATGTTGAGCTTCACGTTCATATGTATTTAACCAACGATTAAATGTATATTTAATAGTTACATTTTTCCAATAACTAGCATTTGTTACCCATAATGTACCCATAAGTTGTTGTATACCGGATAATGAGCACTTTAAAGGTATATCAGCATATTCTAATTTTATTTGAGATTTCCATATTTCATGTAGATAAATATCTGGATGTTCAGAATTTGGTTGACGATATAAACAAAAGAATCTTTTTGGAAATGATGTTTCTTTCATTGATAATTTTGGTGCTAAGGCAACATCAAATGACCATGGTTTATGTTCTAAACGTGATGTATTTGGTATATAAAGATTATTTTTTGTAAATGATGGTGGTGATGATGATAATAATGATGAGCCTAGTAAAAATGAGAATTCTTTTGTTTCATCATGTAATTTCGAATTGATATATTGCACTTGTGTTAATTCACGACCAACAGTATCAGCAAAACGAACATTTTTTTTTGTTGTTCCTATTGAATTCGTACGTTTAAGACCACCGGTTGATCCATTTGGAGTTACTTTATTATGTGAAACTATTGTTAAGGTTGGAGAAATAGATGATGCAAGTGGTGATATAGTTATTGGTGATGATTGAGATGGTGAATAAGTTCTAGTTGTTTCAATATTTAATGCTTCATTAGCTAGATAAAAATCAGGTGGACTAGTAGGAGAAACCTCTTGTGGTGATGAAGCTGAAGCTGACTGACGATAAAATCGATGTCTTAATCCTAAAAACAAAGAATAGATAAGTTAATGAAATAATTTGAAAAAATCGATTAAATCTTACTTCTTCCTCGATATCGACTAACTGAAGTTGGCGATTCCTCTGTAACAGTTGTCTCATTGATTTCCTCATTTGTAGAAGGTTTTGTTTCAATAATATTCACATCTTGTTTATCATCATTTTGTTTAAGTTCTGGTGATTCCGATTCATTAATATTAAATGTATCCAATAGATTGATTGTTGGTGATGTATCATCAAGTGAGAAGGAATTTTTCGTTAATGATGAACGTCTTTTTCGTCTACGAAAATGTCGTTCAGTATTCATATCATTACCATTTATAGTTGGACTTGAATCAAGTTGAATATCTTCATCTAATTGTTGACTTTTCGAATCAGTATTTATTGCTGTTACTTGTTCCGATAAAGGTTCAATCGTAGTCAATTTTATATTATCTATTTTATCACATTCTAAATCTTCTGTTTTAGAGGTAGACACCGGTTGAATTTTATCACAGCTTAAAAAATGTATTTCATGATTATCGGATTCATTTAATTTTAGACACGGCTCAGATATCGGTGATGACAAAGCAAAAATTACAGGAGATTTACTAATATATCCATTTGTATTTGTAGATTGTATATTATGTTGTGACATATGTGGATCGGATGCAAATCGTGTTAATAAATGTAATAATCGTGTTGACGAATCTTTTGAAAACAATCTATCATCTACTGAATGTGACATTGGTAATGTTGAATCTTTTTGTGATGATACAGATCGATGTATACTTATATTTGGTGACCGATGTGTTTGTTGTTGAACTAACATATGTGCCATCTTTGAATTTTGTAATGATGGCAAATGAATAGGTTGTTTATGTGTTTTATCGATAAATAAGAGAGGTGTTGATGAATCGTTGGAATCTTCCTAAAATTTAGAAAAAAAAAAATAATTTATTTCACTGAACAAAGAAATTTTCTTACAAATGTCTTCTGTCTATTATACATATAAACAGAGGATTATGTTATGTTATAGATAGGTATATATATGATATTATATTCTTAGAGAAAAATCAAAGAACCAAAAAAGAAAAAAGAAAAGAATGTATGGGATGGGCAACGCGTGATCAATGCATGATTGTTTGATGGGAAGATCTTTATCAGAGCTTCTGCTTGTTTCATTTCAAAGAAAATGGTTGGATATTAAGAAAGCATATGTTTATTTGACTTTCTTCGAGGGGTCAATAGTTCATCATATAAGCGCACCTAATAATCATTCCCTTCTGCTCACACAGTTGTTCATGGTTATATCATGACGCGAACGCGTGCCACACGCATGATCTTCATTTATCAGTTACTCTAAATGTGGCAAAATAGGTTGCTGTTATTATTATCTATTCGTGGAGACAAGAAGAATGAAGGACAAATTCTATGCAAAGCAGAATTAATCAACAACGACGATGAGATCTGTTTTTCTTTCTGTTCTATGACTCCTACAAATAACTATGTCACTCATGCTATATAAGTTAGGTACCTCCCTCTCTCCTTCTATTTACTCGAATGAATAGGTATTCAGAATTAACTGCATATACTATCGTTTGATGATGATGTATGCATATTCTATATATCTATTCACGTGTTGAAAGCGTGGATACTCGGCAGGTGTGCATGTCTGGGCATAAAGGCAGAGCAGCTATCATCTGTGATATATATTTAAAATATATATACATATATATATATATATATATATATAAAGAAAGAGAGGGGAGGAGGGAGGGAGAAAAAGGGAGGTGGCCACGACACAGAGACGAAGAGAAAGAGAGAGAGAAGAAGAAGAAGAAGATATTAAGCGATCATCTTATTGTTTTATTTGTTTACTATCTTGAAACTGATGTCCGTCATCGAAGCGAATAGTGCAGTAAAAATTTATATTTACTTCTCTTTCTTTTTAGTAGCTCCATTCAGAGTAAGGTAAAAGGATAAAAACAAGACAGGAAAAAAAGGAAGAAAACGAGCAAAAAATTGTTGTTTATTACTAGTAGACTTTGCTCTTTTTTTCTGACAAGAAAGAATAAAAATAATCATAACACAAACAAGGAAAAAAAATTATCTTTACCCCAGATGATAATCATATATCAATAGCGTGGTATATATATTTTTAAAGGATAGATTGGTACATTCTTCTACATAAGAGTGAAACAGCTGTGTGTTCCTTTGTTATCAAAAGAGAAAAATAAGAAAAAAGAGAAGGAAAAGAAAAAAAATACATTTGACACGACGGTTTCATAGCCTAGATCATGCAGTTAATGCATGGTATAATGCATGGTCGATTATTTTGTCGCGATTATACGACTAGGGAAAGAAAAGAATATAAGATAAATTAACGTTAGTAATAAAACGAAAATGAATTAAAGTTCAAGGTAATTTTTTCGTAATATTGCATGCGCTAAGAGTATGGGCAACTAGAATATGGTCCGATTATTTGCATTAGAATTGTCTTGAGTCATTTCTTAAATAGAAATTATTCTTATTTGCATCGGGTCATGAAAAAACAAATTCAGTGAATAAAGATGAAAGAATGTACTTGATTTTGAACAGACGTTTTATTATTATTTTTATTTTGCATACAAATACATTAAAAACATGAATGTTAATGGTCTTTATTTTAACTAAAATTACTTTTGTGGATTATAAAATAATAATACACTTTTAGGGCATATTTTTATAGCTTTTCCATTCTCTTATTTGATAAAGTTGACTTATGATGGTTAAAAAAGCAAACATAACTAATTTTTTTTAATGGACTTTCGTTTTCTTATTTAGACCTTCCTGAAATGTTCTATTCACTTCTGATTTATTTGATGAAATCAAATAAGTACTATAGTTCTTTTTCTATTGACTAGTAACTCAGCATGATTATGTCGAAAATATTCTTTCAATCGAGGTTTTTTTTGAAAAAGAAATGGCTTCTTTTCCTTCTCATTAGGTATACATCATATAATGTAAATTTACACTCATATTACAGTTTCACTTTAGAAAATGTGTTGTGCACTCAAGTATATTTCAAAGGTATATATTTATGTCAATAATATCATACCTATTAGATATCACTTTTACCTCGAAACGATGGTTATTCATTGTGAATTAATGAAAAAAAAAGCAAAAGAATGGACTCACAATCAGATTGCTAATCGATAATGTTCATATAAAAATAGGTGATAATGATAATCGATTATAAACGCTCATATCTTCAAATAAATGCACTGTTATATGTATAAAATCAGATATGATAAAAAAAGAAGAAGAAGAGATATGATCTAAAGAACCTTTTCATACAAAAAGCCTTTCTATCTCACATGTTACCATCTGTATTAAAGGTTATTCTTTTGTATTATCTAGCTCTTGTAATATCAAAGTAAATCTCTATTGGATTATTCTCACCTATTTATTGTTTTTGTATGCTTTAGATCAATAAGAATTAAGTATTAGTCGGAGGAAAAGAACATATTTATCGACTTTAGACTATTTAAAAAAAAACTTAAATCAGTTTACTTTGAAAAACAAATAGTTTATGTGTATATTTTTTCTTTCATATTGATTTTAACGAATCCTATTTACGTACTTGAAGAGTTCCAGTTGATGATGATGATGAAATCGCTAGAGAATTAAATGAAGCTGATGATGAGGATGGTGATGAAGATGGTGCTTGTCGACGCGTGAAACACGCGATCCGTGCTGTAATATTGAGCATTGACATAAATATAAGAGTAAATATAAGACGAATTTTATTTAATAAAATTCGATGCCAATAAATACAAAGTCGTTTAATAATTGTAAAAAATGACTGAAATAACAAGAAAACATTTTCATGTCTATGCTGTTTAAATACTTAAAAATCAAAGCAATAGTAATAAAAATAATAATAATAGTAATAACATACATGATTTTCTGTCAGAGATAATCGAGACCATATATTGACTTGTTCGTCTTGTTTTTCTTCTTCTGTAAGTTCTCTTGATGAATGTATTGGATTAGAAGATATATCAAGATTATCTGTGTCGTCGTTATCCGTGAATAACAATGAACCAGACATTCAGTATAATAAAACAAAATAATGAGTTTTATTTCACTTTTTTCAATTCCAATTTTTGTTGTTCTTTTAAGATCGACAAAAATGGAGTTTTATCGTTCGTTTTACACGATTTAACTCCGTTCTGTGATCTCTTCAAGCAGACGACTAGACGTACGATAGATGGAAAAGAATACAGAAACAACAGAGGATTGGAGAAGAGAAAATAAAGATGGCAAGAGAAAAATATAATCAAGTTTCGTCTTCTTCTTTCCTTCTGTGTTAGCGCAATATTACCCGAACATACAAACAGTTTTGTTCATTGAAAAACGAGACGAACATCTCTCTTTATTTCTTATTTCTTTTTTCTTTTTCTCTGTCTGTCTTCCTCTCTCTCGCTTTCTCTCTCTCTCCCCCTCTCTCTCTCATTTTTGCTTTCTTGACAGGCCCTGATGGCGAATGCGTGATCACATAAAAGGCTCTCAAAAAAATATAGTAAAGAGTATCAACATTTTTATCCTCTTTAATCTAATCTATTTCAGAAACGTTCATGGTGGACATCTATATTTAAAATAGGTGTCGTTTTTGAATATCTTTTTCTTATATTCATTTCTTTTAATTATTTATAAGAAGATAATTTAATCAATGTTTTCAACTAATGAATCAAGATTAATATAAAAACCATGTAAAGAAAAGGTAGTTAGATGTAATAATACCATATATTCCGAGCTAGACATCGAAATCATTGTTTATAGAGATTTTTCTTATTTATATCAGATATTTTATCATAATTGTTAGCCTTATGTAACATATATATGTATATATTCAGCACGCAAGCTAGGTACATTGTATGAAGCACGTGCTTGACCTAGTATCGTTCTTCTTTTCTGTCGTGAAAATATCTGTGCAAACAACTTCGAGGCCGAATTTTCATCCAGGGAGAACATATATACATATATATATTATCACAGTTCAATTTTATCCTTGTCCGAAGGATATTTATAGATTTTGAATATAAACAAAGAAAAGAAAAACTTTGCGAAGTGAATTATATTTACCTTATTTTTTCAAAAAATTGCATTGAACACAAAGAACACTTCTATACAATATATGTGGCTCTTAGTCATACTTATCTCCATTGTATATATGACAATTAGTAAAGCGATGCAGATCATGTATAAGCAGTGAGATAATGAGTATTAATATTTATAGACTTTTTCAAGAATGCTTATTGATAGTTTCAATGCAGTACTTATTTTAAACCAGCCAATCTATTTCTCACGAGAATATACATACGTCATACATCAAAGTTGCATGAAATCTTCATAAAGTTTTATAACTAATTAATAATAATAGTTTAACTATAAATTCTTCTTATAATATATCCTTTACTGTTAAAATATTGTTATTCAACAAACCTTTTTTCTCTCAATAAATTTGTCATTGAAATGTATCAGAACATTTCAAGTATATTCTTGTTACAGCTGATACATGTCTTTCAAGTATCTAAGCCGTATATGTGATACTCCTCGTCTTCTTCAGCTCAAGTGAAATAATACTAAGTGCGTTTGTTTTATTAAAAAAGTGAGTTCATGACAAAGCAAGTAGCTTATCTAATACTCTTGAAAATCGAAAGGAAATAGAATGGCATTAGATGCATATACATATTCATGACGTCTATTGTTTCTTTGATGAAACGCACTATTATTTCTCAACATCATTCAATTAATTCTTTTTATAATTTTCATACTATCAAATACGATAGGAAATGGAAAATTGATTTCTAAAGAATCAATACGAAATTCAAACAGTGTTTCAGTACTATTATTTGAACTGTTGGGCTCATTACTCCAAGTATACAGTTATGACTTATTAGCATAGTCTTTCGAATTTTAATAAATACAATAACAATAAGATACATGTTGAATAATGAATCATTAGGATTGACTTGTTGTTTATATCGAGAGCAATGATGGTCAGTACAATGTTGTATAATACAAACTATAAAAGAAAATAATTATATACATATTTATAAACCCGTTTTTTCTTTATTCGACAATAAAAGGAGGACATCTACCTTTGACAGGTGTATATTTATGCGAGCGAATGCAAGGCCAATCGTTCTGTTTTTTCTCCATATTCATTTATTTCCAATTATTTTTGTATCATCGTATTAACATACAATGTCACGTCATTTACTTTCCGAGCATGACTTTAATGTTCGAATATCGTACACGATGTTATCAATCATTAACAACCAAACTTATAAAATAATCCAGTAGCAATCTTTTAAAGTAAATATTTTCTATCTTATATTTTTTTGTTGACAAATATTATAAAGTCAAACTTCAATTATATTTATCTCAATCATAAATAGTCGTATTTTTTGTTTTTAGATAAGTTTCTTTTCTTTTGTTAATTTGTTTTTTATATGGCAGCAAAAAGTACAATATCTGAACTTTCAAATAAAGGTAAAATTTATAAAAAAAAGCAAATAATAATTTTTGTTCATTTCTTTAATATATTTCAGATAAATTAAGTCTTTCTGGTAGTAAAAGTGATCGTGATATAGTTCATCAACCAGCCCGTGATTATACTCCAATTACTTGTTTTTTTAAAACATGCGATCGAGAAGATAGTGAAAAATTATTACGTGAATCGTATTCATCAAGTATATGAAGATTTTTCTTAAAATTCAATTTGCTAAATATTATTTATTTAGGTAAACAAAAAAATGGAATTTATATGCTTCGTCAATCAACACGTGATGAAAATAAATTTATTCTATCATTAATTAAAGATGGACAATGTTATCATTATCGTGCACATCATGCAGGAAATGGGACATTTCTTGATGAAAAAACTGATTCAGTATTTTATTGTATAGTTTATTTGAATATTAACTTAGTAAACTAATTTTTTTTCGTTTTGATTTCTTTTAGCATTAGATGGATTACTTGAATATTATCAAACAGATGGTGTTCGTCATTTACGTTGTCCATTAACAATACCTCTTCGTGGTCATTCATTACCTGCATTTGCTCAACGACGTGGTATAACAACTGCTCTTCATCAAGCGGCTTCCGAAGGTCAAAAAGATGTTGTTTCTCAGATTCTTAATGATCACGATTGTCCGGATATACATTGCAAAAATGAAGAAGGTTTATATAAACTAATTTCATTGATTTTTAGTTTTATTATTTCTAGGAAATACACCATTACATGAAGCATGTTTTTTTGGAAGAGATGATGTTGTTAAAGAACTATTAAAAGCTGGGGCTAGTTGGAAATTCGTGAATAAATTAGGATGGACATCATTACATGTAAATCATATATCTTAGTCTAATAAGAATCTTTCGTTTTATTTTCTTTAGCAAGCAGCACTTGGTAATTGCCCAACCGTTGTTGATATACTTGTTAATCGTGCTCAAGCAGATGTTGATGCAAGAAATCCTTTTAATTTATATGCACCAATTCATTGTGCTGCTGCTTGTAATAATGTTGAGACCATTGCAGTAATTAAATGGCTAAGAAGTATTTAATAATCATTTAGTTTTCATTTATATAGACTTTAATAGCTCATGATTCACCATTACGCCCATTAACAGAAAATAGCGAAACACCATATGATTTAGCTATTAAACATAATGGAAGTGAATGTATTGAAAAACTAGGTAAAATAATTACATTCATCTCTATTCAAAATTAAGTTAAGAGAAAATATTTTTCTATAGCGGCAGCTCGATCAAAACCCGCATTATCTCGTCGTATAAATTATTATCATGGTTCATTAACTAACAATGTATGTATAAA